CATCCGAAATACACCTCAATTACCAATGTATCGGTGCACGGGTCACCGCTTCAAGTTTCCGTTTTTCGGCGCACCCGCCACAGCCCAGAAGCCACGCCCACTCGTCCTCACCACCCAAAAGGTCCGCCCCTCGTGCCACACTCGTTTCGTCTCCTTAACCTTTGTCTTTCCTTACCGAGCCGAGCAGTCTGGTATTCTTCTTTTTCTTTTTATTATCAGTTAGACCTATTTTCATCTTTCAATTGAGATAAAAGTTCCTTCCTTTCGAAGCTTACAGTCCGTTTTTTCTTTCTTTAAAGTTGAAGTTTCAGGTTTTTATGAATGGATTTGACTCAATTTTAATATTTCCTTAGGGAAAGGGTCTATAAAAGCCCGAGATTTTCCTGATTAGATTTGTTTTTTGATGATTTTTCGGTTAAAAATGACCTTTTTTCGAGGTTTTGAAGTTAAGATGTTGATGAATGAACTTTAACTCAATTTTGAAATTTAACAGCTTTGAGTATTTGATAATAGCTTTTGAACTAAGGAAACTACCTTAAAAGGATAATTTTATCTTTTAAACTTCTAAAAGAGCATCTGGCTGCTCAAAATCGCTCCAGGGAAAAAAAATATTTTTTCGAATTTTTCACCTTCATTTCACGGTTTGGATCGTAAAAAATGAGAATTTCTTTGTTTTGGAAGCTATTTTGAACAAAAATGATCTAAAATAGCTCTTCCCCTCGAGACCATTATGCAAATCTCCCATGCTCCTTTAATAGCCCTACCCAGAAATGGAGATCGAACTGAGCTCCTCCTTCCTTTTCAAGCCAAAAGTTCAAAAATCCCATGAAGATCTCTTCCAATCCAATCCTCCTCGTCTCATTCCTTCAATGCGGTTTCGAGATTTCAACTCTTCTTGTTTACCCATTTTATTGTCCGCATTGTACAGACTGTCCACCACTTCAATTTTCAAGGTTCCTCAGGGCCGTTTCTTGAGTTTTGGATCGTCGGATCCCCATAATTCGGTTCAAAAAAGCCTCGTAGGTTATTTGGACACGTTTTCTTATTTTTTTGAGCTTGAATGTGAGTTTTGATTTTTTCTCAAAGTTCGGTTTAAAAAAAAATTCGCGCTTCAGTTGGCTCAATTTCGGATCAGATTTCTGGTTGAAAAGCTTCGCATCTTGATTTTTAGCCTCTTTTCTCACATTTTGGGTTTAAAATATAGTTTCAGATTTTTCCCCAAGTTTTGCTTGAAAGTTTCACTCCCCCCCCCCCTCTGAGCTTGGATGAGAATTTTCACTTTTCTCAAATATCAGTGGAACAAGCGATTTTGTCACCTTCTATCTCACCTTTAAAGTTTGGATGAGAATTTTGAAGTTTTCCCACAAAAAATGGTTGACCCAAAGCAACACCTCGTTTCGGCTCTTTTTTAAGAAGGTCATGCTCCAAGTTAGCACCTTGTTTGGGTGGGACACGAGCCGAAAGGAGTCGTCAAAGCAGTCTGAACTCTTAATTGTCGTAGAGATTCCTGTCGGCAAGTTCTTGGGTTGTACATTTAGGTCTAGGTAAGCCTAATAATAATATAAATTCTATGACATGTTTTGATAAAGTCCAAACAGTTGAACCTATTTTTCAAAAACGAGCTTTTAGTTCTGAAGTTTAGCTTAAATCTTGATTGAAAAAGTTTTGTTGACAAGTCTACAGGGTCAAGCATAATTTAGAAACCATCCTATGGTCTTTAGGTCTTCTTTCAGGCTCGGAAAGCTTCCTTGGCTCATTCTTGAGTTCCGAATATGGTTTGAAGCTTCTTATCAAGCTTTTATTCTGGTACCTTTTTTCAAGCTCCTTCATACCTTTTTTGGCTTTTCTAGAGGCTCGTTCTTAGGTTCAAGTCCAGCTTCGAGCTTCAAGCTTTTCAAAACCGTCTCAGGACATTTTTTCAAGCTTCTCCATACCTTTTTGACCTTCCCAAAAGCTCATTCTTGGGTTCAAATCCAGCTTCGAGCTTCAATCAAGCTTCTCAGTAATTTTTTCGGTTTTTTGAAAGGCCAGACCTTTTATTCACCTCATAGTAGTTCACCCATCTATGTACGACCCTTTGCTTTATTGATCTGAAGTTTTGAATTGACCTAATAAGTTCCTAATTGCGGTAAACCGACCTGAACTCACTAAGAATCTTGTCGGCACACTTATCAACACCTTTCGGCTGTTTTTGAAGGCTTAGGCTCCAAAATGTCGCACCTTATTACTCAAAACACCCACAACAACACTTCATTGCCCTTTTCCAAAAGTTCATGCTCCAAAATCCAGCTCACGCGTCCTCAAGCCCTTAAATAGCCGACCTGAACTCACTAACTACCTTGTCGGCACACTTATCGCTTCAACAAATCCTACCGGCTCCTCTTCATCAAATTCATGCTCCAAAATGTCGCACCTTATTACTCAAAACACCCACAACAACACTTCATTGCCCTTTTCCAAAAGTTCATGCTCCAAAATCCAGCTCACGCGTCCTCAAGCCCTTAAATAGCCGACCTGAACTCACTAACTACCTTGTCGGCACACTTATCGCTTCAACAAATCCTACCGGCTCCTCTTCATCAAATTCATGCTCCAAAATGTCGCACCTTATTACTCAAAACACCCACAACAACACTTCATTGCCTTTTTCCAAAAGTTCATGCTCCAAAATCCAGCTCACGCGTCCTCAAGCCCTTAACTAGCCGACCTGAACTCTCTAATTACCTTGTCGGCACACTTATCACTTCAAAAAATCCTTTCGGCTTCTCTTCATCAAGTTCATGCTCCGAAATGTCGCACCTTATTAGCCATAACACCGAGTCCCGAGTCCCAAACACTCGACGGCCCGAGCGGCCTTGCCTTACAACTCCCAGGTGTCTTGTTTGCACTTCTTATTTCTTCGAGGACCACCCGCCGAGCCAAGTAACTGTCGTTGATACACAACAACTTGCAGAAATGTGTTCTTGTGACCAGAAGAGTTGGGTTTGTGGGAAGGAACCCTTGTTGAGGTAGAAAATTTCTAATAGAAATTTGTTTCCCATAGAGCACCCTTGTTTCAAAGAAATAAGGCGCTTTTGTAAGCTTAAAATCGATTTCCTTAAAAAAAAAATTGTGAGATTCCGAGTACTGTTGGGTTACCAAGGAAAAGCTTCAGCAGCTTTTTTCAAAAATATACATTAATTCAAGTCACCTGAATCTTCCGAGAACGTTTATGAATGGACTATGATTCCAAAATTGTCCATAGAGCAACCTTGCTCAAAACAACTTTTTCAGATTTTTTTATCTAAATTTTTCTAGAGAAATAGGAAATTTTGTGCGATTAAAAAAATAGACTGTTAGACTCGCTCAGAAGCTTGAACTGATCCTTTTTTACTGGAAGTTTACCTCAAAACCTGAATCTTCCGAAAAAACCTCTTCTGAATGGGCTATAGACCAAAAAAGGCCTTCTGATAACCTTTATTAAGATTTGATCTAATCATCTCCAAAAATCAATAATCTTATGGGGTTTGCAGCCTCATTTTTCTCCGGCTTCTCACCTTCATTTCAAGCCATCCCCTGGACTTTCCAAAGAGCCGTTCTGAATGGACTATAGACCAAAAACTGATCCAATTTTGGTTGCCGCTCTTTTGAGAGGCCTCAGCGCGCCGCCGCGGTCATTTGATCTCGCCTAATTTGGTCATGTCCGTCCCGTCGGTTTGCCCCCTCCGGGCGATTCCTTTGCTTTCTTTACTTTTCCCCCGGTCACTGACAATCATTCTCAAGTTTCTTCTGGCTCAGTTGCTCCCACGCCAAAAGCTCCGGAGGCTTAGTCTCGAAGCTTAGTTGGTCGGGAGGAGACCGACGACATTTTGATTATACTCTGCCGCACAAATATTTATAGACTGAACTGTGTTGCCGGCTGTCTTTCTTATTGAAGTTCAGTTATGACCTTCTTTGATCCAGAATTTTGTCTTGAAGTTGTTAGTTGGGAATAGATCTGGAAAAAGTAGCAGATGAAAAATATCCATAAATGGGATGAGCATGACTGGCGACAGCCTAGTGCCCCCTAATGCCGAGCCACCCCCCCTTCATGTTCATTTTTTTTCCAATCACTTCTAACTGAGGAAAAACCTGCCAATCAATTGAACTTTACAAAAATTAATTTTTGATGAATTTCATCCTGTTTTTTTACGGTTTTTTTGCCAACATCCACCCCCTTTCTCGTTTTTTTGCCAAGTCTCTTCCTGTTTTTCAGGTCCCACCGAGACTATCCCATGCATGGAAATATCCCAAAAATGGACTGATTAATAATTTTTTTTTGTTCGAAGCTTGAGCTTGAGCTGTTTAAATTGGTAAATGAATTTGCCTTGTCACGGAGCTTTTTTTTCATTTTTTGGCTTCGTTTGACATTTTAGCCGCTTCCACCGTCTTGGGGGTAAATTTGAGCTTCTTGTGTCGAAAAAAAGACTTTGGATTGAAAAATTTTTCCTGATTTTTTTGAGCTTCTGCTCCACGTTTCAAGAATTAATTATCTAAATAATTTTTTTATCAGCCTTTTTTCACGTAAATCTGAGCCTTGAACTTCTCGTTTAAGCTTCATAGGTAGAAAAAATAATTGGGATTGAAATTTTTTTCCGTTTTTTCAGATTCTACTTCATATTCTATGAAACTTTTTTTTTAAAATTTCTTTCTCTCCTTTTTTTAGCAAAGTCTCAAGCTTCTTCCCCCTCACTTATAATCAAAAAATCTCCCAAAAAACGACTCCAAATCGGTTCCACAAGTCAAAAAGGCATGATAATTGGCTCTGTGGGGGTGTCGTGTTACACCGGCTAGTCTTTCTATACCGCCGCGGCTCATTCTTCCCGATTTTTTTGTTCTCCTCGCTCTGTAATAAGTGTTGCGCAATCGGGACCGTCCATGTTTGGTCATTTCAGGTGTGGAAGCTCTAAGTGGCTTCTATAGTGATCTAAGGTTTGAGCGACTTCTTTGGAGTTTTTGTGAGATTTTGGTTCGAATTCGAGATGCTTGGATTCGAAATGAGACTTCATGACCGCATGTGGAATGGCTCGGCCCTTCAGCACGGAAACCAAGTTGCAACCGACTAAAAACGACTTACGCTTAGGAGCATCATAAAGTACTAGAACGAGCTTCTGACAAGAGCTAGCGCAGTTTTGAGCCATTCCAAATGCGACCAAGAAACTTTATCTACAAAAAAAAAATCTTTCTTCGTGATTTTTCGAAAACTACCATACCTGTTCAAAGCCCTTTAGCACTGAAACCATGTTGCAGTCGACTAAAAACGACTTTCGCACAGGAGCATCATAAAGTACTAGAACGAGCTTCTGACAAGAGCTAGCGCAGTTTTGAGCCATTCCAAGTGCGACCAGAAACTTTAGTTACAGAAAAAAGAAAAAAAAATCTTTCTTTGTGATTTTTCGAAAACTACCATACTTGTTTAAAGCCCTTTAGCACTGAAACCAAGTTGCAGCCGACTAAAAACGACTTTCGCACAGGAGCATAAAGTACTAGAACGAGCTTCTGACAAGAGCTAGCGCAGTTTTGAGCCATTCCAAATGCGACCAAGAAACTTTATCTACAGAAAAAAAAATCTTTCTTCGTGATTTTTCGAAAACTACCATACCTTTTCAAAGCCCTTTAGCACTGAAACCATGTTGCAGCCGACTAAAAACGACTTTCGCACAGGAGCATAAAGTACTAGAACGAGCTTCTGACAAGAGCTAGCACATTTTTGAGCCATTCCAAGTGCGACCAAGGAGCATTAGTTAGAGAAAAAAGAAAAAAAATCGTTTTTTTTGTAATTTTTCAAATGTAAACATTTCTACAGCTTCGAGCAATTTTTTAAACCTTTTCTGAGAGAAATTTAAGTTTCATAGATTCTCCCAAATTGCAAGAAAGTCTTCAAGACGCTCGAATTCATTTCCCATCAATGAACGGAAGATCCACTCCCATCTACTCCCAAAATATATTTCGCATCCATTTCCAATTTCCAGTCTTACACATCTCCGGACACCAATATCGTGGTCATTCATAGAGAGAGGCCGCCCATGTTTGATGAGGCCACTCCGCCCACTTCTCCTTCTCCAAGCTGCCAATGTACCTAACCTATAATTAATTTTGGGAAGCAGCGGGTGGCTGGCCACGCCCACTTTTTTTGCGCAATATTAGAAGTGCTTCTGCAATGGTTTTCGAGATGTTTTGGAGTTTTTTTTTGTTTTTATTTAAGTTTTTTGATGATTTGAAAGCTCAGAAGAGTTCCCTCATTATTCCAGGAAGTGTTCTGATTTTTTGGCTCTTTTTTAAAGTTCCAGGAGATTTCTTGAAACTTTTTGAAGACATTTCTTGGCTTGATTTGAACTTAATAAGCACAAAAAGTTTTCTGTATGAATTTTTAGAGGTCTTTTAGCAAAATTTAGGGTTTTTGGCTTAATTATCATTACTTGAATTTTGGAGATTTTTTTAACTTGCGATAAATTTTCTTTAATATTCTAGAAGAGCTTCTTCCGATGTTTCCAAAGCATTTTGGAGCGTTTTTTTTTGAAATTTTGAGCATTTTTTTGACAATAATGTAGAAGAGCTTTTTGTATGTAATTCCTGAAAAAAACTTCAAAATTTCGAGTTTTTTTGACTTTTTTTCGATGGTTTTTTTCTCGATCCAGAAGCTTGAAACAGCTTTGAAACAGCTTTGAAATTTTTTTGAAATTTTTTTAAAATTTTTTTAAAAATTTTTTTAAATTTATAAGAAAAAAATCTACCCCCAAAATCCCTAAAAAAATCAAAATATGGTCCAAATAGTGGATGACTTGATGCCGTGTTCAAAGTGATTTCCGCGAAATTCAAAATTATCTCTGACCCTCCAAATTTCAATGATCTTTTTCACTCTCTGACGGTTTTTTTGAAATTTGCGACATCAAAGCTGAATATCGAGAAGTCCAGAACTGTAGTTTTATTAATTTTGCGCAACGTAGTTCTGTCTTTTTTTTTAAATTTCTTTCACACTTCTCCTTGGAAGCTTTCCAGTTGAAAATTCATTTTTTTATGTCAATTTTTTTCTTTCAAATCACATTTCTTCTTGATTTTTTTGTCATTTCTATGGTTTTTCTCAAACTCAATCTTCAATTTTTTTCCAGAAATGAAGCTGATTTTTCGTGACCTCAGCCATCTTCGCCGTCGTTCTGGGACAAACTGAACGACTTTTTCGACCTCCCACTGCCCTCGGATCATTGCAAGAACGGCGGAACTCTTGTTGATGTGGGTTTTTTTGGTTTTATAGCTGAAATAATGAAGTTTGAAGCTTTAAAGATAGTTAAAAGTGAAGAAAAAGCTTGTTTTTTTATTCAAAATAACAAAATTTGAAGCTTTCAGACAGCTTTTTCTTAATAAAATTGGTCGAAATTCCACTAATTTTTCAAGAAAAAAATGTTGAAAAAAATAAAGTTTTTTTCTCGTTAATTTGCAATCTATAACCTTGTTTTAGAGCTCATTTTTCAACAAAAAAATTCATTGAAAATGTTCTTCTTTTTCAAGAAAAAAAGCTTTTAAAAAAAGGTTTTTTTATTCGAATCGGTGCATTTCAACCTTGTATAAAAAGCTAATTTTTCGACCTTTTTTTCAAGAAAAAAATCTCCAAAAAGAGGTTTATTTTATTCAAATTTGCACTCTTTAATTTGATGAGAGTAGCTCAATTTCAACGAAAATCCCATGAAATCACCCGAAATGTTCACTTTTTATTTCCCCCTTTTTGTCCCAAGGAAACCCATGAAAACATTGTCCATCACGCCCAAATGCACATCACAATTTCTGAACCAAATCGTGTGACGGCCGCCACCAGACCAAAAGAAAAAAGACAAAAAAATCGCCATTCAAAACGGGTCAAATCTTTTCCGCTCTCAATAGAATTGAATGGAATACATGGGGGCAAAAATGAACCATCATGCGTCTCGAAATTTTTCTCGAAGCATTGTTTGATCTTATCTTGAAGGGTTGAATAAGAATGTCACGTTGAAATTTTTAAAAAAATAATTCCCAAGTCTTACTAATTTCTAGAAAAAAAAGCATAAAAATCTCGAAATTCTTAATTTTAGATTGAAAAGAGAAAATTCTAAAAATCAGTGGTTTTTTAAATTTAAAGCCTGAAAATAATCTTTCCAGTACTTCTAAAATCCTCGAAATGTTGCTCTTTTTTTCTTAAAGCGCTAAACATAAGGCTGAATTCTTTAAATTTTCAAAAATTAAGCTTCAAGATTCCCTAAATTATAGGAACGAGCCCATTCTCATTGCAGTTTCTCAAAAAATTTAAAAAAAAAAGAAATTTTTGAATCACTGATTTTTTTCAACTAGACTTTACAAGAATAATCCCTTCAAACCAGTTCAAAAGAAATATATTTCCATTGCTCGAAAGCTTCTCGAAAAGCCTCGAAAGCTCCGAATCGACAGCCTTAATCACACAGTAGTCCTCTTTGATGGATGCTTTCTCGGGGAAGCTCGCTTGATGGAAATTATACTTATTTCAAAGAGATGAATGATAGTTTTCCGAACAGCAGAAAAATTTTAACTTGATTAGGATTCCGATTTTTTCATTTCTTTGCCTGGAAACTTTTCTCAGAAAGCTTCTCAACTCGAAATTAAGTCAAATTATCGATTTTAGGGACTTTTGAGCTCAGAATCAGCGTGAAAAACTGCAGAGAGGGGGGATAATTTTTGGAAGTGGGGAAACCACGGCTTCACGGTACCCTGCCGTAACACAAGAACGATAGAAATCTAGAGCCAGCTCATTGATTTGAAGATCGAAGAGATTCCAACAAAAAAGGTCACTCTTGTAATGAGGAGCATGAGCCTGAGTCTACACGCCGGCTGACAGGCGAAACATCCGGTCGAGTGGTTCTCCAAAGGCGAATCAGCGCCTTTCCACCACCGCTGCGGCTGAAATTGCCCGATCCACACCTGGTGTCGGCCCGAAAATCTTTTTCGAGTAGACGCTTGACCCGGGGATTATTATTTTTGCGATGTTTTTGCCCTGAAAAAGCCCGAATTCGGTGTTTCTAGGCAAGATGCTCTTTTTTGGACTTTAGGAAGTTTTTAATCTTGATTTTTAGGTCAACTTTCTGGATAGAACTCAAAAAAAAACTTTTTTAAGGTGTCCCGATTTTTTTTTTTTTTTGGAGAGTAATCGTGTCAAGACCCTTACTGTATAACTTCTAAAGCCTGAAATATTTCATCAATCTCAAATAGGGAATTTTTATCAGAGATTAACCAAATAAGGGGCCTGAAAAGCTTCAATCAGCCATATCGTTGAGCCGGGGGGGGCGATTACTGGGAAAATTTTTCAGTGACCACTATAGAGGCTCGCCAATGACTACTGTGAGAAGACACTAAAGTGGCCACTAAACTCACCTCTATAGTGGCCACTATTTTCCGTTTTAGTGGCCACTTCAGAGCTTTTCTATTTAGTGGCCACTCTAGTAGTTTTTCATCCAGTATTCCTTCCAGTAACTCTGATAATTTTGAAGCAAACAGATTGGACCAGTTATGTTGATCTATTGATCCCTAAAGTGGCCACTTAGTGGTCTAGGAGTAGCACTTAGATCTCTATAGTGGCCACTAATTTTAACCCCTTAAGTGGCCACTAATTTGACTACTATAGTGGCCACTAAAACGTCAAAACCCTATAGCGTCCCAGTATAATTTTTTTTGGCTTCAATGAATATTCTGGATCATGAAATCCCCAGCTTCGACCTCACTTATAAGCTCTCCATTCTTGACCGCCCTCAACTTGAAGGAGAACGACAGGAAGCAATTCATTTCTGTGTTCCTAGTGGGCCCAATTAGAGCCCCCTAAAATCGTGGCGGCGGCTGTTCCCATGGAGCACCGCCATTTTTTTCTCCCCCTTTCCTTCAAGTGACCAGGTTAATCCTTCTTAACCCCCCTGGTCGGTCCGTCTGTCAAGCCACAGAACAAAAAAGGCGCAATTATGAACAACATTTATTAATCCTTCCTGGAATTACAGGGCAAATGCCAATGCACTCTACGCTACGAAGGAGCTCAGTGCGAACGGGAACGGTGCATGAACGGCGGAAGGCGGCATTCCCTTGAGGGAAAGGTGAGGAAAATGCGAAGAAATTGAAAGTTTGTTTAGAAAAACGGCTGAAAAATAGGCCAAAAGGTGTGAATTCGTAAAAAAAAAAAAAAAATGTGTCCAAGTTGAGAAAATTGGGGAAAAAAGAGCTGAAAATTGAACCCTAGCGTGAAATTCCTATACTTAGAAGTGAAAAATGAGCCCTTTAAGAGAAAAATTCATTTAAAAAAAAAGCCGATAAGCTGAAAATCGAAAAATATTGCTGTAGAATGAGCAACAATGAGAAAAATCGCTGAAAAAATCACATTAAAAGTCGAAATTCAGGCGTTTTCGAGCTTTTTTTGGCTTCTTAGACCCTAGAGTGACTTCTTGAACTTCTCAGAGAAGTTTTAATTTGAGCAAAAGCATTTTTCAAAGTTTTTAAGAACAGTAACAAATCATCTTTCGATTTCAAAACTTCAAAATCTTTTTATAAAGTTCATCAAGATCTTCATAAAGTGTGCTCCAAGGAAAATCTGTTTCTCAGGGTATTTCATAAAGATTTTTCAATCAGTTTCTCAAAAAAACTTTAAAAAAATAATTTAAAAAAATAAATAATAATAAAAAAATAAAGAATAAAAAAATTTTTATGAAATCTCAACATTTCTGCAGGTCAAATGCCACTGTCCATTCGGCCTGTCCGGTGATCGATGCGAAATCGTGACGTACTGCGAGCCTGGCCGAGGTTCGTAAAGTGTCCGCAAAGTACAGAAAATGAAGGGAATCACGATTCCAGGAAAGTTGGTCAACGGAAAATGCGAATGTTTCGAACGATGGACCGGAAACTTCTGCCACATGCACACCTGCTACAATGGAATCCCCACCGGCGGAATGGTCGGTTATTAAAGTTTCTGGACAGGAACCTGAGAGTCTTTGAGCGGTAGTTTGAGAACTTATCCACCGAGCCATGAATTTTGGTCGAAATAGTACAAAACTTGTATAAAACCAAAAAAAGGCCGGGAGTCGAACCTTTGACCTTTCGGACAGCAGTTAGAAACGTAACCGACTGAGCTATTAAATTTTTGGCACGGCGAGGATACGAACCCTTGACGTGTTTACTATCAACAAAGTCTCATACCACTCGGCTATGCCCCAATTTTTACAGGACGGCTTCTGCCTCTGCGACATCGGCTACACTGGACCGTTCTGTGACGCGCCGATCATTTGCAGGAATGGCGGATCAGTTAATCAGGTATCTATTGATTGGTCGCATTGGGAATGAGCTGAGGCTTAGAAGTCAAGCTTGGGTGGAGCTCTTCTGTGTGTATTTTGAGCGGCACTACGTTAAGCCATTCCAAATGCGGCCACCGTTTTCTAGAAATTAAAGAAAAGTTGCTGGTCGCATTGGGAATGGTTAAAGAGGTGATGGTTACTGGGACTTGGTCCGCAACGCTTTTAGCCATTCCAAATGCGACCATAGCTTTCAAGGCGTCTAGGAGAAGTTGATAGTCGCATTGGGAATGGTTAAAGAGGTCATGGGCCTTAGACTTGGAACGCAGCGCAACCGCAACGCTTTTAGCCATTCCAAATGCGACCACTGCTGACAAAACGTCTAGGAGAAATTGATAGTCGCATTGGGAATGGTCAGAGAGGGGCTAATGTCTTTAAACTGGACCGCAGCGCGACCGCAACGTGTTTAGCCATTGCAAATGCGACCATAGCTTACAAAGCGTGGAAGAGGTGTCGGTTGCATTGGGAATGGTTAGAGAGGTGCCTCCAACTTGGACAGCAACACTTTTAGACATTCCAAATGCGACCGGAGCGTATCAAGTCGGAGAAATTTGAAAATTCATGAAATTTGTTCAGGAAAACGAGTGCTCCTGCCTGGTTGGCTACACCGGAGAACGATGTGAAATGTGCTCGCCTGGATTCGTGAGAGATGGAAGTTACTGCGTTCCCGAGGTTTGTACTGATTTAATCGATTTTTGCCCTTTTTGGGCTCAATAAGCCTTTGTGCTTAAAATCCCGAAAAAATTCAAAATATCAAGGTTCAGAAGGTTTAGGAAGCACCATAAACCAAAAAAATAAAAAACTTCTAAAAAAGCTCATCCCGACTTCTAAGCCCTCTTTCCGCATGTTCAAGTCTCCGTTTACAGCCACGCCGACATTCTGCGATTTTCCAGGTGTCCGAGTCGTCGTTGCTGGCTCACACGGGCTCGCTGACGTCACGGCCGTTCGCCTGGCCGATCGTCCTGATGGGCTGCGCCGCCGCCTTGGCTTTCGTCGTTCTCGCCTTGACGGTCGTCTTCGCCGTCCGCAAGTGGAGCTCCAAGCCGTCCCGAGTCAACTCCGTCCAGGGCGATCCGGAGGGCGGCACTGACGTCTGAGAGAATCTTCTCAGAGTAGATCCACAGTTTCCATTTTATTTGCTTTGTTTGTCTTTTGTAATCTCAGAAGAATCAGAATAAGACAAATCGAGATCTACTTATTATCTTCCAAAAGGTGCACCTCTAGACCTTCTTAAAGCCTTACAGTAGCCTACAGTAACCTCAGAAATAGATAGCGCCGTCCAGGGCGATCCGGAAGGCGTTACTATTATCTAAGAAGGCTCTTATTATTATTAGGTCCTGAGCTTTAGTCACAGTATCATGCTCTTGCGAAGTTGCCTACCGTAACCTACAGTAACTTTAAGAAAACCACATTCATCAAAAGCGATCTAGGTAATAACACTAATCATTAAAAGGACCCAGGGTTAGAGCATCACCTTGTGAAAATCTTAGGTTTTTTTAAGGTGTTACTGTAGCCTACTGTAATTTCCAAAGCCTCTCTGGGAATTCATTAACAATGGCAGTCCTCCTAGCTGCCATCTCTATTTTTGTGTAAATCCTTATTTTTAAGGTCTTACTGTCGCCTACCGTAATAACTTGAGCGATTCGCCTTCTTTTTATTCACTTTCCACTGTCCTAGCCCTCTCAAAGTCATACTGTTGTCTACCGTAACCTCAGAGAAGTCAAAACTGTTTCAATTTAGCTCTTTTTTGGCCCTGTGTCTTTTCCCGACTGCTCCCAACTCCTTTTTTATCATTTTATCTATTTTTTTCTCATTCTGGTCTCTTTTTTGTATATATTCGAAAAAAAAATCCTCATTTTTTATGTTTCGAAACTCGGCTTTACTTGCCCCCAATCGTTTCGTTTTTTTGAAACTTTTTTCATACTGGTATTTCTCATTCAACTTTTTTTCAGTTTGAAGTATTTATTATTCAATAAAATATATATTTATCGGTTTTTTTCAAGCTGAGAAGTTGTAAAAAGCGATTCAGAAATGATTTATATTTTTTTACAGATTGTTATTAAAAAAATTTGAGAATGTATAGGTGCCCGCCAGGTATCCAACAGTCCCAAGGCTTTCGAATAAAGTTGAGTTAGTTTTTTTCGGATCCTTTGATAGACAAACACGGCATTTTTTTATTAGTGGAAGAAAATGCAAAACCGAAAATTAAGGGGGCGTGGTCAAAACCTTCGCCGTTCCCATCTGACGTCATGGGAAAAAAACGCGTAAACAACGGAATATTAAAGGCGCATCAATGGTTCATGAGACGAATTTATTTCTTCTTTGAAAAAAAAATTTTTTTCTGATTCATTTTTAACACGTCGTGTTAAAGTTATTCCGCGAAATTCAAAATAGCCACCGAAAAGTGAAAAAAATAAAAAAATGATTTTTCAGAAAAAAATTTAGATATATATTTAAATTTCTTTGAGCGCCGCGGTGCATGCACACAACACACTACACTTTACGGAAAAAATGGGTGCGTTCAAAAAAACGCCGTGCGAAATCAGTTTTTCCACATGTTATGATTCAATCAGCCAGTATCGATACAAAAATTTTATTTGGACGAGGCCAGAAGGAAAAAGAAAAGGGTCTTGTGCGTTGAAAGGTTCGACCAACGGCTCAATGAGAACTCTCCTGTAAAATATTTTTGAAGGAACTTTTTGGTCCACGAAGATTTTCTATTTTTTGCTGGATAAGAAAATAAGTTAAAGATTTTTGGTGCTAATCGTTTGAATTAAAAACGAGCACAATTATATACTAACTGGAATTATCGGTGGAAAAAAATATATTTGACGCAAAAAGAGAGAAAAATGCAATTTCGTATCCACTGTTAATAAAAAAAAAACATTAGGATGTTTTTAGGATGTCCAAACCAAAAAAAAAAGAAAAAGATTTTTTAGCTTTTATTTTGTCGGCTTTTATTTTAATGCGCGACTGAAGAAAAGAATAGTTTTGGTCTATTAGAGACTCCTTGAACCAACTAAAAAAAAAAGAAAAATAATTTTGTTCCTGTTCCCAAAACAAGGTCCTCACCAATCTCACAACTTTCCATTTTTGACTTTCTGCTATTTTATCATGATCTGGAAAAGAAAAAAAGTACAATGGGACTTACAGCTCGTTTATCCAAAGCGGCAGCTAACCAAGGAGGCAAATCACGAGGCAGTGTCTCCGACCGGATCTTTAGGAAAAATTTGACGATCTCGCGACGGACATACTTCACTTTTCTTTCATATTCCTCGTCTATCTGCTTAAATGTCAACTCTTACTAATGAACTTGATGAATACCGGAAGATCAAAAAGTTCAATAAACTTCCGTCTAGGGCTGTCGGAAGAGACGTCAGCTTTCTCCAAGTTTTGGAGATCAGATGCAATTTTCGCGGCAGAGTCATCTTCGGCGTCGTCGGGGCTGGCGATGATGGTGGCCACCAAACCCAAGAGCAGAATGCCGATTGAAGCCTTCATTTCGATGACTAAATTGATCAAATGAGTTTATTCTTCTCCTTTTATACAATCCCCAAACGTTATCTTCACGTTCCTTTGATTTTTCTACGTTCTGTTCTTTTATTCCTCGTGCAAATCAAAATTCCTTCCACATCTATCAACGACAATGAATGTTTTGAGTTTTCCAGCTCATTTCTCAGTTTTTATTTCAAAAGAATCGAAAAGATTAATAATCACTTCAACCTTTAAAAAATCAATCCTCGATGACGAAGAATATCGACTTTACTGGATTACTGTATGTTTCAGCACTGCATACACAAGATTGCACCGAAAACATCTCAAAAGGCGACAGCTGCTGATCCTAAAAAATTTTCACATTTTTTCCAAAAAGTTCCACTTTCCAGTTGGTTTTTTTGCGTTATAATGCCGTGTTCAAAGTAATTTCCGCGAAATGCAAAATGATCTCTGACTCTCCAAAATTTAGTGATCTTTTCTTTTCTCTAACGGGTATTTCGCATTTCGCGGAAATTACTTTGAACACGGCATAATTTTAATCAATCTATTTATATATTTTTTTCATGAATTTATAGTTAAACAGGCTCTTTTTCATTTTTTTATTATCTTATTGGACGTTGCTTTAGAAAGTTCTCGTTTACTAAATATTTTCAATCACGATTTCAGTCAAGTCCCATCAATTATTGAGAAGAATAAGTGTTTCATAAATTTTACATTCAGCTACTTTTTCCCTAGCAATCGGTTTTTTTAAACGGTGAGTTCGTCATTTTTCCTTTTTCGCATTGTTCTTTTTTTCTAATTTTTCAATTCTAATTCACTTTCGTATTTTTTTGAACGTTATGGAATGTTTTTACTTGTTGCAGACCACAAAGTTCTCTCTTATAACCATTTATTGTTGCTATTTTGTACTTATCTCGACGAAACGGATCAAATAATTATAAATTAATGCTAAAAAAAAATCATAAATTTCGGTAACGTCGGTCCATTCAAGAAATTATTTCACGTTAATTTTTGATGATGTTTTAGATCTCCACAGCTTTGAAATCGTTTCGCAATCTTCGTGCATCGCTGTTTCCGCTCATTTCTTCACTTCATTTAATGATATTATACTTTCAGATGACTTCACGGCCCTTAGACGATTATTTGGAAAAGGCAAAGCTGCGCAATAGAAAAAAATTGTCAGGAAAACGTTGAAAGTTAGGAACAATTTTTCGAGGCCTATCGATCGCATATTTATCGAAATAGAGATAAGTTCCTTATTTGATTTATGTTAAATATCTGGAAACTCAAAGCGACACCTGGACAAAAATGAGCGATGTTGTGGCTCCTCGACAATGTACATAAACTGAAATACAAAAAAGAGCCTCGAAGAAATATAGACGAAGGTAATTCAATTTTTTTGATATAACGCGGAGAGCCCAAATTTTTTTGCTTTTCGATTTCAAAAAAATAAAAATGCAGAGTTCATGTTTTTTTAATTGAATAAGAAATTAAAATTAAGAAAGTTTAAGACGATTGCTATCTTATCAGTTTATCTATTTTTAATTAATTGTTAAAAAATAGATTCCCGCCATGTATTCAACAAACCCAAGGCTTTCGAATGAAGTAAAGTCAGTTGTTTTTTTGATCATTTGATAGAGAAAATCTGTTTTTTCCACTAGTTTCACTAAATTATGATTCAATCAACCAGTATCGATACAAAGTTTTATTTGGTGGTCACCAGAAAAAAACAAGAAAAGGGTCCTGTGCGTTGGGAAATTGAAGTCGTCCAACTGTTCAATCAGAACTCTCCTGTAAACATTTTTTTTAAGGAAATTTTTTTGATCCATGAAGAATTTTTTTAGGTTTCGCTAAATGGGAAAAAGTTATGAAATGGATTTTGGCCTTTTATTTCGCGCTAATCATTTGAATTAAGACAAGCATAATTAGATACTGACTCAAGTTAAAACCTACATCAGACGCGAAATAGAGAGGAGAATACAAAGTTTGAGAACTGATTATCGTATCCAATCCAAATCCAAAAAAAATAAGATTAGGGCATCCAAACAAAAAAAGAGAGAAACATATTTTTCCAGGCTTTTTTTCATATTCTTATAGTGCGCGAATGAAGAAAAGCGTAGTTTTGATCTATTTGAGACTTCATCGACAGAATCAACTGAATAAAACAAGAGGCGGGAAATTTTGTTTCTGTTCCTAAATCAAGTTCCTCATCAATCTCACCCGAGGAACATTACATTTTTAACTAACTGATATTTTATCATGCACTGAACTGAAAAAAGGAAAGATGAAATGGAGCTTACATCATGCTTGTCCAGAGCGAGAGCAAACCAAGAAGGGAATCCACCAGGCGGGGATTTTCGCTGGATCTCTAAGAAAAACTTGACGAACTCTTGACGGACAGTGTTCTCGTCAAGCTTGTAGGCCATTAACTCGGCAGGAATGCCCTTGAGCTGATAAAATGAAACGCTCCATAATCATTTTTACCGGAAAAAACTTCCGTCTAGAGCTATCGGAAGAGACGTCAGCTTTCTCCAAGTTTTGGAGATCAGATGCAATTTTCGCGGCAGAGTCATCTTCGGCGTCGTCGGGGCTGGCGATGATGATGGCCACCAAACCCAAGAGCAGAATGACGATTGAAGCCTTCATTTCGATGACTAAATTGATCAAATGAGTTCATTCTTCTCCTTTTATACACTCCCCAAACGTTATCTTCACGTTCCTTTGACTTTCCTCCGTCCTGTTCTTTTATTTTCCGTGAAAATTTATTTTTTGTGTTTTTGACATCTATCAACACCCGAATGACTTCTTGGTCATATCATTCTTGGTCATATATTTTTAGTTGATTTCGCGGCTCTTCAACGAAAAGGCAGAGCTGGGCAATTAAAAGAAAAAAAAAATTTGAAGAAAAAGTTGAAAGGTTCGAATAATTTTTTGATGCCGATCGATCGCATAGTCTCTCCGTAAACATCGAGATTTTTTAGATATGATTTAAGATAAGTTTCTTATTTAATAACAATAATAATGAAAATAGTTGATTCACTGCCATTATTTACCAGTAGAAAATATAAAAAAAGATAAGTGATCGGTCTGAATGGAAAGAAAAAGCTGACACTACAGCGAATGAATACTTTCCGACTAAAGAGACGGAGAGAAGATTCGAGTTTGAATGTTTCGATGAAGATAAGTTCCTTATTTAATTCATGTTGAATGAGTTCGGAATTTTTAGTAAGCTCAAATCGACACCTAGACGAAACTAAACGAGATAGCGGCTTCTCGAAATCGTACGAACTCGAAGTAGACGTCTTTTTTTCTTGTTCATATTTAGGGTCCGCAAGCCATTTCTTCAAAACGATCCAAAAAAAATATGTTTTTTTCACACTGTTCGATAGAGGAGACTGTCCATTTTTTATAAACCGTTCAGTTTTTAGAAAAAAAGCTCCACTAAGAAAAAAAGTTATGGCCAAAAACTAGCGCGCGCGGCGTTCAACTGGAGGCAAAAATCTCACGGTTTACCCGCTGCCGCACGCTTTCTTTTTAAATGTTTTTTTGCGCAATTCTGAACCGTTTTCGAATCGGTTTTTTTGTTCTGAGAGGTTGTCCGAACTGAGCTTAACGTTTTGGCATAAATCTTTTGTACAATCCTGATAAAAATTTTTTTGATAAAATTTCAAAAAAACTACCTAGAAAAAAAGGTCAAAAAAAGATTTTTTTCAGCTTATTTTTTTCTTTTTTTCTACTCAGAAATTATTATCATTCGATTTGGAGAAAAAGAAAAATGAAAAAAACATTGTTATTTCGAAATAAAACAAGAATAAGTGCAATTTGACTCCGAAAAAAACGGCTCCTGCAACATTTAAAAATGGCGCATCGGTGGGTTTGACGCAAACACTGCTACGGACACTTACACGAAATCTTCCGAAATTTCAAAAGCCATTTTTTTCGAGGTTTTCAAAGCCGTTATTTTTTTCGCGTCGTTTGATTTTTTTCATAATTCTTTTCATTGATAGAGTTTTTGAACGCTTAATAACATAATCAAAAAAATATAGACGCGATCCTATTCTCTCATGCGTCAACGAGGCAGGCGAAAAAAGGAGGTTTTGGTAAAATCCAAATATAATTTGATTCACTGTCCCAATAATTATTTTCATTTTGAATTTTTGTTTGTGAGCACATTGTGAGTTTTTAAATCAAATAAAAAGTATACCATGTCGCTGAAATTTTTTCGCATTTCAGCTTCAAAGTTTGGTGTCACTTTACAAGCTTTAATATTTTTTTCGCGTCGGTAGATTTTTTTCATTTTCACTCAAAAAATAAAGAAAGTGTTAATGTATAACATACTTAAAATTTAGAAGCGTTCCTCACTTGGTTTTTCAGAAACGCGACGATTTTTGTCAAACTTGTCAGTTTTTTTCGTGTTAAATCTTACTTTTTTTCGCTTATTTTTTTGAAAAAAATACATAGTTTTTAAAAAAATATTCAGTCTTGTAGAGCGTTGTCGATTACATAGATTAACAGACAGTTTATTTTTTTAAAGTGGAACTTTAGCTAGTATAAACGCCTCAAAACGGTTTTTTTGCAACAAAAATCGTCATTTTGGCGGCGTGAAGGGGCGGGGCTTTGCGCCCCCTATATATATTCGAAAAAACAGCTGAAATCCACATTTTCTTCACTTCTTTCGAAACTTTTGTTGTTGAATGAAATATATATATTTCTGGGTGTTTAAAAAACGAGAAGTTGGTAAAAAATAGCTTCCCGCCATTTATTTCACAGTTTAACATTTTACAGTTTTACAAAAGCAACTCACTTGACTTGATTAGGAAACCTTCAAACTTTTAAGGTTGCCTAATCAAGACAAGTGAGGTGTTTTTGGATCCTTTGATAGACAAAATCGTTTTTTTCCGCCAGTTCCTCTAAATTAGGATTCAATCAACCAGTATCGATACACAAGTTTTATTTGGTGGTCACCAGAAAAACAAGAAAAAGGGTCCTGTGCGTTGGGAAATTGAAGTCGTCCAACTGTTCAATCAGAACTCTCCTGTAAACATTTTTTTTAAGGAAATTTTTGATCCATGAAGAATTTTTAGGTTTCGCTAAATGGGAAAAAGTTATGAAATGGATTTTGGCCTTTTATTTCGCGCTAATCATTTGAATTAAGACAAGCATAATTAGATACTGACTCAAGTTAAAACCAATGAGCGATGTTGTGGCTCCTCGACAATGTACATAAACTGAAATACAAAAAAAGAGCCTCGAAGAAATATAGACGAAGGTAATTCAATTTTTTTGATACAACGCGGAGAGCCCAAATTTTTTTGCTTTTTCGATTTCAAAAAAATAAAAATGCAGAGTTCATGTTTTTTTAATTGAATAAGAAATTAAAAATTAAGAAAGTTTAAGACGATTGCTATCTTATCAGTTTATCTATTTTTTTAATTAATTGTTAAAAAAATAGATTCCCGCCATGTATTCAACAAACCCAAGGCTTTCGAATGAAGTAAAGTCAGTTGTTTTTTTGATCATTTGATAGAGAAAAATCTGTTTTTTTCCACTAGTTTCACTAAATTATGATTCAATCAACCAGTATCGATACAAAGTTTTTATTTGGTGGTCACCAGAAAAAAACAAGAAAAAGGGTCCTGTGCGTTGGGAAATTGAAGTCGTCCAACTGTTCAATCAGAACTCTCCTGTAAACATTTTTTTAAGGAAATTTTTTTGATCCATGAAGAATTTTTTTAGGTTTCGCTAAATGGGAAAAAAAGTTATGAAATGGATTTTTGGCCTTTTATTTCGCGCTAATCATTTGAATTAAGACAAGCATAATTAGATACTGACTCAAGTTAAAACCTACATCAGACGCGAAATAGAGAGGAGAATACAAAGTTTGAGAACTGATTATCGTATCCAATCCAAATCCAAAAATAAGATTAGGGCATCCAAACAAAAAAAAAAAGAGAGAAACATATTTTCCAGGCTTTTTTTTTCATATTCTTATAGTGCGCGAATGAAGAAAAAAGCGTAGTTTTTGATCTATTTGAGACTTCATCGACAGAATCAACTGAATAAAACAAGAGGCGGGAAATTTTGTTTCTGTTCCTAAATCAAGTTCCTCATCAATCTCACCCGAGGAACATTACATTTTTAACTAACTGATATTTTATCATGCACTGAACTGAAAAAAGGAAAGATGAAATGGAGCTTACATCATGCTTGTCCAGAGCGAGAGCAAACCAAGAAGGGAATCCACCAGGCGGGGATTTTCGCTGGATCTCTAAGAAAAACTTGACGAACTCTTGACGGACAGTGTTCTCGTCAAGCTTGTAGGCCATTAACTCGGCAGGAATGCCCTTGAGCTGATAAAATGAAACGCTCCATAATCATTTTTACCGGAAAAAACTTCCGTCTAGAGCTATCGGAAGAGACGTCAGCTTTCTCCAAGTTTTGGAGATCAGATGCAATTTTCGCGGCAGAGTCATCTTCGGCGTCGTCGGGGCTGGCGATGATGATGGCCACCAAACCCAAGAGCAGAATGACGATTGAAGCCTTCATTTCGATGACTAAATTGATCAAATGAGTTCATTCTTCTCCTTTTATACACTCCCCAAACGTTATCTTCACGTTCCTTTGACTTTCCTCCGTCCTGTTCTTTTTTATTTTTCCGTGAAAATTTATTTTTTTGTGTTTTTTTGACATCTATCAACACCCGAATGACTTCTTGGTCATATCATTCGTCATATTTTTTTAGTTGATTTCGCGGCTCTTCAACGAAAAAGGCAGAGCTGGGCAATTAAAAAGAAAAAAATTTGAAGAAAAAAAGTTGAAAGGTTCGAATAATTTTTTTGATGCCGATCGATCGCATAGTCTCTCCGTAAACATCGAGATTTTTTTAGATATGATTTAAGATAAGTTTCTTATTTAATAACAATAATAATGAAAATAGTTGATTCACTGCCATTATTTACCAGTAGAAAATATAAAAAAAGATAAGTGATCGGTCTGAATGGAAAGAAAAGCTGACACTACAGCGAATGAATACTTTCCGACTAAAGAGACGGAGAGAAGATTCGAGTTTGAATGTTTCGATGAAGATAAGTTCCTTATTTAATTCATGTTGAATGAGTTCGGAATTTTAGTAAGCTCAAATCGACACCTAGACGAAACTAAACGAGATAGCGGCTTCTCGAAATCGTACGAACTCGAAGTAGACGTCTTTTTTCTTGTTCATATTTAGGGTCCGCAAGCCATTTCTTCAAAACGATCCAAAAAATATGTTTTTCACACTGTTCGATAGAGGAGACTGTCCATTTTTATAAACCGTTCAGTTTTAGAAAAAAGCTCCACTAAGAAAAAAGTTATGGCCAAAAAACTAGCGCGCGCGGCGTTCAACTGGAGGCAAAATCTCACGGTTTACCCGCTGCCGCACGCTTTCTTTTTAAATGTTTTTGCGCAATTCTGAACCGTTTTCGAATCGGTTTTTTGTTCTGAGAGGTTGTCCGAACTGAGCTTAACGTTTTGGCATAAATCTTTTTGTACAATCCTGATAAAAAAATTTTTTTGATAAAATTTCAAAAAAACTACCTAGAAAAAAAGGTCAAAAAGATTTTTTTCAGCTTATTTTTTTCTTTTTTTCTACTCAGAAATTATTATCATTCGATTTGGAGAAAAGAAAAAAAAAAAAAACATTGTTATTTCGAAATAAAAACAAGAATAAGTGCAATTTGACTCCGAAAAAAACGGCTCCTGCAACATTTAAAATGGCGCATCGGTGGGTTTGACGCAAACACTGCTACGGACACTTACACGAAATCTTCCGAAATTTCAAAAAAAAAAGCCATTTTTTCGAGGTTTTCAAAGCCGTTATTTTTTTCGCGTCGTTTGATTTTTTTCATAATTCTTTCATTGATAGAGTTTTGAACGCTTAATAACATAATCAAAAATATAGACGCGATCCTATTCTCTCATGCGTCAACGAGGCAGGCGAAAAAAGGAGGTTTTGGTAAAATCCAAATATAATTTGATTCACTGTCCCAATAATTATTTTCATTTTGAATTTTCGTTTGTGAGCACATTGTGAGTTTTTAAATCAAATAAAAAGTATACCATGTCGCTGAAATTTTTTCCCATTTCAGCTTCAAAGTTTGGTGTCACTTTACAAGCTTTAATATTTTTTTTCGCGTCGGTAGATTTTTTTCATTTTCACTCAAAAAATAAAGAAAGTGTTAATGTATAACATACTTAAAATTTAGAAGCGTTCCTCACTTGGTTTTCAGAAACGCGACGATTTTGTCAAACTTGTCAGTTTTTTTCGTGTTAAATCTTACTTTTTTTCGCTTATTTTTTTGAAAAAAATACATAGTTTTTAAAAAAATATTCAGTCTTGTAGAGCGTTGTCGATTACATAGATTAACAGACAGTTTATTTTTAAAGTGGAACTTTAGCTAGTATAAACGCCTCAAAACGGTTTTTGCAACAAAAAAATCGTCATTTTGGCGGCGTGAAGGGGCGGGGCTTTGCGCCCCCTATATATATTCGAAAAAACAGCTGAAATCCACATTTTCTTCACTTCTTTCGAAACTTTTGTTGTTGAATGAAATATATATATTTCTGGGTGTTTAAAAAACGAGAAGTTGGTAAAAAATAGCTTCCCGCCATTTATTTCACAGTTTAACATTTTACAGTTTTACAAAAGCAACTCACTTGACTTGATTAGGAAACCTTCAAACTTTTAAGGTTGCCTAATCAAGACAAGTGAGGTGTTTTTGGATCCTTTGATAGACAAAATCGTTTTTTTCCGCCAGTTCCTCTAAATTAGGATTCAATCAACCAGTATCGATACACAAGTTTTATTTGGTTGACGCCAGAAAAAAAAGAAGTGGGTCACGTGGGTTGAGATGTTGGAGTGGACCAACTTCAATGAGCCTGCAAGCACAACTATATACTCAATCAAAATTTCGAAGCAAAAGAAATAGTTAATGATATACACAGTTTGAGAATTCGATAAGAGTATCCAATTAGAATCCAAGAAAAAAAAATTAGAGTATCCAAACCAAAAAAAAAAGAAAACAATTTTTCAGGCTTTTTGTTTTTGTCGGCTTATAATGCGCGAATTAAGAAAAGCGTAGTTTTGGTCTACTTGAGACTGGAAGATTGGATGGTACTTACAACGTCCACGTCCGAAGCGGCCTTAAACCAAGAAGGAATTTCATCGGGCGGGGTCTCCTGCTGGATCTCTTTTAATAACTTGACGATCTCCTCACGGATAATTTTCGCGTCCTCTTTCTTCGGATCTCGACGTATCGGATGGAACTTGTTTTAATCAAATGATAAATTTCAAAGAATACTATTACCACCATTGACTTCCGTCTAAAGCTATCGGAAGAGACGTCAGCTTTCTCCAAGTTTGGGAGATCGGATGCGATTTTCGTGGCAGAGTCATCTTCGGCGTCGTCGGGGCTGGCGATGATGGTGGCCACCAAACCCAAGAGCAGAATGCCGATTGAAGCCTTCATTTCGATGACTAAATTGACCAAATGGGTTCATTCTTCTCCTTTTATACAATCCTCAAACGTTATCTTCACGTTACTTCGATTTTTCTCCGTCTTTTCCTTTTATTATCCGTGAAAATCAAAATTTCTTCCACATCTATCGACGCAAAATGAATATTTGGAGTTTTCCAGCTTATCTCTTTCAAAAGAATCGAAAAGATGAATAATCAATTCAAACTCCAAAAACTCATTTCTCGATGACGAAGAATATCGTCTTTACTGTTGCAGATGATTTTCATATTTATTTTGCGTTATATGAGTTTGGAACTTTCAGGAAATCTCGTTGACGTCTTCGAAAAGGCAGAATGGGGATGAAACGCGACATCAACGACGTTGAATGATCTTTAAAATTGGAACTGGACGATTTGAAACTGAAATTATTGCTGAAATGTCCATTCTGATCTATTTCTAGACATTGATTCCTTGACTGAATGAGATTTGATATTGAATAAAACGCCAAACTTTCGAAATTTCTTGCTTATTTTATTGCAATTGATAAAGAATTTTCTCATTGACACAATTAAAAAGGAAACTGAGAATTTCATTTTCCTGCTTTTCACATCAGTCGAAAGAAAAGGACGTCAGAAGTCCGAAATTCGAGGTCAGAAAGTTCTTAGACGTCTAGGAATAAAGTTATGAATTTTTTAAGTTTTCAAAAAATCATAACTCGATTTCTAGGAGGTTGGGAACTTAGAAACTCAGTTTTTCCTGATCCTTGTGATCTCCTCTATCAATTGATACCAATTTCGAGCAATTCCAGATTTTTCGATCTCCAAGTTTGATCGCCCCTAACTATGTTCCTAGTTGACCTACGGAGGTCAAACCTGGCCGCCGGTTATTTTTTCGTCGAGATCTATCGATTGATATAGAATTCGTCCGGATCGGCTTCCATGACCTCAGAAGCTCAAAAAAAAGCTAAGGGGTTAGACTGTACTTTTTTCGATTTTCCCGAAAACCAAAGTTTCCGAGGTTTTTACATCAATCGATAGGAAATGACGTCAGAGGTCCGAAAATCTAGGTCAAACAGTTCTTCGACTCATATTAATAAAGTTATGATTCTTCTAAGTTTTCAAAAAATCATAACTTGATTTCTAGGAGGTTAGGAACTTAGAGACCCAGTTTTCCCCGATCTCGTTGATCCCCTCTATCGATTGATACCAAAATCAAGCAATTTCAGATTTTTCAATCTTCTAGTTTGATCGCCTCTAACTACGTTCCTAGTTGACCTACGGAGGTCAAACCTGGTCGCCGGTTATTTTTTCGACGAGATCTATCGATTGATATAGGTTTCGTCCGGATCGGCTTCCATGACCGCAGAAGCTCAAAAAAAACTGAAGGGGTTTTTTTGTACTGTACTTTTTTCCATTTTCCCGAAAACCAAAGTTTCCGAGATTTTTACATAAATCGATAGGAAATGACGTCAGAAGTTCGAAAATACAGGTCAGAAAGTTCTCAGACGTCTAGGAATAAAGTTATGAATTTTCTAAGTTTTCAAAAAATCATAACTCGATTTCTAGGAGGTTAGGAACTTGGAAAAGTGTTTTTTCTCATTTCCTTGATCTCCGCTACCGATTTCTTCAATCACACAGACGAATCCGAAGCTTCTGGATGAAGTTTGTTCTCCTGATAAACTACATCAATAAAAAGCTGACATCGAGAAGAATCGATTGATATAATTCTATAAGCTGTAGCTGCTCTGAGAGCCGAGATATGAGCCTTCAAACTTTTTCATGAAAAATGAATTTGCGCGTCAGATCAAATAAGTTGTCTGAAGTTGCGCGGGGGGTCAAGTGCTCGTCTGAGGCTCTCATCGGTGTGGTTTCCTCGCGGAAAAGGAAAAGCTCAAAAAAAAGTTGGTCTTTTACAAGTTTTTTCTAGCGTAAACGATAGAGAAGCTTCTATATGGTACTGTTATCATATCAGTTTCGAGAAAAAGGTCAAAAACGAGGTTAAAAATGAGTCCGAAAAATAACACTTTTTTCGACTTTCAAGCTTCATAACTCTGTTCATTTTGAAGTTACAGTGAAACAGATTATATTGATCGATGCGTCTCGATATCAGCTTCCGAATGATATAGGTTATCACGAGATTAAGCTTCATCCAGAAGCTTCAGACTCGCCTCAGCTTGTAATTTGACTTTAATTGGACTATGTTTGACTCTATTTAGAGTGAAATATATCCTTGTGTTTGTCTCGAGGCACTATATTGATCGATTGTGATACCAACCGGTTTAGAGCGAAAGCTGGGATGTAAGCTGGAAAAGTGGGTGACGTCATCCATTTTGGTCGTAGCTCTCGAAGTTTTATATCATTGGGAAGCTGATAATGTGACGAACTGATTGATATAATCAGTTCCGCTGTAACTTAAAAATGAACAGAGTTATGAAGCTTTAAAGCCCAAAAAGTGCCATTTTTTCGACTTTTTTCAACCCCATTATAAAGCTTTTTGCTCGAAACTGATATGATAACGTTACTATGTAGAAGCTGCTCTATCGAATACACTAGAAAAAACTTGAAAAAGACCAACTTTTTTTTGAGCTTTTCCTTTTTCGCGAAGAAACCACACCGATGAGAGCCTCAGACTGACACTTGACCCTGCGCGCAGCTTCACACAACATATTCGACCTGACGCGCAATTTTTTTTTTAAAGACACACTTTGAAGGCTTATATCTCGGCTCTCAGAGCAGCTACAGCTTATCGAGTTATATCAATCGATTCGTCTTGATGGCAGCTCTCGAATGGTATAGGTCATTACAAGATCAAGCTTCACTCAAAAGTTTCAGACTCGCCTCAGCTTGCCACTCGACTTTCTGATAAGTTATCCGTGATTGAGATATATCAGTGGATCTGTTTCCGGACGCTCTACCGATTGATCATGATTTCTTCCTGATTAAGGGAGAAGCTGAGTTGTAAGCTTAAAAAGTCTATGACGTCATCCAATTTGTTAAAACTCTTGAAAAGTCCTGTATCATTGGGAAGCCCTCTTGGAGCTGTTTCTCTTCGGTTAATTTTTGACGCTATTGATAATAAATTAATCAAGCTTGCAAGAACTTGATTTTTTTCAAATAATCGACAAAATATAAAAAAAAACTTTATTTGAATAGACATCAAATAAAATGGTTGTCGTGTCGAACAGGGATGCAATTGAAGGCTTCGTGGTTTTCGCGAAGCCCTGAAACGCTTGTGTTTTTGTTAAAATAAGCCATTTTCGAGCTTTTCACGAGAATTTTACATTTTTGCTCAACGCCTTTTGAAAAAGTTCGGAGTAAAATAAAAAATCAACCTTTCGATCACATTTCTTGGTCCCCATCGAAGTGTTTGGCTACTTCAATGTCCTCTCCTTGGGCCTCCCTGAAACAGGATTTTATTTTAGAAGGGATTTTTTTTTCAAAAGTTTTCTGGAAATAGTTCAAGTTATGCCATCTTATAGAGCTTCTCATGGTGTGCCAAAAAATCCACTGAAACTCGGATGAGTGCTTTTTTGAAGATATCAAGAATCATTTTTCAAGAAAATTTTTGAACTCGCCATTTTTCTAGCAAAGTTGCTCCATGGACAAAAGCTTCAAAGAAGAGCAAATTTTTTTTTCAAAGGCGGAAAAGCACAAAAATGGCAAAAATATCCATAGGAGAATCGAAATTTGCCAAAAAAGTCGTTAAAGGGTCCAAAATGGGGTAAAAACCCTTAGAAAATGCGAATTCGGCGAAAATTTCGTCTTAAGCACAACAATATGGCAAAAAAAACCTGAGAGGTCCAAAATTAGGCTCAAATTTGGTTTAAAGCTTCGCAACTCGGCAAAAACTTTGTTAAAAGACCGGAAATTCGGCAAAAAATTCATTTTTTATGGCAAAAATATTCATAAAGGTCCGAAAACATGGCGGAAATGTCGTTAAAAGCTCCAAAGTAGCAAAAAAAAACCTTTAGAAGATGCAAATTCGGCAAAAATTTCATTGAAAGTGCCAAAATATTGTTTAAAAGAACCGTATAAGATTGAAATACGGCAAAATGTGGTTGTAAGCTCCAAAATATGGCGAAAATATCCTCACAAGGTTCAAAATTTAGCAAAAATTTCTTTAAAAGCTTCAAAACATTGAAAAAATACTCGTAAAATACCCGAAATTCGGCAAATAAAAAAAATCGCATTTTGACGTTTTCCACATCAAAAACATTTTGTGAACAGTTTTTCAGAAGCTTTGAAAAAAAAATAAAATCTCACAGTGGAATCGACTTTCTGTTGGTGTCGGCATACGGTATGTATCTCGGAAAGTCTTTCGGGAGAGATTCCCCGGCGCCGGTTTCGTCCAGATTCGCGGCGACGAGGGCCAAAATAACCAGGAGCAGAGCGAGGAAGAACGATGTTTTCATCGAGCAGAAAATTATGTCGAATCGGTTCGTTGTCGTCCTTTTTATATCATTCTGAACTGGAGCATCACGTCACGTTCACTTGGAATAAATTTTCCGGAGAGATGAAAAAATTTTCTGAATTCGCCCAAATATTTTCTGAATGATTCTATAGACATAGACAACCGAAAATTTGAAACCAATAATTGAAAATTGGCCAGAACACTCCTTGCCGTACCAGAAGAAGATTCTGAAAGTCTTAACCTGCCCAACTTTCTATTTTTCGAGAAAAGACGCCTCCAAGTCAAAGAAAACGTTCAAAATCCACTAAAAAGGGCTATTTTGAGACTTTTTTTCTCGAAAACTAGGAAGTCGTGCAGGTTGGGACTTTCAGAATCTTCTTCTGGTACGGCAAGGAGTGGCCAATTTTCAGGAAAATCCCAACCGCAAAGTAAAATGACCTCCCTTGTAAGGAGGAAGGAATCTAACAGAAAATGTGCAAAAAAAGTTGATTTTTTCAAAAATTTTTCCATCTTAGGAAAATCCAAAAATGAAAAATTGGGAAGAAAAAATTTCCGTGCGCTGAATGGACCAAGTCAGCAATTTGAAAAATGTTTTAAGCTTTCCAAAAAAAAGAAATGTTAGAAAAATTGAATAACTTTTAAAAAAAAACAGAGCTTATTATAGTTAAAGCTTTTGAGAGCCTTCTTATAAAATCATTGACCATTTTTGTAAAGAAATATTATCAAAATCCATTTTTCAAACTTTCTCGAAAAAAAGACTGAAAAAAATCAAGTCATTCCTCTCCAATCTAAAAATCACTGAATTTCTCAAAAAAATTTTTTTAAATACATTCAATCATTTTTCATCACTAAACTCTTTGAAAAATTTCCAATCGAAAAATTTTATCATTTATGCAAAAAAAGTAGTCTACAGAATTTTTGATGTCGGTGGTCCTCAATTACTTTTTTTGAAGTCATCTGAAAAAAATATTTATAATTTTAAAAAAATCAAATAAATTCCACCATTTTTCAATCATTTCCTTGAGTTTCTGCAACTCTTTGAGAAGCCTGAGACGCTTCGGTTCATCGATTCGGAAAGCCTAGAATTTGGAAAAAAAGTTCAAAAAGATGAATTTCAAAATTTCAATGGAATATTTTAAAAAAACACCCAAACTTTATAATTTCTTTAAATTTTTGAAAATTATTCGGAAAACGAAGAAGGATGGTACGACAAAATCTCAAGTCCGCAAATTTCGAGGACCGTAATCTTGTGTACGCAGATCTAAAGTCCCATAATCTTGGAAACCAAAAATCTTGGAAAGCAAAAAAATCTTCCTTTTTAGTCTTCTTTATTGCACTTTATCTACTTATATTCTCTTTTTTGGATCACCGAATACAATTTCTGATGAAATCTATTCGCAAAAGCGTTGATTTTTACATTCCAAGATTGTGGTTTCCAAGATTTTGGTTTCCAAGATTATGGGACTTTAGATCTGCGTACACAAGATTACGGTCCTCGAGATTTACGGACTTGGGATTTTGTCGTACCATCCGAAGAAGAGGTTCTAGACTTAAGAATTCCAGAGGGGTCCCAATACTGGCCGAAAAAGTGGTCCCTATAGGTTTCAGATTCTGACCCCTTGGCGCCTAAAGTTCAAGTGAACCCTATAGGGTTCTATATAACAATTATCAAACAGCATGTCCCCCGTAGGGACCACTAACTCAAACCCTCATATGAACCACTTTTGCAAGCGTCAAAGGCCCTTATAGGGGTGGTAAAGGGGTCCCTAGAGGAGACCTTCCAAGGGCCCCTAAGGTTTACCCTATAGGGACCCCTCTGGAGTTTCTAAGAAGTGGTTGTGATTTCTTTCAAAGTACGACTTTTTCAAAAATCTTTTTTTTCGATCTTCTACCGAAATTCGAAAAAACCATCATTCCTAGTTTTGAAGCTCATTTATGCCTTTGAAAAAAATTTCTTGATAAAAAAATTTTTAGAAAATCCTGTAATATTTCTTCAAAAAAATATGAATTCATTTTTTTGCCTTATAGTCGGGGCGTTGTAAAATTCAGCTTTATCAAATCTCATTGAAAAACGTTCTACAAAAATAATAATCAATTTATTCAGAATCTTCGAACTAAAAAGTCCAATTAGTGATCTTTCACAAGAAAAATCGATGAAAAAAACTGCGAAAAAAATCCCTCAAAAACTGAAAAAAATAATTATAAAACTTACTTTTTGGCTGGAAGCTTCCCTTAACAGGTTCGACTGTGACTGTGACCTTAAAATAAAAAAATTAATTTTTATGATGCTTCCTTTTTTTCAAAATTGGAGGGTGTTTTGCTCAAATATAATACTAAAATTAAAAAAATGTTTGTATTCTGATTATTGAGCGAAATTTAACTTTAAAAAAAGTATTTTTCTAAGAATCTTATTCCCCTTGGTTATTCTTTTTTTGCTTATTTATGCGTTTTTGAAACAGAAAGTATCGCACCTAAAAAAATTTCGCTTCAGAATATGTCTCCCTAGAAATTTTTTTGAATAGCCAACGCAATATTATTTCGTACTTATAATGAAATTTTTCTTCAATGCAAGTTTATCAGTACCCTATGGCATACTTGGCGCTAGCTTGTCCTGGCCAAAATACCGTATACTTTTTGAATCCTGGTCTCGAAACGAAAACGCGCAAAAAGCCTTTGTATACTGTAGTTTTTCCTATTTTTTCTTAAGACGAGGCTGATTGACGGTTCCATTAAAAAAAGGTATCGAAAAACGATTATTGATTGAAATCTTATTAAATCTTTCTGAATTCTTCTGTAGTTATGATGACAGTTATTCGAAACACTCGGGTGGAATTTCAGTCCACCAGAAAAAAAAACCGAACTGAAAAGATTTATAGAAAATTGAGTTTCATACAAGAAAGTGGTAAGCAAAAATAATTTTTCTTAAATTTCTTAACGGTAGTGAAGCTGTAGAATTGAGGTCTCGAAGCGAAAAGCGTAAAAAAGCTCTGTGCACTGTAGTTCCACCTACTTTTTAAAAACGTGAGGATAATTAACCGGAGTATGGTGGATTTGCGTATAATTGGATTTTACCAAGAACAAAGATCAAAACTCACATTAGGCTGGACCTTTTCCGGAACTCTGGGGATTTCGAAAGCAACGCCAGAACTTATAATCTTGACGCCAGTGTCCTTGACTTCGAGTTCGACGTCGGTAGAATCGGCGACGAGGAAGATGGCCAGCAAAGCGACTAGTAAAACTCTCATTGATTTTAATAATGAAGGAAATTACTAACCTTCATACTTTTGCAGGTCTCCACGTCCTTCTAGAAAAGTTTAACGGGTTTAAAATAAACTTTCAAAGTTCAAAATTACCGTGAGAGAGTGAAAACGACAACGAAGTTTCAGAAAACCATTGGGAAAATTTTTAGTGGTCACTATAGAGGCACGCTAAGGACTACAAGGAGAGGACACTAAAGTGACCACTAAACCCACCTCTATAGTGGCCACTTCAGTAGTTTTTCATCCAGTATTCCTTTTAGTAACTCTGATAATTCTAAAACAAACAGATTGGACCAGTTATGTTGAACCATTGACCCTTAAAGTGGCCAGTAAGAATTTTAGGGGTCTAGTAGGAGCACTTAGACCTCTAAAGTGGCCACTAATTTTTAACCCCTTCAGTGGCCATTAATTTGACTACTACAGAAGCCACTGAAACTTCAAAACCCTATAGTGGCCACTAAAAATTTTCCCAGTTTAGTACGTTTTTTTTTTCTTGCTTTTTCACTCTCCAAAAGACAGCAAAAAAAGGTCTTGAAGAGAAGTTGGCAAAATTTGACCAATTTTGATATACGCTCTTGTTGGCGGAAAGAAAAACGTAAAAATCTGCGTGGATGGGCTATAGACAATTTTGAATTTTTTGAACACGGTATAAATGAAAAGTGACGTCATCTCCCCTATTGATTGATTGAAATCTTCTCCAAAATGGAGCAAAAATGCTATAAAAATTGGGATGGACCATGACTATCGAACTTTGAATTTTTATAAATACGAAAAATCAAAGAACCGAAAAAAAGATGACAAAGGAAGAATTTTACGGGAGAATAAAATTTTCGCGGGCGAGGTCAAAATTTGATGTAGACTGAAATTTTTTTAATATATGGACTCTGAGAATGTTTTTGAATTTCCCAAAAAAAGAATTTTCAAAAATACTGAAGAAGTTCTAAGAGAAAAAAATGCTTCAAAAATCAAAAAAAGTACATATTTTTGCTAGTAAAAGAATCCATTAAGAAGGCTCTTAAAACATTAAAAAAGCTTCTAAAAAAGCAAAACACCTCATAATTGTCAAAAAATTTTATATTCTCAGATATTTTTGAATCCGAACTTTGTCTACAAAAAATTCCAAGCCAAACTTTTCCTTAAAACCTCCAAAAAACATTTATTTACAGATAAAAACCAGAAAGAGGAATTCAATCGAAGATGGACCATTTCTCAATTTTGCGTTGAGCGTTCTTCACACTTTTCTTCACTTTTTCTTTGAGAGCCTCGAATTTTTCTCGGAAGGTAGGATCCTGAAAACGGAAAATATAGATTTTAACATAAATTCGGAAAAAAGGGCATTTTTTGGAATCTGGTTTTTTCTAAAGCTCTTGGAACCTTCATAGAAAGCCGATTGGGAATTCATCCGAGCTTTATTCAAAAATTCTGCCAGTTTATATTTTTTTAAATTAATGTACTAGGAAGAAGATTTTTTTCAGATAAAGCTCAAAAATAACATAAAAAAATACCTACAGATTTATCTAAACCTCTTCATTTACACGCTATTTCTCTATTTATTTTGAGACGCTCATTTTCGGTCTTCGGTAACGAAAACCGGACGTTTCTGAGCATTTTTAGGGTAACTTAAGAGTGCTAAAGTGGCCACTAGAAATTCTCTGACACGTCCGGGGCGCTCCGGTTACCAAGGTCCGAGTTAATTATGTGTTCAAAGTGATATCGCGATATTTATAAAGACCTCTGACTCTCTAAAGTGTTTAGTATTTTTTCCCTCTCCAACGATGAATGGACTATAGCCAATTTACGGCCATCTTAGGACGCTAAGTGGGCGTGGCCTGTCTGCGCCCTCCATTGACCAGGTGCTGTCTCTTTTCTAATCGTGTCAGGACCCTTTTTTCGATAATTCAAGCCAGCCGTGACTCAGCTATGAAACCCCAGCTCCCTTCGGAGAAAATAAAACCTAACTGAAATGTCTAATCTTTTCATATTTTTTCGGGTCAAATTAACTTAAAACTACAGAGTCATCTAAACCTCTTAATTTCACACGCTATTTCTCTAGTCATTCGGAAGGCGCACGTTCTCTTTCGGTATCTAAAACCGGACGTGCTACGGGCGTCTCTAGGGATCCTTTAAGAGTGCTAACGCTACTAAAGTGAATACTAGAAATATCGCGTCAGGACCCATTTTTCGATGACTCAAGCCCCCCGTGATACATTGATATAAAAAAATAAATAAATAAATAAACCAACATGGGTAGTTTCGCGACGGTTATCGATTGAAGCCTCGTATCGGTCCTTGAGGTAGGCCTTTCTCATATAGGGCGTATCCGAATCTTCGTAGGCCTGGATTACGAGGATCAGAAGGCCCAGGAGCATCAGAATTCGCAGGGAGCCGATCATTTTTCGGTGGTTTTTTGGTTGATGGAAATCGAAATGAACCCAGTGTTTAGACGTCAATGACGTGTTTATTTTTTGGTTTTTGACGTGGTTCTCATCTTTTTTTTGATCTTCAAATCAATAAACAGAGGTTATCAGCTCTTTTTTTTGCAGAGCTTATCAGTTTTATTTTTTTCGAAATCATCTGTTATCATTAAATTGCTCCCTTAGTGGTTCTTCAAATATTTACAAAGCTTTATTTTTATTTTTTTATAATCATACTTACTCTCTGATTCATTTAAAACTTATTATTTGAATATCATCGGATTTTTCACTTTTTTTATTTAAAAGAAGCCGTGAAAACTGGAAGTTCATTTTCATAAAGAAACTAGGATCTGCGATGAGAATTTATCAATTTTTTTTGTTAAAAATTGGAATTTCTTTTCGAGATACAAACTGAAAAGAGATAATATTTGAAAAAATTCGCCAAAATCACTTGAAATTTTTTTGAAAGTAATTTTTAATAACTTAAACTCGGTGGCTCAACTTTGGGGTCAACTGCGCTCCACGGCTAAATTTGTCCAATTTGCTTTTTATCAGCTTCAAAAAAGCAGTAGTTGGCCTAGTTAGTCTCCCGAAAGCCTTTTTGAATTCATTTTTCATCGAGAAAAATTTTATAATATTCAGTGACTAAGGCTATCATTTCAATGACTAGTGCGCTCCACCGCTAAAAACTTCTTTTCCCTTTTTTTCAAATTTCCTCGAACTAAACGCATAAAACTTCATGTCAATAATAATTTACAGAAAAAAGGTCGTTACATTAATTTACAGTTGCTCAAGTTTGCTCTTTAGTGAAGGCAATCGCGTCCCTCTCCGGGGAACTTTCCGGCAAGCTGGATGGTTCCGGCATCATAGATCTTCTTGGCGACCTGAAGAATTAAATAATGTATCAAAATTAGATATATTGAGTGAATATTACCTTTCCGGGGGTGATGTAGCTATCCGGGATCTTGATGGTGAACTTGCGCTGGCAGGGCTGAAAAATCGGTCGAAAATGACAGCTTTTTTGATTTTTCAGATCTCAGATAGAAAATTTCCTTAGTTTCAGCATAAAAAATTTGGCAAAATTCAGGAAAATAATGCTAAAATGAGCAACAAAACTGGTTCAGAAATTACTAATTTTTTCGATTTTTTGAGTTCAAGCTAGAAAATCCTACAGCTCTTGCTCTTGAAAAATTGAAAAAAAGTCTGGAAAATAATGCTAATATGAGCAACAAAAATGGTTCGGAAACGGCTATTTTCTCGATTTTTTGGTACTCCCATGGACAATTACTCATTTTTTGCATTAACTTGAAAAAAAGCCAGAAAAATAATGCTAACATGAGCAACAAGAATCTTTCAAAAATGACTACTTTTCTCGATTTTTTGAGTTTTAGCTAGAAAATCCTACAGCCCTTGCTCTTGAAAAATGAAAAAAATTCTAACATGAGCAACAAAGAGCAATCGTGAGGTGTTTTTAGGAGAAGCATTACATCTTCTGTAAGATTTCAATCGAGAATAATTCATTTTTTTTTTCGACGGGATTTGACTTTTTGGGATTTTTACCGTAAGCTTTTCACCCACCGTAATTTGATTTTTGGAAAATTAAAAAAAATTACCGAGCAAACATTTTCAAAATTTTTTTCCAAGTAAAGTCATGAGATCAAGTGCATCTTTCCCCAAAGCCTTTAAAAAACGATAAAATTACCTTGATACCATCGTTGCAGTCGTGGTAGATGTTGAGTTTGGGGTCGATGGGCGTCGTTTCGTCTTCATGGCCAGAAAGCTCGAATTCGCCGTTGGCGTTGGTCTTTCCAGAAGCCATCAGATCGTCGGCGTCGAGGCCTGACGTTCAAACTGTTCAATTTCGGTCTTTTTAGAATGATGAATCAGAAAATGACTGCCAGAAGCCTCTCAGAAGCCGGCCAGAAGCTTTCCAGCAGGCTTCTGGAAGGCTTCTGGCAGTCATTTTTCATTTTCACCCTCCAAGTACCTTCCAACCTCTTGCCGGTTACCTTCCCAAAGCCTTCTCAGGGTTCGCCTGAGAAAACGCTTTTTTGTAGTTTCATGCCAATTTTCCTACGCGAAGCTTCTGGCTAATTTCTCAGCGCACCCGACCAAAAACTACTTTCGCACAGAAACATAGAGTATAAAAATCTGCTCAAGATCTTCTGCAATATAAAGAAAGGTACCCAAAATTTGATCTCAAGTTTCGTCGGCCAAACTTGGATTTCATGAATTTTAAAGTGTATATTGTGGTTTTAACGCTCTTTTTTTAAAATCCAATTTTTGAATTTTCAAAAAAATCAACGTATATCTTTCATCAGTTGACGTATTTGAACTGGTTAAAAATCTCCCAGAGTGAAAATTTGAAGAAAAACACGATTTCGCTCTTCTAATGCTAACTAGGCTTTATTAAACATCTCTTGATTCCAAAAAATCCTTTTTTTAAATCTAAAGGAACTGGATGTTGAAAATCGGGTATTTCGCGGCCTTTCCTGAATTTCCATTCGTTTTGAATAGATAGGAGAAGCCTTAAAGCTGATTCACGGCTGTCTTGAGCCATCGGAAAAAGGGTCCTGACAAGATAGTGTCTGGCTCGTGGAGAGCTCAGACAGGCCACGCCCCCTTAGCTAGGGACCGCAAAGCCACGCCCCTTTTCGCGATAGAAAAAGGGGCTTTTTTTGGTTTTCAACTTTCATTTTGTTGTAGTTGTAAAATATGTGGAACTGGCGAATAAAATTTGACACACATGTACAGAAAAGCTTCCTCTTTCGTTTAAAAAATATTTCACGCTTTTTTGATGCGTTCTCGCGGAATGTCGTACAAAAACGTGAATGGAACTAAAAAATTTTGTCATTTTTTGCTTTTTCATGTGTTTTTCAGGTCGAACGCACTCTTTCTTTTTTTATATAATGATTTTTGATTCAAGTAACGGTAATTTTAAAACAATAAAAGTAAAAAAATTCGTCTTTGCCAAAAAAATTTTAGGGAGTGCCGAAAGTCATAATTCAAAAATATCGTTAATAAGCGAATATAATCGAGTTTTTTTGTTTTTTTCAAAAAGTTAGACCATAGGCTTACTTAAATTTTTTTCTCCACAGCATATGTGCTGGAAAAAAAGTTGTTTAATACGCAAAAAAATGCACTTGAAAATAGAGAATAAAATTAGCGGCGTTTATCACACAGAAAGCGGTCGAACGCAGGTTTTTTTCAAACGATTATATACATTTATTAGTAAAAAAAATCTTTCAATTAAAAGAATAAAATAAAAAAAATTCGTCTTTGCCAAAAAAATTTACGGGGCCGTTTTTAATGCAGTGATCGTTAAACGAGGCAAAAAAAGCACTGAAAAAAACTGTTTTTTTCGAAGTGAATTTCCACGAAAAGTTTGAGTAAAGATTTGCGAACATATTCTGAAAAAAATAGCTAAATTACTTCAAACTTTTCTTTTTGAAATAGGCAATCTGTGCTATTCAAACGGCTCAAGGGTATGGCGGATGGAAGCTCCCCTCGCTAGACCTAACAGCTTGGCGCAGCGCGTGCGCTGCGATTTTTCATTTTGAGGTCGCGAGTTCGATACCCGCAAGCGTCAGTTTTTTGTTTTCTGGAAAATAACAACTTTTTCGGCAAACTAGCAAATTTTCATCATTTTAGAGCTCTATTATGATTTCTTACATCATAATAGACCAGTATCAAAAATTTGTTCTAGAAGAAAAAAATCGAGAAAAAAATGTCAAAAATGGATAATACCAAAAATTTCAGTACTAAAAATGGTGCGCGGCGCGCCACATTTTTTTCGTCATAACTTTTTTTCATCCTCAATCTTTTTTCCGAAAAAAACTAAACGGTTCTGAGTTTTGAATCGAAACAGTTATCAAACCATACGAAGGTCAATGCTGAAAAAAAATTTTTGAAAATCTGTCTGCGGTCCCTACCCTTAGCCGTGAATCGGCTGTACAAAGACAATTCAGAAATGCACCTTTCATTCGAACTTTATGCTGATTGATAAATAAAAAGGAACATAAGTTTTTGACCTGAAACTTTTACACTACATAAAAGGTCTTATTTTGGTTTTGAGAAAGTTAAAGAAAGGAGACTCAACACGAAAAAGAAGACGATAAAATCCAAAAAAAAAGCCAACCTCGATCATCATCGTAGAGCTTGACGACGACGCCAGCCGCGGGTTTTCCATCGCAGATGAGTTTTCCGCGGACTCCAGAAGCCTGGGTCCGGCCGACCAGGGCCGCCGTCGTCGAGGCCAAACACAACAGGACGAGTACTTTCGCGATCATTCTCCGCTGAGGATTGCAATCTGTCCGGGGGGCTTTTAAATCTTCGCCGGGGAGCATAACATTACACCCGATTGCCTTGGGCTCGATAATCAACAACATGTTTTGGTTGCTCGCTCTTGGTCGCTTTCTCGTCTTGTTGATCGGTCGGTTGGAGGAAGCTTTGAATCACGGATGTTTGGAGTCAAAGTATTGTGATCATTACAATGTGGCGAGCTGGTTAAAGTCCATCTGCAAGTGCGGATCGAGAAAAGCTTGGATTTTTCTCAATTTTTGATCATTCTTATAAAATAAACCAATAAATAAACTAAGAAAGCCTCTGTTTATGTGATCAATCAAGAAGAAAATTTGAGAAATGCGGCTTTTTCTCAAATTTTGGTCACATCGTAGAGAAATCCAACAAAGAAATCATACATAAAGAATTCAGTTTTTTAGAAATCCAAAAGCCTGGATTTTATTTTAGTTGTTTTAGAGTCTTCCAAAACATTCTAGCTCTAATTAAAAACTCTATAAAACATAAAAAAACCTACAGAAGTTTATTAAAAATCATATCAAAGCCTAAGATAAATGGAGTATAGAAAAGAAAAAAATTGTTAATTTCTAGAAATTCTAATTGAAAGTGGGAAAATAATAATAACCAATAACGACTTGTCCCAGAGAAAGATAGGTCCAAATTCCATCCGTTACTCAATAAAAACGCCTCATTTTGATATTCATCAGTAAAAAAAGTTGAAACGACGCAAAAACTCAACTAGAAACTAAAAAATCGTATGGTAATCTTTCCGATTTTTCCCTTTCTTTCTTTTTCTTTTTAACAAGCTGTCTCTGTAATTCTCGAAAACATCGGGTACAATAAAAAAAAAATATTTTTTGATTTTGAGGAAACTTCATCCAGTGTGGTAGCCAATCATCAGAAATGCGGGCCCAACTTTTTGAGCCATTTCCTCTTACTGTAGCCGGCATACGGTATACAGGTGGGCACCTGCATATCTCATTATTGAAGAGTTATTATTAGGCAAGTGAAATATCAATCGATAGGTAATCCGATTTTTGGAACTTTTACAGTACAGTACATAAAAACTCTTCAATACTGAGATACGCAGGTGCCCACCTGCCTACCGTAACCCGGCTACAGTAAGAGGAAATGGCTCAAAAAGTTGGGTCCGCATTTCTGATGATGGGCTATCACACTGGATGAAGTTTCATCGAAATAAAAAAATATTCTTTTTTATTGTACCCGTTGCTTTTAGAAATTTTTGAGAATTACAGAGACAGCGTGTTAAAGCTCTTTTTTTGATCTCAAAAAGCTCTTCGTCAAAAATTCAAGATCTCAGAAGATCCTGATAGATTAAACTTTATTGAAATCATAATTTCTCAAGTACTACTAAACTGCGTCGTAGTTGGAACCGGCAATGCTACGGCACTATTGATCAAGTTTTTCTTGAAGCTGAAGGTTCCCAGCTTCTGGCGCCATTCCAAAACAGCTTGTCGATAGTCTGGGATGAATAAGATGATAGCCACGGGATCACAACACGGAAAAGCGCTCAGCATCGGATAGGCAAAGCTGTTCGTATATCTGAACCGATTATTGGGTAGTTCTTGGGTTTGTATATGCTCACATTTGAGCTTGAATCTCCAACAGTGGCGTGTACCAGACTATTATACAAGGGAGGAAGCTCAGCAGAATCGGGATGGAAGCTTGAAGAACAAGGGCTCTCAAGAGTTGGGCGTGGATTTTCCTTGTGTAGATGCTCATTGAGCTCGTTTTCAATGTTTGAATGATCTCAACTTCCGTTGGAATCAATAGATTATGTGAAAGCTTACTTTTGTTGTCAGGTAGATATATACAGAAACAATCAGAGAGCCGACTAATGAAGAGCTCAGAAGTATCAAGTAAGTGAGAGTTCTTCTCCATTCGCTGGGCGACTCGAAAAAAATTTCCAGGCTTTCTTTTTACTAGGGAACGTTTTTACCTTCCGGTTGAACGTTTTTTGAAACTTTGCTGAACTGTACTTTATGACCTCCTGATTTCAGAACAAGAAAAAAGTTTATCGCAATAGACCTGGTTTTCGAGTAAGGACGCTTCAAAAGCTTGAAATAGCGAATTTTCGGCCTAATTTGCGTATTTTGCACACTTTGAAGCTCCATAACTTGGAAAAAGATCTATGACGAGAAATTTTTTTTTGTTCTTTTTTCTACAGCTTCTCGAAGTTTCGAGATCATTTTATTTGCAACAACTTTCTAGTTTTTGAGAAAGTGCGAAGGAAACTCTCTTGAATTCGTATGAATTTGCTTTGAACGTTCTGTTCTCGAAAACTAGGGATTTTTTGCAGGTTGAACCTCTCAGATTATTTTTCTGGTACACCAAGGAGTTTTCTGGCAAAATTTGAGAAAATTCCCAACCACAAAGTAAACTTCCGTGTCAGGTAGAAATGATTTTCAAAAATCGACAAGTTCAGAAAATAAAGTGTAATAAATGTAAGCCCTACATCGTAAGACATGCAGACAAAGCCGACATTCTCGAAGTTGCCAGGATATAATGCGACAAAATTTCCTTTCACATATTCTCGGGTTTGTTCGTCCGGTGCAGACAAAAATGAGATCAAGAAGAAAAAGACTCCATGGAGGATAAATATCGATAAAAACGCGAAAAACCCTGTCGAATTCGAGTACCGCTTCAGAAATAGCGGCCTGAAAAGATTTAAAATTCCGGTATAGTCAATTTTTCCCCACTTGAAATTCGAGGGAGGCGGGGCAGGGGACGGGACGCGTAGCGTGTGCGTACGCGGTTCTTTTTTTATTTGATCTACTACTTTTTATTGAACACATGAAAAAAAAAATCAAAAAATGAATTAAAAAGGAATGCAAAGAGCGATAAACGAGCTCTCCGAATAGTCGCTGGCGGTAGAATTGAACCGCGTACGCACACGCTACGCGTCCTGCCCCCTGCCCCGCCTCCCTCGCCTTTCAAGTCGTGAAACATTGACTATGAAGGAACTTATAATCACTTCAGGAGGGCAAAGTATCGGTAAAGAAAGTGTAGAACCAATAATCCAAAACTCAAACCAACAAAAGTTCCTCGGAGAATTAAATATGCGGTGGAGGAAATTCTGTTCTGCAAACGATAAATTGATAACCGAGGATGGTTTACAAATCGGAGGACCTTGGATAAAAAACCGCCGCTGTTGAAAATAAAAATAGACGCTTTGTAGTGATGACCGGTCTAAGAATGAAAAAACCCTTTTTGGATTGAAAAATCAAAAATTATTTCACCATGTCCCCGAGAAGGTCCAACACGGAATAAGTGATATCAAAAACCGCGAAGCATGTTAATAAATATCGGTAGTTTCCAATATTCAGCTTCCTCCTTGATTTGATCAGATAAATCAGCATAGGATTGAATATTAGAGAAAGAAAGGAAAAAGTCCGGGGAGCAAATTTCGCAAAGAGTCCGACGTCGGCCATTCAAGATAGACTATTTGACCCGAATTCTCTGATGTTATTTGAGAAATTTGAGTCTCAACGGTCTTCATAATGAGTTTGGACTTCGATTATAAGCTTTTTAATGGTCCCCGAGGTCATGTGGTAAGTAAAATTTTGGAAATTTTCTTTCAGGTTACACAATTTTCAGTTCGAGTTTATTCTAGGGGTTATGAAAATTTGCTTTAAATCTCAAAAACATTTTTCATTTTTCGGGAAAAACTACTTTCAAAATTTAGAAAATTAAACAGCTTTTTCGAAACATTGGAGGTTGTAATAACCAAAAAATGAGATCGAATCGTGGTTTTTTCGTAGACAGAGCGTTTTTATTTTACTCATTTTCTTATGTTCAGCTTTAACCTTACAATAGAAAAAATGGAAGTTCAATTTCCTTTGCGGTTAGGGATTTCCTGAAAGTTGGCCCTAACTCTCTTCGATGTACCCTGAAAGTCTCAACTTGCACAACTTCCTGGTTCTCGAGAATTGACGTCTCGGCGTCGAAAAAACCCTCAAAATCCGTAAAAATAGGCTGTTTTGAGGCTTTGAACCCCTATTTCTTGGAAGCTGTGCAGGTTGAAACTTTCAAAACCTTCTTTTCATGCATTAAAGAATGGTCTGGCCAATTAAAAACGCAAATCCAAATTTCCTAAATTGACCGTCAGAGCAATATTCAAGTTCACTGGTATTCCAAAAAAGCCTTCAACTATGTACTAAGTTGCGTTTGATTTGCTCTAGAAGACGCGGTATCCTGAACCGAGTTGCTTTTGAAACTGTAGTTATGCAGATTCTTGGGCCATTCCAAAACCGCCTGTCGATAATCCGCGATGAAAAAGATGATGGCCAAGGGGTCACAGCAAGGAAAAGCGCTCATCATCGGGTAGGCAAAGCTGTTCGTATACCTGTATTTTTTCCAGGTAATATCCATCCCAAGGATTCTTACCCTATAGCTAGGGACCGCAAAGCCACGCCCCTTTTCGCGATAGAAAAAGTGGCTTTTTTTTGGTTTTCAACTTTCATTTTGTTGTAGTTGCAAAATATGTGGAACTGGCGAATAAAATTTGACACACATGTACAGAAAAGCTTCCTCTTTCGTTTAAAAAATATTTCACGCTTTTTTGATGCGTTCTCGCGGAATGTCGTACAAAAACGTGAATGGAACTAAAAAATTTTGTCAGTTTTTTGCTTTTTCATGTGTTTTTAGGTCGAACGCACTCTTTCTTTTTAAATAATGATTTTTGATTCAAGTAACGAAAATTTTAAAACAATAAAATAAAAAATTCGTCTTTGCCAAAAATTTTAGGGAGCGCCGAAAGTCATAATTCAAAATATCGTTAATAAGCGAATATAATCAAGTTTTTTTGTTTTTTTAAAAATTTAGATCATGGCCTTACTTAAATTTTTTTCTTCACAGTATCTGTGCTTGAAATAGTTGTTTAATACGCAAAAAAATGCTCTTGAAACTAGAGAATAAAAATTAGCGGCGTTTATCACACAGAAAGCGGCCGAACGCAGGTTTTTTAAACGATTATATACATTTATTAGTGAAAAATCTTTCAATTAAAAAGAATAAAATAAAAAAATTCGTCTTTGCCAAAAAAATTTACGGGGCCGTTTTAAGGAAGCGATCGTTAAACGAGGAAAAAAAGCACTAAAAAAACAGTTTTTTTCGAAGTGAATTTTCACGGAAAGTTTGAGTAAAGATTTGCGAACATATTCTGATAAAAAAATAGCTGAATTACTTCAAGTTTTTTTATTTTTTTGAAATAGGCAATCTGTGCTATCTAAACGGCTCAAAGGGTAAGGCGGATGGAAGCTCCCCTTGCTAGACCTAGCAGCTTGGCGCAGCGCGTGCGCTGCGATTTTTTTCATTTTGAGGTCGCGAGTTCGATGCCCGCAAGCGTCAGTTTTTGTTTTTCTGGAAAATACCGACTTTTTTTCGGCAAACTAGCTGATGAGCATCATTTTAGCACTCTATTATGATTTGTTACATCATAATAGACCAGTATCAAAAACTTGTTCTAGAAGAAAAAAATCGAGAAAAAAATGTCAAAAAAATGGATAATACCAAAATTTCAGTACTAAAAAAATGGTGCGCGGCGCGCCACATTTTTCGTCATAACTTTTTTCATCCTCAATCTTTTTCGAAAAACTAAACGGTTCTGAGTTTTGAATCGAAACAGCTATCAAACCATACAAAGCTCAATGCTGAAAAAAATTTTTTGAAAATTGGTCTGCGGTCCCTACCTATAGCTTGAAAGTCGAAGAACGGGGTGTACCAAACTAACGAACAGGGAAGGAAGCTCAGGAGTATTGGAATAGCCGCCTGGATAATTAAAGCCAGCAACAGTTGGGCGTGGACTTTTCGGGTGTAGATACTCAAAGAACTAGTTTTCAGGGCATGAATAATCTCAATAAGTATCGATTGGGCTGGAATTCTTTTTTTTGAACCAACTTTAATTGTGAGGTAGGCGTAAATAGACATGATCAGAACGCCGATCAAGGAAGAACATGACAGAATCGAATAGGAAAGATTTCTTCTCCACGGGAATGCTGCCTTCAAACTTCGAATAATTTCAGTTATTTTCTCTTAGGACCGGTAGAGTGATCCCTTAAGGGGTCAGAGGAAAAAACAGCCGCTATAGGGATCAAAATAGGGATACCTTTAGGGATATAGAGGTTGACCTAAGCACCTTATGAATGCTAAACTTACATTAAATGACAGGACGACGAAGCTAAGGCTTTCAAAGTCGACGATATGCTTATCCAAGAAATCTTCTTTCACGAAATCTCTCATCTCCTCGTCTGCCAAACACAAAAACGTGATCAGCAGAAAGCAAGCTCCATGAACTAGGAAAACCCATAAGAATACTACAATCCCCGTTTTATTGGAGTGAAGCTTCAGGAGTTGAGGCCTTGAAATGATTCAATTATTTTTTTAGTTTTTACAAAAAATACTTCAGTAGGGCTAAGTATCTATAAAGAAAGTGTAGCACGAGAAGTCCCAGGCTAAATCCAATGTAAGCGCCTTTTAATAAGAGATATGTCGTGCAAGTGGCTTTGTTCTGAACATAGAATATTCGTGATTTCACTGAAAAATTGAAAACCTTTGAAAGAAGACCGCCTCTGACAAAAACGAATATACAGTACCGCTCAAAAAGTCTATTAAGTTTTTGGTTTTTTTGGGGATATCTCAGCGAGTACTTATCCGATTTATATATAACTTTCAGGGATAATGTAAAAATATACTTTGAAACGTATACGGTATACAAAGACATGTCCGCAATGACTGTGACCCGTTTTTAGGCATTTTTTTATTGAGTTCCATTTTTGTTTTTTTATGCTTTTTATTTTTTTATTTATTTTTTTATTAAATTTTTTTAAAATTAATAATGTTGCCATATGATTTTTTTCATGTTTTTCAGACATGGGAAGAACCTCAGGAAAAAAAGAATTTGACTGATAACGACAAAAGAGCCATCGTTGTGGGTCGTCAAAATGGACTGACCATGATGACGTTGGCAGGAATGTTCGGCGTGACAGAGGCGTGCATTTCTCAGTCCCTAAAGCGTTGGAAAGCTCAAGATGGCTCTACTAAGAGCCAACGCACTAGAAGACCACGTGTCACTGATCGTAATGACGATAGGAACATTTTTGAAGACGTCTAGAACCAATCCAAGACTCACCGCCCCTGCGATCAGACGGGAAGTTTTTCTCGAATTCGCCATCTCCGCCATCCGTCTCGACCGTGAAACGACGTCACAATGCTGCTGGAATCATGGGAAGACGTCCAGTGAAAAAACCGCTGATTTCTGAAAAGAATCGAGCCGCCAGGGTGAAGTGGGCGAAGGAGCATCTCAACTGGACCCGTCAAGACTGGAATCAGATTCTGTGGTCCGACGAAAGCAAGTTCCTCCTCTTCGGGAGTGACGGAATTCAGTGGGTTCGTAGACCAATTGGGTCCCGATATCATCCGAAATACCAATTACCCACCGTGAAACATGGTGGAGGTTCTGCATGGTGTGGGGCGCCTTCTCTGGAAGTGGCATCGGACCGCTTCATCGCGTGAACGGCATCATGGACAAGCACGTCTACAAAGACATTCTCCAGAACCAGATGTTGCCGCACTTGAGAGCCATGGGCCGTGGGAGTGTTTATCAACAGGATAACGATCCCAAGCACACTTCACTGTTCGTCAAGGTGAGAAAAATTGACAAGTAATTCGTATGGTTTTTGAAACTCAGGACTGGTTCAAGAGCCGTCGGGTCAATGTCATGGGGTGGCCAAGTCAATCTCCGGACCTGAACCCGATCGAACATCTCTGGGAAAAGTTGGAGCGACGTTGTGCCAACAAAAGAGCCAAGAATTGCAACGAGAAGTTTGCTCAACAGCTGTCTGAATGGAATCAGATCCCCATGTCTACCATCGACACTTTGCTCAATTCTATGCAGAGAAGATGCCAGGCAGTGATTGACGCCAGGGGCTTCGCAACCAAGTACTAGGTCCCGAATATTGTTTTTAACAATGTTTTTGTGTTGATAAAAAAATTTTTTTGTTGAGCTATGATTTTTTTAATTGAAAATAGCAAAAAAATTCGATTTTTTTCGAAATTTCGTTTTTTTCTCGAAAAAAATTATTATTCTTTGAGCTAGCAACTTGAAAGTTTGCCAGAACACGTATGTCTCTCTCAGAAAAACTATGAAAAAAAATTTGAATCGATATCGCACTTCAAAAAATTTATCCCCAAAAAAACCAAAACTTAATAGACTTTTTGAGCGGTACTGTAGACGCTTTGTAGTGATGCCCAGTCTTCAAAATAAAACTTCATATATTTTTTTTCATCAAAAAAAACCATGTTTCCGAGAAGTTCTAAAAGGGAATAACTGATATCAAAAAAAGCGAAGCAGGTCAACAAATGGCGGTAATTTCCGATATTCGACTTCTTCCTTGATTTTATCAGATAAATCAAAAAAGAATTGAATACCAGGGAAAGAATAGAAAAAATTCGGGGAGCGAATTCCGCAAAAAGCCCGACGTCGTCCATTTACAACAGACTATTCGTCTCGAACTCCGATGTTATTTCAGAAATCTCGAGGGTCATTAAAATAGTTCAAAGCCTCTCTCTATTATTAGACTTTCATCCAAATAAGATTGTACTAGCCTTATTTTCCACTCAATATATTTCCAACGTTATGAAAATCTTATTTGAGTCATTTTGAAGCATTTATTCAGTCATCAGAGAAGATTCTCTGCTGAATCATGTAATAATTGAAAAGTTGTTTGTAATAATTGAAAAGTTGTAGAGCGTAACATCTTTTTTGGGACAGTAATAGACTAGTTCCGAGCGTTCCGACCATCTTAAACCTCAGGCAGAAGACCGAACACTCGGAACGAAGAAATGAGATAATCATCATCAATATTTATTGGTTGTTTTAGTCAGATGGAATCGACTAGGCGGTGAAAAAATTGCTCTTTTGAGCGGCACTAACACCGCCTTTGGCGAGAAAGAAGTCAAAACGTGTAGTCGATTGAATTGAAAGCATGGTCTTACGGTCCGTCGCCTCGTTCTTCCACAAGTAGATCCCTCAGTTTCGCGGGTACGGGCACGGCGGGGATGATGGGGCTCGGGCACGGACCCCGTGTACACTCTAGGGTAGCCTCGGCCGATTGAGAGAGCTACCACTTCGAGTGAAGAAAATACGCGGGATAATCTTATATTCCGTGTAAAGTCTTCCCTCGAAGGGGTCACTCTCATTCCGAGGCTCCACCTAGAGCTCTTCGGGCTCCGCTGTAGTCTGAGTTGCTCAAGGCGCAACTGAATGAACTGCGCGCAGAAGAACGAGGCGAAGGATCGTAAGACCATGCTTTCTACTTTTTCGACTACACATTTGAACTTCTAGTTCGCCAACGGCGGTTGTTCGTTATAGCTTCAAAAGTTCTTTTTCACCGCCAAGTCGATTAAATCTTACTATAACAACAAAATGAACGATTTGATTTGATTATGGAATTTAAAAAATATTTAAGCTCATGTAATGCTGTATTTCGTTGGTTTCAAAGACGTTGCGGTATTTTCTACCCAGTTTTTCTTGAAGCTCTTAAACTTCAGCCACTCCAAAACCGCATGGCGATAATCGGGAATCAGAAAAATGATGGCCAATGGATCGCAGCAAGGAAAAGCGCTCAACATTGGATAACCAAAAGTATCGGCGTACCTGAAACTGTTTCTAAGGTGATTCTACTTCAAACTTCCAAACTCTGAAGCGCGGATATCGAAAACCGGGGCATAACAAACGACGATACATGGTAGGAAGCTGAAAAATATGGGAATAGCCGTCTGGACGATTAGAGCTCTCAAAAGTTGAGCGTGAATTTTCTGGGTGAAGAAACTCATTGAACTCGTTTTCAAAGTTGAGATAATCTGAAAAAGCGTCAGTCGCAGAGTTCTCCTTCAAACTCACTTTCGTTGCGAGGTAGATGCAAACGGCGATTACCGAAAAGCCGACAATTGAATCAGATATCAGAACCAAGTACGAAATTTTCCTTCTCCACTCAATCGGCGACTCAAAAATTGATATAATTGCCGAGACGGTTTTTCAAAATTACATCGAAAGAGAAGACCAGAAAGGCGATATTATCAAAGTCTGCCGTATGGCTTTTGAGAAAATCTTCTCTCACATATTTTCTAGTTTCCTCATCCGCCAAAGCCAAAAGCGTAGCTGCCATGAAAAAAGCTCCATGCGTTAGGAATATAAATACAAAAATAATAATTCCAGTTGCATTAGTGTAACGCATCAGAACTGTAGGCCTAAAAATGAATGAATACGTCAAAAAATTGAGAAAAGACGACTTTAGCAGTGCTAAACATCGATAGAGAAAGTGTAGGAGCAGCAGTCCAAAGCTGAATCCGATGAAAGTAGCCTTCAATAGAAGATAAACTGTTGACGTGGCTCTGTTCTGGGATTATATTATAGAGCTTGGTTTGGAAATGAAAAATAAAAATAAATAAAATAAAAAATAGAAGAGAGAGAGAAAATATAAAATATGAAAATGAAAACTTCCGAAAGAAGACCATCTCTAGTGAACATGAAGACTGACGCTTTGTAGTGGTGTCCAGTCTTCAAATTCACCTTTCTATACTTCTTACCTTAATTTCATCAATCAAACCATGTTCCCCAGAAGATCAAGAAGTGAATAACTGATATCAAAAAAAGCAAAACAGGTCAACAAATGTCGATAGTTTCCGATATTCGACTTATTTCTCGATCTGATCATATAAATCAGAAGAGAATTCAGAATCAGGGAAAGAATCGAGAATAGGCGAGATGCAAATTTTGCAAAAAGCCCAACCTCCCTCATTACTACCCAGAAGCTCTACTGTTATTCATTGAGGGCGATCTCGAGGGTCATTATGAAGGATGGAGACCCATTTTCTGGTGATAGGGTTTCGCAAGAATAAGATCATCACGTGGAAAGTGCAAATAACGTCCTTTTCACCAAATTCAGAATACATTCATTTACTTATGAATTGTGTAGTAGTGGCTATTGAATTTCCCTTGATACTGATGTATTTGAGTTTCTGGATTCTTTCAAAAACAGCATGGCGGTAATCAGCGATCAAAAACATGATGGCCAACGGGTCGCAACAAGGAAAAGCACTCAACATCGGGTAGCCAAAGGTATTCGTGTACCTGAGCCCTTTGACTTGTATACATTACTCTTGAAAATTCAAACTCCGGAGCTTGAATTTCGAAAAGCGGTGTGTACCATACGATGAAGCAAGGGGAGAAGCTGACAACTAGAGGAATAGCCGCCTGGACTACCAAAGCCCTCAAAAGTTGTCGATGAAGGCACCTTGTGTAGATGCTCAGTGAAATGGTTTCCAAGGTTTCTATGATCTGAGAGGATTTCAATGTTTAGCAGTTCGAATTAGTGAGGAAGTTCTGTGAGCACTAAATATAACGACTCAGTCCGAGTCGAAAAAAAAAGCTAGGTCGGCGGTGATACAAATGAACCGCTTTGCCGCCGCGCCGGACTCGCATTTTCCCTGGCGCGACATCGCATTTCTCTCGCACTCATATAGTCACTGTTTCCCGACTTGAAAGGCGAGGGAGGCGGGGTAAGGGGCGGGACGCGTAGCGTGTGCGTTCGCGGTTCTTGGCACGTGCTCAATTCAACCGCCATCGACTCTTTGAAAAGCTCGTTTTTCGCTCTTTTCATTCCTTTTTCAATTATTTATTGATTATGTTCATGTGTGCATCAAAACATAGTAGAAAACATTGAAAAAGAGCGGCTGTCGAGCTTTTTGAATAGTTGGCGGCAAGTGAATTGAACTCGTGCAAAGAACCGCGTACGCGCACGCTACGCGTCCCGCCCCTTGCCCCGCCTCCTCCGCCTTTCAAGTCGAGAAAAATGGACTATACACTCAAAAAAGTTTCAAATCTTCAACATGCGAGATCGCGGCAAGAAACGCAAGACAAAGCAGCACTTGCATTGTCAGTAATAAACCGCCAGCGACCTCGCTTTTATCAAAGATTGTCCTTTTCGACTTCCCTTGTTAGTCATAGCTCACCTTTTTCGTCAAGTAAACGTAAAGTGTGACGACTGAAACTCCTACAGTTGTCGCAGAGAGCAGTATAAAATAAGACCGAGTTCTGATCCACCGGCTGGGCGACTGAAAACCAGCCTTTTCAGCCAACTTTGGTAATGATCAAAAGGTCACATCGAAGGATAGGCAGACCAGGCCGACGTTTTCAAATTCGCCGGGATTCCTCTTGAGAAAGTCAGTTTTCACATAATTCCTGGTTTCCTCATCCGCAACAGAGAAATATGTGATTAGAAAGAAGGAAGCTCCGTGAAACAAGAAAATCGAACAGAAAATTGAAATTCCTTTCAGATTTGAGTAGCGTTTTAGAAACTGGGGCCTGAAAAAGAGTGAATTGAATCTTTTTATGAGAAGGAGGTTGTAAAAAGCCAAAGCTTGAGATTTTGATGAAAATTTGCAAAAATATTCTTGAAAGCTTTCTAAACATACGTTAGAAAGGAATTTTACGCCTTCTACCTCGTATTTTTTTAATTAATTAAAATATTAGTGCCATGTTCTCAATTTTGTGCCAAGTGTGCCACTGTCGGGTCCTTAACTTACCCTCAAAATTGATAAAAGTAAGATTTTCGGAGATTTTAAAGCTTCATAACTTGACTAGAAGGTAAAGGGCATTTTTCTTCTTTTTTTGGATCAGTATTTCCTTCCAACCATTCCAAAAAACTTTCATAAAACTCTCAAACTCTGTATTTTTTCCCTCTCCTTGTAGACAAAAATCACTTTTTCAATGCTAGGTAACGATAGAGAAAGTGTAACACTAATAAACCCAAGCTGGAACCAACAAAAGAGCCTCGTATAGCCATATAAGTCACTGAAGCTACAGTGCTCTGAAAACTGAAGATAAAAATTGAAAAAGAAGCGGAAGACCTTCGAAAAAGGACCACTTCTATTAAACACAAAAACCGACGCTTTATAATGATGTCCTGTCTTAAAAAGGGAAACTTTCGATAAAATCTTCAAAACTAAAAAAAAACCATGTCTCCTAGAAGATCCACCACCGAGTAACAGATATCGAACACAGCGAAGCAGGTCAATAAATGTCGATAATTCCCAATATTCATCTTATTTCTTGTTCTTATCAAGTAAATCAATAGGGTGTTGAAAATTAGAGAAAGAATCGAGAAAATAGGAGGAGCGAATTTCGCAAAAAGCCCAACCATCATCATGAGATGATTTTGAGCCGATATTTTCAATTTTATGTGAGAAAAGGTAATCTCGAGGGTCATTAAAATGATTTTGTTAAAATGAAAATGAAAATGACACCTGGGAATCGCAGAAGTGGATTTAGCCTTGGATCGTCACTATCCCGAACATTTCTGTGAGGTACTTGCCTTTGATTTTTATTCACCGTCCAAATCTAGGTTTTTCTTAGCTTACCGTCCTCCTTCCACTTCAAAAAATTATACTATTAGCTTGTTGAAACATTTATCCAAATTTTTACTTCCTTTCAATAACCATTTGATTGGCGATTTCAACCTTCCAAAAATTGATTGGTCTTCTCTGACTTCGACTTGCCCTCTTTCTTCAGTCTTTCTCGATTTTACTATCACTTCTAACCTTACTCAATTAGTTCACTCTCCTACTCGTTGCACTTCAAGCACTGCTAACATTTTTGGACTTACTTCTAACAACCAACCCTTCTCTTTTTTTCGGATTTGTCAGTTTCTGAACCACTCTTAGGGTCCGATCACTTTTTCCATTCTATTTTTCCATTTCTGTCTGTTCTCCGATTAACCACACATCATCCGTTCGAAAGCTCAATTTAAAAAAATGTAATTTTTTTCTAGAGTTAACGACTTAATTTCTTCTTTCAACTGGGATCGGCAGTTCAGCTATTTTTTTCCTCTGTTGAGAGTAAATTTTTCTCATTTTTTTAAAAATTTTTTTAATGAAATTGTTCGTGATTCCTGTTCTAGTTTTCTAACTCCCCCTCAGTCGTCGCCCATTCAACCATGACAATCGTATTCGCCGGCTAAATATTAAAAGAGCCAGTCTCATTCGTGCTAATCTTTTCAATAATTCTACTCGCCTCCAATTCAATCTACTGTATAAAAAAATCAAAGCTTGTGCCTCCTCCATCTCCCTGGCACAGGAAACTTACATTGCTAACAATTTCAACCATGTTCAACTTTCCAAATATATCTCCAAAAAACTCAAATGTTGTTCTTCCATCCCCAACATTACTTACAACAATTCCCTTATTTCTGAAAGCTCCTCAAAAGCAGATGTTTTTGCTCAAATTTTTAGCACAAATTTTTCTGATGAAGTTTACGATTTGATGCCCATTTTCCCTTCCCCAAAAGCCACTAACTGCTCTATTTCGTTCACTCCTGAACTTGTTTATAAAACTCTGATAGCTTTACCTCCCAAATGCGGTTTTTCGCCTGACTTAATCAATCAACTTGTTTTAAAAAGGTGCTCTACATCTATTTCTATTCCTCTGTCTATTCTGTTTAACGAATCTTTTTTTATTCCGGTTTCATTCCACCCTCCTGGAAATCTACCACGGTAATTCCTATTTTTCAAACGTGGAAAAAAACTTCAGATCCGTCAAACTACCGCCCTATATCCTTGACACATCCTTTGTCCCGGGTCTTTGAAAGGATTATTTGTGATATGATTCGCCGGAGATTCTCCTCATTGTTTTTCTGAATCTCAGTTTGGTTTTTTTAAACAAACGATCTTGCAAGCTTAACCTTCTATCTTGCCTCTCCTCTTGGCAAAAAAATCTATCGCCTCGAAAAAAAATTTGTCGATGTTGTTTATTTTTGACTTTGCCAAGGCTTTTTGATAAGGTAAATCATTCTCTGCTTGTTCATAAGCTCAAGAACTTTGGTCTTGACGAAAACGTTGTTCGATGGTACAAAAACTTCTTATCTGAGCGTGTTTCTAATGTTCTGATCGATGGATCTCGTTCTTCTCTTACTTATCTCAATACTTCCGGTGTCCTTCAAGGAACTGTATCTGGTCCTTTGCTTTTTCTAATTTTCATCAATGATATTGTTAACTACATTGACCATGAAACCTCAATCTCTCTGTTCGCTGATGATATAAAAATTTACAGTTCTAACCCTGAATCTCTCCAACGTAGTATTAATTCCATATTTGAATGGTCTTCCATTTTGGGGCTTGCCTCTTGCTGCGCACAAAACTTTTTGCTATCAACCTTGGTCCCCTCAATCCCAAAACAACTTATTTAATCAATGGTCTGTCTATTCCCAGAAAAAAACCATTATCCGTGATCTAGGTGTTCTTATCGATGATAAACTAACTCTCGCTCCTCACATTAACAATATCGTTTCTTTAGCAACCCTTCGTTCCAATCAGATACTCAACTGTTTTTCGTTCCAAATCACCTGATCTATTGTTCAAAAATTTTTTTAACACCTATGTAAGGCCTATTCTAGAATACTGCTCCGAAGTTTTTTTAACCCTCCCCTTAACTCTGATCTCTGCTACAAACTGGAATCTCCTCTCAGAATTTTTTTCTCGTAAAAATTTTTTTATTAGGTCCAACTTATCCTTTGAATCTTACTCTGATCGCCTTGAACAATTTGATATCTCTCCACTTTACCTCAGACGAGCTATATCTGACATTCTGACCCTTCATAAAATTGTCTTCGGTATCGATCATTTTTCCCCAGTTCGAACTTTTTTTGCCCTCAGGTCCAATTTAAGGCGAAATCCACTTCGACTGCGTTCTCAAGGTCAGTTTTTCTAATGATTTTTTTCTTTAAAAACAATTCCTACTTGGAACAAAAATCACTTCCAAATTTCAATTCAGCCACCACCCCAAGTCTTTAAAAAAACTTACTGGTCAATCTACCATTGCACGAGATCTTCTTGTCTATTCCTCCACGACTCAAATGATGTATAACTGTATAATGTATTCTCTCAAATTCTAGATCCAAGTGAACTCGTTAGGGTTCACGCTGATCTGTCAATAAATTATTAATTATTAAAGGAAATCACTCGTACCTTGATAGCTCAAACCGGGGATATCTGAGCATGTCTAGTGACCACTTTAGTAGCGTCAGCACTCCTTCGTGGTCCCTAGAACATCTCGTAAAAGCCTGGGGCCAAGCCCTTAAACGGCAGTTCTGTATTTGATCATGTTCTACTACTAAAAGAGAAAATTTTTATTTCGATCCAAACTTTCAAAACTTCTTTGAATCGCTTTTTAAAACATTCTAAAAGGTACCAAATAGCTTATCGTAATCTGAAAATCACCAAAACTGTTTCATAAATAAAATGTCAAAATTTCATCCTAATCAGAATCTTTAATCACTAAGGATTTTAAAATACCAACAGAAAAGTCAGAGTCACGATAAAATTAGGAGAGAAAACGCAATTTATCAACAGCGCACACTTTCTGGTAAATAATTTTGTTGCGGTGAGATTCCGAATTTTTCTCTTATTTTGAATTGACCTTTTTCAAAAATAGTAAATTTTGTAAATTATAGATCCGACCCATACGTGGGCTAGCAGCCCATTTAGCACATGCGGGCCCCCCGATCCTTTAAGAAGGGTCGATAAGTTACAGGAAATCGGTTTATTTTATTCATTAAGCCTTTTGAAGTTTATTGAGTGGTGAAATTATTGACAAAATCTTATACTAGCGCCAAACGGTCGAAAATACTGAGGCGAATCGTATAAATCATGTCCTAAAAACTTCAGAATGATAGGTATCGATTCAATTTCTTTTTTAAAAGTGAATATTACACATATTACATGTTCTCACAAAATTTCAGGCCAATCGGAAGGGTTTGAAAAATTAGTCATTTTCCGGCCATTAAAAACAACTTTTTTTATTTTTCGCTTTTTTTACGGCTCAAAATCATTAATAATTTTTGAGATAACACCTAATAACGACGAATAACTCAATTTGCAACCTTTTTGGAAGCTTTTTTTCAGTCCGATTACAAGATTTTTGCGCTTGTGAGAATAAATATCAATTGGTGGCTTGCGGGCCCCCCGGCCTATCCCGATTTGCGAAAAATCGATCCGATTTCGATGTTAAAAACAATCATAAATCAAAAATCTATGATCTGGCCAAGTTTCAGGCCGGTTGGATGAGTTTTTGAGAAAAAAATGATTTCTCCGACCTCTCAAAAAGTGATTTTTTTGAAGTTTCCAATTTTTTTCGGCTCAAAATCATTAATAATTTCGAGATAACACCTAATAACAACAAAATACTCAATTTGCAACCTTTTGGAAGCTTTTTTTCAGTCCAATTACAAGATTTTTGCGCTTGTGAGAATAAATATCAATTGGTGGCTTGCGGGCCCCCGGCCTATCCCGTTTCGCAAAAATCGATCCGATTTCGATGTTAAAAATAATCATAAATCAGAATCTACGATCTGGCCAAGTTTCAGGCCGGTTGGATGAGTTTTGAGAAAAATGATTTCTCCGACCTCTCAAAAGTGATTTTTTGTATTCTGTTTTTTTTAGAGCTCAGAGTCACCGCTAACTTCAAGGTAACCCTCAACAAAACTTCTTTTTCGCCATTTTTTGCGTATTCGTCAACCAGGATAAGTTTTGCGCACCCATCGCTTGTCATTATAGCGCTGCGTTGGTTATATAATCTTTTTTTTTCTTGTTAAATGAAAAATATTAAATCTTCTATTTTTCTTAATTTCTTCATCGAATGAATTATTATTTTCGATATTGCAGTTTGTAAATTTTTTAAATTCGTGATTTTCAATTTCTTTGTATTTCATATCATTAAATTTCCATTTTTTTATTGAGTTTATTTTTTCTTGTCCATCTGTGGATAGAATTGATTTTCAAGACGTATTGGAACCTTTACGTAGAAATCAATTTTGTATTTCGATATTGCTTATTTGGGATCGCGGGTATTGAAAAGTTTAACCTCACACGGTCGCCCATTCGATTCTCACTGTACATTCTCCTTGATCATTCTGACTTTTCTCCCATCTTCGTACCAAAAATATCCACGAGCATTATTACCTGAGGGAATAAGTTGGAAAAAATCGGGATAGGCCGGGGGGGGGCCGCAAGCCACCAATTGATATTTATTCTCACAAGCGCAAAAATCTTGTAATCGGACTGAAAAAGCTTCCAAAAAGGTTGCAAATTGAGTATTTTGTTGTTATTAGGTGTTATCTCGAAATTATTAATGATTTTGAGCCGAAAAATTGGAAACTTCAAAAAATCACTTTTGAGAGGTCGGAGAAATCATTTTTCTCAAAACTCATCCAACCGGCCTGAAACTTGGCCAGATCATAGATTCTGATTTATGATTGTTTTTAACATCGAAATCGGATCGATTTTTGCGAAACGGGATAGGCCGGGGGGGCCCGCAAGCCACCAATTGATATTTATTCTCACAAGCGCAAAATCTTGTAATTGGACTGAAAAAGCTTCCAAAAGGTTGCAAATTGAGTATTTTGTTGTTATTAGGTGTTATCTCGAAATTATTAATGATTTTGAGCCGAAAAATTGGAAACTTCAAAAAATCACTTTTGAGAGGTCGGAGAAATCATTTTTCTCAAAACTCATCCAACCGGCCTGAAACTTGGCCAGATCATAGATTTTGATTTATGATTATTTTTTTAACATCGAAATCGGATCGATTTTCGCAAATCGGGATAGGCCGGGGGGGCCCGCAAGCCACCAATTGATATTTATTCTCACAAGCGCAAAATCTTGTAATTGGACTGAAAAAGCTTCCAAAAGGTTGCAAATTGAGTATTTTGTTGTTATTAGGTGTTATCTCGAAATTATTAATGATTTTGAGCCGAAAAATTGGAAACTTCAAAAAATCACTTTTGAGAGGTCGGAGAAATCATTTTTCTCAAAACTCATCCAACCGGCCTGAAACTTGGCCAGATCATAGATTCTGATTTATGATTGTTTTTAACATCGAAATCGGATCGATTTTTGCGAAACGGGATAGGCCGGAGGGCCCGCAGGTTATCAACCGATAATCACTTTGACGGCGCGAGACTTAGCTGAATGTACTACATATGGATCGTAAATCAATAAAAATTTGCTAATTAATCCATAACCCAACTTTGAAAAATATTTCACATCAATAGATTTTTCTGGAGGGGTACGCTCTTTTCCAAGGGGGGTACGCTCTTTTTCAAGGGGGGCCCGCTCTGACGTCACGAAAAAATGTGGGTTAGCCCATGTATGATCCGACCCCAGTTTCGCAGCTTTCAAAAAAATATGTTGAACACTTTTTAATGAAGCCACTTTTATGAGGACCCCCCAGCAAAAATGAATAAAATTCAAAAAGACAATTAGTTGAATTCAAAAAAATTATTTTTTTCAGAAAATTTCAGAAAAAAACTAGCTTCATTGCTGAATGTTCCACATATTTTTTTGATAACTGCAAAAAATGGGAGTGCGTCCATAATTATGACGCACAGTGTAGTTATAAAGAGTAATTGGATGAAGTATGTAGAAAACCTATTTCATCTAAAAAACCAACCATATCCCCAAGAAGGTCCACAATAGAATAACATATATCGAACACAGCAAAACAGGTTAATAAATGTCGATAGTTTCCAATAAGCAAATTCTTTCTTGTTCTGATCAAATAAATCAGTAGAGCATTGAATACCAAAGAAAGAGTCGATAAAAAAGTCGGTGCAAGTTTTGCAAAAGGTCCGACGCCTTCCATTGGAACTTCTAAAAAGCTCTGGTGTTATTGAGAAGGTAGAATTCTCCGAGGAAGTCCTGGGGGCTAATTATAATTTTACTCACAGGGGAGGTTTTTCACCCACCAGTTGAACTTTTGATAAACCTTGCTTGAGAAAACTTTTGTCTTCTTGATTCTCAAAAACGATTATAATACTTTTTTTCGATATACCAATGCCGTGTTCAATGATTATGGAAGTTCAAAATAGCCGTTAGAAAGTGAAAAAAATAACTAAAATTTCGAAAGGTCAGAGCTAGTTTCGAATTTCGCGGAAATTACTTCGATTTTACTTCCGTATGATATAGCAAATCTGAGTTTTTTAATAATAACTTCCTTCTCTGCATACGGTAAGAAAATTAGTTATAATAATACAAAAAAAGCTTTAAAGGTGTCATAACTCGTAAAAAAGACCTATTTTCTTTCAAAGCAAATTTCAACCGGGAAGTAGAAACTCCTCTGGTGAACACAATCAAAACCTGGAGAATTTATACCATTTCCAACAGGTTGACTGTCCCTTTTCCATCAAAAAGTGTTCCAGACAGAATTTACTCCCACATCGGTTCAATGGAGCGCACTAATTTCCACCATAAAATCCCAAAATGCCAAATGAGTCACTAAAAAAAGATATTCAAGAAAAAAATGGAGTTTCTTTTTTTTTCTGTATGAAATTGCACGCTTCTGTGGCCAGATTGCAGGTTTCAAAAAAAGTTTTGAAAAAAATCGTCACATAAGTTCCCGGGTACATACAGATAGTTCATTTGCGTGGTTTTTTCAAGCAATTTCCTTTCGGTTAATTAATTGAAGAATCCCCAGACTGCAAGTGTTCAAAGTTCACTTTTTCTGATCTTGTTTATGAGCCTCTTTTTACTGTGAGTCTCAAAGGATTGAGGCAGAAGCTCTAAATAAATCAGACGTATTCATAGTGTGACCCGATGGTCGAGGTATACGTCGGCGATTTTCCGAAATGGATGCCCCGAATTTTCTCGGGCCTTTCTTTTATTTTCAACTCTTTTCTGATTCATATCATCTGTCATCAGAACAAGAGTCGGATTAGTCGCACCTACCGTAGTCTGCTCATTAGCTTCTGTATTTTTGATATTTGCTACTCGGCCTCGGATCTGATGACCGGAATGGTGAGTATACCACGGCTTCAAACTTTTTGGTCGCATTTGGAATGGCTCAACGCGTTGCGGTCGCACTGCGGTTTCAGAGCTTTAGTTGTCACCCTTATTTTTCTCGGTCGAGCAAAATTAAGCCATTCATATTTAGGTATCCCCTACGCGACCGTTAAGTATCAATAGCCTACAATTTTCAAAAAAAGCCCATTTTCAGGCCCTGCACCAATACGAAACGGTTGTATGTGCCTTTTTAAGGGATGGACTTCTCAGCAGGGTACTTATTGAACACCTTTTCTCGAAAACATCAGCTTCAGAACCGAAAAGTAGCCGAAATAGCCTTTCTCGTAAGATGCTCGTTTATCGGTTTGAGCTACGGAATTTTAGAACTTCATTTCATCTACCGGTATATTATCTTGTGCAGGTGAGGCGTTTTGGTATGCACTTTTCAGATTTTGTCTTTTCTTATCTTTAGGCAGGAGTTTCGAGACAAAATTCAATTTTTCCAGGCCTTCAATGACCAAGTTATTCTCCAAGTTTTACATACTTCTCATGTTCTTCTTCATTTCCATAAATGGCTTCTTTTTCGGAGCAGCCGCCTGGGTCATATTCGACATTGAAGAAACAAAAGAGTTCATAAGGGATGATTTTTATCAAAACTATCATGCGGACGTGTCTCAAGTCGTCATGGTGACCTTGCACTACAGGGTTTGAATTTTTTATTTTGCTTGGCCGCACGGGGAATGGCTCGATATATGGAGAGGCTAGAAAATGTTTTTATATAGCCATTTCAAGTGCGGCGAAAATCTTGAAAAAAAATTCCAAAGTGAAGATTTCAGGCTAGAGAAGCTTCTACTCTAATGAGAACTTATCTGAGTCTTTTACTTACTAATATTTCCTCGGTGGCCGCTGTCGCGACTTATTTTATTCTTGGGACCAAGGTTAGTAGACTGAATTTTTGACGTCTTGAAAACGCAAAAATGACTTGATGAAACTTTGCGTTTTTGCTGTGTTTTGACGACAAAAATGAGTTCTTCTCTCCTATTTTGGCCAACTTAGAAATGGCTTCGCGCGCAAGTAGTTTGTGGTCGGGCGCACTGAAGTTTGAAAAATTTCAATAAAATCAAAGAAAAAAAAGCATTTTTTCGAAATTTCAGTATTGGTCTATTTTCTAAAGTGCGTGGTATGCTTTTCAAGTCACAAAATAGACCTCTTACTATGGAAAAAAATTGTAAAATGCATCAAATTGTCCTATTTTTCAGCCGAAATTTTTTTGACAAACCAGTTTTTATATCTAAAAAAATATTCAACCCCAATTTTAAGATACAGAAACAGTATCATTGCACTAAAATGACCTACGCTTCGGAAATTTTTTTTTATCGAAACAAGACCACTGGAAAATTTCAAACTTCTTTAAGATCAATCAAGTTTCATTGTTGCCATGTTCAAAATTTGTTGAGAATCAAAAAGTTTCGATTGGACTTTTGAGCAAAAAAAATTCTTCTATATAAGTAACCAGTACAGATTTGATGACTGGAATAGTGTGAAAATTATTATTTTTCAGATCGTCCAATACCTCAGAAGAAGCTCAATCAGCGCTGCTGCTAGAGCCTTACACAGACAACTATTTACGGCTCTCGTAGTCCAAAGTTCGATTCCTTTCGTCGTCAGTCTCCTTCCATGTTTGGTCACGTGGTTCACCCCCTTATTTGGCGTCAGTATTGGCAGGTTCATAAATATATACTTCATGAGAAAAACGTAAAACTTAAACTTGGTTTCTAAGAAAGAAAGTTTCCGAAAAAGGAAGTCTAGAGGGGTCCCATTTTTTTTTCAAATCAAAGGGTACATTTTTGATAAGTCAAAAAATCTTCCATGACCTCAAGTAAAACTGAAAACAGGTCCCAAAAATACATAAATTGTACTTATATGTAAAATATAGGTATTCGTATACATTATATATAGAATTTTCTAGAAAAAAAAATCTTACGAAATAGAAAATTAAAATTACTAGGTAGCCTATAGTGTATTTTATAGTACTTGATTTAGAACAGCCTTAAAGCGGCTCTTCCTCTCGAGACCCCCTTTAAAATCCTTTTATGCTCCTTTAATCGCTTCAGTGGACACTTTCAGAAAAGCAAAGAAGAAAAACTAACTGAGGAGATTCGAACTTGAGTCTTCGGATCCATAAACTAACGCGTTACCGTCCTCCATCCTGAGCCATCCTGGCAATGACCGTCATTCAGTAGGAGTTTCTCGACACCGGGAGAGCTGAAAATACCAATTCAGGAGTGACATTTAGTCTTTAAATGTGAGATGGCAATATCAAACTTTCGAGTTTAAATTTATATTTTTCGGTATCACTGAACTCGTACCAAGGGTCCTAATTTTTAAAAAATATTTTTAAGGTGGGATAAAAAAAAGTCTAAATCACGCTAAAAGAGCATTTTGCACAAAGTGTGCTCTATTGACAAAATGCGCCATGATTTTTGGTTTCTGTTCAGAAATTTCTCAACATAACTTTTTCTCTGTTGTCTTCATAAACTCTCCTTCATGAAAGCTTTCGATTAGCAAAGATTCAACCAACTTCCTATAGTCAATCCATCCCGACTTGAAAGGCGTGCGAGGCGGAGAAAGAAGCGGGACGCGTAGCGTGTGCGTACGCGGTTCTTGGCACGAATATTTCGATTTTTTTTTCATTTGTGCATTGAATTTTATTACATTCAATTCAAGCGCCGCCTGCTATTTAAAAGCTCGGTCGCCGCTCCTTTGATATCTTTTCTACTATTTTTTAATGCACAAATGGAAAAAAAATCGATGAATTATTAAAAAATAAATGAAAAAAAAGCGAAAAACGAGCTCTTCAAATAGTCGCTGGCGTTTGAATTGAACTCGTGCCAAGAACCGCGTACGCACACGCTACGCGTCACGCGCACTTTTCCGTCCCCCTAGATTTTCAAGTCGGGATGGATTGCTATGATTTAAGAGAAAGGAGAACTCGCAATGGTCCGTTTTGAAGGATTTTATGGTTTCGGTGACTCATAGGCGTTTTTTCTCGAAAACTTGGAAGTTTTGGAGGTTTTCGAGTACTCTGGTCAAGAAAAGGAAAATGACCTTTTTGTGAACAAAAATTGCTATGCCATTTTTAAGCAAGAAAAAAAACGTGAAAAACTGGTTTGAAATGTCGTATAAAAATCTTTCTTTACAGATTCAACAACTACTACACGATCCCGATGTTCAGCGCGTTTCCTTGTTGTGATCCTATAGCGATCGCTTTCATCGTTGCCGAGTATCGCCGATATATTTACGGATTAATTCCCAGGCCAAGAAAAGAGCTGCATAAAATCGCTTCGTCCAGTAATCATGTTTTCACTTTACAAATCATTCTTTGATTTTTTGATTTCTGATAACTTTTAATAAAATTTATAATTCACTATTTTCCTTTTTCCAACATCCAAGATTAAATCACACGGCTCTGATCCGTTTCCAGAAGCTCCAACTTTCAAAAAAAGGCAGGTTTTTCCAGTATTTAGGCTCTAAAACATAAGATGTCGAGTATTTTTTTGATTTTTTTATTTAAACTGGATTTTTAGGTCCAAGACTTTCAACTTCCTTGAGAGCCATATTTCGATTCATTTCCTTCTTTTTTTGTTAGTCACCGAAAAAAAAAAACTGAGCCTGAGATTATTGCGTAATTGTTATGTAAATTCAACTTTTTCAATATTTCTCACTTTGTTCCAAGATAATCCAGGACCTTCTCAAAAGCTTTTAAAAATTTTGAAGTCTTCAAAAAACAGCCTCTTTATCTTATTCTAAGACATTATAAAAGCCATTTCAAAGCTGGAATGAGCATAATCGACAAAACTTTATCATTTTACGATTTTTTAGACCAGTAAATCCTCTTTCTTTGAAACGTGATTTTTACAGCATCTTCTGCGCCATGAAAAAAATGAAAAGTTAAGTCAAGTAAAATCTTTTTTCTTTTACTTCTGGCTTTTTTGAAATTCCCGATGATCTGGTGATCGATTGGGTATACTTTAGATCAGTTTCGATTTGACTCCAAAAAAATATTTTATGATTTTCTGGTTTTCGTATGCTTATTTGTATGGCATAGATTCAAAATATCTCCGTTTTACAATTGTTAAAGTTGATCAGAAGTATTTGACCATGAACTCCTCAAAACCAAGAAAAACTTCAGAGAACTGATTTTCAAAAATGCGTATTTCATCGATTAATCGATTAATTCATTGAGGAGGAAAAATTTTCTTCTGATGTGTATTCGCCTGTCTAGAGAGCAATGAATTCTACTTCCCTTAGAAAAACTCTTTCACTGGATTTTGCGAATTCACAGGAGCTAATCTCCAAAAAATTTCCAAGGAATCGAGGAGCCATAAGTTTCATGTGCTTATGCGATTCACACTGTTTCGAGTCCGAGAATTCCCACTGACCAAAAAAGAAATACAAAAACTATACAGAGTCTCAGGCCCACTTTTTTTTCGCTACAAATCTTATTAAAACCGAGTGTCATAGTGTAAAGTATAGGGTCGTTTTCCCAAACTCACAAGATCTTAAGGCGTAGAACATATAAAAGTCTAGGCTGTACATATTTCTTGTCATTTCAGGTCCTAAAAGTCTTTTTCTACTTATACACTATAATTCTCGCATTCTAAACTACCGAAATAGAAAAAAAAGGAAGAAGAACTCGCTCAAAGTCGTGAAGAGCTTTAAAATTTAAAAAAAACCTCGGAAATGGATTTTCTGAAAATGAAACTTTCTTTTGCCGCAACGCGACCGCGACACTTTGAGCCATTTCCTGATTTTTTTAATGAAATTGATCTACTAGTTCATATTGAACTGAAAAAAAGTCAAAAAGCGAAACGAATGGTTTTTTTAAACTTTTTTTCTGAATATTAAATATCAATTATGTTTTTATCCTATGCCATTTCAAGCTTCAAAAACTTCCCAAAAATTTAAAAGTCGTACTTTTTTCTTTGATCTCTGGTTAAAATTATGATTTCCGATTCAGACATCAAAAGCGAAGTGAAAAAAATAGATTATCGGGAGATTTAATTGGAAAAATTTGCCGTTTCAATTATCCCCTGTCCAAAGTCCAATCAAAAAAAGGGGGGAAAAATTCGAGGAATTTTTATCGTACTTTGAAACCAATTAGCCTTGACCGGCTGCCTTTTTTTGGAATTGATATTCGACAAAAAATTGAAAATGAAAAAAATCCTAATGAAAGTTCGGCCGCCGCGAAACCTCAAGAAATTCAATTTTTCCCATTTTGAAGTTTGTCCATTCTGAAGGGGACACTGATCAGCATACTTTAATCTTTTTCTGACGCGAAAAATATTTTTCTTTTCAAATCTAATTTTCCGATACTCCATTGACCAAAATCTCAAAAAATGTTGAAAAATAAGTCTGACGTTCTTTTTTTCGCATACTTTTTTTTATGTATCTTCAAATATCCTCTTTTTCGTTACAGAGCTAAAAACTGTATTTTCAGAAAACCTTTCTGAACAAAAAGGTCACAGATTCAAGAAAACTTCATTTTCCGAAATGCCCGAGATCGACGTCGGTATGATCCCAAAATGGCTACCTCGATTTTTTGGCCTCCTTTCATTTATTTTCAATCCCCTACTGATCTACCTTGTCATGACCCAAAATAAGTGCAAAATCGGTCCTTATCGGCAATTTTTGGTGTGTTTCGCCTTATTTGACATGACCTACTCAGCGGTCGACGTTTTTGTGGGAATGGTAAGGAAAATGAGCTTTTTTTTATTTAAGTGATAGTTTTTTCAGGCTTCTCATCACTATGAATCCTCCTTTTCAGTTTTCGTTAGCCATGGACCTCTCGTCGATGTAAGAGAGTTTATTTTCGTCTTTCTCAAAAATAGGGTCCGATCAGTAGAACAATAGTATAAAGAACACGTCTGGGAATTTCGGATGGGAGCTGGAAAGAAATGAATAAAAAAAGGACCACGTTGTTGAATGGATAAGAGTTCACACGTGTATAACTAGTATCTGAAAGTTTTTCTTATGATCTTTGAAAAAGTTCTTTTGAAAGTATCGATTCATGCTATTGAATTTCCCCATTGAAATGTACAAAACCTTCATGAAAGTTGAGAATTTTTTGGATGTCATTTTTCATTTTTGATGAAAAAAACATAACTTTTTGGTCGCATTTAGAATGGCTCAACAGTAAATTCAAATTATCACACGTCAAGCTTCCCCAATCCAGAACGTTTCATTACCACCTTGCGCAAGCCGTTTCATGGTCGGACGCAGTTCTTAAAAACCGAGCCATTCCCAGTGCGACCAAATCTTCATTTCCAATTTCTATCATATTTTACAATTTTTTCAGAACCCAGCAGCTGGGAAGATTGGTTTGACTGTTCGATGCGCATTTGTCTGCCTAAGTTACGGTATTTTGGAAATTCACTTTATCTATCGCTACATTTCCCTGTGCAGGTTTCTTTGTTTTGTCAATGTCTTTCTACAAAGTTTTTAAGACCAAAACTGCTCCATTGGTTCACCCAACCTTTATACATAGTCGGATGGTTCATTTTCTGGCTTTCTTTTGGTATCTACTGGGCTTTCGCCATGTCTTTGGCCTATCTGGACGAGGAGGACATTGAATTTCTTCGCGATTCTTTTCTCGACACTTATAATGTCAATATTGATGACATTGGAATAATTGGGATCCGTTATAAGGTATTTTCATATCCAAAAAAGATCCAAGCTTCTATTTCAGGCGACCAACCCGAGGACTATTTTGAGGACAAGCGCCGGAATGTTGATGGGAAATATTATATCCGTAGCAGTTATCACTTCCTACTGTGTCATGGGAAACAAGGTGGGAAAGAAGAACGCGTGTACTTTTTAGAAAAAGTTATTACGATGGGTAATTGAAGGAAAGTACATTTCGAGACGTGTTCTCTGAAAATGGAAGCTATTTTTGGACTTTTTTCCTGATTATTCATTTTCATGGGCATGGTCGAGTATGATGTGATTCTAGCTACTGTTCGAAAGACAAAAAGTTCGATACCGCACGAAAATTTGGCAAAAAAAGATTTTTATTTGGAAATTTTTTTAAAAAAATATTATTTTTCGTTTAGCTTAGTTGGGTCTGAGCTCGGCTAACTTACAGAGAATCGAAAGTTCGATCCCTCAGCAAGCCTTTTTGGCGAAAAAAAGATAATATGCTTTTTCAAGGAGGGGCGGAGGGGGAGGGGGGTGGAGTTGACTACTGTCTAAAATCTCCCAAGTTCAACTCCTCACCAAGAAACTTTGCAATTCTACTTTCAAAAAAATTCACCAGAGACTTTTTTTACTACTTGAAACTTGTTTTTTTATTCATCACAGTGTTAATTTAGGTTTTTCAAGATTTAAAAAAAAAGTGGGGTTTGGAGAGGAAATAACCAAGTTTCATCTCGTTGTTAACAAATGAAGTGATTCTGAAACGTATTCAGAAAGAGAAAATTAATTTCTGAACTATCCGATAGAATTTTAATTTCAAGAAATCATTTTTCAGATCAACAAGCTTTTGAAAGAGTCTACTATCAGTACAGCTGCAAAAAGAGTTCATCGACAGTTATTTTTGGCCCTTGTGGCTCAAACAGTTATTCCATTTGTGGTCAGCTTCTTGCCTTGTATGTTTCTATGGTATACACCTTTATTTGGTGTGAATTTGGGAGGGTAAGTGTTAACGAGAGAAGTTCAGAAAGACAAGCTCTTTAAGTTTGATTAGGTGTACCTTAAGGTACCCTGAATCCGAAACTCAAAAAATAATTTGCATTTTTACTAAGAATAACTGCAGGTTGTGTGCCTGTCTACGGTCCACAGGGTCACAAGTTCGATCCCCGCCCCGACCCAACCAAGGGGTTCAAGAAATTTTGGTAGTGATAGATAGTTTATTCACTGCCATTATTTAACATTAAAAAAAATAATTGAAGAATAAATGATCAAATGAAGGAATAGGCAGAGAAATAACAATACACGGGAAAGAGTCAACCCCAACGAGTTGACGGGTACCCGGAAATATGTCAAATTCACAGGAGGCGAGAGGGGATATTTTCATGAAAGGCTTCAAACGGAAGAGCATTCAACTTTTTACGCAGAGTTTCTGGGGTAACATTAAAATCTAAATAAGAAGTTAGTTTATTCCAAAGGGGAATAGTTCTAGAAAAAAAGTCATTAGAAAACTGACCAGTAGTCCGTAGTCGAAGTGGATTCCTCTGTAAAACGGATAAAGAGAAGAATTTATTACGGTCGAGAAAATGATCAGAGCCACAGATGATTTTATGCAAGGTGATAATGTCACAAATTTCACGACGAATGAATAACGGTTTGATGTTAAATTGACTAAGGCGATCTGAGTAAGAAGTGAAACTAACATTACAACGAATGAAAACTTTCCGACTAAAGAGACGGAGTGAAGATTCGAGTTTGTGAGTTTCATCAGAGGAGATGGCGGGTGAGAAAAGCTCGGAGCAATATTCAAGGACTGGATTAACGTAGGTTTGAAACATACGGAAGTAGTTAAAAGGTGAAGAGAACTTGAAGGTATTCAGTATTTGATTAGAACGTAAGGTGGCAAAAGCAGCAATACGACTGATATTTTATTTAAAGGAAAGCTTATCGTCGATAAATAAACCAAGGTCACATACTATGGAGCTTTGAGGAACTTCTAGGAGGTCAACATAGTAAAGGGTGCGAGGAATATTTGGGCCAAAGTGAACAGAGAACGTTTTGTTTGAGGCGAGTGGGAGAGACCAAATATGAGACCATTCAAGGATACCGTTAATGCTCGATTGGAGAGATCTGGGACAGGAGCTATAGATTTTAATATCATCCGCAAAAATTGAGATTAAGGTAGAGGAATCAATGTAATTTTCGATATCGTTGTAGTGGGAAACCACGGCTTCATAATCCCCAGCCGTCACACACAAGGACGGATATGTCACTTGAGCCAGTCCACTGATATAAGGATATGATCTCGGCTAATCGATCTGGGGCGCCGACGACGCGGTATAAAAGCGTAGGAGGAAGAAGAAGAAGACTAAGAATAACTGCCGAGATGAAAGCGATATCGCTGGCGGCACATCGACGACATCGCAAAATTCCTGCTTTAGGCGCGATCTCGCGTTTTTTCCTTTTCTTTGTAACTGTTCAAGTTTATTTTTTATGAGTGCGTGAGAAAAACGAGGGATATATGCCAGATCGCGCCAAGAAAAATGCCGTTCCGGCGCGGCTAAAACGCAGGACTTTCGCGATGTCGCCGAAATTCCGTCAGCGACATCGCTTTTCTCTCGCGCATATCCTTAGTTGTGTCTTTAATTGCGTCTTCAAGCCGAGTTATAGGACCTCGAAGGCGTGAAATAATCCTGTTTTCTTCAAAAAAAAAAAAGGTAGATTTGGGGCGGCATATTTCGAACTAATAGCAAAAGGCCGAAATTTTCTCATTAGTTCTGGATTCAGGGTTCCACAAAGTTCACATCAGAAAATTCTCACAGCTTGTCCTTTTGAACTTGCCTTATAAGTTCATTTCCAAGAAAGGTATCTTATTGTTACAGATTCAACAACAACTACACGATTCCTATGTTCAGCGCATTCCCGTTCTGCGATCCAATCGCAATAATTGCAATATTTTCCGAGTACCGAGCATATGTATTGAATTCACTCGGATTTGGAACGGCAGTTATTAAAATTCGACAACCTTCCCAGCCAACATTATCGCTTCAACTAGATCGCAGAAAATCGCTCAAACGATTTTCAACCTGAAGGCTCAATAAAACTTTTTATTTTCACTTCTTCAATGTATGAATCATGTTCTCATCAGTAAAATGTGCAATTATTCTTGTTATTTTTCGAACAAATAATTTCTAGGCTATCAAATGACACACACTCTGCAATTTTCCCAACAGGAAACAAAGATGATAATTTTGCAAAGAAGTTTTTTTTTCAGTTTTTTGGCTTTTTATCGTTTTTCTTCAAGGTTGGGATTTTTTGAAAAATGACCATCGATGTACCAAAATATGATTCTGAGAGTCTCAACCTGCCCAACTTCTCAATTTTCTTCATTGTTATCAAGAAAATGGTTCAAGCCTCAAAAAGTCCATTTTAACGCTTCTTTCGACTTCGAGGTGTCCTTTTTTCGGAAATTAGAAGTTTTTGCAGGTTGAAACTTTCAGAATATTCAACTGGTACATCGAAGAGCTTTCTGGCCAGTTTTCAAGAAATTCTCATCAGCAAAATGATCTTCTTTGCAGTTTGACCTTGTTTCATTATTTTTTTAATTTTTTTGAGAGCCTCCCAAGTCCAACTTTTTCCATAAATCAAAGAAAGCACTCCAAATTTTTCATGTGAAAATGATCTGACTAATTCCTTATTTTTAAGCAAGGAAACTCGACGCGACTTTGCAAAATTGTAGCGAGCAGGTTGAGAATTCGCAAACCTATCGTATATTCAGAACTTTCGAACTTTTTTTAAAAATTCATCTCAAAAATAAAAAAATATCTTTTGAACTTTTTTTAAGTCTTACAATCACTGAATGAGTTCTTTAAAAGGTCTGAGTACAAAAAAAAAATTTTTAAAAAACAGTCCGAAAAGCTGAAAAACAAGTTCAATGGGGCAACTTGGATAATTGAAAATGATAATCAAAGTGGTACCGGATGTTTTTGAACCCCGCAAAATTGAATTATTTTCTGCATTTTCTGCTCATAGATTAGAACTAAATCTAACGATCTACTTCTTTTATCCCTCTATTTTCTGCTTAAATTGCCTCAAAAAGGAAAGAAATGTGCAATTTTCTCCCGCCGTCTTGTTATCCTTCTGAAAAATCTCATTATTACCTATATCTGCACAAAATGACTTTTAATTCCCATTAAATGAATTATTTTGCTGGGCTATCCACTTCATGAAATAATTTTTTCTCACCTAAGTTTTAAATTTTTTTTTTTTGAAAGTCTTTGAGAAGTCGAAAAAAAACCAAGCATTCTTTTGAATTACATCAGGTATCTAGAGACGAGGACCACACAGAAAATTCAACTTTTTTTTTTCATTTTTAAATTGACACGTTTGGATGAACGCCCTTCCCAATTCTTTGTAACTCCTCAGAAAAAGTTGAACAATGAAAAATTATGAGGATAACATGAGACCCCCCGTGAACCCTAGTTTTTTTCTAGAAAATATTTCTATCTCGGTAGAGGTCCTATCCGCTCTCTTTAACTTCATGACAGTATTCTAAAATTTATATTTTTAAAATCATAGACATACCGAAATTCATTCAAAATTTACAGAACAAAAAAGTTTCCCTTAGTCTTGAAATGCCAGAAGTCGACGTTGGCATCGTGGCCAAATGGCTGCCCCGTTTATTCTGCCTCCTTTCTTTCATTTTCAATCCTCTGCTAATCTACCTTGTTGTCACCCAAAATAAGTGCAAAATCGGTCCTTATCGGCAATTTTTGGTATGTTTCGCCTTATTCGATATGACCTACTCAGCTGTCGACGTTCTTGTGGGAATGGTGAGGGAAATCAGGAGCATTTTCTGTGTTATTATCAATTTTCAGGCTTCCCATCACTACAAATATTCTTTTTCAGTATTTGTCAGTCATGGACGTCTGGTTGATGTGAGGGAATTTTTTATTCTTATCAAAATGAGATTTTTCGAGCTTGTTATAGTATGAGTGCCCCGACTTGAAATTTCTCCGAACGACATTCCGCTATTCCGCTGCGTGCGTTCTCGAAGCGTCTTCACGCTTTCAACTGATTATTATCTCTGTGGGAGCACATGAAAGCAGAGTACCTTGTTAAAAGAAAAACATTAAAAGTGCGAACAAGGTTCGCAAAGCGCGCACCGGCACAGCGGAATGTCGTTTGGTGAAATTTCAAGTCGCGGTACACAAGCTATAATAGTTCTTTGACGACTGATTATAGAAAAAAATTAAAAACAAGCTCTTATCGAAAAAAATCGATAAAAATCTTTTTTTCAATTTTTTTCATAGTTATTTCTATGAGGAAAAAAATTGGATAACTTATTGAGTTTATACTTCAGAACCCCACTGCCGGAAGAATCGGCCTAATAGTTCGATGCTCTTTTGTCTGCCTAAGCTACGGTATTCTCGAAATACACTTCATCTATCGCTACATCATTCTGTGCAGGTTTTTCATCGTAATTTTCTTTTGCTAGAGATTTTTCAGACCAAAACTGATTCATTGGTTCACTCAACCTTTGAACATAGTCGGATGGTTTCTTTTTTGGCTCTCTTTTGGTATTTATTGGGGGATTGCCATGTCTTTGGCCTATTTGGACGAGGAGGACGTTGAATATCTTCGTGAATCGTTCCGTGTCAGTTATGATGTCAATATTGATGATATTGGGATTCTTGGGATTCGGTACAAGGTGAGTTTTCTTTGAAAGAAAAACGGACAAGATAGGTTCAAATAGACCGGAAAATAATTCTAAACCTCAAGGAGAATTTGCAAAGAACTTGTAGACATGTCTTGAAATTGAATATTTCTCAAAGGGAAACTAAAAAATAATATGTGTAGGACGAAATAAAGCTCGAGTTCCAGGCGACTAACCTACATACAATCTTGAGGACATGCACAGGAATGTTAATGGGAAACTCGATTTCAGTAGCCGTTATAATATCCTACTGTCTTATGGGGCAAAAGGTATGATTTGAATAATTATAACCCACTTTTCTCGTCTTGAAACGACTTTTGAAGTTAGTTTGCACATCGGTTTCCATGTGTTTTTAGGGTTCATTTTGAAATTGACTCATTCTCGCAACTATTTTAGGCTATTTTTGTTTTCATTCAATAAAAATATAATCGTGATTCTTTCGTGACGTCATTAAAAGCTATATTAATAGTTTTCGATGACGTCATTCTTTCATAGATTCCTTCTTAATGATTTAACAACAATGCCACACTGTTTGTGAAGTATCTGATATTAATCGATTGTCAACAGGAAAATATAAAATCATTTAAAAGAGCTGCAAGTTTGAAATCAGGTCGATAATGTATTATTTTTGAGATAAACGAGCGTCTGAAAGTCTCCACAATCAGCACGGCAGCCAAACGAATTCATCGTCAATTATTTATTGCTCTAATTGCTCAAACGGTAATTCCATTCGTGGTCAGCTTCTTGCCTTGTATGTTTCTCTGGTACACACCTTTATTTGGTGTCAGTCTGGGCAGGTGATTTTCTTTTCATCTCAAAAAAACATGAACATCTTACAGTTTCAACAACATCTACACGATCCCGATGCTCAGCGCTTTCCCATTTTGTGATCCTATAGCGATAATTGCGATTTTCGCCGAATATCGGGCTTATATCTTAAGAATCTTTGGAATCAAGACAGCCGTGAAAAGAGTCCAATTTTCAACTTCGCAACCAACTTCTTCGTTTCAGTCAGGATCGAAAAGTCGCCTGACTGGTATAAAAAAGGCATTTTTTAGTCTTTTTTAGTTGTTATTTTCGACTGATTTTTCGTTTTTTGTACGTGCTATGAGATCTTCTGTCAATAAATAATGACTTTCAAAAGCTATTTTTAGTTCTCCTCGGCCTTTAAAAAGCAGAAAAAACTGTTTTTCACTATTTCCATCTTATTGCTGGCTACAAAAAAACTGCTAGAGAACTTCCTATGTTAAAAAAAAACTGATAGTAAAACCTTTACATTGTGGTTGTATTCATGAAAAATATACTTATTGAAATGGGAAGATAGTTCAAGCGGCTCAGAAGAACAACAAGAAGCGGATTTCCTTATGCGTAAATCTGTAAATCTATTGCAAAATATCCGGTTCTAACCACTCAAATTTAACCTCGAACTATCCATTTTTGTTAAATTTTGCTCCAAGAAAATAAAATCAACGATCATCCCGTATAATAAAATAGCAAGCTCATTTCGAGACTTTTGAGAAAGCATGATAAGCTATTGATCAAAGTACTGAAATAAGCCAAAAGTCGTTTTTTTTTTTTTGAAAGTTTTCGTATCAAAAATCTTCAATATGTTTCGCGAAAGCTTTTTTTTGCGATGAGTCATTTTGAAGAGAAAATTTGGTCTGCTTTCTCACGGTCAGATGTCTCCAAATTACACTTGAAGACTCACCGAATACACTACTTATTTCTCATATCAAATGGCCGAAATCGACGTTGGCTTCGTGGCCAAATGGCTTCCCCGTTTATTCTGCATACTATCTTTTATGTTCAATCCACTACTGATCTACCTTGTCATCACCCAAAATAAGTGCAAGATCGGTCCTTATCGACAACTTTTGGTATGTTTTGCTTTATTCGACATGACCTACTCAATAGTCGACGTTCTAGTTGGGATGGTGAGAATTATAAACTCTTTTTCCTCATAAAATGTCAAAACTCAGGCATCCCACCAATACGAATCCTCTTATTCTCTGTTCGTCAGCCATGGACCTCTCTTTGAAGTAAGTTACAAAGAAATGGTCACTTTTGTTTCTTCAGAACCCAGTTCTTGGCGAAATCGGTGTAATCATCCGGTGTTCATTCGTTGGTTTGAGCTACGGTATTTTTGAAATTCATTTCATTTATCGCTACATAGTTTTGTGCAGGTTTTAACTAATTTTTTCGAAAATTTTTTTTTTGAAAAACGTCCATTCCAGACCTGAACTAACTCGATGGTTCACTCGACCCCTTTACATCTTTGGATTGTTCCTTTTTTGGTTTACTTTCGGGATATATTGGGTGATCGGCTGTTCATTGATACGTATCAGCAAAGAAGACCGAAAATTTCTTCGTGAAACTTTTCTTCTCACTTATAATGTTGAAATTAATGATGTTGGTCTCATTGGGGTGAGATACAAAGTGAGTTTTTTTTTTTGATTAGGGCAGGAAGTGTAAATCAAAGACGCAATTCCAGGCCACTAACCCGACAACTATTCTGAGAACGTGTATAGCAATGTCAATGGCAAGCTTAATATCTGTAACCGTTATCGTATCGTACTGTGTCATTGGTTACAAGGTACGGAATTGAATTCGTAAATGTACTAGGATAAAATTGGATATGATAAATTTGTCTGTTTTTCATGGTCATGTTTTCAGATAGACAACAGTCTGAATAACTCCACAATCAGCGCAGCTGCAAAAAGAGTCCATCGGCAGTTATTCCTGGCTTTAATCGCCCAAACGGCAATTCCACTTTTGGTCAGCTTCTTACCGTGTGTTATCATATGGTATACTCCATTATTCGGCGTGAACTTGGGCGGGTAAGCATTAATAAGAAAAGTTACTCCTAAAATTAGCTAAGGTGTATATTAAGGTACTCTGGATTAAGGTTCTTCGAGAAGTGCCTCTCTCTCGTGACGAGAGTGAGAAAAGACAAATTTTTCAAAATTTTTGCTTTCAAACGAGAAAAACTATTTTTATCGCAATTTGACCAAAAACAACCCGAATAAATAGCAGGAGGCTGATTCTAAAAATTACAAATCGATCAAATTTGACAGCTTCAACAACAACTACACGATTCCGATGTTCAGCGCCTTTCCATTTTGTGATCCAATCGCAATAATCGTTATTTTCTTCGAGTACCGGACTTATATCTTGAAAATCCTCGGAGTCAAGACTGTAGTGAAGAACTTGCAATATTCTTCTTTTCAACCAGCTTCTTCTTTACAAACAGAGCCAAAAAAAGGACTACAACATATCAAAAAGGCAATCTCCAGTGTTTTCACTTCAAGTTGACGTTCTACCTGATGAAGGGTTGTTAATATCAAATTGAAAGTTTTGTATACTTCAACGGATAGAGATTTAAAATTGTACAATATGTTCAAAAATATTTTCTCGAGTGTTTAAAAAGCGCAGAAGTTCCACCCAAAAAACGGCTCTCCTCCTTGTCAACGATTCAATCTGATTTTAGAAGTCACACATTCGAATGTAATCCAACCCTGATGGTGAGATAAAGCTCAAAACACCGTCTTTTTGGTGCTTTTTGTTCTTTTCAACTTTGGTTCAAACTATCGACTACATCTCTGCCGGAATTGGGCACACGGTGCATTCTGCATAACACGGGTCTGCACCGTGCCTTTTCGGTGTTTTTTGGCGTACCTCTGGTGCCGCACGTTTAAAGAATTTTTCTGACACCTGTGCGCACCTAAAAATAACCGGGATTGCATGGTGCAAGCTCAAATTACTCACCAAAGTACTCCGTTTTTGGTTCAGTATTGCGTTTGTACGAAAACAACGAACACAAAACTTCCAAAACCAGTGCATTTTACCATTGCGAAAAGGGGCGGGGCTTTGCGGTCTCTAGGGTTTGATCATAATGTTGACCAAAAAAGTCAACGTTGGCTTCATTCCAAAATGGATACCTAGTTTTCTTGCCTACTTCCCTTTATTTTCTATCCACTACTGATCTTCCTTGTCATCACTCAGAAGTGAGAGCATAATTGGTCCTTATCTACATTTTCTTGTCATGTGAAGTGTCATGTGTCATGTGTCACCACTTCGAGTGAAGAAAATACATTCCGTGTATTTTCTTCACTCGAAGTGGTAGCTCTCTCAATCGGCCGAGGCTACCCTAGAGTGTACACGGGGTCCGTGCCCGAGCCCTACCATCCCCGCCGTGCCCGTACCCGCGAAACTGAGGGATCTACTTGTGGAAGAACGAGGCGAAGGACCGTAAAACCATGCTTTCAATTCAATCAACTACACGTTTTGACTTCTTTTTCGCCAAAGGCGGTGTTAGTGCCGCTCAAAAGAGCAATTTTTTCACCGCCTAGTCGATTCCATCTGACTAAAACAACCAATAAATATTGATTGATTGATTGATTGATGTTTCACCTAATTTGATATGACCTTCTCAGCGGTCGACGTTTATGGAAAACGATTTCAGAATAAAAATTTTTGCTCCTTTTTTTAAAAATGAGTCAGCGTAAAGAGAACCTTCAAAGTGCTTTCTCACGGTTAGACATTTCCTGATTACACTCGAAAACTCCCCGAGCACCCCTTTTTCTCATATCTAATGGCCGAAATCGACGTTGGCATCGTGGCCAAATGGCTTCCCCGTTTATTCTGCCTACTTTCTTTTATTTTCAATCCACTACTGATCTCCCTTGTTTTAACCCAAAATAAGTGCAAAATAGGTCCTTATCGCCAGCTTTTGATATGTTTTGCTTTATTTGGCATGACCTATTCAGTAGTCGATGTTATAGTGGGAATGGTGAGAATAATAAGCTTTTTTCTCGAAAAACTTCAAAATTTAGGCGTCACACCAGTACGAATCATCTTTTTCTTTGTTCGTCACCCATGGACCTCTATTTGAAGTAACTTACAAAGAAAGGGTCATTTTTTTGTTTCTTCAGAACCCAGTTCTTGGCGAAATCGGTGTGATCATACGGTGTTCATTCGTTGGTTTGAGCTACGGTATTTTCGAAATACACTTCATTTATCGCTACATAGTTTTGTGCAGGTTTTAATTAAATTTTTCGAACGTATTTTTTTGAAAAACGTCTATTCCAGACCAGAACTCACTCGATGGTTCACTCGACCCCTCTACATCTTTGGATTGTTCCTTTTTTGGCTTACTTTTGGGATATATTGGGTGATCGGCTGCTCTTTAGCTCATTTCAATGAAGAAGACCGAAAATTTCTTCGTGAAACTTTTCTTCTTAATTATAACGTTGAAATTAATGATGTTGGTCTTATTGGGGTTCGATACAAAGTGAGTTTTTTTTTTTGATCAGGGCAGGAAGTGTGAATCAAAGACGCAATTCCAGGCCACTAACCCGACAACTATTCTGAGAACGCGCATAGCAATGTCAATGGCAATCTTAATATCTGTATCCGTCATCGTATCGTACTGCGTCATCGGTTACAAGGTACGAAAGTGAATTTGTAAATTTACAAGGATAAGACTGGAAGTCATAAATTTGTCTGTTTTTTATGGTCTTATTTTCAGATAGACAATAGTCTGAGAAACTCCACAATAAGTGCGGCTGCGAAAAGAGTCCATCGTCAGTTATTCCTGGCTTTAATTGCGCAAACGGCAATCCCACTTTTGGTCAGCTTCTTACCGAGTATTTTCATATGGTACACACCTTTATTCGGGGTGAATTTGGGCAGGTAAGTATTAACAAAAAAAAAACTTCTACAAATCGCTAAGGTGTATAGTAAGGTAAGGACTTAGGGTTTCTCGAGATGTGCTTTTTCTTGAAATCGTGACGAGATCGAGGAGAAACAAAACTTCAAAAATGTTCGCTTTCGACTTAGCTGAAAAATAGCTAATTTGACTTGAAAATCGACCTTTTCCTCTAGATAACAAGTATTTGGCCTGGTGAGATCGAGACATTTCAACGTTGCCTCGAGACAAGTCACGAACAATCTTGCTTTGGATCCAAGTCTTTGAACGTCTTCCGCTTTTTGGGTTTGGTCGAGTTAGGAGGGCTCAAAGAAGTGAAAATTCAAAAAAATGGTAACTTAAAGGCGATGTAACATGAATAAATAGCAGGATACTAATTTTTAAAATTACAAATTGATTAAAATTTGACAGCTTCAACAACAACTACACGATTCCGATGTTCAGCGCATTCCCATTTTGTGATCCTATCGCAATAATCGCTATATTCTCTGAGTACCGAGCTTATGTCTTGGATATCCTCGGAGTCAAGACTGTAGTGAGAAACTTGCGATATTCATCTTTTCGACCTCCCTCTTCGCTACAAACAGAGCCACAAAGACGAACACTTGATATCAAGAAAGCGATCTGCAGTATTTTCAGTTGTAGCTGACGTTTCATTTGATATTTCAATGAGCGTTTTTTTCTTATATAAAAAAGGAAGGTCCGCAAATATGAATTCTCGAGTGTTTAAAAATCGCAAAAGTTCAAACCAAAAACGGCTTCGTTCCTTGACTTCCTCAATAAGATTTCCAATGCTCCTCTACAGAGTGCGAGAACAAAATGTGTTGAATCATTCATCCTCGGAGTCAAGACTGTAAAAATAATGAGCCATTTTAAATGAATTTCCTTTCAACATGTTTATTATCTCATTTCTACACCCATAGTGGTCGGTCTTCGTTTCTGCTCTCGCCTGAGATTTAATCCGACGCCCGCCAGCCTTGGACAAGCTGGGCGCCGTACTGTTCCTACATGGAGAAGCAGGGATCGTAAAAGTTACTATCCGAAAAATGACGAGATGATCTACGAGCCATTCTTGGTCAAGGCGATCCCGCAAACCGACGATCAACTCTTCTTTCATTCCATGACTCAGCAGGGAATTTCCTTTGAAGACTGAATAAACTTGTAACTTGCAAACTTGTAAAAACAAAACGAAAGAGGATACTCTCAAAAAGTATGCTTTATAATATAATAGTTTATATGCCTAAACGCCTTTTCGATAACGTCTATGCAAAAAAAATATGGCTTGCTTGAAGAACTCGTCCGCCTATGATCCGGAGAACTTAGACACCTAATTTTGACTTTGTCGTATGTTTTCGTCAAAAAAATGTCTACATCTATTAGAAGGTGGGAAGAGCCAAGTTTCGACTGTGTAGCGGATAAAACGGAACTTCGCATCTCGTTCCCAATTTTCTGGTGCGAGATTTTCGCAAACAACAGAAAATCGTTATTGAGGGCCCATTATGAAGGCGCCGTATTCATATCTTGGCGGTTGTTATTTTGGTCCATTATAGTTAGGGACCGCAAAGCCACGCCCCTTTTCGCGATAGAAAAAGGGGCTTTTTTTTGGTTTTCAACTTTCATTTTGTTTTAGTTGCAAAATATGTGGAACTGGCTTATAAAATTTGACACACATGTACAGAAAAGCTTCCTCTTTCGTTTAAAAAACATTTCACGCTTTTTTTGATGCGTTCTCGCGGAATGTCGTACAAAAAAACGTGAATGGAACTAAAAAAATTTTGTCATTTTTTTGCTTTTTTTCATGTGTTTTTCAGGTCGAACGCACTCTTTCTTTTTTTAAATAATGATTTTTGATCCAAGTAACGGTAATTTTTAAAACAATAAAATAAAAAAAATTCGTCTTTGCCAAAAAAATTGTAGGGAGTGCCGAAAGTCATAATTCAAAAATATCGTTAATAAGCGAATATAATCGAGTATTTGTTTTGTCAAAATTTAGACCATGGGCTTACTTAAATTTTTCTCCACAGCATATGTGCTTGAAAAAAAGTTTTTTTAATACGCAAAAAAATGCTCTTGAAACTAGAGGATAAAATTAGCGGCGTTTATCACACAGAAAGCGGTCGAACGCAGGTTTTTTTAAACGATTATATGCATTTATTAGTAAAAAAATCTTTCAAATAAAAAGAATAAAACAAAAAAATTCGTCTTTGCCAAAAAAATTTACGGGGCCTTTTTAATGCACCGATCGTTAAACGAGGCAAAAAAACACTAAAAAAACAGTTTTTTTCGAAGTGAATTTCTACGAAAAAGTTTGAGTAAAGATTTGCGAACATATTCTGAAAAAAATAGCTAAATTACTTCAAACTTTTCTTTTTGAAATAGGCAATCTGTGCTATTCAAACGGCTCAAGGGTATGGCGGATGGAAGCTCCCCTCGCTAGACCTAACAGCTTGGCGCAGCGCGTGCGCTGCGAAATTTCTTTTTGAGGTCGCGAGTTCGAAGCCCGCAAGCGCCGGTTTTTTGTTTTCTGGAAAATAACAACTTTTTCGGCAAACTAGCAAATTTTCATCATTTTAGAGCTCTATTATGATTTCTTACATCATAATAGACCAGTATCAAAATTTGTTCTAGAAGAAAAATCGAGAAAAATGTCAAAAATGGATAATACCAAAATTTCAGTACTAAAAAAATGGTGCGCGGCGCGCCACATTTTTCGTCATAACTTTTTTCATCCTCAATCTTTTTCGAAAAACTAAACGGTTCTGAGTTTTGAATCGAAACAGTTATCAAACCATACGAAGGTCAATGCTGAAAAAAAATTTTTGAAAATCTGTCTGCGGTCCCTAATTATAGTATGTGTGCCACGACTTGAAATTTCACGGAACGACATTCCGCTTTTCCGCTGCGTGTGTTCGCGAAGCGTCTTTCGAATCTAGGTCACGATTTCAATTGATCGTTATTGCTGTGAGAGCACATGAAAGTAGAGTGCCTTAATAAAGAAAAAAAAAATTAAAAGCGCGACCAAAGTTCGCAAAGACGCGCAAGGGCACAGCGGAATGTCGTTCCAAGAAATTTCAAGTCGTGGCACACAGACTATAAATTGGATCAACATTCTACAGAGGTTCAAGGCAACGATTTGACCAGAATCCGGAGCCTACCAATTCACTAGACCATCACAGATACAGCGAAAATACAGTTAGTCTTCTTTTTGGTTCTGTGTCATTGATAGCAGCTTATACACTCCACCGGGGATAAAATACTGTAGAATTTTTTTTCATTCTAACTTTATTGAATCATTCTTCCACCAGAGCTATTAGTGGAAGCGTAAAACCGATGTATCGTGTCGTGAGTGAGATCTTTTGCGTTCGGGATGCTCATTGTCCCGTACAGCAAGACTGGTGGTTTTGTGCCGACGAAAAAATTCAATTTCGATTTGCTTATGAAGGAATAAGTCGACGTGGCCTTCCCATAGAACAAAACGATTTCTGGGAAACCGTGAGGCGTTGCAAATATCATAGAGAGTCTCACGTTTCACGACAATCCCAAGAGAACAAGGTCAAACAACATTAAAAATTCGAAAACAGTCACTGATGGCATTTTTGGTCTACTGGCTAGTACTCAAGGTTTAGTATTGCCCACGAAACGACTGATAGGCAACACGAAGTTAGGGATTCTAAAGAACCAAGGCTAACTGTGGGAGTCTCGCGACGTTTCCAGACACTGTCACTAGGCTTACTCTGGCGCGCTAAAAAAGGCTCTCTTTTCCGCATTAATTTGTTTCTTTTTCTAGAAAAAAAAGTTGAGACAATTTCAAAATTTGGGACTCAATTCGAAGTTGGCGTGACTTCGAAAAAAGCTCAAGTACAAACGCCTTATTCGATGATTTGAAGTGTTTTTAGTCTTCAAAGCTCTGACCACCGTCAGGCAAGAGTTTGAGCCTCATATGGCACTGGCTAAAAAAACGCAGCACAACTACTGAACTTTCTGAAAATGAGCAAAAAAGTTGTGCTTTTTATTTGTCATTCTAAAATTCATATCACGCGCTTTCTATGAAAAAAAACTGTATCTGAGAATAAAGTCTTATCAGAAAGTTACTAAAAACTAACAAATGGCCGATTTTACCAACCTAATAGATGACGTTGAAAAAACAATTTATCAAAAATTTCAAAAAAAATTTCAAAGCAGTTCAATTCATGTTTTTTTAAATAAAAGTAATATGTGCTAGACCGGACGTGTTTTGACGCAGATTTAGTAACTTTTGCAAGAAAAAGGGTCTCTATAACTAATTTATTCTTTTGAAAATCGGACAGAGCTTATATAGAGCTTCATCTCGCCTATAACTTATCCAATCTACAATTTCTTCGCTTGAAAATTTTCAGAATTATTCAAGAAATAAGGTTTTTTTCTCAATAGTTAGTTAGGAGTAAGTTTCAAACTAATCTATCAAATGCAGAAAAGTACTATTCGATGATCATTTCTACTAGTTTGACGACCAAAAAAATTGGTAATGTTTAAAAAAACTAAAAAAATATTTTTCTGTTTGCGATTATTATTGGAATAGAAAGATAGTTCAAAGGCGCGGCTTAGGAGTACAAGAACTACTGACTTCCTTTCGCGTAAATTCAATCCAAAACAAATTGGGTTTTCTACGCACATCTAGCCTCCAACTATCTCTAAAAAAAACTAGTACTCCTTTTTTTTTGAAATATTCTTTTAATAAAAAAATAGATAATCAGCCCTCATTAAACAAAAAAGAAAGCAACCTTATTTCTGAACCTTTTTGGCATCTCCCAGCCTCAAAAAAGTCTTAAAACGTCATTGATCAATTAACTGATATTAACCAAAATGTTCAGCAAAAACAGCAGTTTGCATTATTTGAATGCCTGAAATCGACGTTGGCCCAATTCCAAAATGGCTACCTCGTTTTTTCGGCTTACTTTCTTTTATTTTCAATCCACTGCTTATCTTTCTAGTTATCACTCAAAACAAGTGCAAACTCGGTCCTTATCGACAAATTTTGGTTTTTTTCGCTATATTCGACATGACTTATTCAGCTGTCGATGTTGTAGTTGGAATGGTGAAATTAATAAAATTTTTCCCGGAAGATGTCAGAATTCAGGCGTCACACCAGTACGAATCATCTTTCTCTTTGTTCGTCAGCCATGGACCTCTAGTTGACGTAAATTACAAACAAAAAGATCTTATTATATTTTTCTTTAGAACCCGGTTTTTGGCGAGATCGGTGTAATCATACGGTGTTCATTCATCAGTTTGACCTACGGTATTTTCGAAATACACTTCATTTATCGCTACATAGTTTTGTGCAGGTTTTAATTTCTTTTTTTTTCTAACATTTTTTTGTAAAACGTCCAATCCAGACCAGAATCAACTCGATGTTTCACTCGACCCCTCTACATTTTTGGATTGTTCCTTTTCTGGCTTTTTTTTGGGATTGATTGGGTGATCGGCTGTTCATTGATACGTATCAGCGAAGAAGACCGAACATTTCTTCGTGAAACTTTTCTTCTCACTTATAATGTTGAAATTAATGATGTTGGTCTTATTGGGGCTAGATACAAAGTGAGTTTCTTTTTTGATAAGAGCGTAAAAAGTGAATAAAGAACGCGATTATAGACAACTAACCCGACAACTATTTTGAGAACGTGTATAGCTATTTCGATGGGTAACATATTATCAGTTTCTGTTATCACATCCTACTGCGTTATGGGTTACAAGGTGCGAGAAAGAGATTTTAAAAGTACCAGGAACAGTTTGACAATAGGGGAGCGGTTTCAGCTGAAATGAGGAGTGCGGAATTCCGTTTTTCGATGTGGTTCTTGGTATCAAAATTTGGAAAAAAAGATTTGCAAAATCTTACTTCGCCTTTTCTAAACACCTGAGAGTCAATTTTCAGATAGACTGTCTGAAAAAGGCCACAATCAGTGCAGCAGCCAAAAGAGTTCATCGCCAGTTATTCCTGGCTTTAATTGCCCAAACGACGATTCCTTTTGTGGTCAGCTTCTTGCCCTGTTTACTCATATGGTATTCACCTTTGTTCGAAGTGGATCTGGGCAGGTAACCATTAATCATTATTGAAAATTAATTCAGAACTTCTCAGATTCAACAACAACTACACGATTCCGATGTTCAGCGCTTTCCCATTTTGTGATCCAATCGCGATAATCGCTATATTCTCCGAGTACCGGACTTATGTCTTGAATATCCTTGGAGTAAAGACTTTAGTGAAGAACTTGCAATATTCTTCCTTTCAACCAGCTTCTTCGGTACAAACAGAGCCAAAAAAACGAATACAACATATCAAAAATGCGATCTCCAGTGTTCTCAGTTCAAGTTGACGTTTTACTCAATGAATGGTTATTAACATTAGATTGAAAGTTGCGCATGCTTGAAATGATGGAGAAAAACATTGTACAATATGTTCAAAACTTTTCTCGAGTGGTTAAAAACTGCAAAATTTCAACCTAAAAGCCAATTGTTATCCTTGACCCTATACAATATATTGGCTTACGCTTCTTCAAAAACCGGGAGAAACAATGTATAGAAATGATAATTTTTTGAATTCCTCGCTTTGGAGAGAAATACATCTGTAAAATGTCCTCAAATACATACATCAATAAAAAAATTTTTAATTTTTTTGAGAAATATTTTTTGAAAAAAAGTTCAATCGAAGTACTTTTTGCATAAAAAGAATCGTTGTGAGACCGGATGTGTTTTCACCAAAAGTTATTAAATGGTTATACCAAGAAGAAGATTCTCTATAATTCATTTTTTTCTATTAGAAGTTCTGAAAAAAAGCCTTATAAATTTTTTTAACTGCCAAAAAAATAAAGTTTCCATTTTTTTCAAATTCCTCACTCTGCGAAACTTGAAAAATTTCAAAGCTCTGAACTAAATTTAGCATTTTTCTTGAGATTGAATTTTGAACTGCTTTGTGGAGACATAATGAAAATCTTGAAAAAAAGAGTACTGAAAAAGATACCTGCGTAATTAAATGAGATACTAAAATTTTTTTAAAAAAACTGCTTTTTTCTTAATTTTTTTCAACCGATGAAAGCTTTTTTTCGTATTTCAAAAAAATATAATCTTACAGTAAAATTGTTCTCAATTGAAAAGATCCAACGACGAAAGACATTTCTCAAGCATTTTCTGCACATTTTCGTGAAAAAGGCGCTTAAAAACAGCAAAAACTTAGGATATATATCATGGACGTATGCTAAATGATTTTTTGATCTTTATGAGCTTATCATCAAAACGTCATATTTGGGAAAATTGACTTTAACATCATTTTCGTTGTTGGAAACATAGTAAAAAAATTTACACAGCGTTTTTCTGTATCCAAAACGAACAATTTTCTAAATCGCGTGCCGTGAATTCAATTATTCAATTCACAGATTTAGTTTTTGCCAAGTTTGTAGTTATCTCTTTGTTAATGGTGAAGTTTTACTCTAGCAAGAAAAAAATCCTGATCAGAGTTTCTACAACTTTAAAGCCATTTTCGAGATAATCTATCATTTTTGCTTGACTATCGGATTTCCCTCTTTTAATTGATATTAGTTTTCTGATTATGACTATCTTTCTTCACTACACGATAAAACTCTCACAGCCAACTTTCATAAAGTAGTCTTACAAAAAAAAATAAGAACATCTTAAAAAGTTATCCTTGGGAAAATTCAGTGAAATTTCCTCTTATAGCCTTCTGATTTTTCCTCTGTTCATCTTATCCAAAAAAAGTCCAGAATTAAAAATCCAACTATTTTTTTCATCTTTGATGTTATCATTGAACGTCAATTTTGAAAAATATTATCGTGCAAAAATTGAAAGCCTTCAAAAAATTTAAAACTTTCTTTACTTCAATTGCAGTAACAGAGATTGAAATGTTTCCAATATAAGTGTCACAAAAACTCGTGATTTCGATTATTATATCCTTCTAGTTATACTTTTGCATCTTTGATTTTATGTTGAAGTCCGAAACTTCCTTCTTTTTCCTACGTTTTTTATAGTAATTCTATTTTCGAATGCCTGAGATCGACGTCGGCTTCATTCCAAAATGGCTGCCCCGATATTTCTGCCTGCTTTCTTTTAATTTCAATGTACTACTGATCTACCTTGTCGTCACCCAAAACAGGTGCAAAATCGGTCCTTACCGGCAATTTCTGATATGTTTTGCCTTATTCGATATGACCTACTCGGCTATCGACTCTTTTGTAGGAATGGTAAGTGTCAAACTATTCATCTTGAAAATGTCGGATTTCAGGCTTCTCATCATTATGAATCATCATTTTCAGTTTTTGTCAGTCATGGACCTCTTGTCGATGTAAATAGCTCATTTTAAACTTTTTAGCCTCTCAAAAAATTATCGTTTCAGTACCCGTTTGCTGGAAGTATCGGCTTAATCGTCAGATGTTCGTTCATCTCTCTAAGTTACGGTATCCTCGAAATACACTTTATTTATCGCTACATCGCTTTGTGCAGGTTAATTTTTCTCAAATTTTCAATTTCTTCTTCATAGCAGTTTTTCAAAATGTCCTGACAGGAAATACCGGGGCGCAGAGTTCTTTCAATATTTCACTTCGAGACCTCGATGAAAAAGTTCCCAAGCTCATTTGAAAATCACTGTTCAGACCAAAACTAATCCACTGGTTTACTCATCCTTTATACATAACTGGCTGGCTGATTTTCTGGCTTTCTTTCGGTGGGATCTGGGCTTTCGCCGTATCTCTGGCCTATCCGGACGAGGATGACCGAAAATTTCTTCGTGAAACTTTTCGCGTCACTTATAACGTAGATGTAGATGATCTCGGTCTCATAGCGGTTCGATATAAGGTAAACTGAAAAAAAAAACAGAATATCTCCAAAATTCACTTCATAAGTAGGGTGATTTTTTTCATACTGCATCCATGTTTTAAAAAAATTTACTTTTAACAAATGGGCGTAGCACTATATGTTATTAAAGGTACTCAAAATGAGAGAAACCTGGATTCGCATAAAACATGTAAACTTAAATAAAACTTCAGGGGACTGAACAAACAACTTTTCTAAGGGTGTTCATGGCTCTCTTGATAAGCAATATCATATCAATAACCGTCATAGTTTCTTATTGCGTTTTTGGATATAAGGTGAGTGGGGAGAGCTTTGGATATAAAAAAGCTGCAAAAAGGGATCTGAAATAAATTTACCGGTTTTTAGCAATGCCAGAGTGGCCCCTAGAAAGGCTCGTGTTGGTTCCTCTCAAGGTACCAATTAATTTCCTCCTGTAAGGGGCACTACAGCTCGCAAATTTGGCCACTCTTGGGGGCATGCTAGTGGTCCGTAGCACAACAAAATCAAGAGATCACAAAAAAATGTTTAAAAGTTTAAAGATCGCTAAATGGACCAGTCAAAGTTAAAGGGCTTACGGATCAAAACCTATAGGAACCAACTGAACATCCCCCGTTCTAATGACCACCCTAGAGATCCTAAATTTGGTACAATTTTTGAGCGTTTTGAAATTGATTTTCTCAATTTCGACTTATTGCTCATTCTTGTCGTCCGTCAAAGTTTCAAAAAATCGGTCAAAAAATCTTACACTTCCTAATTTCTTAGTTAAAAAGTTCCTTTCAGATAAATAAATTCCTCAAAGTGTCCACAATCAGCTTCACTGCAAAACGAGTCCATCGACAATTATTTCTAGCCTTGGTGGCTCAAACGACGATTCCTTTTGTGGTCAGCTTCTTGCCTTGCATGTTCCTATGGTACACACCTTTATTCGGTGTGAACCTGGGCAGGTAATATTCGATCTATATGAAAAACCAATCAAAAACTTTCAGTTTCAACAACGATTTCACGATTCCGATGTTCAGCGCTTTCCCGTTTTGTGATCCAATCGCAATAATCGCTATATTCTCCGAATATCGAGCTTATATACTGAGCTTACTTGGAGTAAAAACAGCAAAAAATAAAATCGGATATTCGTCTTCAAAACTAACTACATCGCTTTCGTCACAACCTAATAAACGACTAGAGGGCATCAAAAAGACATTTTCCAGTATTTTTAGTCAAATTTGATTCCCGGCTTTTTTTTAAAGAATTTTTTTTCGTGCTCAAAGAAAACGTCTGTTGATGAATAAAACATACCGCCTCTGTAGACCGAGACTTCGTGATAGAAAAAAAGTCAGCGAAAAAAACAATTTGGAAAATATTTGAAGGATTTTCCACTCGGGCGACATAATTCTTTTTTTTTTATTTGAAATGAAAAATCCAGAAAAATCTTAAATTGAAAATGACATTTCTTAAAATTTTTGCCCTGTCTGTTCCCCGGAAAATCTACGGTTCTCAGTACTGTCTTTAAAAAAAAGTCTTTGAAAACTGGGACGGTCAAAAAAGTTATGTACCTGGATGGGAGAGTCTGACCAGCACTTATCACATCAGTTTTTGCATAATAAGTGCTGGTCAGACTCTCCCATCCAGGTACATAACATCTTTGACCGTCCCAGTCAGCTCAGAGGAAATGGTTTTGAATTAATGAAAACGAAACCTTCACTGGTTTTCTTCAATTTCTTATCACATCGCATTACTAATGTTTGGAAGGACATTGAACATGAATTATTGGCAGAGGAAGACAAGAAAAAATTTAAGGACATGTTTTAGTGTATGCAGAAAATGTTGGCGTCGAGCATATTCTTTCAAGAGTTCACAGATTTGTGCCATAATCAACTTGGTTTTAAATATCTACTTATTATAGTTCTATGTTTCTTTTCTTACACAAAAAACTTTTTTTTCTTCACAGGTGGGGTTAGTTAATCCACCTAGTGGTCTTTTTCCCTCCCTGCAATATCACCATACCATCCCGCTGTTGCGAAAAATAAACAAATTGAAAATCTCAGAAAATATGTCCCTCTCCTCGGTGTAATCAAGAAAAATATGTCTCTCGACGATCCCCTAATTTGTCATTCTGTTTTCACGTTTCTCTGACCTCGCCGATAAGGGAACAGAAGGACGCCTTGTTTTCATATTTATCAATTAATTCTACGTGTACTCTTGTTTTCCCTCTCTCATCGGAAGAAAAAAAGTACGTGAACCTCAACGCATAATTTCAGCTGTCTGAACAAGAAGATCGACATGAGTTCTCCGGTTCTTGGAAAAGTCGAGGTTCAGGTTCGAATTACTCGTTCAGTTTTCAAACTAACAAAACATGCACGTCAATAAAATGCGTCCCTTTGGAATACGTCTAGAAATACTTCTTCTCGGAGTCCAGTAGCTTATTCATGCAATTAGCAGGTCATACGATGGCTTCTCGTTGTGATTATTTCCCTAGCTTCAATCATTCCCAGTTGACTCAGTCCCAGTCTTCGTTGTTTAGAAAATCACAGAGAAAATTAATTTAACTAACACTTTTCTTCTTTTGTTCGATCAATCTCGTAAATAAATTTTCAGAGCCAAGGTTTTTTGATTTCTAAATGCCTGAGATCGACGTTGGCTTCATTCCAAAATGGTTCCCCCGTTTTTTCTGTCTTCTTTCGTTCATTCTCAATCCACTATTGGTCTACATTGTAATAACTCAAAATAAGTGCAAAATCGGTCCTTATCGACAATTTCTGGTATGTTTTGCCATATTCGACATGACCTACTCAGCAGTTGATGTAATAGTTGGAATGGTGAGCAAAATGAAAATTTAATTGATAGGACTAATTTTCAGGCTACACATCACTACGAGACATCTTTTTCGGTGTTTGTCAGTCATGGGCCTCTTGTGGATGTAAATTGACTTTCCATGTTCAAATTTTTAAAATTTGAAACGCCCAAGAATATTCAAATCAACAACTTTCAGAATCAACCAATAGCCGATGTAGGTTTAGTCATCCGGTGTTCGTTCATTTGCCTGAGTTACGGTATTCTTGACCTACATTTCATTTACCGTTATATAGCTTTATGCAGGTTTCCGTAGTAGAAAACAATTTTTAATAATGAGTGCTTAAGACCAAAACTTCTACATTGGTTTACCCAACCCTTGTACATAATCGGATGGTTTCTTTTTTGGTTATCATTTGGAATTTATTGGGCAATTGGCAGCGCTTTGGCTTATTTGAACGAAGAGGACCGTGATTTTCTACGGGAAACTTTTCTTGTCAATTATAACGCGAATATCGATGAGATGGGTATTCTTGGAGTAAGATATAAGGTTTGTTATAAGCAATTAAACGAGAAGTGTTTTTTTTTCGAACTAAACTTTGTGTTTTACTGCATAGCTACAGTTCGTAGGTATTTTGAGCTTGCAAAATAAAAATCTAACTGCATCTGCTGGGCTCAAAATTTCATGGGAAAGTCCTGCGAAATGCAAGTTATAGATTCATTCAGGCGAGAACTATCGTGAGGACTTGCACGGTGATGCTGATGGGGAACCTCATGTCGGTGGCCGTTATTATTTCCTACTGCGTCATGGGCTACAAGGTAGAAAAGTTCATCAAACAACACGGATAAAATGAAGGTCTTCAAAAAATGAACAAAAAAAGGTGGCTTGAACTTTAGAATTATTTCTCAGGGATGATTTACTGAACATGATGCCCGAAAGCCCATTCTAAATCCCCCTCCCCCCTTAAAAGGTGTTCTTCAGTAGCGACAATGTTATTCATACTCCAAGGAACGCTCATGCATTCTTCAAAAATATAATCTAAATTCTCACCCTTTCTTCCTCGTCATTTTCCCTCCTCAGTTTCAGATTACTAACCACCTAAAAGTGTCCACAATCAGTTCAACAGCCAAAAGAGTCCACCGACAATTATTCAAAGCCTTGGTGGCTCAAACGACGATTCCTTTTGTGGTCAGCTTCTTACCTTGCATGTTCCTATGGTACAGCCCACTATTTGGTGTTAGTTTGAGCAGGTTAGTTTCGATGAATTTCTGGGCAAATCATAAAAATCTTGCAGTTTCAACAATATCTACACGATTCCCATGCTCAGTGCGTTTCCATTTTGCGACCCCATCGCAATAATCGCAATATTCTCCGAGTATCGAGCTTATGCCTTGAGAATATTCGGAATCAAGACAGTAGTGAGAAATGTACGGTATTCGTCTTCCCAACCAACTACGTCGCTTCAGAACTCAAGAAAGATTTAACCATACGGCTTTTTAATTGTATTAAATATTTTCCATGATTGTTATAAGTTTAATTATGTCAGATTTTTGGATATTGATAAAGTAGCCTTCCAAAATATGGAGCGTGGTTTTTCAAAAATCAATTTCAGACAACTAACTTCAATTTTCGAAGAAGCGCAGCCAGGAGAAGGTCGTGAAGGTCTCGAGGCGAAAAAACGTTTTTCGCGCCTTTAAACGACTTTGCAAAAACTTTTTTCACATTTTGTATACTCCCGAAATCTGATCTATCTGAGTCTCTTTTTTTCTCTCCGGCGAAGTCATAAAAACGCTGAAATAGCATGCAAACTGAGAGGGTTGCCAAGAAAAAGAGGGCGCAGAGAAATTTAGCTGTGTAAAGCTTCTGGGGCATGGACTAGGAGAATGATATTTTCAATAGCGAATTGAGAAAATTCTGACGAAATTGAATTATTTATCATTGAAACTCCTTTGGAAACCGATTTGCTTTCAACTTTTTTTTTAGATTTTAGTAAGTTTCCAATACTTTCAAAGACCTCAATGATGATATAATAAATTGAAAATTTCTACTTGTCTGCGTCTCTTTTCTCTCCGCATCAAGGTCATAGAAGCAGGAGAATAACATGTGATTATGAGAGAGCGGCCGAGAGAAAAGAAAGCGCAGAGAAATCAGAATTTCGAGTTTAGACGAGCGAAATACTTGAAGCAGTTAACAAATCTTCACCTCAAAAAAATTTTTTGGAAATTTTTGTCCTTTTTCCTTTCAAAACAGCCTAAAACAATTCTTTAGAAAAGCTTGTCCCTTGTTTTTATTTCAATTTTTCAAGAACGCAATGTTTTCTCAGAGTGTCATCGGGTTCATTGGATATGCGTCGGAAAATTGGCCCTTTGGGATCAGTTTTCGTCGGGTTTGTCTACTTTTACCATATCATTAACACGGTTATCAGGAATTTCGTCAGAAGCTCAGAGATTATTCTATTTTTTCCGTTCCTAATTTGTGCTTTAACTTTTCTTCTGATTTTTGAAACTTTTCGGTTATTGGCTCATTGTGGCAGTGATTCTCTCTTCTTCCTTTTCAAAGAAACTGACAAAACTCCAAGATTCCAAAATTTTGGATCCAAAAAAGGATTTTCAATATTCAAATGCCTGAGATCGACGTTGGATTAATCCACAAATGGCTGCCCCGCCTTTTTTGCCTTCTTTCATTTATTCTAAATCCACTATTGATCTACATTGTAATAACCCAAAATAAGTGCAAAATCGGTCCTTATCGACAATTTTTGGTCTGTTTCGCCTTATTTGATATGACCTACTCAGCGGTTGACTTTTTCGTTGCTGTGGTAAGTGAAATGGAACTTATTCTTTTTTTCGAATTGACCAAATTTCAGGCCGCACATCACTATGAATCATCTTTTTCTGTTTTTCTCAGTCATGGGCCTCTAGTTGATGTGAGTTTTGTTGAAGACATGAAAAACGTCTTCAAATTTGAAAAAAGTTGATCTATTTTCTTGCTCCGCCTTTTCATTTCGAAAGCTATTTTGGGTTTGTGTGTCGCAATTGCGGGACTCATAACGCAAAACGTTTTTTTTTACTTATCAGTTTTCTTTTATTGAAAATTGAAACTTTTCTTAATGATGAATTCCAGAGCCCAGTCCTTGGTGAAATCGGCGTGATAATCCGTTGCTCATTTGTAAGTTTGAGTTATGGCATCTTTGAGATACACTTCCTTTACCGCTACATAAATCTGTGCAGGTTTTTTTCTTGATCGAAAAATTATTCTGAATATTCTTCAGACCCAAATTGATTCACTGGTTTACCCGACCATTATACATTTTTGGATGGTTCCTTTTTTGGTTGTTTTTTGGTATTTATTGGGCTCTCAGTGTCAGTATGGCTCGGTTGAACGAGGAGGATCGCGAATTTCTGCGTGAAAGTTTTTTCGTCACTTTTAATGTCAACATTGATAACGTCAGCCTTGTTGGGATACGGTACAAGGTTAATATTATTTTTTTCACCTGTCGGAGAGTAGAATAATAATGGAATAAGTAATTAAGGCAAAGACTATTGTCAGGACTTGTATAGTAATGATGCTGGTCAATACGTTGTCGGTTGCAGTAATCGTTTCCTACTTTGTTCTGGGCTACAAGGTGATGATTAAAACAGAAACGATAGTTAGGGGAATGAATCTCGAAAAACCTTTTTACAAGAGGAGTGAGAATGCATATTTCGATCAAACATGGCTGAGAGGTACTCAAAAACACCCTTATTCAATTGAACACGAAAAAATTCGCCTCTTGACTTTTAGTAGAGCTATGACGCTTGAAAATCTTTAAATAACGCTATTTTATCATTATTTGGGTAGTTTGCAAGCTTCGAAGCGTCATAGCTCGACTGCAAGGCGAAAGTAGATTTTTTTTTCCTTGTTGTAGAATAAGGAGGTCCCAAGTCCATCCCAACGAAGTTTCATCCAAAATCGAACGGGGGCTGGAAATGCCTCTCTTGTCAAAAAAATCAATAAAAGCCCACTAAAAAAAAATTAATTAAGATCAACAATCATCTGAAGGTTTCTACACTAAGTCTAGCTGCGAAGAGAGTTCATCGTCAGTTGTTCATGGCTCTAATCGCCCAAACAACCATTCCTTTTGTGGTCAGCTTCTTGCCCTGTTTACTTATATGGTACACGCCCATGTTTGGTATTAGCTTGGGCAGGTTATAATCATTTTTTATTTGAGAAAAATGATGAAAATTTTACAGTTTCAACAACTACTACACGATTCCGATGTTCAGCGCCTTCCCACTTTGTGATCCTATCGCAATAATCGCTATATTCTCTGAATATCGTGCCTACATCTTGAAACGTTTCGGAATAAAGACAGCCGTGAGAAATGTGCGATATTCCTCTTCCGGTACAATTAAAGAGCTGTCGGACTCCAACCACCGTAGACAAGACGTTAAAATGATTTTCTTGAATATTGTTGGTCATAACTGATTTTCAATAAATATTCGTTTTTTTTTCTCCGGACATAGCACGTTCCGCGTCAGATTGCAACCATTATGTTTCCTCCCGTTTTAGTTTTCGAATAAAAAACTTCTCTACTCAAATAATGGATGCAAATGGCAACATACCGAGAGCTGGAAATAGAAAAATGTTCATGATTATAATCAATATTTAGCTCGTCAAATAAAATACACGAACATAAAAAAAAAGGAAAATGAAAAATTACAGGAAAAACGGTAAAGAAATGGAAATTTTAAGTACCAAAATATTGGTTCCACGAAAACAAAAATGTAACGCAGGGTGTGCGCGCTTTTTACGCAAATGCGGCGCGGTTGTCTAAAGCGTTGTTGTGAGAGAATAGTTTCAAGATGCGGCAAAAATTTTTGCAGACGTTTCTCAGGCTACCGTAACCTTTACGTTGAAAATAGAACGGTTAAAAAATTTTTTCTTAATATTCAATAAATCTTGCTCAAAAATGTACTGCATCAAAAAAATTAAATGTGTTTAATTTTTTTAAAACAATTTGCGGTCTCTAGGCATAGAGAAGATTTTCCATTTCTTTCCATGAAAAAAACAATTGTACCTAATGGTTAAAGGAGACCAAAATTGTAAAGTTCTCGAGGAGAAAAGCAATTTGTCTTCGATTCACCCTGAAAGCTGTTTCTGATTGACTATAAATGAAAATCCCAATATATTTTTTCCTAATGGGAAGCTAACTATTCGAATAAAAGAAAAAAACCTAATGAATAATTCTACTAACTTCATCCTAGATTCGATTCAAAAATGAAAGTTCCTATGGAACGCCAGAGTGGTCTCTATAGAGGCAACCTTAGGGACCTTTAAGGTTTTCTATGTACCAAATTACATTCACCAAAAGGCCGGCAAAGGCTTGCAGAAGTGACCCCTGTTGGGGCCATTATTCTTATGAGCTTTAGGAGAAGAAGGGTTCATGAAAAACTCAACAATTCACAATATTTGAACGAAAAGATATCAAAAAAGGATAAACCGAATAAAGTATGTCTATATAATCCCTCAAAGGGGGGGGCTCAGGGCCGACTATTTTGTAGAAGGTTTTCCTATAAGGATTTTTATCCCTGAACCCGCCTAGGGACCACTCTGGAGTTCATTTGTCTGACCTTCCCTTTTCTCAGAAGGTTGTCAAATTGAGTAATTACGTCAGAACAATGACCCAGTGAATTGAACTTTTCCATCTGCCTTTTTTTTCCGTCTTCCAATTAAAGCGTTGTCAACAGCTTTAACAAAAGTTCATAAGTTCTTGCTACGTCGATTTTCTCACTTTTGGCGATTTTGGTTAGGATCGCAACTACAAATTCACTTTCTGAGCCAAACTTGATTCATAAAAATTTGTAAAAAGCCTTTCAGGAGTAAATAATAAAGAGAAATTAAAAGTTTACGAATGCCCGAGGTCGACGTTGGCCTTATACCAAAATGGCTTCCGCGTTTTTTCTGCTTTCTCTCATTTCTCTTCAATCCACTACTGATCTATCTTGTCATCACCCAAAATAAGTGCAAAATTGGTCCTTATCGACACTTTTTGATATGTTTCGCGTTATTCGACATGACCTACTCAGCTGTCGATATCATTGTGGGAATGGTGAGTGAAACATGGCCAACTTTCCTGGTCTTAAAAGGCGATATGGGCAAATTAGTGAGAGTGAAGCGTTGCGTATGCGACGCGGCTTTTTGCGGGAAATCCGAGATCAAACGCTGATGACAAGTTGTGACCTCCAGGTTCCCGTCAAAAAGCCGCGTCGCGTACGCAAGGCTTCACCTTTGCCAATATACTCATCTCGTCTTGCAAGTCGGGAAGGATAAACTATAAAGCTTTCCAAGTTTGAAAAAAATGCCAAATTTTCAGGCTTCTCATCAGTACGAGTCTTCTTTCTCCGTTTTTGTTAGTCAAGGACCTCTTGTCGATGTAAATCCTTTCCAGTTTAATGTTTCAAAGTCTTCAAGTCTCAGAACCCAGTCCTTGGCGAAATATCTCTAATCATCCGTTGCTCATTTGTCAGTCTAAGCTACGGTATTTTCGAAATACACTTCATCTATCGCTACATACTTCTGTGCAGGTATCCTTCCTTCAATTTTTTTTAAAATCACTTCTTTCGAAATTTCTTAAGACCAAAACTTCTCCACTGGTTCACCCAACCCTTGTACATATTCGGATGGTTTTTGTTTTGGTTATTTTTCGGTATCTACTGGGCTATTAGTGTAACTTTGGCTCGTCTTAATAAAGAAGATCGAGAATTTCTAAGAGAAACATTCATGAATACTTATAACGCTAATATTGACGACCTCGGAATCTTGGGGCTTCGCTACAAGGTTGAATAAGGTTATTTTTTTTATCAAATGGAAAGATTTAGGCGAAAACGATCGTGAGAACGTGCACAGTGATGTTGATGGATAACTTCATATCATTATCTGTTATCACTTCTTACTTTGTCCTGGGATACAAGGTAGGAAAATTATGGAAAACCTCACGGATTTCGGGTATTTTCAAGATTTCAGACTTGCCATTTTGTGGAAGTTTCCTTTTCGCATTGCTCATAAATCTATCTTTCTGAAAATAAATGAATTCAAAGTAAAAACTCTGGCTTCCAAAAAATGTGATCAGCAGAAACTTCGCTCTATAGACAAACTGTATTTTCATAAATTTTTCCTATGTCTTATAAAAGCTCTACATCCCTTAGCTTCCGAGATAGACACAAATTTTGAATATTTTGGCTTTCGGAGTTTTCAAAGTTAAAATAAGGTTACGGTAAGCAAATCTGTGTACACCGAATTTGTTCTTTCCTGGCGCGAGTTTCTCTCAAAATTATAGATTTTTTTTTTCCATTATCCTATACAAAATCAGGATTACGACAAAAAAACTGTATAATATGGCTTTTAGGAGCTCAAAAATCACGTTTTGATGGCCAATAAGCCTTTGAAACCTTCAACTAAAAAGAATCTTTTTCCGTTTATAGATTAGAACAAATGGAAGTTCCAGTTATTTCTCTTTTTACGTTGTCAACTAATGAAACCTCATTCAGATAAACAAGCAACTAAAAATTTCTACAATAAGCCCGACTGCGAAAAGAGTTCATCGACAGCTTTTCTTGGCTCTAATCATCCAAACGACGATCCCATTCCTTGTCAGCTTCCTGCCCTGTTTGCTTATATGGTATGCGCCCCTGTTCGATATCAACCTGGGCAGGTTATCATCAGTTTCATTTTGATACAATCACTGAAATCCTTCAGCTTCAACAACAACTACGCGATCCCGATGTTCAGCGCTTTTCCCTTCTTTGATCCAATCGCAATAATTGCAATATTTTCCGAATACCGAGCTTATGTCTTGAAACATATTGGAATCAACAATGTGGTGAAAAATATGGGGTCTTCGACTTCAAATACAATCAAAGAACAGTCAGACTCGAATAACCGTAATATTGTGAGGAAATAAAATTTTTTTGATAAAAAAAAGTCTTCGACAGTGGAAGAGGTGACCAGCAGATCTACGAATGGACCATTATTAAAAAAAGCAAATAAATAAACTGCATAGCAAAATAAACTTTTTTAGGCCTTGAAAGTTGGTTCTGAAGTCTGAAGCCCTAAAAACGTGTTTTTTTTTTTTAAATTTAATAATTTACAATAAACCTGAAAAATCTCCTGACACCTAATTGAATACTTATCATAATGAATAACAATGCAAATATATTATTAATAGTTTTTGGGATAAAAAAATTGCTATATCCAGACTGCACCTTCGTCAAAACTGCACCCCCCACAGGAATAGGGAAAAAGAATTCATTTTTGTCCTCGTTATGTCTCTAAGTACATTAATGGAAAAGCTAGCTGAAGCTCATTTCAATTTTGGCTTGAATTCTCCTCCAACCACTCCATTTTCCACCTGACAGAAATTTCTGAAAAATAAAATCCAAGTTAGGAGCTTTAACAAAAAAAAAAGTCTCTTGATATAATTCTTATCAAGTCACGGAGCCAAGAAAGCTTTCAAATGCCTGAGATCGAACTTGGCGCGATTCCAAAATGGCTGCCCCGATTTTTCTGTCTTCTCTCCTTTATTTTCAACCCAATACTGATCTACCTCGTTCTGACTCAAAATAAGTGCAAAATCGGCCCTTATCGACAACTTTTGGTCTGTTTCGCCTTATTTGATATGACCTACTCAGCGGTCGATGTTATCGTCGGGATGGTAAAAGAAACAGGGATTTTCTCCTTGAAATTAAATATTTTTCAGGCGGTACATCATTACGAAACAGCTTTCATTGTGTTTGTCAGCCATGGGCCGCTAGTTGACGTGAGAAACTTTGAAAACTTCGCGATCAAACTAACCTAACCTTCAAAACTAGAAAAATACCTTCTCTTTAGAACCTACTCGAACCTCGGTAACGAAAACCGGACGCGCTCTGGACGTTTCTGAGCACTTCTAGGGAACCCTGAAAAATGGTGACACTACTAAAGTGGTCGCTAGAAGTGTCCCGACACGCCCGAATTGCATCCGGTTCCCTTTACCATGATCCGAGCAGTTCTCATTTTTACTTGATAAATAACTTTACTCTAGAACCCGGTTGCTGGCCAAATCGGTGTCATCATTCGATGTTCCTTCATTTGTCTCAGCTACGGCACTTTTGAACTACATTTCATTTACCGTTACATTGCTCTTTGCAGGTATATTGTCCCTCAAAAATCGTGTAAAACTTTGTTCAGACCCCAACTAGTTCACTGGTTCACTCATCCGGTATACATCTTTAGATGGTTCCTTTTTTGGATATCTTTCGGTTTCTATTGGGCTTTTGCCTGCTCTTTTGCTTATTTGAACAAAGAAGACCGTGATTTTCTTCGTGAAAATTTTCGGGACAATTACAACGTCGACATCGATGATCTTGGAGTTTTGGGTGTTCGGTACAAGGTTCATTTCGAATTCATGAAAACGGGAGTTCTCTGAGCGTAAAATGGAAAAAGGACATGTTTTTCAAGTCTTTCTATGAAACTGAGCCCATGGGAGCTGATTTTTCATAAAACTTCATCGGGAAAATGATGTTATCATTTTAAAAAAAAGAAAATCTTTCAGAACGCTCATGGTTTCTAGGGAACTTCTGAGCGAAATTTAGAGCTGTGAATTTTGTGGTTGAAAGGGTTTCGAGAGTCGATTTCAAGACTTAAAAAATCTATTTGGGATCAAAAGTGAGTAACTTATTCGGGCAGTAAAATATACAGTTTCACTTTTTTCGTCATAACTTTTCGTGGAGTTGCCCAATTATTCTCATGATCGACACAATTGTTTCTTACGGGTTCAGTTTGTGCGTCGAGTTCATTCTCGCTTGCTTCACTATAAAACTATAACCCGAAATAAAAAAAAAGTTCAAAGTTCAGCGCGCTTGATTTATTTTGTGATTTTGATATTATCGAGTGCTTGAACAGTTTTGTGATGGAATTCTTTCTCTAAACTTTCGAAATGAGGTTAATGTAAAGTTTTCCATAGTACTAGACAGTTTTTGGAACGAGTAGAAATCTAATCGAAAAGATTTTATTCATTTTGAATTTTAGAGTTCAAATTCGTGTTTTATGATCTCAAACAAAAATGAATATCTATCAAGGGCTACTCCAAACTCCTAAATTCTACATGAAGTTGAATAAACTCCTTACAAAGGCATAACCTATTCCAGGCACCTCTACCAAGCACGATTTTGAGAAATTGCATAGTTATGAGTATGGTCAACGTCATGTCCTTGTCAGTTATCGTCTCATATTGTGTTATGCGATACAAGGTAAGGTTTAACTTACTAAGTAATAACAGCCGAAAGACTTTTCATAAAAAAAAAGTTCGCCAATACTTGATAGCGGCCTGAGGCATCAAAAACCATCAAAGAAAGCCTATTGAAGACGAAGTTCTTTGTGACACGACCTTTATTGCCTTTTTCACTTTGTATAACTACAAAAAGTTTATCAAGTCATCGTGATCGAAGTGTACCAGAAAATCTACGCATTTTTATTGTCATATATTCAGTTTTTCAGATTAATAAATTCCTGAAAATCTCAACAATCAGCACCGCCGCAAAAAGGGTTCATCACCAGCTTTTCCGAGCCTTAATCGCCCTAACGGCTATCCCATTTGTAGTCAGCTTCGTACCATGTTCTTTCGTGTGGTATACACCATTTTTTGGTGTGAACTTGGGCGTGTTTATCCTAATCGATGATTCGAAAGAAATAAACTGTTTTTTACAGCTTCAACAACAACTACACTATCCCCATGCTCAGCGCTTTCCCGTTTTGCGACCCAATTGCAATTATCGCTATATTTTCCGAATACCGAGCTTATATTCTGAACTTATTTGGGGTAAAGAACACCGTGAAGGATTTGCGATATGCTACAATACTTAGAACTACGGATCTTCAGTCAGAGTCCAAAAATCGTGTACATGATGCGAACGCGGCATCCTTCAGTATCAGCAACCATTTTTGAGTTATTTCTATGTTGATAAACTCTTTATAAATTGTAAGAAAGTTTCGAAAAAACTCAAAAAAAAAAATTAAAACGAACAAAAATCCGGAAATTTCGTTAGATCCAAGGTGAAAAAATCAAGTTGGAGTGTTCTGCTTGTAAAACTTGAATGTGTGGAGCCTTAATTTTCAAATCACGGCTATTTCTTTGATACTCGTCGGAAAGTCAAAAATTTCAATGTTTTCAATTGAGCTTATTTTTGGAGGGTATATATAGACGATTCACGGCTAGCTTGGGACGCGAAAAAGGCGTGGCCTGTCTGCACTCTCCACTAACCAGGGCACTGTCTCGTCTCTTTTCGTGGCAGGACCCTTTTCTCGATGGCTCAAGCCAGCCGTGAACCAGCTATAGATCTTGTCCCTCTGGTTACAGAAAACCAATCGGTTTTCAGGAAAAAAAAAATTTGGAGCGCAGATATGACTTTTCAAAGCTCCGCCAAACATCAGGAATTGAGAGTACGAAAAGAATACCCTTTTATTATTATTTTTCTAGCTCCTCTACAAATTCCCAACTGAACTCTCGGACTACGCAGCAGCTGTTTGACAACGCAACTGAGCCACAGGAGAGTAGTTTTGGAAAAAATTTTTGCAAATTATCGCCTCATTTTCTTTTACAAGCGGCGCTCTGAACTACCAAAAAAACACTTTTATATCAGGCAGTTTAAAAAACATTTACGGCTTTCTGATTACAAAATGCCCGAGATCGACGTCGGCTTCATTCCAAAATGGCTGCCTCGTTTTTTCTGCTTCTTCTCATTCATTTTCAATCCACTATTGATCTACCTTGTTATAACCCAAAATAAGTGCAAAATCGGTCCTTATCGGCAATTTTTGGTATGTTTCGCTTTATTCGACATGACCTACTCAGTAGTCGATGTTATAGTGGGAATGGTGAGTGCAAGACTGGATGGTAAGATAAAATATCAGATTCGACAAAGATCGTAGCCAGGAAACTTGTAGACTTATAACGTGCTTGAATTAAACGTTAACGATACATGCGAATCTAATTTTTGTTTAATTTTCTAATTATATTACAGTTTATTGAGCATTAAAACTCATTTTTGCAAGAATTGAGTCATAAGTTCCGATACTTGATAGGTAAATCCGCTTTTGAAGATCGGGAGTTAAAAGCCTTTGTTCTGAAATAAGTCAATTTTCCGGCTTCACATCACTACGAATCAGCTTTTGCCGTTTTTGTCAGCCACGGACCATTTGTCGATGTAAGAAATACTCAAAATCAGTTTTTAACTGATCTTATTCTAGAATCGGATTTATGGCGAAATCGGTGTAATCATTCGATGTGCTTTCATTTGCCTGAGCTACGGTATTTTCGAGCTTCACTTCATTTATCGCTACATCGCTCTGTGCAGGTTTTTTGTTGCTTCAACATTTTTCACTATATATTCTTGAGGCCTCATCTCATTCACTGGTTCACTCGGCCATTGTACATCTTTGGATGGTTTCTTTTTTGGCTCTCTTTTGGTATCTATTGGGGTTTCGCCGGTTCTTTGGCTTATTTCGACAAGGAAGACCGCGAGTTTTTGCGCGGAACTTTTTTAGTCAGTTACAAAGTCAATATAGATGAGCTTGGACTTATTGGAGTCCGATATAAGGTCTTTTCAAAAATATGGGCATTCTAAAAATTAAAGCTTTTCAGACAGCTCGACCAGAAACGCTTTTAAGATACTGCATAGCCTTGGGAATGGCTAATGTGATTTCTATATCGGTTATCGTTTCCTATGTGTTTCTGGGGTACAAGGTGATATTGAAGATGATCCATACGTATGTTAGGTCCCGTCCGAGAGTAGGCGTTCTTTTAACCTGGTATTTTTCTCTTTAAAGTTTTCGAAAACTATGAGAAAAAATTTGGCGTCCAAAAAACAGGGAATGGGTCTAGCCTACGTTTTATGTAGTCAATCCGTCCCGACCTGAAAGGCGAGAGAGACGGAGGAGTGGGCTGGACGCGTAGCGTGTGCGTACGCGGTTTCTGGCAAGAATTCAATTTAACCGACAGTGGCTATTCGTAGAGCTCGTTTATAGCTTTTTTCTGTATCTATTCCACTATTTTATGATGCCTACATGACAAAAAATCAATAAATAATGAAAAAAGAAATCAAAAGAGCGATAAACGAGCTCTCCAAATAGTCGTTGACGGTTGAATTGGACTCGTGCCAAGAACCGCGAACGCACACGCTACGCGTCCTGCGTTTCACGCCTTTCAAGTCAGGAAAACTGACTATATAATCTCCAGTGAATAGAAAACGAAGCGAACTTTCAGATAAACCATTTTCTGAAAATCTCCACAATCAGTGCGGATGCAAAAAGAGTTCATCGACAGTTATTTCTGGCTTTAATTGCACAAACGGCTGTTCCATTTTTGGTCAGCTTTTCGCCTTGCCTGTGTTTGTGGTACACGCCTTTATTTGGTGTAAACTTGGGAAGGTTTGTCTCTATCAATGATCACAATAAAGTAAAACCTGCTTTTCCAGCTTTAACAACTACTATACGATCCCGATGCTCAGTGCTTTTCCATTCTGTGATCCGATCGCAATTATCGCGATTTTCTCCGAATACCGAGCTTATATCTCGAAAAAATTTGGAGTCAAAAAAACAGCAAACACACTGAGATACTCTTCTTCTATTCAAACTACGGAGCTTCAGCCGGAGTACAGAAATCGTGTAAAAGATACAAACTCGGGCTTCTTCAGTGTCAGTAACCAAACTCGACCAGTTCCTTGATGTTAGTAAATATTCGATGAATTGTCAAAGTTCCAGGTCCAAGTCTCATCAATTTCCAGTTGTAAAACACTATTCCAACAGTTCATAAAAAAAATTGATTGAATTTACAAGCACTGGACAAAGCTGGGCGCCGTACTGCTCCTACACGGAAATGGAGCTGATTGCCGAAATGCTCAAAACTTGTCTACTATCACAAGAAGATGATCTACGCGCAGTTCTTGATCAACGACGGTTTCGCGAATCGACGAACAACTCTCTAATTATCCGATGACTTAGCACATAATCTTCTCTGAATACTGAATTTTTTGAGGTCACGTCGCAAAGTATGACGCAGTTCTTAGTTAATTGTCGACGTCTGAGTTAATTCTCTTGAGAATCTTTTTATCTCGCAATAGACCTTTATCACCCCTCATTAACTGCTAGGACAAAGTTCTTTTTTTTTTCATTTTCTCCGTAGTCCGCCCTTCATTAACCTCGTCAAGCTACTGAAGATCTTTCGAAAAAACCAATCTTCATAGTTTCAAAACAGTTAATTCAATTCTCAAATGCCTGAGATCGACGTCGGCTTCATTCCAAAATGGTTCCCCCGATTTTTCTGCCTGCTTTCTTTCATTTCCAACTCTCTACTAATCTACCTTGTTGTGACTCAAAATAAGTGCAAAATCGGCCCTTATCGGCAATTTTTGGTATGTTTCGCCGTATTTGATATGACCTACTCGGCCGTTGACGTTATTGTGGGAATGGTTAGTTAAAAAAGCATCCTTAACTTTTTCACAATGATTCATTTTCAGGCTTCACACAACTACAAGTCAGCTTTTGCCGTTTTTGTTAGCCACGGACCCCTTGTTGATGTGAGAATTCATAAAATAAGGAGCTTTCAAGCATTACCTGAATCAAACAATCAACTTCTTTCAAAGTTAACTTTTTTGTTCTCAGAACCCTCTCGCTGGCAAAATCGGCATAGTCATTCGCTGCGCATTCATTTGCCTGAGTTACGGTATTTTCGAGATACACTTTATTTATCGCTACATTGCCTTGTGCAGGTTTTCACTCATTTGAAACCTTTTCCAAACTTTCTCAGGCCAAAAAAGATACACTGGTTCACCCGGCCAGTGTACATATTCGGATGGTTCTGCTTTTGGCTATTTTTTGGTTTATATTGGGCTTTCGCTGGCTCTTTATCTTATTTGGATGAAGAGGAGCGCGAATACCTACGTGAAAATTTTCTTGCCACCTACAACGTTAATATAGATGAACTCGGGGTTATGGGCTTCCGATACGACGTTTTTCACAAAAAATAGAAGATATCAAAAAATTGAAGATGTTCAGGCGAATCAACCAACTACAATTGTGAGAACTTGCATATCTTTGGGCATGGGAAACATCATATCGATAGCGGTTATTGTTTCCTATGGAATTATGGGATACAAGGTAATAATAAAAAATTGGAAAATACATACATATATAGCAAATTAGGCTACAAAATCCGAGGTTATTCACTCTATAAGGTCTTTCAGCCATGGAATTTTCAAAACTAACATTGCTCAAAATTGTAACGGTTTTGAGCCAAGAATTTTAGTAAGGTAATGCGCTCCATGGGTGACTCCCAGAAATGGATTTTTCCATTCAAGTTTTCTTGTTTCTTTTTAAAGAACATAATAAAATATTAAAACGCGGTTAATCAAATAACCGAGCTTTTAAGTTGAATGTGATTCGAATTTTTGCTGAAAATTTTTCAGATAAACAAATTTCTGAAAATTTCTACAATCAGTTTGACAGCTAAACGGATTCACCGGCAGTTATTTCTAGCCTTAATCGCCCAAACTACAATTCCTTTTGTAGTCAGCTTCTTGCCCTGTCTCTGTTTGTGGTACACGCCTTTATTTGGTATTAATTTGGGAAGGTGAGCCCTAAAAATTAAATACAGAGGAGAGATTAAGATTCCAGCTTCAACAACAACTACACAATCCCAATGCTTAGCGCTTTCCCATTTTGTGATCCCATCGCCATAATTGCTATTTTTTCTGAGTACCGAGCTTATATCTTGAATATCCTTGGAGTCAAGACCAAAGTGATGGAAACACGAGACTCCTCTTCTATCCAAACCAGGGACACCCTATCTGAGTCTAAAAATCGTATACAACATGTAAAAACGGCAATATTCAAGATTCTACCCCATAATTGACTTTTTCAATGATTTCGATAATAAAATTTGGCAACAGAGCCATTGAAGTTTGATGAAAAATCTTCGGCTTGAAAAAATTCTAATGATAAGTTTCAAAAATATGGAAACCGTCAATTTCCGAGCCATACGCTGGACTTCAGAAGTTTGCTCCACATTTCAAAAAATAGAGATTGAGAGAGTTGCGGAAAGGTTTTCAAAAGGGTGTATTCATGAACAATTGTCTACATAGGGCTAGAATTAAACATTTATGATTATAGGCTACAGACTGAAACTTCAATCTTTTTTTTTCTATGGTTCGGCAGACTTTTCTCTCTTGCTCAGAAAGTCACAGAATATTTTTCTCTTACTTAAAATGCCTGAGATCGACGTTGGCTTCATCCCAAAATGGTTTCCCCGATTTTTCTGCCTACTTTCTTTTATTTTCAATCCACTACTGATTTATCTAGTTATAACCCAGAATAAGTGCAAAATCGGTCCTTATCGACAATTTTTAGTATGTTTCGCCTTATTCGACATGACCTACTCTGCTGTGGATACTTTTGTGGGAATGGTAAGGAATCTTCTTTTCTTTTCGAGATAAAGTTTATTTTTCCAGGCGGCGCATCACTACGAATCAGCTTTTACCGTTTTTATCAGCCACGGACCTCTAGTTGATGTAAGTAAACTTTAAAAAAAACCTTTTGAAATTTTGATTGAGCTTAAGAAAAAGCAGGAAAAATCTTCGGTTCGATTTCAAACATTTTTTTTTGTTATTTTTTTGACATGTGAGCTTAGAATTACTGATATTTAACTCCATGAAATCCTCCTCATCAACACTTGTAACTGTCTGACTAGTCTTTGCTCTTCTTTTACTCATCAGTAAGTTTAAAGGAACGGTCAATAAAGTACCAAGTTTTAAAAATCATTCAAAAATCGGGAGAAAATTTTGAATGAAGCCAATCTCAACTTTCTAATAAATAATCTCAGGACCCAGTCATTGGAGAAGCCGCCCTAGTCTTACGTTGTTCATTCGTTTGCCTGAGTTACGGAATTTTCGAGATTCACTTCATCTATCGTTACATTGCACTGTGCAGGTTTTTATCCCTTTTCGCTTGTAAATATCACTTTTTCAGACCAAAACTCATTCACTGGTTCACGCGACCAATCTATATACTCGGCTGGATCTGTTTCTGTTTATCTTTCGGCATATATTGGGGTTTCGCCGGATCTTTGATTTATTTGAACAGGGAGGACCGCGACTTTCTACGTGAGACTTTTCTCGTCAACTTCAATGCAAATATCGATGAGATGGCCATTCTTGGAGTGCGTTATAAGGTTTACCGTGAGAAAAGTTAATAATCAACCTTATAATTGAATTTTGGGCAACCCTACCTTCTACAGTTCTGAGAACTTCGATAACAATGATAATGGTTAATACTATTTCGGTAGTAGTTATTATTTCCTACTGTGTCTTGGGATACAAGGTGATGATAAGAATCAACATTTTTGACGAAAAAATTTCAGATAAACAAGTATCTGAAGATCACTACGATCAGCACTGCCGCAAAAAGAGTCCATCGCCAATTGTTTTTAGCTTTGATCGCCCAAACGGCTATTCCTTTTTTGGTCAGCTTTGTACCCTGCTTATTCCTCTGGTATACGCCATTTTTCAGTGTAAACTTGGGCAGGTCAGTTTCGACCAATCTCGAAAAAACAAATAAAATTCTTAGCTTCAACAACATCTACACGATTCCCATGCTCAGCGCTTTCCCGTTTTGTGATCCAATAGCGATTATCGCTATATTTTCTGAATACCGAGCTTATATCCTCAACTTATTCGGATTCAAAACAGCAGTCAAGAAAGTCCAATATTCTTCAGCCAATCAATCTGCCGAGGTTCCGATAGATCCAAGAAATCCCATAAAAACTATCAAATCAGTTTTCTTCGGCATCTTTGGTCATAATCAACTTACTTCATGATTACATGATCCCAATAAAGATGCTTCAACATTTTGGACAGTTGTTTGGAAATCAAGGAACTGTTGTTTTAAAATGGGAATCTCAGTTTTTAAAACTTTTGAAACAAACGATACATGTAAAGGTATTTCTGAACATCAATCTTCAATTATTTACCAATTTCTTCAAATTAAGTTCATTTCTACTACCTAGTCAAAACAGGAATAACTTTTTGATGACGCAGTTCAAAAACTTCCATTCTTTGAACTTGAGAATTTCGCCCTCAAAGGTCGGAAAGGCTGTGAAAGGCTATCATGCGAATTTAATTTTTTTGATTATATGGTCACACGAAAGGTTAGACACAAAAAATTAAAACCAGTCCGACTTTTCTTTAAGGTTTCAAAAAAAAACCACATAAAAAAGAGTGCGAAAAATAATTTCAACAAGAAAGCTGTGGAGAGAGAAAATTCAAAATGAGATGGTTAATTGAGTTCCCTGATCTAAAAAAATGCACATTTTTTTTACTTTTCAACTAATTTTTACGCTGGTCAGGTGTCTTATCTATGCGTCTCGGTTGGGCTAAAAGGGGAGAACAACGAGCGCAAGAAGCAGTAGGTGTCCCAGCTAAGTTTTTTTCGGCAACCCAGCTGTGCCCAGCAATCGGTGATTCTACTGTGGTAAAAAAATTATTATTATCTGATTTCATCACGTCGACTAGTCGGTCTCATTGCCGCTCTCTCATGGGATAATACTCCGACGCCCGTCGGCCCTGGACAAGCTGGGCATTGTACTGTTCCAACATGGTGAAGCATTTTATTCGCTGGTACTACCACCCACAGGACCACATTATTTCCCAACTCTAGCTGTCACTCCGTGACTTATTGGACAGCGATTGTGGACCGTAACCCGTGCCGACGACTAAATCTTCGATTATACCATGATTCAGCAGAGATTCTCTGCATCTTACTCTGAAGACTGAATAAATTGAGATTGAAATTGAATTGAAAAAAATGTATTAGTTTTGCTCACGGGCTTAAAACGGGCAGACCCACTGAGACCCCGTGCTGGAACGGCTGGCTAACCCTCATGAGCATGAGTGGGAGTTATATAGCTCATTCCGCGCTAGCTTGCCGCAATTTTTTTTTCCTCCTACCCGTGTTCCGTGTATTTTCTTCATTCCGTGTATTTTCTTCACTCGAAGTGGTAGCTCTCTCAACCGGCCGAGGCTACCCTAGAGTGTACACGGCGTCCGTGTCCGAGCCCTACTATCCCCGCCGTGCCCGTACCCGCGAAACTGAGATATCTACTTGTGGAAGAACGAGGCGGACCGTAAGACCATGCTTTCAACTCAACCGACTACACGTTTTGACTTCTTTTTCGCCAAAGGCGGTGTTAGTGCCGCTCAAAAGAGCAATTTTTTCACCGCCTAGTCGATTCCATCTGACTAAAACAACCAATAAATATTGATTGAGTGACCCTTCCAGAAAGCTTCGTTTCGATGCGCGTGGTCTGCCTGTGTGTCTGCGCCTTTAAAATAACAAATCTTTCAGATAAAATTAAAGGCGCGAGAAAAGAAAGAAGCCGTTTCAATCAAAAGGAAGCTTCCCAGAAGGGTTCTGTAGCTCGGAGAGAAATAAAAAAACAGTGCAAGCTGGACCGGGATGGGCTATAACGACTTATCAGAGAAAGGGAAAATGGCACCCTAATCCAACTAAAAGCGTGATATTTTATTCCTTATATTAAGCGTGGTACTCGCAAGAAATTCCTAGAAAAGCTTCCCGAAACTTTTAAAAAGTGACTATTTATGATTCTTTTGTACCAATTTGTAAAATAAAAATGTCCGCAAAAATTTAAAATTTACTTGAAATTGTACAAAAATTTTTACTTTCCCAAATAAAGTTTACAAAGGAGCTCAAAGTTTTATCAAATTATCCCGCCTGTTCGAACTTCCTATTGAAGCTATGAGTTTTAGAATGATTCGATGAACTCAAAAGCTTTTGAACTTCATTTCATAGAATAAAAACCGGAAGAGCTGTGTGAGGTTATCATGAAAAATATTTTCAAAAAAAATTTCGCTCGTTGTTTTTCTGCTTTTTAGATGAGCCAACTTGACGAGAAACTATAGTGCGCTTTCTTACGGTAAGATATCTTCTGATCTCACTCAAAAAATCACAGAACACTTTCCTCAATGGACGAAATCGACGTTGGCATTGTTGCCAAATGGCTTCCCCGTTTATTCTGCCTCCTTTCATTCATTTTCAATCCACTACTGATCTACCTTGTTGTGACCCAAAATAAGTGCAAAATCGGTCCTTATCGACAATTTTTGGTCTGTTTCGCCTTATTCGATATGACATACTCTGCCGTGGATTCTCTTGTAGGGATGGTGAAAAAACTCAAATTTTATTCGGGAAAAAAGTGAATTTCAGGCGGCTCATCACTACGAATCGGCTTTCACTGTTTTTGTCAGTCATGGGCCTCTAGTTGGCGTAAGTTTTTTCTTGATTTTTCGATATAGAATAAATGAACTGTGCAATGTGAGCGTTTATTTTACATCATGACAAGCTTCAATTTATTTATCCATCTGATGGAAAAGATCAATATATTTGTTTATTTTTACAAGAGCTTTATTCATATTCCATTTTTTTTTTCTACAGATTGAATTTGAATTAAATTTTTCGAAAAACTAGAAATTCTTAGGACCCCGTGAATGGACAAACCGCTCTAATCATTCGTTGTGGATTCATCTGTCTCAGCTACGGTATTTTCGAAGTACACTTCATCTATCGCTACATTGCCCTGTGCAGGTTTGTTCTCTCTTCATAACGAAAGATCATTTCACTTTGCACTCCGAAAAATCGGCACTATACTTCTTGATCAGCCAAAAAAAATATCCTGAGAGTCTCCGAAAACTTCCTGTTTTTTGACGCCGCGTAGTCGATTACATCTGACTAAAACAACGAATAAAAAAATATTGATGCTTACAGACGTAGTAATTTAGAAGGTGGAAACTTGCAGAATCCTTTAGTTGCCCCATCAAGGAGTGTTTTTACCAATTTTCCAAGTTGCAAACTGAAATGACCTTCCTTGTTGGTTACAAAACTCTTTCAGACCGAATCTGATCAATTGGTTTACTCGACCAATATATATTTTCGGATGGATCTGTTTCTGTATGTTATTTGGAGTCTATTGGGTTATCCCGGCATCAATGGTTTATTTGGACAAGGCGGACCGAGATTTTCTTCGTGAAACTTTTCTTGTCAATTTCAACGCGAACATCGATGAGATGGCCATTCTTGGAGTGCGTTATAAGGTTCAAATTGTGGAGAAATAAATGATTTGTTACAAAAATCTCAGGCGCCTCTACCGTCTACGATTCTGAGGACTTGTATAGCGATGGGGATGGTTAATTTCATCTCGGTTGCAGTTATCGTTTCCTACTGTGTCATGGGATACAAAGTGAATGAAAGTCTACATTTCATGACTGTAACTTATAACTTTCAGATAAACAAATACCTGAAAGTGACCACAATCAGTGCGGCTGCCAAAAGGGTTCACAAACAGTTATTCCTAGCATTAATCGCCCAAACTACGATTCCTTTTGTGGTCAGCTTCTTACCGTGTATTTTCCTATGGTACACGCCTTTATTCAATGTCAGTTTGGGAAGGTGAGTACACTAATAAGGGAAGATAGAATTTTTGAAAATCGGCTGATATTTAGCTGGCTTTTGCTACTCAAAAGAGTTTTCTGAAGAATTCCTAAAAAAATTACTTCTTTTCCTTCGGAGTCTCTAATCCTCACAATTTAAATGTCAAAACCTTCCAGCTTCAACAACTACTACACGATTCCCATGCTCAGCGCTTTTCCGTTTTGTGATCCTATCGCCATCATCGCTATTTTCTCCGAATACCGAGCTTATGTTCTCAACCTCTTCGGACTCAAAACAAAAGTGAAGAATATACATTCTCCATCTCCCTCCGATACTACCGACGCAGAATCAAGGAGTCGAATAAAAACTATCAAATCTGTTTTTTCCAATATCTTTGGCCAAAATCAAAGTGTTGCATGATTTTAGTAAACTTTGAAAAGTCCTATTCAAGTCCAACAGACACTGAAAAGAAAACCCATTTTCAGAGCTTTTAGAGCTTACAGTACTGGCCATAAAGGTATTTCAAAGTGGTAATTCGAGCATAACTTCTCTGAAAGTGGCTCAAATGACTTGAAACGTTGAAAAAATTTTAAATAACTACGCAGTAACTTTTTCCCAAAAGAAAAACTCATTTGCTCAAGTAAAACCGGATTTGAGAGCAAAAAACCAAAAGTCGTGAAAATGAAGATTTTTTTCTTGAGATTCGAAAAATCATATCTTCGAAGAAACTCCGATTTGAAATCAGAAACTTTTTTTCCCGGTAAAACAAGTCTTCGACTTCCCAAAAAACCTAATCAGCCCCCTATCAACCCGATAGCAAGAGCGTAGTGACTTTTTCTTTGGAAGGCCTTTTTCTTTTTGACGCCTCGTCATTCAGATGGACTATACGAGGTCATTTTTTTTTTTAGAACATCATGTTTCCTGTTGAAAAACTTCGAAATGCCCTCAAGAATAGTTTCATATCGTTTTCTTAAGCTTTGTCACTATATCCTCTCTCCAGAACTCGCTTACTTCATTAGGTCTGATTTTAAAAGCTCGGATTTAAACAGTTTTTCTGGACTTACGGGCATTCAAAGCAGTTTTTATCTGATCAATCGCTTTTCAATCGTGATATCGAGAATAAATAATGGCCAAATTGCAGTCTCCCACTTCCTGAAGACTGCTAATTTTTTTGCTGAAGCATTAGTTTCACAAGATCAAAAACTTATTTTCCCATAAAGTTTGAAGAAACGTTTTACAATGCCTATTTTTGACCTGAGAGCTAGAAAGAGGAGTTACAAATTTATCTAATGATCTTAAACGTTTAAAAATTTTTAAAAAGGGGTTTTTATCATATTTCACAAGATTTAGAGCCTTCTAAGCAACACTTGCTAAAACGAAGTTTTGAGAACTTTAAGAAACTCAGTATAACTCACTATATCTTTTGAATAGGTAAGCGAAACACAGTGAATCTTTTTTTATTCTTATTCATAAAGGTTCTGAAAAAGCTTTGGAATCTGAAATAAGAAATTGAGAATGTTCTGATTTTTGAAAAAAACAGAGCAGAACCGCTCCAAATCAGAGGTTTCAAAAATCAGACCTAGTGAAGTAAGCGAGTTCTGGGCAGAGGAACAGTGACAAAGCTCAAGAAAACAGTATAAAACTATTTTTTTGAGGGTGTTTTGAAGTTTTTTCAACATGAAACATGGTGTTCTCAAACAAAAAAATGACCTCGTATAGTCCATTTGAATAACGATGCGTCAAAACACAAAGGCCTTCCAAAGAAAAAGTCACTACGCTCTTACTATCGGGTTGGTAAGGGGCTGGTTGAACTTTTTGGAAAGCCGAAGTCTTGTTTTACCGGGAAAAAAAAGTTTCTGATTTCAAATCGAAGTTTCTTCGAAGATATGATTTTTCGAATCTCAGGAGAAAAATCTTCATTTCCACGATTTTTGGTTTTTTTGCTCTAAAATCCTGTCTTACTCGAGCAAATGAGTTCTTCTTTTGGGAAAAAATTACTGCGTAGTTATTTAAAATTTGTTCAAAGTTTCAAGTCATTTGAGCCACTTTCAGAGAAGTTATGCTCAATTACCACTTTGAAATACCTTTTATGGCCAGTACTGTATATTAAACTGAATCTACATGTTTCTATTGCTATTGTATCCTGGAATTTTTAGTCTCATTCAAAACCGTTTTCTTTTCTTTTTTTTCCTTTTCTCCTTTCTATAATTTTCTAACATGTAACAGATTCCAAAAAGCTCATTGATTGTTTAAATTAATTCAAGAAGTACCTTGACGTCTATAACCAGGTAAGAAGATTTTTTTCATCTTACTCAACTTTGAAAAAAATCTCTAAACTTCACTTTATTTTTGTAATATTCTGCTTGTCTTGTTGTTACTGTTCTGAATAATGCTTTTTGATTTTTCGTACCAATAAATATTATTGCCAGTCTCTGCAGATGTAAAAAAAATGAAGTTTTATTGAAAAAAATATACTCTTTGATGACCCAATAAACGTTGAAAAACGGCTCTACACCTCGATAAATCCCTTCGAATTGTCTAAAAAAACTTTTTGAAACTACTTTTTTTCCTAATTATTTTTTTCAACTAGAGACCCCCCTAAAAATTATTTAAAAAAAATAGCTCTTTTTGTTATTTTTTTGCTGCTGATGTGAAGCTGAGTCAGATCCAGCTTAGCAGGGTATATAGAAAACCTTTTGTGTATTTTCCCATGGTTGAAAAGCTCCGTATATAACTCCAAAACTCGCGTATTTGTCTAAGCTCTTTCTTTTTTCTTAGTCTAATGGCCGAAATCGACGTTGGCATCGTGGCCAAATGGCTTCCCCGTTTTTTCTGCCTTCTTTCATATATTTTCAATATACTACTGATATTCCTTGTTATCACTCAAAATAGGTGCAAAATAGGCCCTTATCGGCAATTTTTGGTATGTTTCGCTTTATTCGACATGATATACTCTGCCGTGGATACTTTTGTGGGAATGGTAAGAAAAATTTTTACTGTTGGGGTCAAAATTGTGATTTCTAGGCGGCGCATCACTACGAATCCACGTTCACTGTTTTCGTCAGCCACGGTCCCCTTGTCGATGTATGAAAGCTTATTTAGAACCACAGAATTTCTGCATATTTATTATTAGATCTAGAATTGATAGATGAGCCAATAGATACCCATTTATAGGCTATTCAAAAACCCGATTTCAAGTTCAAAAAAGCCTAAGCTAATCGGCAAACATTTTCTAACAAAACTCAAAAAATAAATAAATTGATTCGTAGGATAATATGAGAGTTATACAGTGAGATTACAGTTCAAAAAGACAGTTTAATCTTGTCGATGGAGCGCAAAAAACGCAAAAAATGCGCTCATTTTTTTCTTTTCTTGAATTTCCGAACTGATCATTTTAAAAAAAGACTAGGACTTTCAGAACTCTTTTTATAGAAACCTGAAGCTGGCCGGATCGGGCTGATAATTCGTTGTTCGTTCATTTGCCTGAGCTACGGAATTTTCGAAGTACATTTCATTTATCGCTACATTGCCCTTTGCAGGTGACCTTATTTTTTTCTCCAAGTTAGGATTTTCATCAAAATTGGTCAGACTATTTCTTGAAGCACAAAATCTATCTTAGTTTTCTAGAAATCACGTCTCAAGGTTCAAGAAAGTTTTAACGGATTTTTTATCATCCTATCTGAATTTGAAGCGTCTTTTCTCAATAACTAGGAAATTTTCCAAGTTGAACTTTCAGAATCTTTTACAGGTATATCAAAAATTAGTTTGATCAGTTCGCAGTAATATAAGACGTTCCTTATCAACTATTAAAAAATTTTCAGACCAAAACTGATTCACTGGTTCACTCGACCACTATTTATTTTGGGGTGGATCTGTTTCTGTCTATCATTTGGCCTATATTGGTCAATTTGTTCATATTTAATCTATCTAGACGACGAGGACAGGGAATTTCTTCGTGAAACTTTCCGCGTTAGCTTCAACGCCAATATCGACGACATAGGCATTCTTGGTATCCGATACAAGGTACGTCATGGGGAAAGTCGAAACGAACAACTAACAAGGAAATTCTCAGGCAACTCAACCGACTACGATTTTGAGGACTTGCGTGGCGTTGGGAATGGCTAACGTGGTATCAATATCAGTGATCGTTTCCTACTGTGTCATGGGATACAAGGTTATCATAGAAAGAAAATGTTGATAAGACTCTGTTTCCCACGGTTCGAAAAGCTGTGTAGTGCGAAAGTGGTTCAAAAGTGCATGAGAGTTCAGGCTGAACCTTCATTTTTTGCAATATTACAGACGATTGACGGAAGTTGTTTGTATTGTCAATTTTTTTGGGAGGCGGGGCAGGGGCAGTGGCGGGACGCGTAGCGTGTGCGTACGCGGTTCCTGGCACGAGTTCAATTCAAGCGCCTCCGACTTTTTAAAAAGCTTGAAACTGCGTTTTTTGTATCTATTCAACTATTTTCGAAGCACAAAAGAAACAATTCTCTTCAAATAAACGGTGGCGCTAGAATTGGACTCGTGCCAAGAACCGCGTACGCACACGCTACGCGTACCGCCTCCCTCTCCTTTAAGTTCGGGAAAAAGTTACTATAGAAACTAATTGCGGTCGCGACGCGGCATTTTGAAAGGAAAAAAAATTCGAAAAATTTTGGAAAACACGGAACAAAGTGTGTCATTCAACGGAAGTGTATTCGAAACAGGAAGGAAAAAAAATGATCGAAACACTATCCGAAATGAAAAAAAAAGATACTTTGGATTTAAATTTGACTCTTTTTCCGCGACAGCAACAAGTTATTACGGTAGTCAACCTTCATCAAAACCGGTTGAAATTGAGTACATGGTGAAAATTGAAACATGAATTTTCACAATGTAAAATCAACCACTTCCACAAAATTTAAGAAGAAAAATAAGCCAATATTCTTTCTCAATATTTGAATTCAAAAACCAACTTCATTTTCAATCTCAGATTTTTGAGCCAGTTCTGATGTTCTAAAAAAGTCCCAATCCGATGTTCGTTCTAGAAAAGTCCCAAAAATCAACTATAACGGAAAAAAAACCAACCATGATATAAAATAAATCTTTTTTTCTCAGATAAACGAGTACCTCAAAGTTACAACGATCAGCTCATCAGCAAAACGAGTTCATCGTCAATTATATCTAGCCCTAATCGCCCAAACCGCGATTCCTTTTGTGGTCAGCTTCCTGCCTTGCATCTTTCTTTGGTACACACCTTTATTCGGGGTAACTTTGGGCAGGTGAGCACTAATAAGGGAAGTCGCAGGTCTTGAAAAATTTGCAAGAGTTAAGCTGGGACGTGGTTCTAACTCCTAAACCAAAAGCATCGCTTCAAAGTTATTTTTTTTTTCTATTCATGATCAGAAAAAAAGAAAAGGTCATCGGCGTCTTTGAAGTGTCCTATGTAACTCTGAAGAAAGGCAAAAAGGGATGAAAAAAATGTTTTCCTAAAATACTTCCCATTTCAAATTGGAAAAATATTGAGAAAAACTATTTTCCAACTTTGTAGTTCTCAAACCTTACGAGGGAAGGTTAAAAGACGGTGGAAATTGAAAAGGAAGAAGCTATGTTTTTCGAACACCTTACTTCAGAATTTAATTTAAAGCACGACTTTTGCGTTCTATTCTGGTTAAGGAGCCTCAAAACTTGGAACATTCCTCAGAACTGGAGGAAAGAAAGTGTTTGGTGTTCTTGAAGGTACCTAACTTTACGCAAAAGTAAGAGATATGAACTATTTCCCGGAAACACGTCCCAGTTAAGACATAGAAAAAAAAATCTAAAAGTCAAATCTTCTAACTATGAAAAACTTCTGAGATAAAGGATGATCGCTGACGGTAAATTGATAATTTCGCAAAAATTCTGCTTTACAGTCTCGCCGGACGTGCATTTTCCTCGACGTGACTTCGCATTTTGCAAAATTTCGCATTTTTTTTTTTTGAATGCTTGATTAAAACGAGAGAAATGCGAGTCCGACGCGGCGACAAAGCGATTTATTTGCGAGGTTGCCGTTGAACCGCCATCGACATCGCTTTTCTCTCGCGCCTAGGCAGTTATCCTCAGAGCAGCTTTTCTTATAAGACTCGAATCTCTACGAAACACAATTTAAATGTCAAAACCTTGCAGCTTCAACAACTACTACACGATTCCCATGCTCAGCGCTTTCCCATTCTGTGATCCAATCGCAATTATTGTTATTTTCTCCGAATATCGAACTTACATCTTGAATATTCTCGGGGTCAAGACGGCAGTGAAGATAGTACACTATTCAACAACCTCTGAGTCTATGGAGTTCTCAAGAGAATCGAGGAGCCGTATAAACACTTTCAAACAGGTCTTCCTTAATATCATCGGCCAGAACCAATTTGTTTCATAATTTTAATGAATTTTGTTGATGTTCCCCCAAAATAACATTGTATAAAAACAACAAACCACGCTAAAAAAAAAATAGAGAGCGTAAATTTGCGTGAAATGGCACGAAAAATGAAGGAAAGCTCACCGCAACTGTTAAATTCCAGAAACTTGAGATGAACATATGTGAAAATGTATTTCTCTATAGCCAGTGCACCACGACTTGAAATTTCAACAAACGACATTCCGCTGTGCCGCTGCGCGCCTTTGCGAACCCTGGTCGCGTTTTTAATTTTTTTTTTTCTTTTATTAAGGTACTCTACTTTCATGTGCTCCCACAGCAATAACAATCAATTGAAAGCGTGACCCAGATTCGAAAGACGCTTCGCGAACGCACGCAGCGGAACAGCGGAATGTCGTTCGGTGAAATTTCAAGTCGTGGCACATAGACTATATAAAGCTTAAAGAAAATTGGAAAATTAATAATGCAATTTTTCAGACATTGCCTAACAATTCAAACCTTTAAAATTAAACTACAGATTTTTAAGAAATTTTGAGTAAACTCTCAGAATCATAACAAAAAAAGCTTTTAAAAAGAACTTCAGATATTTAAAATATAAAATCGAGGTTGAATAACACAACAGCTACCTTCTAAGCTTTTTCCACTAGGAATCATCAAGAAGGGGCTTAAAAAAGAAATTAAAAAATTTTCCTTGCTAAAAATGCTCCATTAAAGTACATGGGCCGAAAAAGGGTCCAAAAAGGCTTCATTTCAGGGTGAAAAAGGCTCCTGTTTTGCTGCCTTTTTGGCCCATTTCATCGGCTCCTATGCCCCATTTTGCTGCCTACCCCTTTTCCCATCATTTTTGACCCTTTGAAAATTCAGAAAAATGGGAGGCTCGATAAAGGGACTTTTTTTGCTGCCTTTCTGCGACCTTTTTGCTCCATTTTTGCTACTTTTTTGCTACCTTTTTGCTACCTTTTTTCTGCTTTTTGATACCATTCCGCGGCCTTTTTCGAGCCTCTCCCTTTCAGCGGTCATTAACCACCATTCCGACTTTTCCCGAGTACCCAATTTCCCTGACACAGAAATCAACTTGGAGCACCCAAAGCTATTACTACCAGCCCTCGTGTGCCCGGCTGCGGCTGTCACATCTCCATGAGCTTGAAAACAAACAACTTTGCAAGCCTCGTTTTCTTCAATTTTCTGCCCGTGCAACTGTTGCAATATGTCGCCATTTATCCTCGAACTTTTGTGTAGTTTTCGAGGATTTCGTGAAAGAAGGAAGGGAGAAAGAGAGACGCAAACAAACGGCTCCGTTCGCATTCGAGAATCCTTGAAAAATCCATAGAACTTTGAGCATGGTTTGTCGGAATAAAAAACTGGTGATTTTTGAATCATAGCTTGCAAGGTTGATAAATGATGTTGGGAAGGAGCTATTTCCCGAGTTTGGGAAGGTTTAACTTGACGAATTTTTAAACTCGAAACTCGAGGATTCTAGGAATCTGCCTGAAGAGCGTCCAAAAACTAAATCCATGCTAGGGAGAAACTGATAAAACCTCAAAAAAAAAAATAAGAAAATGATCGAGCAGCCAAAGGAACTTCAAGGAATCATGCAAAGAACACGATCAACATATTTTTTTTTTAGCTTTCTTGGACCGTCCCCTTTTTCTGAAATTCACCTCAAATTTGTAATATCAGCGACTAGCGAAAAAAAAAGAAAAGAAGGTCACAGAATTTTCCAATCTACATTTGATACCGTTCTGAGAAAAGTGACGCGTTGCGGCTTTTTGGCGGGGATTTCGAGGTCAAACACAATCATAGAAAATTGTAGAAAAATGAAGTTTTTTTTTATTTTACCACGTTTACTCGTTCAACCGAATTTTTTCGATACCTTAAAAAATTAAAAGGAACTGAGAATCTTAAAAAAAAGAATAAAACATGAAAAAAGGTTGCTTTCGTATGACCTCGAGTTTCCCGCCAAAAAGCCGCGTCGCATACCTCGCATGCTGAGCAGGTGTCTCAACGGGTGTACCCGTATTAAACCCGTGTTTCTGAGGTTATTTTAGTCTCAGTTGGGCTAAAACGGGGGAAAAACGGGTGTAAGAAAAATAGGTAACCCAGCTGGGCTAAAGCGGGGTCTCAGTTGGGCTAAAAAGTGCCAAAAGTTCTATCAGCTGGGCTTATACGGGTTTAATACGGGGGCACCCGCGGAGACCCCGTGTTAGCACGGCGGGGTTACCCTGCTCAGCATGCGAGTACGCAACAGGTCATTATTTTTAATCTACACATCTTGTCTTTAGATTTTTCTTTTGATCAAATCATTATCTCGAAAAAATCGGCTTCTATGATTAGAGAATACCCAGTTCGAAAAGATCTTGATTTGATATCATTTTTTAAAATTGGAACTCCTACAGTTCATAACTCCAAAATTCCATCACCAGTTCAAAAAATTAAGAACAGCGTCCTCTCAAACAGAACACCACTCTTTTTTTTTTCAAAAAAACCCCTCAAGTGCTCTGATTTCTGATGATCATCAATAGAGCACTTTCCACAAAAACTTCACCGATACGGCAAATTTGAAGAGGCTCCACAAATAATGTTCGACTCGAGTAATGATGAGTGTGTGTGTGGGCAGACGCCCTTTTGTTTTAAAAGAAAAAAATCGTTTCTCCTCAACATTTATTGATCCAAAGCTCTTTTATCCCCATTTTCTGTTTACATTTTTTTTTTTGCAAGAGCATTTACAATAGGACTATGTGTATTGTAATAGGATATCGGTAAAAAAAAACCTATTGGGAAAAAAAAAGAGAAAAAGAACTTTTGGGAGAGAAACTTGTGAAGAAGCTTCACGTGGAGAACATCAATGAACAGATAAAAATAGAATAAAAAAGGCCGCCGATTGTTCAGAGTTGTTAAAAATAGCAATGAGTTGGTCGTTACTTGAACTACTAGTATTTTTTTGTACTCATCCAAGATTTTTTTCTCCAAATTTTATTTACTTTTAATTTCTTTGAAAAGCCAAAAATAATGATCCTAGCTTCTCAAAAAAAGTTGAACTCTCGATAATTTTCAAAAAATTTCTTTTTCGATCGTCGCAGGGACATCAACACAAAGATGAGCTTGTGCGCTCCATGAAAAATCAAAAATCCAAATTTATCTTCTGAATTGTTTACTTTTCTCGGACATTGGTAACCATAAACGGACGTTTCTGGGCGATTCTAGGGATCACTTAAGAGTGATGTGGCTACTAAAGTGGTCACTAGAAAATCCGACACGTCCGATGTCTTGTTCGCGTTACCAAGGTCCGAGAGTTTCTCTTTGCTTCTTTCGAAATTAACCATGGAGCGCAAAAGCTCGGGTTGTACCGTTTTTTTATTTACGGTTTTTTCAAGCGTTCATTATTTTCCTTCTTATCCTACTCGAAAACCCGTGACGTGGCTATTTTACTTCAGCACTTTTTTCGGTTCTTTACTGAGTTATACCTCCAGATTCAGCCCTGTTCTCTCCTTCCTGTACCCTCTTTTGCTCTCACTTTCAACTCTAAAACTCAACCATCCCAAACACTATTCAGATTTCATATTATTTCATATTTTCTGGTTTTTTCTTCCATATCTGTTCATTCAATCCGTTTTTCTCGTTTTCCTGTACTCTTTCTCAACCATCCGAGCCAGTTGCTAATTTCAGTTCGAGCTACCTTCATTTCGCTGGCTTCCCTTTTGGATTATTCCCTTTAGCCTTTTTTTTTCTCACCTTCCTGTACCCTCTAGCAATCTCAACTCCTAATTTCAATCATCCAAACATCTCTATGATTTCATTTTGTGCTATATTTGCTGTATTTCCTTCCAGACCACTTCATTCCGTTCATTCTTTTCACCTTCGTATGCCCTCTTCTGCTCTGATCCAAACCGTCTGAAACACCTTTCCTTTTCGTGCTATCTTTGCTGTATTTTCTTCCAGTTCGTTTCATATATTCTGTTCTTCTGACCTTCCTGCCCCTCTATCATGCCCAACCACCCAAAAACCTGTCTAACTACATAACATGCTACTTATTCTGGGTTTTCCTCCTAGACCTGTTCATTCCGTAGATCATCCTCCTTATCTTCTACAAATCCCAACTCCCAACTCCATCCAGCTTCTCGAAAGGAAAAAAGCGGAACTCAGAGTCTGTACAGCGATCATTTCTCACGCGTGGCTACGTGTTGACAGCAAAGACACGTGGTGCCGAGTGCGTGAGCAAGTCGAAAACCGCTAGAGAGTCGGGTCATCAGATTTGGGGCGTGACTTCGGCAACAGTTGGCTCAGCCCCACCTCAGGTTAAGCCGCAGCTTATTCGCGGCTTCGGCCGGCTGGGTCACTGTTCTTATCAGTGTTTTTCTTTCAGATTCTATTTCTAGGTACTCCTAAGAGGAATTCTTAGAAGAAGAAGCTTACAGTGAGACCTGAAAACGTTTCTAGTACTCTGATCGCGGTTTTTCCTGCTGATTCCGGATCTAAACTCGAAATATGCCCCAGAAATTTTTGAGAGAAGTTACGTGCACTTTAAGCTTGCCTTTATAAAAAATTCGGCTTTTCCAGCAGATTACTTAACATGTAAGAAGTGATTTTAAACTACCGAATTCAGTCCTGGCATGAATTAGCTGGCTCCGAAAACTCTTACTTCATTCACTACGCTTTGAAGCTTTCAAAGTCTTCCAGTCGCATTTGGAATGGCTCGACGCGTTGCAGATCGAATTAAAGTTTGAAAACTTCATCTTAAGAGCTGCCGACTCTATAAACGTCTATGCCATTTACGGCCGTCTGAGATCTTCTTGCAACCATTTCGCGACAATCCATTCCTCTAGCGACCAAAAAACTTCAAATTGAGTGGATTATACTATATCTCCTTTTCTAAAGTTATTTCTGAGAAGCATGTTCTAAGAGAAGCCACATTGAAGATAATCTCATTTTCTCGGAGCCCAGTTAAAAATGGAAAATGAAGATATCCTTATTCTTATGGAAACCGAAAAAAATTGGCTTCAAATTCTATTTTTTTATTTTATTTTTTTCAAGATTGGAAATTTGTTTCGTATTTTGCACTACAGCGAGGAGCATAAAGAAAATATTCTCTTCATTTTTGTTTTTAAAGTTGGATATCCATTGGATATTTAAAAATTTACTCCTTTCATCTCTCTAACCTGACACGCTCCTCGTACGGAAATAATATTTCTCACATATTATCAAGCTTTTTCAGTGATAAGCCTCGAAAAAACAGAGGAAAATGGTGAACGCCGATCTTTTGACCCAACACGCCTCCAACTACAAGCTCACCAAGGACAACGCCGCCGAATATTTCGTTCAGTCAGTTTTTTTTTTTCGATTGTACCTTATTTTTCTAAAAATACAGACTTTTCACGAAGCACCCAGAGCTCGCCGAGCACTGGAACGCCGATGGGATCGACCCTGACAGCTTGGCCAAGGTAACTTTTGATCAAATCAGAGTGCAAAATCCCTATTTTAGGCCCAAAGATTCATCATGCTGGGCATGCAGGAGATGCAACTGTTTTTCAGGTCAGTCGAAAAAAAAAGGAAAATTTTGAATAAAATTCGTTTCTCGCTCTCTTTTCCATGGGCTTTCCAAATTTGAATGTTTACCTAACAGGAATGAAAAAATCTCGCTGAGCGGGAAGAGGAGAAAATTCGAAAAATTGGGGGAAAAAAAAGGCGAAGTTCAAAACTTTTACAAGCTTCATCCATGGTCCCCCACACACTTGCAAATTTTTTAGAACACAAATTTTTAATTTCTTTTCTTGAACTCAAGATTTTCAACCAAAATTTTTGAGGGGAGAGTTTCTTTGCTCCTACAAAAGCCCGGAAAGTGTCATAATGTAAATCTCATCATCAAGTTTCATCGTTCATCCGTAATTTCTAACAATTTGGAGTCAAAAAAATCGCTTTTTTGTGGCGGTGACATTCAAAATTTTGAAGAACGCCGAGCATCCAAAAGAAAAAAATTTCACCAAATTTTCTTGGTGACACCTATATTTTTCGTTCTACTGAAATTCCAAATTTGAAAGTTCACCCAACAGGAAGAAGAAAAACTTTGAAAAACATCCAACACTTTTACGAGCTTAATCCAAGGATCACAAGATCACAAAAAAATTTGAAAATCTTAATTTTCCCGTCCTGACACTACAAGAACCCAAAAACTCGGCTTTTCTCGCACCTTGTTCCACTGACTTTCCAAATTTCAATGATCACCGAGCAGGAGGAAGCAGAAAAAATAGGAGATATAGTCTTTAGCCGGAGCAAGTGGCCCTCGAGTGGGTTTTTGTTTCTCACGTGGCCATGACTCCGCGCCACTTTAAACTGTACCTTTCTTCCGCGAAAAAGATTTTCGATCGGAGGCCTCTTGGCAAACATCCAGGAGGCCCTTCACGCTGTGTTATGATCTATAAACTCGAAAGTGCGGCGGTTTCGGATTTCAACCGAAAAAAAAAGCTACGTGCTCTGGAAGAGATCAGCGTAAAAAGTTTCGGATTTCGGGGGAAAAAAGTCCAAAAGCTCAAGGCAAAGGTCGTTCCGATGAAGGCTTCAAATGGGCTTCAAAAAAAGATGAGATCGTCTTCAAAATAATGAATCAGTAGATGATAAAATTGATCAAAAACCTTCCGTGAAAACTTTAGAAATGACAAGTCGGGAAATTTTATTCCAAGTTTCTCTTTCTCGCGAAAACCATTACCTATACGTTTCTCAACTATTTTAATTGTGAAAGAATTCAAAAAAAGCCATTCTTGAAAAAAGCCATTCCTCACTATGTAAACAACTTGAAATAGATTGAAATTCAAAATGTCTGAATTCAACTGAAAATATCCGCATTTCGAGATTTTTTCACGCTTCTTTTCAAAAATGCGCAATTAATAAAACAGACTATCTCGAGAAAAATCCAAAAATTCGAAAAAAAAAAGCTTCAAAATACCGAGCAGTCTTCGTTTTGAAGCTTAGCCAGTTCAGAGATAAAAGTCCTAGTTATCTTGCAGATGACCTAAAATTGGTCAGATTGTAGATTCTGATCGTTTAAAACTTGAATCAGATTGAAAATCGCATTTTTCAATGGATGGGAGAGGTTGCGCCGAAGTTCGGGAGGGTACGCCAAATAAGGGGGAGGGTGCGCCGAGAAGGCGTAAGGGTGCGCCGAGAAAGAAGAAGGGTGCGCCGAGAAGGCAGGAGGGTGCGCCGAACTTCAGGAGGGTGCGCCAAGAGGGTCAGGTTCACGTATGCTTTTACATATAAAGTCATTTTTGAGCCAATTTCGGATCAAGCCTCTTGGCAAACATCCAAGAGGCCCTTCACGCTGTGTTATGATCTATAAACTCGAAAGGCGGTTTCGGAGTTCAACCGAAAAAAAAGCTGGAAGAGATCAGCGTAAAAAGTTTCGAATTTTGGGAGGGGGGGCAGTTCAAAAAGCTCAAGGCTTCAAATAAAAAAATGAGATCGCATTCAAAAATAATGAAATAGTAGATGATAAAATTGATCAAAAACCTTCCGTGAAAGCTTTAAAAATGACAAGTCGAGTAATTTTTTTCCACGTTTTTTTTTCTCTCGCTAAAACCATTACTTATACGTTTCTCGACTATTTTAATTGTGAAAGAATTCAAAAAAAGCCATTCTTGAAAAAAGCCATTCCTCACTATGTAAACAATTTGAAATAGATTGAAATTCAAAATGTCTGAATTCAACTGAAAATATCCGCATTTCGAGATTTTTTCACGCTTCTTTTCAAAAATGCGCAATTAATAAAACAGACTATCTCGAGAAAACTCCAAAAATTCGAAAAAAAAAAAGCTTCAAAATACCGAGCAGTCTTCGTTTTGAAGCTTAGCCAGTTCAGAGATAAAAGTCCTAGTTATCTTTCAGATGACCAAAAACTGGTCAGATTGTAGATTCTGATCGTTTAGAACTTGAATCAGATTGAAAATCGCATTTTTCAATGGATGGGGGAGGGTGCGCCGTGTAAGGGGAGGGTGCGCCGAAGTTCGGGAGGGTACGCCAAATTTCGGGAGGGTGCGCCAAGTGGGTCAGGTCATAGGAAAAAAAAAACACGAGAATGCATTTTTGACAACCAATTTTGGATCAAGCCTCTCTGAAAAATGTTCAAGTTCCCATTTAACAACCAATTTTTCAATTTTGCAATATTTTTTCAAAGATTACAAATAAAAACTGACCGGATCATTGCAGACTGCCGAAGACGATCGCCGACGAACGACAATGGCGGTCGGCCCTGAGCGGAGTCAAGGAAAGCTTCGGCGACAACGATTGCTCCTTGAAAGAGTTCAATGTAAGCAAAAAAGATGATTTCATAAAAAAGTGATATATTAGTTTATTTCGTTTCGGATCTTAAAATACGTCATCAGATTTTACAAAAATGCCGAAAAAAGTCATATTCTATTATTAGATTTTTCAGATCAAAAATCTCAACTTTTTAGAAACGAAGCCCTAAAATCAAAAAAATTGGACTTTTTTTAGGAAATTATTCTTAACTTTTAACACTTCACTTGAACTAGAAAAACCTATAAATAAAAAAACTAAACAACATATAAATAATCTTTTTCAACTTCTCAATTTTTTTGAACGAACTATCATGGAATAAACTTCAATTCTATAGATTTGAGCTTCTTAAAAAAATTTATTTTTTTCTTCGATTCGATACATAAAAAAAGACGTTTCTTTGGAAACCTCACTAAAAAAATTCTAAAAAGTGTTAGGAAAAAAAAACTTTCGAGCGCTTTTTCTAAGCCTTAGAGGATCCGTTATGATCCCCTGTGATTTTTCAGTTTCCAGAAAATTTTTGTTCGTAGGTGTGACAATACGCAAGAGTTGAAAAAGATCTGTTGGGGATCTTCGAAAAATCGTCGATTGAAAAAAATTTTTAGGAGCTTTTCCATGTTTCCCTAGTGAAGGAATAATCATAACGACTCATTTCAAAATCAAAAAAAACGATTTCAGAAAGTGAGCGACGCGTTTTTGGCGGCAATGGAGAAGCATGCGGGTGGCGTGACGGCCGAACAGAAAAAAGAGTGGAATTCGCTTTTCGACAAGGCCTACGCCGACATGAAGACCTGGGGATGGTACTGAAAACCTTCCACCTTGGACTGACTCCCATGATTTTGTAAATAGACAACTTTTCATGCAATTCAGTATTTTTCCTATACATATTTTTCTTCGTGATTGGTTTAATTAATAAAGACTTTTTTGTGATTTTTTTCGTCATCCAATTTTGAATAAAAAGCGCCTCTAAACCTTAAAAATTTAATTTTCCTTCCTATCTTTTTTTTCTACTTTTTCCAACAAGATATTCAATTAGATCAGCAAAAAAATTTATTTCAAATCGAATCTTTTTGAAAACTTTAATGGACTCATTTTATTAGAGAAATATTTCGATAATTATTTTTTTGAGCCATTTTTTTGACAGTTCATTGAAAAAAATTATTCACTTTCTGAATATATTTTAGTTTATCTTCAACAAAAATCCGACGTATTTCGCTTTTTTTAAAAATGTTCCAAGCTGTATTTCCGCACCATAACGTTCGTCAAGCTTTCAAGCATTTTTTTGATTGGTCCAAAAATTTTTGAAAAAAAGGCTATTATTTTTTCCAAGTAATCAAAAAAATTCAAGGTTCTTAAAAATTAACAAGAACAATCAAAAAAATCAGAGAATCCAAAAATAATAAAATGATTATTTTTGTGTGGGCTTGTTACATTGGAACTTTCAAAAGCAGCTAAATAATTTCAAATTTCAAATTTTTCGCCAGAACAGAGCCTCTCAACACAGGTTCTCTTTGAAAAAAATTTGAAGTAATTAAATTTTAAAACTAAATATACGAAGTAGTTAAAAAAACGTGTTTAATTTTGAAATGCCTCCAGGATTTCAATTTTAAAATTTTCGTTCAAGTTTAAAATTTTTTCTGGCATAGGCTTGAGAAAATTTTAAAAAAACTGCCATGCTCTTTGCAATTTAGAAAGATATTGAGGGAAAATTTTAGGAAAATTGTATACTTTTTGTGACGTAACTTATCTTGTAACCTCGAGAAATAGGTCCTCAACAAATCGAGAAAAAGAAAAAAATTTCCTGGCTCCGAAACTGGCGGCGCAATATAGACCAGCCACAGGAACACTGTCTTAAAAATTCGTGAAAAGGCTTGATTTTAGAACAAAACCAAAACCGTGGACCTTCTAATATTTACGAAATTCAAGTAAATTTGTTTGGGTCTCCCAACAACTGTAAAAAGCGGATTTAATAGAAAATGATTTTCAAAACCTCAAAATCCAAGAAATTGCTTTCTGTTCCATATGCTTTTTGGGACATCCAAAAATGTTATAAAATAGAAAATCCAGATAATTTGATTCGAAATTACTCCAAGTTCATAAATTTAAGAATTTCAACACCAAAAAAAGCACTAGCCTTCCAAAAAAAAGTCCTCGTTTCAGAAAATCATCTAGCTCTTCTCAAATAGATTCCTCCGAGATGTATCAAACCACTCGCGAATAAGAAAAAAATTACAGAAAAAAAACCCTTTATACAATACAAAAACGAAATGATATCAGTTGTGAGATCAGTGGAAATTGAGCACAAAATTTTTCGAATCAACTCTTTTTCCGTTTATTTTTCTTGGGAGAAGATGTCGAAGACGTGAGGCGGGGGGAAGAATCCAATTTCGAGGTGTCAAAGTCGAAGACTATGAAATCCATGTAGTATAGTCTTTTTCAGGTAGTCCCGTACCGTAGCGTTGGATTCGATCTGTAAAATTAGATTTTATTTCAAAATTTCTTGATAAAATCGAAAAAAATCCCAAAATCACCTTATTTTTTTAACGATTTGATACGAATCCGAGTCGTAGGTGGCGTGTGGAGTGTCGCCTTCTGGAAAAAAATCAGTTAAATCTTATTTTTTGGTCAAAAAAATCTGTTCATGGCTTTTTTTATGAAGTGCAGACAGTACTTTATTAATATTTAAAAAAATTTTTTTAAGCGATCAAAAAAATTTTTTTAATACCAAAGTAAGTATTTTTAAGACGCCGACATCGATTTCAAAAAAAAATCCTAGAGAAAAAAGGAAAACGAAATTTCAGCTAATATCTTCGTACATTAAAATCAAAAAGAAAGAAAAAAAAACTCGAAATGTATTCAATTGAGAAATAAAATCTTAAACTGAAATTTTATCACAGAAAAAAACCTTCCTAATTCATTTTTCTTTAACTTTTCATCACTAAAAAAACAACCTTTTATTGAAGTTTTTTTGATGATTTTTAATCAAAAAAATATACTTTTTTTGAAAAAAACGTATCACAATATTCCAAAATTCAGTGTACCACGAGAAGAGTTTAGATTTTTAAAAAGTCAGATTTTATTGTTCTCAACCTAAAGCTGAAGTGAAAATGAAGTCGACGACGTCTGGTTTGACGTCAAGACCGTTGAGAAACCGTACAAGGTCCGAAATTCCTTCTTTCCTTTTAGTCTCGTCGGACTCCAGCTTGATCACTCGATAATCTTTCAAGTATGTCCCAAACTCGCAGTTCCTAAGAAAAAAAAAATTAATATTCCATAATAAAGAAGGAGAATAATGACAAAACTATAGAAAAGTAAATTGCTGAAAAAAGTTAATTTCAAAAAAATGTGTTATGGACTGAAAAACTCCTATTTTTAACTATATTCCGTTCTAAACTTCAGCAACTCTTAAAGAAAATATACAGAAAAGACTTGTGAAAAAAAAAATAATTCAAAAATTCAAACCAAGTCAAAGGAGCGGCGTGTTTGTCCTCGTAACTCACATTCAACTTATTCCCGAAAGCATGCCTTACAAAACGACCATACTGTCTGAAAATGTGATGAATTATAATCAAAAACGTTTTGAAACAAAATAAAAAGAATTTTTCGAAAATTTCTGAGAAAAGTGAAAATAAATTGCAAAGGAGGCGCGATTTTATTGCAAAGGGGCACGGTATTCTGAGCCGCAAATGTGTGGATTTACGAACATTTCCGCTTATGTTTAAAAAAAATTTTTTTCAAATTTTTTTGAAGGTTTTGGAACTTGAAAATTATTTTTCCAACCAAAATTGTTGAAGTTCGGAAAATTTACAAGTATTTACACCTATTTATTTTTTTTTGAAGTTGAAACTTTCTGAAAATTTCGACTTTTTGAAACAGTTCCAACGCAAATTCCGACACATACTACAATCACCAATTGATTTCTTACAAAATTCAGAACATAATCAAAATTTCAGTAACGAACCAACCTTTTCAGGAAGCACAAAATGTCGCCGCGACAGTTGTAGCAAAGTTTGCAGCTCGGACATTTTTTCGCGTCGCTGAAAGTTCAGAAAATCCCTAGGAAATATTTTTTTATTGAACTTACTGAATGCATTTATTGACGAAGAAAGATACGAATCGAGTTATTGGATCCCGTACCACAACAGCTTTTTTGTAACTTGTGAAGTTGAACTTTTCGTCGACGAGACTGGTAAAGTTGTACTCGTTTTTTTCTTTTGCAGAATCTGGAAAAATCAATAAAAAAATAGTTTTTTTCTCTTTGAAATTTCTGTTTGAAAATATTTGATAGAATTTTTCAGGAGCAGAAAAAGTGTGAAAAAAATTTTGTAAACAACGAAACTTTCCTTTGTTTCGAGACCTCAATGAAACTTATCTATGCACTGGGAAAATTTTTAGTGGCTACTATAGGGTTTTGACGTTTTAGTGGTCACTATAGTAATGAAATTAATGGCCACTGAAGGGGTTAAAAATTAGTGGCCACTATAGAGGTCTAAGTGCAACTACTAGACCACTAAAACCTTTAGTGGCCATTTTAGGGGTCAATGGATCAACATAACTAGTCCAATCTGTTAGTTTTAAAATTATCAGAGTTACTGGAAGGAATACTGGATGAAAAACTAATGAAGTGGCCACTAAAACGGAAAATAGTGGCCACTATAGAGGTGGTTTCAGTGGTCACTTTAGTGTCCTCTCCAAGTAGTCCTTGGCGAGTCTCTATAGTGGCCACTAAAAATTTTCCCAGATCTTTTTCGAATGAAAAATCTTCAAGAGTGGTTCTAAAGAGCCTCCTATAGGGATCCTAGAAGAAGTTTCTCCCTTTAGGAGGTCCTTATAAACTCCCTATAGGACCCACTTCAGCTTTTCTTTTATCAAACCGTTTTTAACTCAATCCCTTCCCTTTCCCAAAACAAAAACCCATCAAGTAACATTTGGCTCGACACGTCCTTTCCCAAGACATTACTGTCCCGTGAAAGCTTTTCCCCGACATTTCGTACATTTGTAACCTTTTTTTGTTGAAAAAGGCCAAAGTGGCCTGTCGGGGTGACCTTTCCGCCTGTTCGCGACGAACGAAACACAGTGTACGACATTTTTTCGAATGAAAAGTTCGTACTATTCGGTACCGTCAGGTACTGATTCACCTAGTGGGAATAGTTCGCCACTTCATCGGAGAGGAATAATGAGTCAATTCAATGAAAACTCGAGTAGAAACTTCGACTACCTACACTTGATTGACACTGAACAAATATAAATGCAAAAATGTCTAGGATGACTCAAAAAATTGGAAAATTCACATTGAGTAGTTTGATAATTTTTTTATATCAGCTTCTGATAACGAGTAGATTTTTTTCAAAAAAAAATTTTAAAAATTCTTAAATCCTAAACCTTTCTCTCATCATTCAGGCCATTATGATAAACTTTTTGATTTTTCCGGAGATCTAAAAAATATTTCTGAACATTCTGAGTGGCCCAAGAAGTAATCAAAAAAGCTTCTGCCCTTCAACAAAAAATTTTAAACCTTTTTATACTTCTTTGAAAAGTTTTTGATGAAAATGTTTCTATCTGATCTCGAAAAACCCCGGAAAATATCCACCAAGACTCTTGAAGACCTTTCGAACATCAAAGGAAAGTTCGATATGTGATTCTAAAGAAAGGATAAGCAGTCCGAGCCAGTAATAGTGAGTCGAAACACATTTCGGTGGCCTTTTTGGAACAAGAAAGTTTATAAAAGTACTGGAAATTCTCGCACATGTGCGGTTCGGCAAAGCTTCTGTACTTCAAAGGATCTTTCCATATGTGTTTCGGGCCGAAAATAAACAGTCCTAGACCGAAAAGTCGAGTAGAAACACATGTTGGCGGCCTTTTTTGAGATGGAAAGTTTACAAAAGTACGGTCCGCCATGTGTGAAATGACCTTGCGGAGAAGCTTCTTGTCATCAAAGGAATTTTCCATATGTCCTATGGGAAGTATAAACAATCCGAGCGAAAAAAAATCGTTTAGAACCCACGTATTTCGATAAGAAGTTCATTAAAACGGTTTTTATTTGTTCAAGTCTCCTTTCAAAAGTTATTATTTTTGAAAAAAATGCTTTTGAGGAATTTTTTTAGCATTAACCGTTCTTTCTCCTCAGCTGCTGGGAAAACCGAAGAGCTGTAGAATGACAGAATCCGACCAAAAATGTTTGAATAAAAAGTTATATACAAAAAAATACTTATAAAATGAAGTTAAAAAAATTTTTTTATCTCGTGTCTTGTGCCTTAAAAATCGTTACATTTCTGTTTTTTTCCCAAAAAAACTTCTTGTATTTTTTTAAAAAAATTTGCGTACAGATCAATCTGAAAAAAATATAAAACTTAAAAAAATAAACTTCAAACCACGTGAGAAGCCTTTTTTGAAACATATTTAAGAGAAAAAAATTATCCGTCAAAACTGTTGCAAGAGTCAAATTTTTCCTTCTTACCGTCTTTTTTTCTTGTTGAATGATCCTTTATTAATAGTCCATCTAATTCCAGATATAGAGAAATATTAAAAATCAAAAGAAAAAACCCACTTGGTAGAAAATTCCAAGCGCAAAGATTTTAATTGGACAAAATTATCCTTGAAAAGAAATTTCGTCTCAAGTTTTTTATGAAATTCGTCTAATAATTTCAAAAAAATTTTTTTGTATTAAGAACAGATTCCAAAAACACCCCTTCATACATGTAATGAATTCGGCAAAGCTTCTGTACTCCAAAGTTTTTCCATATGTCTTTCGGGCCGAAAATAAACAGTCCTAGACCGAAAAGTCGAGTCGAAACACATGTTGGCGGCCTTTTTTGAGATGGAAAGTTTACAAAAGTACGGTCCGCCATGTGTGGATTGACCTTGCGGAAATCTTCTTCAAAAGAATCTCACCATATGCGATTCCAAGTGAAAAATAAAAATTCCTATTTTTTTTTTTCTTGAGAAATAAACACATTATGTGACATTAATTCGACTAGGAAGCTCACCAAAAAGTGCTGAATTACAAGAGAATCAAAATTAAACATTTTAGAACATTCTAGAATTTCATTAAAAACTCATCTATCGGCATTATTTTGACTGGAAAGCTCACCAAAAAGTGCTGAATTACACACCGTTCAACATTGTTTTAGCCATGAAGTTCACTAAAAAGTGAAATAAAATTGTCATAAAAGCTCATAAAAATTCAAAAACAAAATTGGCGGCTTCGATTTTACAAAATTTTGCAATTTTCGCTTTTTTTGTTGAGCATTTATGGGTTCGAAGAGATTCAGTTGAAAGAATAGAGGTATAAAAATAATAAAAAGCTTTTTTTTTCCTTATTTTCTTAATCAGAGTTTCTGCTTATTTTAATTTTCTACCAATGAAAAATAATTCAGCAATTCTCCAAGCTCCAACAATTTCAAGTACTCAAGAACACTTTCCAAGCTCCCAACCCCCTTATATTTTCCACAAAATGGTAAAAATGAACCTTTTACTCCAGCCCTCGGTAATGCTTCGATTATTCGTCAGAAACTCCTCCTCGTCGTAAAGTACGCACATTACGTTGCCCATCAAAGTCGACATGCTCTTTTTGATTTTACACATCGAGAGTCCATATTTAGGCGCTATCTGAAATTTTTTCGAATTAGAAAGATCTTGGAGAAAACGTGAATATTTTTAAAAAAAAACTGAGAATTTTAAAAGATTAATTTAAATTCTAGAAAAAGCTTCAAACAGAATATTTCAAACAAAAAAGAAACATAGAAGCCTCAATCACCTGGAAAAAATATCTGAAAAATCAGAACATTTCGGAAAAAAATTTGGTTTTTTTTAACTTGCGGAGGACATTCAATTTTTTTCAGAAAATCAAAAAAAGAACTGATGAAATTATTGAAAACTTACTGAATACTCCCGATCCAAGTCGATGAACGGTGGAAGAATCGCTGAAAAAAATGGATATTTCGAAAGAAATTTATTTTTTTGTTATGAACTTTTGATGGCACGACAAAATCTCAAGTCCGCAAATCTCGAGGACCGTAATCTTGTGTACGCAGATCTAAAGTCCCATAATCTTGGAAACCACAATCTTGGAAAGCAAAAATCAACGCTTTTGCGAACAGATTTTTTCAGAAATTGTATTCGGTGATCCAAACAAGAGAATATAAGTAGATAAAGTGCAATAAAGAAGACTAAAAAGGAAGATTTTTGCTTTCCAAGATTGTGGTTTCCAAGATTTTGGTCTCCAAGATTTTGGTTTCCAAGATTATGGGACTTTAGATCTGCGTACACAAGATTACGGTCCTCGAGATTTGCGGACTTGAGATTTTGTCCTACCATCGAACTTTTGATAAAGCAAGTCTCATGCAAGTGCGCGCCATGGACAATTTCAACTCAAAAACAAACAAAAAAAGGCATTTTTTTTAGAATATTTTTGATGTATTTTTCGCACTTCTAATTATTTCTATTTAAAAAAAGAAAAAAAATGAAGAGTATCCCTTCATTTGCTATCAAAAGGCGAAAAATCAATATAATCGAAGAAAAAAGTTCAAAAAAAAACCGATTTTTCTCGCTCTAAAAAATTACCATGAAACTTTCAACTGTAAACTTCAAGTATTTAAACCGAAGCCCTCTTAAAAATCGTAAAGAAATGATAATTTTGAACTTCAAGCGATCCAAGTTTCAAATGAGAAAATTTTTAGAAAATGTCCAATAAAAAAACCCACGATTGCCTTCGGCGATAGCCTTATCGAAAGCGGCCAACGCGATATCGCTCAAGTTGTCCCAGGTGTGTTTGGGCGCCGGGACGGGAGCATGGGACGGCCGGGCATAGCGCGCGATGTAGCTGGTCGACGTCAGCATGGAGATGATGCTCGTCGTGACGACGACGCCGAGGACGACGGTAACGCAAAACTGACCAGGCATCCTGATGATAAAAATACTGAAGTGAAACATTGGGGTGGGACGCGTTGCGAAAGTGCGCGGGCGACAAATCCGCTCCGAAATCGGTTTAGATGGGTAAAAAATGATGAGTCGCCTTGTTTCCATTCATAGACCTCATGGTGTATCATTTGACTAGTTTTCAAAAGTTGGAAGTAGAAAAAAAAAAGTGGAAAAAACATCAGCAAAGATCAGCCTCAGTTGGAGGAGAGCAAAGAATTTTCATGAATTTTTTTTGAATTTCTAGCACCGCCGCGAGTGAACCTTATTAAAGGCGCATGCATGAGCCTTATTAAAGGCGCATACGATTTCAGCACTCTTCTTTTTCAAAAATCTCAATTGAAGAAGAGAAGATTTTTGATTTTTCAGAAAAGGAATTTCATCGAAGAACCATGAGTTCATCAAAAATAACGGTCCGGTTGATTTTGAGCCTTATTAAAGGCGCAGGAGCCAAATTCTAATACATTTTCATGAAATTTTGAAAATTCGTCTTCAAGAAAAATAATTATTGTTTCTTCATTTTTATGAGGAAATGAATCCCTTATTGTAAGACTAGAATCTAGTTAGTTTTTTCAGGTCAGCTTCTGCAGAATTTCGAAAAAAAATTTTTTCATAATTTTTTTGAGTTTCATTAAATGATGGACTATATTCTACTTAAAATTCCTAGAAAAAAATTTTTGTGGAACATTCTTATTTCGCCCTAACATATTTGAAAAAAATATTCAAAACACAAAAAAAATTCCCATCAAAGTTCAACCTCACTTTTTTTCAGACAAAAAGATAGTTGTTTTCTGAAAAAATGTGTACTTTTTGATCCCGATTATTTTTAAGCCTTTTTAAAGGCGCATGTGACTACAGTCTGGTCCATTTTTCTCGAAAACAAGTTCGAAAAATTTAAAAATACATTTCCATGACTTCTCAAGTGAATATTAATAAATGAACGTGTTAGCGAAAAAAAAAAATCCCCGTTTTTCCTTCGTCATTTATTTAAAAGCTCGTCGTCTGGCTTGATGAAGACCAAACCATCTCTTGAAGGTTCCTTGAATATTGCTTCAAAATCTAATTTTTTGCAGTATTAATCATTTTCCTGCTCCTTGTAGCTGGAGCTTTCTCAGGTTTTTGGAAATTATCAACGCCAAACATCAGCAAAAGGTTTTCTTTCAAAAAAATGACCAGAAAAAAATTAAAAATACTCAAATTACTCATGGGAAAACGCGCAGAAAAAATTTGAATATTCAAAAACTCTAAAAAAATCGTTTCTGGTTACTGTAATCCCTTATGCTTCCAATTTTGAGCTCCTTAAACTACAGTCTAAAAATTTTTTTAAAAAAAGTACTGCATAGATTTCGGGTTACTGTATAGGTTTAAGGTCACTGCCTAGGCTTTGGGTTACTGTACATGATTAAGGGGACTGCATAGGCTTTAGGTTACTGTATATGCTCCGGGTTACTGTAGATCACTGCATATAAGCTCAACCAAGCAGTGCTCCCTAGAGGGTCTAACTTCCCGTGGTCTCTATACTGGTTCAGGGTCTGAGGTCCCTAATAGTGTCCCTGGGTCCTTGGTCCTTAGAGAGAACCTTGAAGGACCCCTAAGGTTGCCCCTTTAGGGACCACTTTGTTATAAGCATAACTTGCAGACAGTTGCTGTTTCTTATACAACGCCTGCAGTACCAGAAAGCGTAAACCCCTAGAGTGGCCCCTTTTGCAGGCTTTAGTGAGAGGGGCAACCTTGAAGGACCCCTAAGGTAGCTCCTCTAGGGACCACTTTGGCGCTCCCAAGTCCTTGTAATTATTCTGAAACGCTGAACTGCAGGAAACTGTTGTTCCTCGCCCATCTGGAGGACCAGCAAGCATGAACCACTAGAGTGACCACTTTTGTTAGCTTCAGTGCCCCCTTAGAGAGGGAGCGATAGTTAAAATGGTTCCTAGAGGGAAACCTTCAAATAATCCCAAGGTAGCCCCTTTAGGGACCACTCTGGCGTTCCCAAGTCCTTGTAATCATTCTGAAACCCTGAACTGCAGGAAACTGCTGTTCCTCGCCGATTCAATGTCTGGAAGACCAGGCTCTGATGTCTTCCGCCTGTGACCAGCTGACTTGCACCACGGGTGTGATCATCTGGGACCGCTGCAACCCGACTTCGAAAGGTCACGTGGGCAAAGTCCAAGACCGAATTGCCGCCATGAAGCACGGCTCCACTGTCCAGATCATCAACGCCGTTTTCCCGAACTTTCAAGTGTACCGAGAACTCGTCACGCTCACCGTTAGCAACGCCGGTTTGTTTTTGAAAAAGGGGGAAATTTATTCTGAGTCCTACAAGAGAGGTTATTTCAGGGTGCTACGAAAAGAGCGAGTTTTCCGTTTGCGAGGAGTACTGTATGCGGATGAGATGAGTGCATTGCGTGTTTACACTTTGCGTGTTTACACTTTCGTTCTCGAGAAAAATGCAAATCTGGAATAAAAACAAAAATATTTGAAAAATATTCGAAAAAAAAAAACCCGGAGATGTCCTACCCGGTGACGTCCCGCAACGAAAAAGTAAACACGCAAAGTGTATGCACTCAATCCGCATACAGTACTCCTCGCAACTGGAAAACTCGCTCTTGTCCTAGCACCTATTTCAGTTCAAAGTTTAGAAATTTCTTGTAATTTCCAGGCCTGGTGGAAGCTTCCTAAAGTGTCTACTTAAAAAAGAGATTTTTTTTTTCAGGAGATATGATTTTAAAAACTTGAAAAACGGGGTTCCAGGCAAGCTATACGGAAAATTTGAATATTCAAATTTTAGAAATAGTGTTAGGAATGTTTATCTAGACCTTCGCAAAAGCGTCCGGACTTGACATTGAAATTCCTTGTCTTACAGTATTCCAAAGATGAGGATTAATATAAATTACTTCAAAAAAAGCTTATTTCCTCCAACTTTTTAGTGGCAAAGAAGAAAAAAATTATTATTGAGGGGGTTTCGACGCTCTTTGATGTTAAAGACTGTTTGAGAAATCAACAAAACACAAAAGCTGTCATCATAACGTTCCAAGAAACTTTCAAAGCTTTCAAAAAAAATTCCCGGAACTTTCAGGACCCGCCATCATAATCAGAAACTCGCACGTCGCAAGAGACGAATTTCCGAAACTTGTCGCGATCCGAAACAAGAACATATCCAACTGCGTGACCCGAAAGCTCATCGACATTGATGGCAGCGTGAAGAAGGATCTCCGGATTAAGCTTTTGAAGCTGGAGGCGGCGGTTGGTTTTGAAGTGACGGTCATTTTACTAGTTGCGCCTGGGAAAATTTTTAGTGGCCACTATAGGGTTTTGACGTTTTAGTGGCCACTATAGTAGTCATATTAGTGGCCACTATAGTAGTCATATTAGTGGCCACTTAAGAGGTAAAAAATTAGTGGCCACTATAGAGGTCTAAGTGCTACTACTAGACCACTCAAAATTTTTGTGGCCACTTTAGGGGTCAATGGATCAAAATAACTGGTCCAATCTGTTTGTTTTAAAATTATCAGAGTTACTGGAAGGAATACTGGATGAAAAACTACTGAAGTGGCCACTAAAACGGTAAACAGTGGCCACTATAAAGGTGGTTTCAGTGGCCACTTTAGTGTCCTCTCCAAGTAGTCCTTGGCGAGCCTCTATAGTGGCCACTAAAAATTTTCCCAGTTGGGATTTTTCTGATTTTTGGTCAGTTTTAAATGTATGGAGAGTCGGAAGGTCTTCATAGGATTATTTGATTCCCAGAAAGTCCTATGTTTCATATTTCGCGTGTTCCGACGATACGTGGGAAATGAAACGATTTGATTCGATTTCAACCGCTCAAAGTCTAAAAATAGCCATTTTGCGGGTTTTTCATGGTTTTCTTAGAGTTGGAAGTGCATTTGGGGAATTTTTGCGAGTTGGAACTTTCTGGATCTCGAGAAGTATACTGACCAAACTTCAGAAAATCTCAACCTTCCATTAAAATGACCTCCCTTTTCCGGCTTTTTTGACAGGAAAAAATTTCAGGCCCTGAGTAATTGCCATCCGATTACTTCGACCGAACCTCCATGCGCGAATAATCAAACGGAATTCCCGAATATGGGACTACCGACCATCGTGCAAGACGTCGAGGTGTGTAGCGAGAAGTGGAAACATATCGCGATTGGATTGGCCGTCGTCAGCATCTTTTTCGCCCTCGCTACTCTGATTCTCATTTTCTGCGTGGTTGGTCTTTGGGTCTTATCCAGGCATATCAAAATCCACGGAAATTTGGCTTAATATGGTATCAATAGTTGAATAACATATAATTATTCACCTGAACCTGTGAAAATTTTGCCGTTTTAAACCATGTTTAACCTAATTTACGTAGGCATTGGCTTTCTTGAATTTTATCAGCCTGGCTCTCCCAAAATTTTACTAATTATTTCCTTTCAGAAACGAGAACGCAAATTCAGCCGCGACGCGATAAAGATTGACTACGCCGACTATTTGAGCGTGAAAGACGCCTGGGACGATCAGAAGAGGAAGACCCTGAGAGAAGAGGAAAAGGCGCAGGAGCCTGTTGCCGTGAGCATGAAGGAGTTCAAGAAGGAGCCGAGCAAGAAGTCGATCAAGAGCAAGAAAGTGAATGAGAAGAGCCTGAAATCGTCCAAGAAGGGGTCGTCGAACAAGGTCGTGTCCAAGAAGGGCGAGTCCAAGAAGGACAAGAAGCCAGAGTCCCTGCAGAACAGCAAGAAGAAGGTCATGGACAATACCCAGCGCAACACGGTCCGGTCCCTGAAACCCGAGGCCGAGCCGCCCGTTCTGAACCCCTCCGCCGAGAAAACCGAAGCCGAACCGATTCTGAACCCGTCGGCTGAGAAAATTGAAGCGGAGCCGCCGATTCTGAACCCATCCGCGGAGAAGACCGAGCTCGAGCCGGCCAATCCGAAGTCTAAGAAAGAAATCAAGCCGGACGCAGATCTGAAGAGCGAGAAGGAGAAGTCCAAGTCGAGGGAGCCCATCTGATTCCAACTATCATTTCTTTTTTCCTTTGCTGTTCTTCAAATATTTCCTCAAGAGTCCACAACTGGAGAATAAATACATTTTTTGGAGTTCGGGCAAAGTTCCTTTCGATAGAAATGTCAAGGCTTGCGTTAGGAGCCTAATCTTCAAGGCTCATTTGATCCTTTTTTCATATATGGTTTCTCCTTGCCTCGATACTTCGATAGAATTCTTTCTGCGTCTTTCGAGACCCCTTGTTGCTCATTTTGTTCATTACCATTGCCTCAAAAGTCCACAACTGGAATACGAATCCAATCTTTCGATTTCACGAAAAAAAAAAGTCCATGACCCTATCATGCAGCACACTTTCATTAGACACATGGTTTGTCTAACAAACAATGACTGCAAGAGGGGGTCCCTGGAGTGGTCACTTGAGGGACGAGAAAACAGAGGACCTCCTTCAATAGCAATGCAAATCCCAGAAAGTTCGAAACGACTCTCTTTGAGACTTGATTGCTACAAAAGGGATGGTCCTGGTCGCTTGAGGGGTGGGAAAATCGGGGAAGGCGTCTTCTGCAACAATACAAATCCCAGAGAGATCGAAGCGGCTCTCTTGGCATCTGATTGTTACAGAAGAAGCAGTCCTGGTCACTGGAGGGTCTGCTTGAGGGGCCGGGGAAGGGGTTGGAGGAGAGCGACTTGTTGATTTCTCAAAAAAAATGCAAAGCTGTCAGTTTTAGTTCTTTAGAAGCTTCAAGACAGTGGAACTCCTCCGAAAAAGCTGGTCAAAGCTCTCTCTGTAGTTGAAATCTTCCCAGAGACGATTCACAAACGTCACATGAGAAGAGGACTACTACAGAGAGAGGCTCTGGATGGGAGTAGGGAAGGGACTTTGAGGACCGAAGAAGCTTGGTAGAAGAAGTCTTCAAAGCTTTTTGGAAGACAGAAGCTTGGTGGAAGGCAGAGAGGAAGCCAAGACGAGGTGCCGCGGCGGCCGAACCGACGACGAATGACAGAACGACGGCGAGATCGACGCGGTGAATCATTTCGGAAAGGCCGTGGGCGGTCCTGATGGCAATCTCGTGCCGCCGAGCACTTAGAGCCATCAAAAAAACGCTTCTTTTTGTAACCTTCCATCAACGCCATTTCGCTGTACGATTTTTGTTTTGGTAGAGACGTGGCGCCACCTGGTACGATCTAATGGACGGAATGGAGGAGGCCAAAAGGCTGTAATGTATGAAAAGCAATGATGAAAGTCTCAAGAAGAATAAGAAGGAGAGCCGATTCAAAAAATCGAATCAACTGATTTACTAAAAAAAAAAGAACTTGAGTTTCCTGACCCAGCCTGCTCGGTTTATCAATTTTGAGCTTAGAAGGGAACGATGTGAATTTTTCTAATGAAGCAGAGGTTCAATAAATGCAATTCCTAGACTGATTCATAATCAAAAATGACAAATTGGTCTGAAAAAAATTCTCAAAAAATTCTAAGGATCCTATAGGTCGAAATAACTGATTTACTGAAAAAAGGAACTTGAGTTTTCTGAGTCAGCTTACACGGTTTATTAATTTTGAGCTTCGTAGAAAATTTCTCAGTTTCTCCTAATGAAACAGAGGTTCTACAAATGCAACTTCTAGGCTGATTTATAATCAAAAATGACAAATAGGTCTGAAAAAAATTATTAAAGCTAAGAATTTTTGCAAAAGAAAACTTTCCGATTTTTTTAAAATAGATTACAAAGCTTCTTTAGTTTCGTTAGACATGCTTATTACCTACTAGTAGACAAAAAAGCTTAGAGAAATCTGTAGTTTGAACAAAAATTATGAATTTTCGAAATTTTGAAAATCTCTATAGACTTGGCTTCGTAGTTGGATACAGCAAAGACGATGAATTTAAAAAAAAAACCTTATGATTTTTAAAAATTTCAGACCTCGCAGACGTTTCTTAGCGTTCCTAGTGATCCCTCTAGTGGCGTCAGCACTTTTAAGTGATCCCAAGAAAATAGTATTCTAAATAGGGTTTTTGAAGATTCAAAATTATCATTGACCCTTAAAAATGACGATTTTTCACCGTCAGACGAAAAAATTTGAAATTTGAATCAAGATTTTTTGAATTCATGAATCATGATAATCATAAAAAACTTGAAAAATATCAATATTTACGATTCAGGCTCTTAAAACTGAATAAAAAAAATCGTTAGATAATACCAAATTTTACAAGACTTTTGTGAGACGATCCGTTATTATATTTCTTATTTTTTTAAAAAATTTTTTTTCTTTTATCTTTCGAACTAATTATTTGTTTTTTTATTAGTTTTCATTTTTCCATTTGCGAAAATCTTGTGCTACAACAAATTCTCAGCTTTAGAAACCTACTAAAGTTCTGAGAAACTTTGACAAGAAGAAAAGATGACGTCACCAAGCGGCCCCGAAGCTCCGCCCACAAGACACACGGTAGCCGATCCAGTCGGAGGCCAGTAAATCCAGCTGTCTACCCCTACTTCGCGAGATTCTTCCTATTCCCCCAACTTCGATTTTTGGATATTTGTCATTCTCATAGAGCCCACAAGCCTCTATAAGAATACAGAACTCCAGAATTGGAGCCACCCGGCCGTCTTTTTGAGCATTTTATCCGTAACTAGACATTTTCATGCTTCTAGTCGCAGAAAAATTGCTCACAAGGAAGTTGGGAACTTTTTTCTCTTCAAGTGGCCTCTTGAAGGTTTTTAATTAAACATTGATTTTTCATTTTTTAGTTCTAATAAGCTTCAAGGCCGTCTAAAAAAAGAAGCAAAGTGATATTTTTTTGAGAAAAAAATTGCAATCAAGAAGAAAAAAAGGCTTAAAATATTGACTCACAAGACTCAAAAAAAGGAAAAAAGAAAAAAAATTATTTTTTTCAATAACAAATCAAGTCAACCGGGAACCAAAAAAAGTCTCACTAAGTTTTTTTAATCAAGATTAATCGATTTTTTTACACATTTCCAAAGCCACAATGATAAGAAAATCGTGGTAAAAAAATAAGAAAAAAATGAAATCTTTGAAATTCAAAGAAGAAAAAAATTACTCGAAATTAGAAAAATGCAAAAAAAGTGTAAAATAAATGTTTTTTTCTAGCCCTCAAGGCATGTTTATGAATAACTCAAACCAGTTTGTCAGCTTAAAAAAATTTTTATGAACCAAAAAAATTGAGAAAACTCTCCTTTAACATAGCAAACTTCATTGAAAAAAATATTCGAACTCACGAAAAAAATTTCTCAATCTTTTTCTATTTTGAGCACCTACCCCCCGTCCCTTCAATAAAGCCTACATCTTTCCAAGAAGCCCATGTTTACGATAACAATAACAAGACGACTTCTAAGCTTCTCGTTGAGTTGCGCAATAACAGCCGTTTCGAGTTACAACAGGTGTTGCAACACCTTAACCGTATCAGTTACGTGAAACATTAGATGGCCACCGTATCAATGTCATAATTGACGGGCGGAAAAAAGTTATACCAACCGGGAGGATTTTCACGTGTTGCGTGGGTCAAGTGGCCCGTTTTCCGACAGAAAAAAGACGTCTGGCAAACGTTTTCCATCGCCTCCGCGATTGAGAAAAATCAAAAATGAGGAAATGGATCCAAAAAGCGAAGCGAACAACGTAATGTTCAAAGTGATTTCCGCAATTTCGAAACTATTTTCGTTGAAATTATTTCGCGAAATACGCAAAATAGGCATTTAGAAAGTCGTGGAACAGATTGGGTCCTATAGGACTTCAAATCGTGAATTCAAAGATATAGAATTATTTGGACATTTTTCGGACCTTGATACTGAGAAAAATTTTAGTGGCCACTATAGGGTTTTGAAGTTTTAGTAGCCACTATAGATGTCAAATTAGTGGCCACTTAAGGGGTTAAGAGTTAGTGGCCATTATAGAGGTCTAAGTGCTACTACTAGACCACTCAAAATTTTAGTGGCCACTTCAGGGGTCAATGGATCAACATAACTTGTCCAATCTAATTTTTTCAAAATTATCAGAGTTACTGGAAGGAATACTGGATGAAAAGCTACTGAAGTGGCCACTAAATAGAGATACTCTAAAGTGGCCACTAAAACGGAAAATAGTGACCACTATAGAGGTGGTTTTAGTGGCCACTTTAGTGTCCTCTCCAAGTAGTCCTCTATAGTGGTCACTAAATATTTTCTTAGTAACACGAACCGGACGCGCGCCAAACGCTTCTTAATGTTTCCAGTGACCCCTCTAGTGGCGGCAGCTCTCTTAAGTGATCCCTTGAAGCGCCTAGAAGCGTCCTGTTTTCATTACCGAGATAAGAGTTTTTTTTTTTCAAAAAACTGTGAAATATCAGGGGTCTCCAAACTTTTAAGCGCGAAATTCCAAATTTTTAAAAATTAGTTCGGCATTTTTTAACCAAAATTTCAAAATCGGGCGTAAAAGTCGACATTTCGTTCTAGAACCCTATTTTTCAAACAGCTCCCGGAAATTCGAATTTTGCGTATTTTGTGGAATCATTTCAAACAGGAAACGCGTCAGTTTTGAAATAACCAAAATTACTCGAAAAATGCCACGAAAAAGGTTAAAGACACACTGGAAAACTCGGTAGATTCGGGTCGCTTGAAAATAGGAGCTTCAAGAAAGTGAGAAATACAATTCCAAGTTCAAAAAAAGAAGAATTTGGAATTTAATCTTACTAAATTCAAAAAAATTGATAGAAAAATTGTTGATTGAAAACTTATTTTTCGAATAAATTTTTTTCAGCAAATGAATTAAAAACGGAATTAATTACAATGAAAAACCGCATTTCAATATACATATGAGAAAACGAATCGAAACAACGATTTGTACGAAAAAATAAAGTGAATTGACAAAATAATCACGCGTCGATCGATACCGTTGAGGTAAACGTGCTCCATGGCTAATATGGGTCTCGGCGCGGGAAAATCGTTTTGGAAAAATTAAAACTTTTCTAATTTTTTTGATTTTTTTCCTTCAAGGAAGTTTATTTTTAAAAATTCTTCGATTGTTTTTTTAAATAAATTTCGTTCACGCCATTGTTCTGAAAAGGTCTTGCATGGCTGTCTAAGACCTCAGAAGTCTTAATTTTCCAAAAACCACAATGAATAAAAAAAATTCGTCTCTTCTTCAAAAAAACTGTACTGTTTTGACAGCCCCAGCAAGAGCTTCTAATCTTAATGTATTTATTTAATTAGTCATTCTGCAAAACTGAATCATTTTCAGCCTTGAAGATGTCGGCCATTTGGTCATATTATTACCCTGGGAAATCGCCACTTTCCCGCCAATGCAAGCTTTGTGATGAAGAGGGAAAGTTCAAAGTCATCAAAATTCAAAGTAAATCGACGTCGAATCTGATCAGTCATCTCAGAAGGCAGCACCTATCGGAGTATGCCGCAATGAAGGTTTTTTTAGAGAATGATTTTTAATTTTAATCTTGTTTGAAGCGATCACAAGACGCGTCATTGGCGGCAAATTTCGAAGTTTCCTCTCGGAAAATGGATCCCGATGATGTTACGGTAGATGAACTGCAGATCATCAGGTGAAAGCTTGAAAAATTTTTTGGTGGAATATGATTTAACACTTCTCTAATTTCTTCAAAAAAATTAAGAAAACGCTTGTTTCAAAAAAATTATTTAAAAAAACTGAAAGAATCCGCTAAAAAAATTTTTCACTCATTGGTTCTTCCAAAAAAATGGATCATTTGGAGAATTTCATGAAGGATTTCAAACACCATTTTTTCAAAACTTTCGTTTTCATTATTTATATTTGTGAAAAAGAAAGGAAAACAAAAAAGGTCCAAAAATAAGAAAGAAAGTGTAAAAAGGAATTATATATCGCGTTTCGCGTCCTGAAAATGGACGGCGTGGGAGGTGAATCACAAGTCAATTCTTTTTTTGCAAAAAAAGAAAAAAAGATTGAAATATTTAGAAAATGAGTAAAAAATTAATAATAAAGAAAAGTTGAAAAAAACGAGTTGAAAAAAATGGAGCGTTTTGTAGGCCTTCTGCGCTCCAGTGATAAGTCGGACTCGCGCACTTTTCGCATTTTTTTCACTTTTTCTCACTTTGGTAAATTCTTTTTCCACTTATTTTAGAGGTAGTTTTACCAGAAGCTCCAAATAATTTCGAACCCACTTCTTTTTGTTATATTCATTTAGGATAATCAGTACTTTTCCAGTCAAATCACGGCCGGCAACATAAACCTGGAAGCTTTCAAAGATGGCAATTCTCATTCCCTATTTCGGCCATTCCATGTCCGCGGTTTTATTTCTCCGACAAGGTGGAAGATTGTCAGAGCCATTCGAAGCCTCGTTGATAGAAAAAACGAGGAAGTTCTTTGTTCGTTACGGGGATGTGAATCGTAAGTTTCAAATCGTAATCTTGTATTTTAGGGTTGATTATTTTTTTAAATTTTGAAAACTTCTGATTTTTTTGAAGGCCCTGAGGGCTTTTAAAGCATTAAAAAAAGCTCAGAGCTCCAAAAAAAAAATTTTTTTTCTCAATTTTCATACTTGAAATATTTTTAGTGGCCGCTATAGTGGTCAAATTAGTGGCCACTTAAGAGGTGAAAAATGAGTGGCCATTAGAGAGGTCGGACGGCTACTAATAGACCACTAAAATTTTTAGTGGCCACTTTAGGGGTCAATGGATCAACATAACTGGTCCAATCTGTTTGTTTTAAAATTATCAGACTGGAAGGAATCCTGGATGAAAAACTGTCTCTATAGTGGCCACTAAAATTTCCCCAAAATGGAAAAAATTCAGATGGAGTATGAACATCAGCGTTTGGCCGACCAAGTCCGACCAAAGCTTGTTTTTGGTCGTTATCCTCAATTTTTTGAATCAAGATGGTGCCAGAAAATCTCTGGTGGCCAGGGTCCAGGATTGCGATGTCGAGTGAGGGTGTTTTTTTAAAAAGGATTTTTCTCGAAAAAGAGAAAAAAATTTGAGAAATAAGTGAATTTTTATAAAGGAAATTTTTTTATCAAACTTGAAATCGTGATTTTTCTTAAAATTTATTCTTTTTTTCTCCTTTTTCTTCTATCCAAGTTTCTGTCCCTTTTTAGAAATGTAAAAAGTCAAAAAGACTTCAACTTTGAAATTTATGAGAACATGTCAAGGGAATTTTATTTTTCATTAAACTCGCATCACTTCTCATTTTTTTTGTTTTGATAATTGATAGAAGTCATGAAAAAGTCGCCAAATATTTCATATACTGCGAAAGTTTTTTTGTGGCCACTATAGAGGCTCGCCAAGGACTACTCGCACACTAAAGTGGCCACTAAACCCACCTCTATAGCGGCCACTATTTTCCTTTTTAGTGGCCACTATAGAGGTTCTCTATTTAGTGGCCACTTCAGTAGTTTTTTTCGTCCAGTATTCCTTCCAGTATTTCTGATAATTATAAAACAAATAGATTGGACCAGTTATGTTGATCCATTGATCCCTAAAGTGGCCACTAAAGTTTTTAGTGGTCTAGTAGTGGCACTTAGACCTCTATAATAACCACTAATTCTTACCCCTTAACTAATTTGACTACTTTAGTGGCCACTAAAACGTCAAAACCCTATAGTGGCCACCAAAAATTTTCCCAGTGTTTGATCTTTTATTCCTTCCAATCCCCTGATTCTTCATTAACTATAAAGAAAATCTCAAACTAGCTCACTTCCCGGCTTCATGATTATTGGAACGATTTCAAACTTTTTTCAAACATTTGTTTATTTTTTTGAAATGTCGTTCGAAACTATCGTTCCAAGCGCTTTTATTTTTCCATCTGAATATTTGGCAGATGTTTCAAACCTTGTCCGCGGTTTCCGAATGAAAAAATGGACGGAAAAGCAAAAAATCGCGATTTCAATAGAACAATACAGTGGCAGGTGCGAGGCGCTGAGAAAAAAACGTCGCCGGAAAAATTTTTCAAATGGATTCATATTTTTGAAGTAACAAGATTTGAAGTGAATTTAAGGATTTTTCAAAATGTAGAATTTGCAAATTTCTTCAACAGTTTTTTTTTCTAATTTGGAAAAAACACAGATTTCTGGTTTCTAACTGTTTTTTTATCAACCAAAGAAGAAATTTTTCGAAATAACAATGATAAAAAAACCCTAGTTACTTTTTTTGATAATTATACATTTTTTTACGAAGCTTTTTGATTGGAACAGAAATATTTTCTGGAGATTTTCGCAATTTTTTTCAATTTTTTTGATGAATGAGTCAATTTTAAAAAAAGATTATATTTTTTTCGTAGTATCATTTTTTTAATTCTAGAATGGACTCGGACGAGTTCGAAATGAAGTTGTCGTTATTCCTGGAAGAAATTTACGACGGAAAAAGGGGCCATATGAAAAAGTTCGCCGGTGCAATGTACAGCGGGCCGAAAAATCTGATTCCGGCTTTTTCGTCTTTGAAAATTCGATTGTGAGTCTAGCTATTCAAAAATCCTTTCTGTGTTAATAAAAGCAGCTTTTTTTTAACTTGAGTTAACTCAAAAAACGATATTTCACTGGTCAGTTTTTTTTTCTGTTTGAGAGACCACAGCAAGGATTTTTTTGAAAAAAATAGGTTTTTAAAAAGAAAATTCAGGTTTCAGAGTCCCTTGCTGCTGTGAAACGCTGCAGTTTGTCCTGGAAAAGTCGATTTCCTCGGTAGAATTCGTCAGAAATCTCTTCGGGAAATTTTTCCTCCTTGTTATCGAACTTTATCGGACACAACGTGGGAGGATGGCTATTAGAATGTCAGCTGTTGATTTATATTTTCGCGATTTTTTCAAAGAAATGGTCTTGGCACGATCATAGGAATACATACCTACAGTAACCCGGGATTTTTTTTTTAAAGCTGGCTCTATTTTCGCTCTCGGTTTCTTTTTTTGTTTAAAAAACGTCCAGACCAATAATTGTAGTTATCAAATCGTCCTGTCGATTCTACTTTTTCTGAACCGAAAAATCCTCAAAACTAGGTTCTCATCGAAACTTATTCCCATTTTACAAAACTTCTCAAACCTATGTAGGTTCTCATCGAGGTTTCACATTATTTCCCACTTTCCCATATTCTTTCCGAAAAAGAGACAAAAGACGTCGACCAATCCGGACACACGTCGTTAAAATGTCCGTTCGTTTTTATGGTGCGAAAATGAGCCGGGAATCCCTTTCAAGACAAGAATAACAAGTGTCGAGATTCAAATGAGAGTTGCAAACTTTTTGAAGCATAAATAGTCTTCGACTTCCCGTTTTGAACTTTGTGCTCAGAAATTCTGAAAAGTTCCAACTTTATCAAACTTCTCAACAAAGAAGCACATGCGACTAGGTTTCCTTTGTCTCCAACTTCTGAAAAGACGGTCAGAATGTTTATTTTGGAGTCCAAAGTCCGGTACATCCGAAAGAAGTTGGTTTAGAGTAGATTCCATTGTGAAACTCGCGCTTTTGCCCTTTTGTTCTGTTGTTTTTGCCTCGGCGGATAGCTTCTTTCTGCCATTTCGGACAGATTTCGCCGAGTTACACAAAAATCGGAAGATCACATTTTTCTGTTTCTCAGCTACGTTTTGAAGTGTACATCGAAAGCTTTACAGTGAATAACAATTCAAAAGAAACTTTATTTTTTCTGCAGATGAATCTTCTCAATTTTTGAAAGAAAGGCGAATATTTTCGAAATCATTGAAGAAATTAGGATTTCGAAAAAAATTATCACGGACTTTTCGCGTCCCACGCTTGTATATGTATATTCCATGTCCTTTGATCCAAGCTTCAGAGCTCAACATTTAAGGATAATAGATTTAAAATTTTCAGATCTGAAATTTTCCAAAGATTTTGGGCTATTTTGGGTCTTTTCAAAAGTTCTGGGCCTTCAAAAAATCTTACAACAAGTTTTGGAATCGTTAGTATTGCCCAATCACGTTCAGTAACTTGGGCTCAATTCATCTTTCGATTTATAATCCCTCTTTATAAAATTCGACTCATTATCCCAGCTCAGCTCCTGTTTCTAATCCAAACATGAGCGCTCAAAGTCTAACAGTACCAGATTTGAATTTTCTGAAACTTTGCCCGGCGACCGGAAGACAAAAGGAGACTTTCCAATGGGTCGACGGCCGTGCCAGGCGCCCCTTTTTTCGGTTTTCCACGGCGGCTTCCGTCTCAACTTTGGCGCCGAAAGTTTGGAGATCTCTGGTTTTGGAATTTGAAAATTGGCGCGTTTTTGGACGAGAAAAGATGTGGAGGACGGACACTTATAGAAAAAGTTATTTCCACTGAATGAGCTACAAATTTACTTAGTTAGTTCCGTAGTATACTGTATCAGAATGATCGTAGGCTACTATCAAAAGACATGTGTTATTTTCCCTATAACAACTCGGAAATTGGTAACGCGAATCGGAGGTGTCGGGGCGTTTCAAGTGGCCACTTTAGTAGTCAGTAATTCTTAGAAATGCTCAGAAACGTCCGGTTTTCGTTACCGAGATCCGAGAGTATTATTGTAAATCATTTATACAATAGTTAACTTCTATAGATTTTTTTTAAAATCAGAAAATACTTGAGAATCTTCCTCAAGTCTGTCTCATTTTGCTCAAAACTATCAGAGGTAATCCTCGAGGTACCATCGTGAGACTTCAGAGTCTGCGATATACCTCATGGGGTCTCGCGATACCCTTTCTCGACTTGCCTATGTTTGTTACGATAGTAGATCTCAAAGTATATACTTTCCATTTTCGAAGCTCGTAAAATTTTTTTAACTCGGCGAAATCTGTCCGAAATGGCAGAAAGAAGCTATCCGCCGAGGCAAAAACAACAGAACAAAAGGGCAAAAGCGCGAGTTTCACAATGGAATCTACTCTAAACCAACTTCTTTCGGATGTACCGGACTTTGGACTCCAAAATAAACATTCTGACCGTCTTTTCAGAAGTTGGAGACAAAGGAAACCTAGTCGCATGTGCTTCTTTGTTGAGAATTTTGATAAAGTTGGAAATTTTCAGAATTTCTGGGCACAAAGTTCAAAATAAGAGGTCGAAGATTATTTTTGCTTCTAAAAGTTTGCAAACTCTCATTTGAATCTCGACGTTTGTTATTCTTGTCTTGAAAGGGATTCCCGGCTCATTTTCGCACCATAAAAACGAACGGACATTTTAACGACGTGTGTCCGGATTGGTCAACGTCTTTTGTTTCTTTTCGGAAAGAAGATGGGAAAACGGGAAATAATGTGACATTTCGATGAGAACCTACATAGGTTTGAGAAGTTTTGTAAAAGAGGAATAAGTTTCGATGAGAACCTAGTTTTGAGGAATTTTTGGTTCGCGGTTTCTCAAAAATCGGATAGGCTTGAGAATTCCAAAACTGGCAGTTTTTTGAACAGAAGAAGACACCGTGATGCAGATAATGGAGTCAGATTTTTGGAAAAAAAAAATTGGTTACTGTATATAAACGGTTTTTGTGTACTTCACGGAGCTGAAAGTCACTTGGAGGCCAAGAAGAAGTCATTTTGATATGTTTTGTTGATTTTGTAGAATTTTTTCTCTCATTTATAAACGGAATTTTTTTTCAATGGATAACAAGAAAAAAGAAAATTTTTCCCTTTTTAGGCTGGAACTGGAAGAAAAACTTGTGAAAAGGCCGTTGCTTCAGAATATTAAAACGTGGAGTTCGTTTTATTATCTTCTGAAATGGGTCGCCGATACTGTTCGTTGAAAAAAAGTTCTAAAAAAATAAGAATTCCAGGACCGTCACATCATTGAAGAGTTGTGTGCGGCGGTCGGTTTCGAACCGCCGAGTTGCTCAGATTGGGAAGATATTCCTCAGATTTGCCAGCTCTTGCAGATCTTCCATGACGTTAATAATGAGGTTGGCAAGTGAGATTTTTGGGGAAGTCTCATGGTGACCGTAAACAGCGAGCATAGGTTACGGTAGTTCTGAGAAATAATCGTAAATGTGAAAACAGGTTTGAGTTTTTTAGGAGGATGACTAGATTTTTTCCTTAGTTTTGAGGACAGTAAATGATAGTAATTGGTCTTTGATTCTGGAAAATCATCATGGGTCCCGCAGCAAAAACTGGTTACGGTAGTTTTTAGGAGGATGACCAGGTTTTTTTCAAACGGAGTTTTGAGTGCAGTAAATGGTATTAGTAGGTTTTTAATTTTGAAAAATCATCATGGGTCCCATCACGAAAACAGGTTACGGTAGTTTTTAGGAAGATGACTTTCTTTTTATGTGGCTTTCAGGGCAGTGAAGAATACTAATGGCTTTTTGATTTCAAAAGTTTATCAAGGGTCCCACAACGGCAACAGGTTACGGTAGTTTTTTAAGAAGAGGACTCGCTTTTTTTACGGAATTTTTAGGGCGGTAAATGATGGTAGTTGTTTTTTTGATTCTGGAAAATCATCATGGATCCCACAACGGAAATAGGTTACTGTAGTTTTTAGGATGGTGACTAGATTTTTTCCTTAGTTTTGAGGACAGTAAATGATAGTTTTTTATTTTGGAAAACAGTCATAGGTCCCGCAGCGAAAACAGGTTACGGTAGTTATAGATGAATTAAGAGAAAATTTACAACTTTTTCATGTGAAAATGGATTTCACAACGAAAAATACTCTAAAAGTAATTTTTGTTTCTATTGATGTCAAAAAGGAGATATTTTTTTACAGGAAGAAAAGGTTACTGTAATTGGTAGGTTAGCTTCTTAAATATTTTGAGAATTTTTTTGTCGGAAAAATCATTTTCTGATCTTGAAGCGAGTAGGAATGGTGACATTGGAACTGCAGAATAAGCCTAATTGTTTTTTTTAACCGAAACATTTGATAAGACGTTTTTTTCAGATACTGTACAAGTGTGATTTCGTCTCTCAGATCATCCCCAATTTGATTTTACTGCGAAGATCTTTGGAAATGTTGGTGATTTTTTGTAAGAGGGTTTCATGAAAATAAAGAAAAGAGCTGTGGATTTTTGAAAAATAGTCATTTTTGTACATTAATGCCATGCTAAAAGTCATTGCCGCGAAATACAAAATTATCTCTGACTCTCCGAAATTGAGTTATCTTTTCCTTTCTCGGACGGCTATTTCGGATTTCGAGAACACCCCATAATTTTTAATTTTGGATTCTTATTCTTCAAAAAAAAAAATTTGCGCAAGGATTTTTCTTTCAGAACAACAGTGACGACTTCAGCAGCCGTCGCTTTAAAAAATGAAATTCTTGAGCAAGTTGAAGCCCGATTGGCAGCCGTCAAGGACAATTTGATCTGGAGGCTGGCCACTTTTCTGGACTCCAGGAGTTCCAATTTCCAAAATATTTTTCCCGGAAAGGAGCTCTTCAATATTGAAGAGGACGTCGTTCAGTACATCCGAGGCACGTCCAAAAAGAATTTTTCAAAGCAGATTGACTATTTTTAAATTATTTGATTGATGTACGGCTTTTTTGGGGCGCAGGAAAGTTTTCGAGAAGTAGTTTTTGTTGACGGTTGTAGTTCAAGGAAATAAGGGTTCCGAAAAAAGGGAAAAATTTTAAAAAAAAGCATAACTTTCCGGAATTTTTCTCTTGAATATTTCTTGTCATGTTAATTTTATTAATTTGTTTTTTTTTGATTATCAACCGGCCTTCGTGAAAAAAATACCAAGTTCTCTTAGGAAATGAAATTAAAGATTTAAAAATGTCCATTCACGGCTTATTTAGGACGCAAAAGCCCGATATTTTTTATCGTGGTTAGATTTCTTTTTTGTGATCCTTGAAATATTAACGCAATTAAGTCGAGAATTGTTTTTTTCCGCAAAAACTGGAACTTTTTCTTTCTAGGACAATAAAAACGGCTATTTTCGAGTATAGAGTAATATGGGTGGAAAATCCGCATCTTCTCAGGCCCACGGCGTTTTCAAACGGAGCGGGAAAACGTCAAAAAAATAATAATTTTGGCGCGAAAATTCAAATCCCAGTACGCAGCTAAAGGCGGTCGAACAAGCAAGTTATTAACGTTGGATACTGTGTAATTTTTGACGTAGAATGACGTCATTTTATCCGGAGCGCGCACTTACTTTTTTTGTAAATTTAGAAATTTTGACGCTCACCTTCCCTCACCCCATTAGCAGGCTTGTGCGAGGGCCGGCCCGTCACCCTCCCGGCCCCCCGACCATTTTGTAAGCCCGGCCCGGGCCGGCCTTAGCGGGCCTCAAGAAAAAATGGCCCGCCCGGCCCGAATCGCCCAATTTTTTTCTAATCGGATATCAAGTTTTTTACGAGAGAAATTACGTTTTTGCTCATTCTTTCTATTGAAGTTTAACAAAAACTATGATTTCAGAAGTAAAAGTCACATTTCGGTGAAAATTTTTTAAATGAAATTTTAAATTTTTTTTGAAGCCCGGCCCGGCCCGAGCCCACGCGGGCTTTTTCCTGAAAATAAGGCCCATAGCCCGGTCCGGGCCGGGCCCCCCGGCCTGACGCACAAGCCTGCCCATTAGGAATGCCGTAAGGCCCAAGTTCAAAGAAACTGATTTTTTCTGTCCGTGACGCAATTTTTCTGAAAAAAACTAAGCCTGGAACAATGAAAAGCGGCATTTCACTTCATATATTACGCAATATGAGTTGAAAATAGCGGCTTCTTCATCGGTTGACCAGAGGCTCCTTTCTCTATGGCGCAACCTTTCCGAAACGCTCCATTTTTTTCCAACGAGTGTTTCGAACCTTCTTTGTGCACACCGCTATTGTTTGAGGAAAAATACAAGCTTTCCCATCCTGGGACAAGAAAATGCGGCTTCCTTTTTTCTTATATGGCGCAATTTTTGTGTGAAAGGAATATCGGAGCTTCTGAGGCTGTATATTGAAGGCTCGGTTTTTCTTTTGTCTCTTCCCGGAAAAGCTCTTTTCGTGTTTTGAAAAGGAATTTGAGTGAAAAAAACTGTAAAATATAATTTTTTTAAATTTGAATTTGATTACTCACTTGTATTTTTAATCAAAAAAATTTGTAAGCTGTAATTTTTTTGATTGAAAAAAATTAGCTTAAAAAAATAGTTTTTTTAAGGATTTTTTTAAATTTTTCTCGGAGCAAATGCAATGAAGAAACTATCACTTTTTCTATTTTGCCCAAAGCGGAAACAGAAATTTCAGTTTAAAATGCTCTTTTTTAGGTCTCATCGAAAACGGCGAACTGGAATTCGGCCAGAACCCGCTTCTAAGTCTTTCCTTTGACCATATGATTAAGGTTTTTGAGGATTGATACATTAAAAAGGTTTTTTTCCCAGAGCGAGTTGTCCAAGTACCGGAAAAAGTTTCTGTCCGAAAAAATTCTCTCCGGAGATCAATGCGGCGCGATCTGGTGGATCTACCGCATCGAGAAGTTTCCGTTGCTCTCGAGGGCCGCCTTGAGGGTTTTGTCCTTCAACACGTCCTCCTTGGCCAATCAGACAATGAGGCGGTTGAGTTTTGGCATGGATCAAATGGAAAAAATCACAGATTCATCACAAAAAAATGTATGTAGATGCTGACGATTTGAAAGCATTCTTTTTATCACTCTACAAAACTGCAAAGAAAACCAAGGTCTTGAAGCGAAGTTCGTCCAAATTTGGTATAAGATCTTTTTTGACGAAAAAAAAAAGGGACAAGGTGGCCACGGCATTCCGAATCGGGTGAGGGAAGGTGAGCGATTCGTCAAAGTTTCTGAGTTTACAAAAAAAAAGCAAATGCGCCCTCCGGATATAATGACGTCATCATTCCACTGAGTATTCGACCTTAATAAGTTGTGTTTTATCGCCCTTCGCTGCGTACCTGTGATTTAAAATTTCGCGCCAAATTTTTTTTATTTGACGTCTCCCCACCCCGTTTGGGAACGCCGTGGTGGCGCTGAATGCCTTTTAGAAAAGGGAGAAGAATGAATTGAATAGTCGGGTTTAAAGTATCAACTCTTTCTCGTTGACCAATCAGAAAGTTAGGCGGTGGAATTTCGACACAAGAATCTTTCTTCAAAAGCTTCTAGAAAGAAGATTGGAAAAAGCATTATTACAAACATCATTATTCTGGCGATGGGCTCCCAGCCGTCAACTTTTAGACCAAAAATGGTAACTTGTAACATAGATGGACAAATACAAAACTCATTGGGAGGAGGAGTCGGTTAACAAAAATTCAAAAAAATTAGTGATAAAACAATTTTCAACCTCAGGGAGGTGTTTTTGGCCACAATAATACAAGTTTTAGCCTCAGGGAGGTAGAATTAACAATAATTTAGGAAAAAAATTGGGGGTCCTTTAAAAAAAGGCCTGTCCATGTATGACGTGTAATAATAAAAATATACTTTAATGAGTTTTTTTGTTCGATATTTTTTTGGTTGACAGTTCCTTTGGAAGATTTTTGGGTGGTATGAAAAACACCAGCGAAAATTCAAACGGCGACTTTTCCGATTTTTTCGTATCGCTAGGGAGCTTTCCGACGGATCCTTTTCCGACTTTTTTCCCTTATGTTTTTCGGTTTATAAAACATCTATAAATATTTTTTTTCCTATTTCTATGTGTTTTGATCATTAACCAAATACCTACATTATATAGGAAGGTTCAAAACGAAGATTTTACCGAGAAAAAAAGTCGGAAAAAGATTCGTCGGAAAGGTGGCCGTCGGAAAGTTCCCTAGCGATACGAAAAAATCGGAAAAATCGCCGTTTGAATTTTCGCTGGTGTTTTTTTCATACCACCAAATTTCGAGTTCGGTAGGCGAAATGTGCAGTTATAGCCCATTCCGCTCAACCTTGTCACGATTACTATCTTTATTCGGGGTACAGAACCCTTCCCTTTGATCCGCATGCTTTTTTTATTCATATAAATTTCTGTCATATTAAAGGCGCATGTGCTGACACAGGTCACGCGCGAAAGGAAGGGTTCTTTAGCTCGAAGATAATTAAAAATCGGACAATTTGGAGCGGGATGGGCTATAATAAGAAGAATTGAATGCGATAGAAAAAAATCAAAGGAATAAGCTCAAATTTCATTTTTATATTATTTTCAGTCCGGTTACGAAGCTCCACGCGCAACTGAGAAGGAGCAAATGTTCTACATTGACAATGGAAAACCTGTTAAGAATCCGAGCCAATGAGATCTGTGAGGAGATTGGGAGGTTTGCCGATCAAAAAAGAAAACTAAAACATCAGGCTCAGACTTTTTCTTTGGATTTAGGTTGAATTTGAAAAAAAGGGCGTTACAATAAATTTTTCTCTAATTCAAATATGTTGTAGAACACTATTTTTAGAATTTCTCACGAAAAAAAAAAACAGAATATTCTCACTCGGCTAGTTTTCGAGATACAGTAGCCCTAAAGAATTACGGTGGAAAGCTTCGAAAATTACGGTAGAAAGTTTCTTTTACAGTTCCGTCAGAAAAAGGACGAAAATGGCTTTTTAGATATTATTTTCTTGTATGGAGTTTGATCTTTCTGAAGCTTTGATAGCTCTTATTTGTCCATCTCTGGGGAATATTCATTTCCTAGAAAAAAGGCGTTTTTTGTAGAATTTCAAAAAGAATTGAGCTTCATACAAAGGGGGATCGAGGAAAAAAACAAGGGGGCGGGGGTTCGAGGAAAAATAAAATTAATGGTTAACCGCAGTCATTTTTTTTTAAATGAAGTTTGTTCTCTTTGTGGGAGAAGTTGGAGAAAACGAATTTTTTGCATTTTGACACTCCGCTCTGCACCTGCCCCATGCTACAGTATCCTCCTATTGAAATCGTCTTTTTCCTCTCTACGCTCCTCTTTTTTCGTTGTTTGCCATGTGGGAAACAGTTTTGACCATCTGCCGGGAATCAAAAAAAAATTGAAACAAAAAATGAAACACCTGGAACTTTTCCAGAAAGATTTTAGCTATGTTAAGCTTTTTTACGATCCAACTTAATGAATTAATAGTAAGATGCTCACGTTTTGAGGGTACTGTAGCAGAGGCAGGAACGGGCTTTAGACCTCCTTTTTTCAAGAAACCTGCTTGCCCTTGGGCCAACCCAAGCATTGAGTAAGATTATAATTTCGATTGAAAAAGTGTTCATTGCGAGAAACTTGGCTGAAGCGCACTTTAGAACCTTTTTTTAATCTAGGCCAAACATTTTCTCGACGGGATGGGGGTGAAAAAAACTTCGCTTGTGAGAAAAAAAGAATAAGTTCGAATCATAAATTCTCAATCCAATTTTCAGGTGGTCCAGCGATTTTTTTCGGTTTTTGGATCAGACGGGCCTCGACTCTGACGTCGAATACGAGTTTTTCAGATGAAGAGTGATAATTTTTTTCCATAAATTAATAAGATATAAAGAAAATTGATATGTTGCCTAACCTACATAGTTTTTTTGTCGAAATTAATCAGATTGTTAACAAGATTTCATATTTACTCATGCTTGTTTTTACGGTTTCTAATTAATAATTGCCTATTGAATGAATTTTTGATTTTTTTCAAATTGGTGGAATTGAAAGTTTTTCCGTGTCCTTCGAGATCTTGGATACTTGTAAAATTTATTATTTTTAAGTGAAGGTCAGGAAAGTCTCCGAAATGTGCCCAGCTCCGAAAACTTCCAAAAATTATTAATGTCAGTCTAAAATCTTTTTCTGGATTATTGCCAACCAAAAATGTCTCGAAACTGAGTTCTCATCAAAATGTCACATTATTTCCCGTTTTCCCATCTTCTTTCCGAAAAGAAACAAAAGACGTTGACCAATCCGGACACACGTCGTTAAAATGTCCGTTCGTTTTTATGGTGCGAAAATGAGCCGGGAATCCCTTTCAAGACAATAATAACAAGTGTCGAGATTCAAATGAGAGTTGCAAACTTTTTGAAGCATAAATAGTCTTCGACTTCCCGTTTTGAACTTTGTGCTCAGAAATTCTGAAAAGTTCCAACTTTATCAAACTTCTGAACAAAGAAGCACATGCGACTAGGTTTCCTTTGTCTCCAACTTCTGAAAAGACGGTCAGAATGTTTATTTTGGAGTCCAAAGTCCGGTACATCCGAAAGAAGTTGGTTTAGAGTAGATTCCATTGTGAAACTCGCGCTTTTGCCCTTTTGTTCTGTTGTTTTTGCCTCGGCGGATAGCTTCTTTCTGCCATTTCGGACAGATTTCGTCAATTTACACAAAAGTCGGAAGATTCGAAAATGGAAAGTATATACTTTGAGATCTACTATCGTAACAAACATAGGCAAGTCGAGAAAGGGTATCGCGAGACCCCATGAGGTATATCGCAGACTCTGAAGTCTCACGATGGTACCTCGAGGATTACCTCTGATAGTTTTGAGCAAAATGAGACAGACTTGAGGAAGATTCTCAAGTATTTTCTGATTTTAAAAAAAATCTATAGAAGTTAACTATTGTATAAATGATTTTCAATAATACTCTCGGATCTCGGTAACGAAAACCGGACGTTTCTGAGCATTTCTAAGAATTACTGACTACTAAAGTGGCCACTTGAAACGCCCCGACACCTCCGATTCGCGTTACCAATGTCCGAGGTGTTACAGGGAAAATAACCCATGTATTTTGATAGTGAGCATACGGTAATTTGATACAGTATTTTCACAAAACTACTCAGTAAATTCGTACCTCATTCAGTGGAAACCTTTTTCTCCACAGGTCTCAGTCCTCCTCCACTCTAGTCTTTCAAAAACCGCGCCAAATTTCAAATTTCAGAATCAGAGATCTCAAGTTTTCGGCGCGAAAGTTGAGACGGAAGCCGCCGTGGAAAACCGAAAAAAGGGGCGCCTGGCACGGCCGTCGACCCATTGGAAAGTCTCCTTTTGTCTTCCAGTCACCGGGCAAATTTTCGGAAAATTCAAATCTTTTACAGTTGGACTTTGAGCGCTCATGTTTGAATTAGAAACAGAAGGAACTGAGCTGGGATAATGAATCGAGTTTATAAAGAGGGATTAAAAATCAAAAAATGGATTGAGCTTGAGTTACAACCCTTTGATGGGGCATAACTGATGATTTTAAAACTTTTGGTGAGATATTTTGAAAGCACAGAACTTTTGAAATGGCTGAAAATACCGCAAAGTCTTTGGAAAGTTGGAAAACTGTTACAGTTAGATTTTTAAGCTCTCAAATTTGAATCTATCCAAAAAAAGTTTAAATTGAAAGTTTTTGAGCTAAACATATTAAGTTAGAGATCGATCTGAATATCCGAGAAATTTAAATAATTCTACCTTAAAAACTTCTATGAAGAAAAAAATAAACTTATGGGAAGCTTTCCAGTGTAAAATTCCAGTGTTTTTTTAGAAGCCTTCCATAAATTAGATACCATACTCCTCATTTGGATACTGTAGAAAGAAAATCTCTGATTTTTTTGAAAAAAATGACGATTTGAGACCTTTTTTTCTTATATTTCCAAGTTTATCCTCATTTAAAAGATCGAAAATATTCTCTTAGAATAAAAAAAGTTTCAAAAAAAAACGGTCGGTTACTGTAAAGTTCTCGAAGTGCGCTTCAAAATCTAGCTGAGAAACAGAAAAATGTGATCTTCCGATTTTTGTGTAACTCGGCGAAATCTGTCCGAAACTGCAGAAAGAAGCGATCCGCCGAGGCAAAAACAACAGAACAAAAGGGCAAAAGCGCGAGTTTCACAATGGAATCTACTCTAAACCAACTTCTTTCGGATGTACCGGACTTTGGACTCCAAAATAAACATTCTGACCGTCTTTTCAGAAGTTGGAGACAAAGGAAACCTAGTCTCCTGTGCTTCTTTGTTCAGAAGTTTGATAAAGTTGGAACTTTTCAGAATTTCTGAGCACAAAGTTCAAAATGGGAAGTCGAAGATTATTTTTTTGCTTCAAAAAGTTTGCAAACTCTCATTTGAATCTCGACACTTGTTATTATTGTCTTGAAAGGGATTCCCGGCTCATTTTCGCACCATAAAAACTAACGACATGTGCCCGGATTGGTCGACGTCTTTTGTCTCTTTTCGGAAAGAAGATGGGAACACGGGAGATAATGTGACATTTCGATGAGAACCTACATAGGTTTGAGAAGTTTTGTAGAAGAAGAATGAGCATGACGTTTTAAAAACGGAACAGTTTTAGTCTCTTTTAATGCCGTCGAGCTTAAATTTAGGAAGAACTGTTTCATCAGAGCTCGGTGTTAACAAACTTTTCAAAGAGTTTAGCAATTTTTCTTACCAGAACTCTTTTTAAAATCAATAAAAAATATTTCTGAGATCCATTTAGGGCTGTAGAGGACCGATGCCCTCATACTTTACTTTTTTGCTTTCCCGAGTTAGTTATAATTAAAGTAATAAATGACCCTAACTTGATAAAAAAATAATTTGACTTATTCCAGAACCTGAGATTTTCTATATTTCCTACCATCATTAGATCCTGAAAAAGGCTATTTCCTGCCTCAAAAAGGTTATATCCAAACCTTTTTCTCGATTTTTGTCAAGAGTTCAAGATAATTTAGAGCGTCTAGGTCAGTTCAGATTTTTCATTTCACGTACCTTGTGAAATACCGAATAATCATCAATATCTAATCATAACTGTGAAAAAATTACTATCCGCGCAGCGGAGGTTTTCCGAATCCTCTGACGAACTTCTGAAAAGGGTTTTTTTCTGCCTCAGGAAGGTAATATCGCATTTTTCATATTTTTCAAGAGTTCAAGACACTGTAAAGCGTTTTGGCTCATCAGATTTCACCTTTGAACCAATTCAAGCCATAATTGAAGTGCTAAATAAGACGATCTAACCCTAATTCATAAAAGTTTGGTTGACCTATGCTAGAACTTGGGATTTTTTCAACTATCTGTCAACATTATAGCTCTGAAAAAGGCCATTTTCCAGCCATACCGACCTCATTTTCCTCTTTTTCCTGAGCTTAGTTGTCATTTTCTGGAGATTTCTGAAGATTTTATGCTAGAAGCTACCCAAGTTTCGGTTCCTACCTATATCAAATAAAGCAGTAGCTGATCATAACTAACCATAACTTGTAAAAATTAGCCTTCTCTAAATCCAGAAGCTGAGATTTTCTGAAATTTCTACTTTCATTGTAGATCTGAAATGACTGTTTCCTGCCTCGAAATGGTCATGTCGACACTACTTTTCAAATTTTTTTTTTTCGAAATTTTCCTCCGGAGCTCCATGTCGACCCGACTTTTGAGGGTCCATAACTTTTTTCATAGAGCTTCTCGGCAGTTTTTGAGACCGGATTTGGAATCAGCCTGAAAAACTGAATCTAGAAAACTTGGTCTTATTCAGAAGTCCCACTGGAGACCATTCCCTGGTCAGATTCATCGTTTTCACCTTCCTCAATCATAAGTATATCTAACCTTAACTTATAAATAAAGAAGTTTGTTTACTCCAGAAACCTCTGACGTTAAAGAAAGCGTTGCTTCACCACGCCCACTTTGGTCTTTTCTTCTCTGCGCCCTCTTCGGGTCGGTGGACCCGCCCCCTCGCCGGCGGCTCAACAGTTTGTCTTGTCGGACTTGTCGGTGGAGGATGGTCGCTTCTTCTTCTTCCTCGACTTCTCCGGTGCTCCGTTCAGAGCCCAGGTTTGTCTTTGGTTCTTAGGAGGCTCTGAGGTCTGCTGGAGATTCGTGGTTACTGTAGACGCTCTTCTTGAGACTTTGAATCGGCTTGCCTTCTTGTTCTTTGATGGTGGCCTTTAAGGACTCACATCTTGTCATGCTTCTTAGTTATGAATTTTCAAGTCTTACAATCCAACTTGGTTTCTGGAGCCGACTAGAGCTGGGCGGTTACTGTAGACGTTCTTCTTGAGACTTCAAATCGGCTTGTCTTCCTTCGACGTTGGCCTCATATGACTCGACAACTCGTCATTTTCAGGGATTTTGTTGTGAATTTTTGATTCTTACAATCCACCTTGAAGTCTGGAGCGGACGGGAACGGAGTGGACACTGTAGACGCCCTTGTTGAGACCAGAATCCGGCTTATTCTACGACGATGGTCTTCTAGGAGTCGAAAACTTTCTTTTTTTTTTTTGAAATTTTTTAGTAAATATTGGTCTGACGATTTACCGAGTTTCGCGTGTCTTCTTGTTCTTTGATGGAGGCTTTTACGGGTTCGACAACTTGTCTTTTTAAGGGATTTCGTTTAGGAATTCAGCTTTTCGATGTCGGAGGCCGATGAAGCTAGGCGGATACTGATGTTTTTTTCTTGAAACCTGACATCGGATTGTCTTCTTGTTTTTCATTGGAGGCTTTGAGGGGTTCGACTTCGCGTTTTTTTTTGAGCGTTATATATCTGGAAGGTGGCTGGAGCTTCGCGGTTACGGTATAACTTTTTTTGAGATCCGAAATCGGGTTATCTTCTTGTTCTTCATTGAAGCCTTCGACGGGTTCGACCCCAAGATTTATTCCAGGAGTTTTGTCGGTATTTTTCGAGTTTGCCGATCCACCTTTGAGTCTGGAGCCGACTGTAGCTAGGTTATTGTAGACGTTTATCTTGGGACCAAGTTGTGCATGTCTTCTTGTTCTTTGGTGGAGGCTCCGGTGGATTCGACAGCTTTTAGGGAAGTCGTTAGGAACTTTCAGTTCTACGATCCACGTTGATGTCGGAGGTCGATGGAGCTGGGCGGTTACTGTAGTTTTTCTTTGAGAACTGAATTCGGCTTGTCTTCTTGTTCTTAGATGAAGGGTACTTCTTGTTTTCTTTGAGCTTCTATGTCTGGAAGATGACTGGAGCTCCGCGGTTCTTACGTTCTTCTTGAGGCCTGAATACTGCTTGTCTTCTGGGTCGTCAACGGTGGCCTTCAAGGATTGGATTTCCAATCTTTCTACAGGATTATAATTTGGGTTATGCTGGGCGGTTACTGTGAGCATTCTTCTTGAGACCTTGAATCGCCTCGCCTTCTTGTATCTCAATGGTGCTTTGACGGATTTGACTGCTTCTTCTTTGATAATCGTAATTTAGAGTGTGACTGGAGCTCCACGGTTACCGTAGATGTTCTTATCGAAATCTGAAATCGGTTTGGTGGAGGGTCCGGTAGATTCGACAGCTTGTCAAAGTCTCAGTTGTGTATTCTCAATTCTTACGGTCCGCCGTAGGGTCGGGAGCCGCCTAGAGCTGCGCGATTACTGTAGAGGTTTTTCTTGAGTGTCGAATTCCGTTTGTTCCTTCGTTCATCGACGATGCCTTTCAAGGATTCGACTCCTCGTCTTCATTAAGAGTTACAATTTGAAGGTTCCCGAGCTGCGAGGCTACTGTAGATGTTCTTCTTGAGACCTGAACTCGGCTTGTTCGTCGTTAGTCGACTGCCCTTTGAGGATTCGACTCTTTGTCTTCTTTAAGAGTTACAATTTTGAGGGTGACTCGAGCTGCAAGGTTACCGTAGATGTTCTTCTTGAGACCTGAAATCTGCTTGTCTCCTATGTCATCAACGGGGACCTTCAAGGATTCGACTTCTTGTCTTTTTCAAGAATTATAGTTTCTCTGAACAGCAAAGCTTCTTCGAATTTTTTCTTGGCGTTGATAGGTTCTCCATCTCTTTCATCATCCTGATTCGGGTTTCGAACTCTGAAGGGTTCTGTGACCTTCAAAGAGGGTTTACAGTTTCTCGACGTCTAAGGCTCATGGCTCAGATCAACGGATTTATATTGGAACATGGTTACAGTAGGCGCTCTCCTTGGCAGTTCAAGTCAGCAACTTCTCCGTTCACAGGCTTCTGCTTGTTTAAACTCCCCTACGTCCACGACTGCAGATTGATTAAGACTACGGGGTAGTTTTTGTTCTTCAATTTTTATTACCCATCTGGATAATTTGAAGGAATTCTTTTTTAGTCGTGAAGAGTTCAACTTGTGGTTTGAAGATTGGATCTTGAGTTTTGAGGCTTTTCATGGCTTATGAAGTCTGCTTGGGGTTTAGAGCAAGTTATAGGAATTCCGGCTTCTATGTGGATTCTACAGACCTCAGAGCTTCTTTTAATTTTTCAAATTAATTTTTTGCCTGTTTTTGTCTGATGCATGTTGCATGTTTGTAATTTTTGTTATCTTCAAACGACCTGGAGTTTCACGGCTACGGTAGCACGGCCACTTCTGAAGGTTAGTTGTGATTTTTTTTTGTCTTTTTTCATTGCGTCATCTTCTTCATGAGTAGTTCTTGATATGTAGATTGGTTCAAAGCTCTTTCAAAACCGGTGATATCTTCTTGGCAACTTTTCGTGCTTCTCTTCATTTTGACCTGTGTTTTCTTAACAGTTTTTACTTGTCTGTTCATAAGTGTATATAGTTGGGAATAGTTGTAGATAGGTGTGAATTTTCTCGGAGTCCTACGAAAAAAAGTTCAACTTGATTTTTTTTTTTTCCGTTTTTTTTATAGTCTAGAATGTCAAGTCGTCGCTCAAGCTCCGCCCCTTATGGCGCGATAAACCATTCAGAGAGGGAGCCATCCACAGAACGTTTCTGAATGACGTCATTGCACTTGGCATTAAAAATATGAACAGACTATATCATCTTGACCATCAACTTCATTAGGGCTTTTTTTTTTACTTCTTTTTCTTCTTTTTTTTTTCTTTTAAATTTCTGAGAGCACCTGAGGCTACGTGGTAACTGTAGAAGATCTTCTTGGAACCAAACATCGGCTAGCTCTCGGTTCTTGACGTTTTTCTGCGAAGCATCTGGTCTTCTCCTGTTTATAGATGTATCAAGCTGTACATAGTTGTAACCATCTTGTAAAAATCATTTTATCATCGACGTCTCCGAAGATGCACCAAAGCGGTCGGATCAACTTGAAACCTTCTCACTTTTTATCTTCTTGAACAGTCTTCTTGGTCTTCAGCTCATAGTTCTACTTTCATCTAAGCTTTTTGCGACGTTCTGAAGGAATCTACAGCTACGCGGTTACTTTAGAAGATCTTCTTGGAACCGGCTTTTTCTCGTTTTTGACGTTTTCCTGCGACGGGTTCGACTTTTCCCTGGTCAAAGTTGCACATAATCACCTCTTCTTTCTTTTAAGCTTCTTGTTAGGCTCAAGAGAAAGATAGAGTTACGGTGGTTACTGTAAATGATCGTTTCGAGACCTAAAGTCGTCTAGTTTTCATGATCATCGACGTTCGATTTACGCTCAGGAGAATCGAGGAATCTCTTATTTTTTTTCAAAAAGACTTCTCAAAAAAAAAAGTTTTTGATTCACATTATGAGCTGCATGACAGCTATGACGTCAAATAAGAGTTTTGCAATTATTTCCCCTTTTTTGGTTTTAAACACACGTTCTCTCCACCCCTCACTGGGTTACGGTAGGACTTTTAGGAATCATTCTAACTTTCCTAGTTGAAAAATCAACATCTTAAAATCACATGTACTGTTCTCTGTGCTTAAAATAATTGAAGTCAGCTAGGAAAATGGTTAGAATATTCACTAAAAGTTCTACCGTAACCCAAAGGAGCCTCACAGTAACTAGCCTAAAAGCTCACACTATGTCTAGTAGTCTAGTAACTGTGCCGTACTTTTATACGAGGGAAATGTGTGAGGTGAGCATCGCAGATGTGGTCCTAGCTTTTGTGGTAGGTTATCCCAGGTATGAGTACTCGGAAACAGAGAAAATCATCTGGTCACTGGTGAATCGAGAGGTAGATACAAGTATGTACCGGTTAGCAACTCAAGTGAATCGGCGAATCGTAATCGGTGGTCATTTGTATGCGACCGGGTACTATCTCTATGGTACCTGGTCGGTATCTGGATGCTACCGGCTATGAACCTGAAATTCGCGATTGCCACTGGCTGGCACATCGATCGTTTATATACCATCAGTGTTTTTTTACACCTTCCCAAGCCTTCCAGGGTCTTATTGGATAAAGCTGAAACAAAAAATAACGACACGGGAAGCAATTCCAGACATTCCGAAAGAAATCGCGAATGTCAGGTAGCTACCCGGTAGCTATTTGTATCGACCTCTCGATTCACCTTTGATCTACCACGGGATTGTGAAACAGATCTTCGATGTTCACCTCACAATGTTCATGTTCACCTTTGTTCACCTCCTCCTTAGGAGAGACGATGAATTAATTTTTGCGGATCATCTACTACGAGTTCCTTCTTCGATACGGGTTCAGAATCTGCAAAAAAAGGAGTGAAGTTGCAATTTTCGGCGGAAACTAGGTTTCTTCAATTTCAGCTTCGATCTCTACATAAATTAGAGTTCTCTGGTTTTGCTTTTATCGTCTTGGCGTTCTCCTGCTTATTTCAGAGCTTCGTTTCCTTTTCGTGAGGGTTTGAGGTTAACTGAATCGGGCATACTGTAGTTTTCTTGCTAGGACCGGAGTTTAGTTAGTTTTCGTTATCCTATCAGCTTAAGGCTGCGACAAAAGGATGTTAATTTGAATTTTTAAACGTTTTCAATACTCGTTGAGCAAATTAGACTTCATAACAGTTCCAGAATATGTTTTAGTTTAAAAAAAAACCAATTTTCTCTTCATAAATAGGAGTTTCTTTTTTTCCTTTTCAAATGAATAGTTGGGAAAATAAGTTCTAACCCTTTTCAAAAAAATATAGAAAGGTGGCTCTAGCTTGATAATTTGATACAAGTGTCATGCTGGAAAAGTCGGTTCGGTCATTTTTTCAAACCGGCTATTTTTCAAAAATTACAAATGACTTCGAAAATTGTCGTATAATGAAGGAATAGTTTCTTCAAAACCGTTAACACCTTTATAAAACCCAAAGAACTTTTCAAATTTTGAAAACTTGAAGAAAAAAATGCATTGTGAAAAAGTCACGGAATCGACCGACTTTTCCAGCAGGCCAATAGAATTAGTTTTTGGCGGTTTCTGTGATCTTCATGATCATCTACTTTCCGGACCTTTAAGATTTTAGGATCTGTAAGGAAATCTTTTTCGGATCTTGAAGCTTGAAAATTCCCAATGATTCATCATATCTTCATGAGTCTTTTTGAACAGGTTATCGTAATTTCTATGATTCAAATTGATCTTGTAACTTTATTTTTATATTTTTTGTGCACGCTGCATGATTTTTTTTTTCTCCTACGATTTGGAGACTGGCATGCTCCCGAAGAAACTACTTGAGAGGTCAGTTTTGATTTTTTTTTTTGTACCATCCTTTTTTAATTTGTATATTTTGCTTTCTCTTTCTTTTTTTTGTGAATTTCCTACAAAAAATTCCACAAGAAGCCAACATCTTCTTTGGAAATTTCTGACCTTTTGGCCGTTTTTTCATTCTTTTTGTCGTTGTCAAGAAGAGACGATTTCTTAGTTAGATAAAAAAATTGACAATAAATAGGAAATTTTTAGGAAATTATGCCAAAAAAGGGAATTTATAAATGTTTTTGCTCGGTACTGTATTATTATGATTCGCTGGGTCTACCGTTTTTTTCTGATGCTACTATTCTGAGTCCCTAGGGCTACTGTATTTTTCTGAGCCGCTTTGACTACTGTATATTTTTTCTGAGCCGCTAAGGCTATTCCAACCTATTTTCTGCTGACTTCGGATCACTTTTGAAGGTAAGCAGCACGTTTTCTAACTTTTATTATAGTCGATGTGCCACAAGTTGAAATTTCATGGAACGACACTCCGCTGTTTCGATTTGTGCGGTAGCGCACATCGTGCGATTTTGCCAACCTCGGCCACACTAATTTTTTTATTTTTAATCTTCATTTTATAAGCCATTCACTTTCTGAAAAAATCCATTAACAAATGCGACAAAACAGAAAAAAAAACGATGAAAACATTAAAACATGGCTTTAACAAAACAACGTTTTTTTATCGCTCTTTTCGAGGAAGATCATGAAATCTACTGTGTTCTTTCGTTTACATTTGTACAACGAAATCCTTTTCAACGATTATAATACATTTTAAAGAAATAAAACAATAAAAAAACGATCAAAATTAGAATTAAAACCAAAAAAAATTAGTGTGGCCGAGGTTGGCAAGTTCGCACAATGCGCGCTACCGCACAAATCGAAACAGCGGAGTGTCGTTCCATGAAATTTCAACTTGTGGCACATCAACTATAATATGCATGTTTCGCACCGCGCACCTTTTTTACCTTTTAAAATGTTTACCTGAAAATTTTGTGTTTCATGCAAACGTTTAAAAAGTGGATAGAGCTGTAGACCCCTCTTCACGCCCTAATGAAACCTGCTCTCACTTTTTGGTCCGAGTTCAAGATATAAATTGAATATTTGAGTCCGGCGCCAAAAAGTGAGAGCGGGCTTTTGTCATTTTCAAAATTTGCAAATCAAAAAGCGCTTTTACTTTGTAGACATATCTTTAAAAACAAATGGATTTTTTAAAGGCATTCTACGAAGCCAAAGCGCTTTTTGATGAATTTTGTGACAGAAAATAGTTTCACTTTTGTTTTTTTTTTTTTTGCATGGAACACGCTTCGCACTAGAGTCTGATGTGATTTGTTTTATAATACTTCCAAAAAAAAGCTTGCTGGAGTTTTAGAGAATAAGGAACTTCAGTACTTCTAATTTTACATTTTATGGACTGGTAAAGAGAGGGATTCTCTTTTGGCTAGCGGCTGAAGTTAAATTTGAGGATTTTTAGATGGTAAGTCATTAGAAAACTGAATTCTTGAGAGCAGAAAAAGTGAAATTTGTGCGATAATAGTTATGTTAGCATAAGATCCAAACAGAGATAAGTGAGGCGATTTGATAGGAATTCGTGATTATGGAGATGGACGTCTGAAGTAAATGGAGCTTGACTGTGATCTGGAAAGAGGTTAGAGAAAAGTTGGTTCTCAAGAAAACTAAGCTAGAAAATTGTTAAAAAGATGATTTGAGATGGTGATAAGGTTCTGGGGAGTTTGGATTTTCGAGAAATATTCTAATATATGGAAGTTTGGATAAGAGGTTCAATAATTTTCAGAGAGGTGCTCTTTTGAAACTCCAGCAAGCATTTTTGATCAATCCTATCGCAACGTTTTCTGGAAACTGAATCACATCGTCTCAAGTTTGCTAAAAATGCACAACTTTAATATGTCGCCCCCCAGTCTTTTGAGACTTGCTTTTTCTCTTTGATTCGGAAAATTAAAGCCGTTCATGCTTTAATTTTCCAATCAAGGATAGAGAGCGGGTCTCAACTTTTCCCTAGAAAGGCTTCGGCACGAAATTCGGCATGGCTTATAGGTTACGGTGCGACTTGAAAATATGACTTTGTTTGGCTCAATAGAAGAACTCGATTTGAAATTTTCGCTTTCAAAAAAGAGATAAACCTTCTTAACCGACCTTTGAAAATACAATTTAACACTCTAATCAATTTTGAAGTTTTCAAAATTCTAAACCAAAAAAGCATATTTTCAGTCAATACCGTACCTTCGCACCACACATTTTGGAGCCTGCTTTTTCATTTTTATCAAAGATTGCTATCCGGAAAGGAGATAGAACTCTTGATAAAAGTGAGAAAGCATGTCTTCACTATTTCCAGCACTGCTTTCCCACTTTGGTGCTCCGTTTGCAATGACTCAAATGAGAAACCAACCTTCTAAGGAACCTATAAAGTAGGTATGATTAGAAGCACGGAAAAAGACTTGCTTTCACTTCTTTTCTGTCGGATCAGACAAGATTCAACTGTTGACCCGGCATTAAAGGAGTGAGAGCGTGTCTTTGAACTTTTCGCACTTTCGAGGCCTGCTTTCTTTTTTGTGTTCTCGATCTAGACAAGTATGGGCTCTCGATTGATTACACAGAAAACAGAGCGCGTCTCCTTTTTTCACAATTTTGAAGCATGGAACACAAATGTCTCGTTGAATCCCCTTCCAAAGCATCGGCGCTTGCTTTTTAGTTCAGCGTTCATCTTACAGACCGCTTGAAGTCCCTGTAAGTGAACCCTGAATTAGGAAGCGGGTCTGCCCGATTTTGATCCCCAAGACTTCACCATCACACTGTTCCACATGACTTCGGACTTGCTTTCAGGCCGTCATAAGCTTTTCAGACCAACTACGGCGTCTGAAAGATTATGACGCGCCTGAGAGCGGCTTCGCTCTTTTCCCTTCTCTCGGAACTTTCTGTTCGGCTTTAACGGGTAGTGCCAGCCTGTTTCTAGCGCTTCACAACCCTTTAGAACTGAACGGCAGGTTTCTCGATTTAGAAGAAGTCCAACAAACCCCGCCCTCCGGACTTGCCCTCAGATGTATCACTATCATTTACAAAACAATTTATGTATTTGGTAGGTCATGCATCTGAGAGCGGCTCCGCTCATTCCCTCCATCAGAACACGAGAAATGTTCTCTCGAAACATTGGTGTTGCTTTCAGGCGGTTATGAGTTTTTCGGATCATTCATGGCGTCTGAGATCCTCTATAACTGTCCTGAGAGCGGCTCCGCTCATTTTTCCGCTTGAAACTTGCTGCTTGGCCCTAAAGAGCTGTGTCAGCTTGGTTTTAATGCTTTCACAACCCTTTAAGGCTGAACGGCGAGTTTCTCATTTCAATAAATCAGACTTGCTCTTTGATAATTCATAGGGGTACCCAGATCACGTTTGATATCTGTATGCTCCCTGAGTTATCAGAGAGCGGCTCTGCTCATTTTCCTTTGGTTGTCACAGACCAATATCAACAAAACCCGGCCCCCCTCCTTCACTTTCCAGACCTGCTCTCAGATTGACCATAACATTCGCAAGACCTCTTCGAAATCTATGAGGCATACTTCGCTCATTACCCATAAAATGAAGTCTTCTACCTGGCTTTTGAATATACTTGAAAGCTTGTTTCTACTGCTTCCTGGGTGTTCAAAAGTTGAGAAGAGGACTTTCATCTTTTCCTCTCACCAGTCCATGAGAAATGCTTTTCACAGAACTTCGGACTTGCTCTCAGGCAGTCATAGCTTTTTCGGACCTTTTTTGGCGTCTGAAACTGTTATGATTGACCTGAGAGCGGCTCCGCTCATTTTCGTTATCCCCCGGAAAATACTCGGATTCGCTTTTTGACCATACACATTTCTTTCCAAATAAATGCGAGTTCTGAAATGGATTCAAAGTAAAGATCCCAGCTTTCGGAATTGCTCGCAGATACAACATATATTCCGAAAGATCGTCCATGGATCTTTGAAATCTATGCTGTATCGGAGAGCGGCTCCGCTCATTTCCCCAGAACCTCTCCCCAAAATGAAAAAAGCTAGCTGCTCGACCTTAACTGTTTCCGCCAGCTTGTTGATAGTGCTAGCAGCAACCTTTAAGGCCGGACGCCTAGTTTCACCTGATCCTCCCGGCCGACCTCAGAACCCCACAAAACTTCGGACTTGCTTTCAGGCCGTTATAAGTTTTTCGGACCAACTTAGGCGTCTGAAACCCTATGTCGTGCCTGAGAGCGGCTCCGCTCTTTTCCCTTCGGAACTATTCGGCTTTAAAGTTTAGTTCCATCCTGTCTCTAGTGCTTCGCTCATTTCCTCCATCAGAACTCGAGAAATCACCTTCTCGAAACGTCGGACTTGCTTTCAGGCGGTTATGAGTCTTTCGGACCAACTATGGCGTCTGAAGTCATCTATAACTGTCCTGAGAGCGACTCCGCTCTTTTCTTGAATGATAATCCACGATCTTCTCAAAACACTTTTGGCTTCGTCAATCGTGTGAGAACGGCTCTGGCGAAATTCACAGAAACTTCAATCTGAGCCTTTGGACTTGCTTTTCAGGCGGTCATAAGTTTTTCGGACCAACTTCGGCGTCTGAAACCCTATGTCGGACCTGAGAGCGGCTCTGCTCTTTTCCCTTCGGAACTTTCTGTTCGGCTTTGAAGGTTAGTGCCAGCCTGTCACTAGTGCTTCGCAAGCCTTTAAAACCGAACGGCAGGTTTCCTAATTTACAAGCATTCCAACAATCCCACCCTTCGGCGGCTCCGCTCATCCCCCATCAGACCTTGAGAAGTGTCCTTCTCCAAAAATCGGACTTGCTTTCAGGCGGTTATGAATTTTTCGGACCATTCATGGCGTCTGACACTTTCTATAACCGTCCTGAGAGCGGCTCTGCTCATTTTCTCCAATTTTCATGGTTCTGCTCCATAACCAAGCACGTTTATCCTATCAATCTCAGCTTCAGAAATTCGTTAGCAAAAAAGCGATTTCGCCACTAGAAATTCAAGTCTGACTTGCTTTCTTGTTCCACATTAGATTTTTAGACGATCGGGCTTTAAAGATCTGTGTAGGACAAGAGAGCACGTCGACAATTTTTTCGTGCTGTTTTTTCTCACCAGTGACAGTTTTTTTGGAAACCCCGACAAACTCCAGAGCCGGACTTGCTCTCAGACCCCCGTTTCGGCATCTCAAATTCGGCTTTCTGTTCAGCCTTTAACCGCCGTCCTAGCTAATTCGACTTGCTATGCCGGGGTTCAAAGACTGGACGGCGAGCCCTTATTTTCTTCCAACCTCAAAACATTGTTCTCCGGCTTTTAAAATCCCCAAAAACGAACTCAACGTTTTCGGGTTATCAAAAGCTGCAGAGCGACTCTGCTCAAATCACCCTAGACCGGTTCGGATTTGCTTTTCGACCAGAAACAGAACTTTCGGAGTTGGAAATACTTCTGAAAGAATGTTTCTGGTCCCAAAGCGGCTCCGCTGCTTTCCCCGGAATCGGACTTGCTTTCAGACTGTTCACTGAACATAGAGATCTTGTAATGCTTCTCTTGTTCTTTGAACAGTTTGAGAGCGGCTCCGCTCATGTCCTTTTCCAAAATCTGTCGTCCGGTTTCAAACGACTTTGGTTAGCTTTTCTCAATAATTCTGAGATTGTCCTCCCTTCCCCCCCCGCCCCCTCCCTCGTCTCTTCCCAACTTTCCTTCAAAAAAATCAACAAAAAGTTCCCACCGGTGTTACCTTCGCACTCCCCACAGTATATTTCAACTGCTAGACTAGGCCAAAAAAGTTCGAAAGCAGATTTTTTTAGCAAACCCATGAAACATAGTTCCGGGTTTGCTCATAGGCTTTCCACATGTTTGAAAAAGAATTGACCCTTTTACATAACATATGGAAAGCTTGAGAGTGGCTCTGCTCATTTCCCTAGACAAACCTTTTTGCGAATCACTCTAGACCGACTCGGATTCGCTTTTCAACCAGTAACGGAACTTTCGGAGTTGGAAATACTTCTGAAAGTTCGTTTCCGGTCTCAAAGCGGCTCCGCTGCTTTCCCCGGAATCGGACTTGCTTTCAGACTGTTCAATGAACATAAAGATCTTGTAAGGCTTCTTTTGTTTTTTGAATAGTTTGAGAGCGGCTCCGCTCATTGCTTTTCTCAAAATCGGATGTCCAGTTTTAAGCTACTTCGGTTAGCTTGCCTCAATGATTCCGAGATCGTAGGCAGCTCTCTGACCTTAAAGGAGGTCTTTTGTCACAGGGTGTCTTTTGCTCATACACCTTTCTGGCTTGCATGACAGTTGAACACCTTGTGACAAATACCTTCAATTTTCTCCCCCAAGAATGCCCCGCTATCATTAAGTATTCAACCAAGGTGTTCTGTCACAAGATGCCCAATGGTATGACACCGTCTGGCTTGTCATACTATGGTTCATCTTGTGACAGATTCTGGAGTTTTTATTCTGAACTATATTCAAACAAGTCCTGTCCCAATCACATGGTACTGTGAAATCATCTAATGGTCTTCATACTGCGCGATGGTCACAGAACTTACTGCTGAATATTTCTGGACCTTCTGGGGTACTGCTGCTGAATATTCCTGGACCTTCTGGGATATCGCTGCTGAATATTCCTGGATCCTACCCTTATTCTGGGATACTACTGCTGATTTCTCCCTGTATTATTTATTCCCAAAAGACTTCTGAGTTTTCTTTTGGTAACCTCATGAAAAGGAATCTGCCCACAGGCTTTCCACATGCCTAAAAAGATTCCGGCCTTTTCCAATCATATGGAATGCTTGAGAACGGCTTCGCTCTTTCCTTCCTTGAATACACTTCCCGGACTCGCTTTCAGGACTTTGATTTGTCTTAAAAACATACTCTGATGTTTCAGGACATTTTATAGTTTGGAGAGCGGCTCCGCTCATTTTCCTTCTTATAACCCGCTATAAAAATCTTTGGTCAGCTTGTCTCAATGCTTAAAAGACTCGACGGTGGGTTTTACTTTTCTTCGGAAGCTCAGAACCATAAAACCTTCTTAAAGACCTTCCTAGGAATCTTCTGGTCTTTAAAAACCTGATTTAGCTCATTCCAAGTGCTACCCTGCCCCTCAAAGGTTGAACAGACTTTTGTCTGAAGTCACCCCAAGAAAAACTTGTGCGGCTCTGCTTTCAGGCTTATCATTTGTGCAGGAAACAGACTTGAGTGTTTTCCAGCTAAGTGATAGGCTCGAGAGCGGCTTTGCTCATTTCCCTTTTAGAGATTTTTGTGGAGTTGCTTTTTCACAGGGGGCAGAGTTTTCAGATTGAATGAAACTTCTGAAAGACTGCGGCCTGTGGCAAGGCGGCTCCACTGCTTTTTTTCCCCCTTTCCTTCGATAATACCCCTTCTGGCTTCTGAGGCACTTGAAGCGCCTGGTCTGCTTCGTTTTGAAGACTGGTAAGGCTCTACCCGCCATGAACCTTTCCGGCCCTGCTCTTAGGCCTTCTAGTTGTTCAAAAACGGAATTTGGTCGTTTTGAACACTCTGAAAGGCTTGAGAGCGGCTCCGCTCATTTTCTTTGTCTTGAAGTTTGCTGTCTGATCTGAAAAATCACAGTTTCCGTGACTTCTTTAAGACCAGACGGCGGATTTTTTCTTTATTCCTGAAACCAACGCAAAAGCTCAACTTCCCACCAAAATCCTATTTCTCAGCCTCCAACACCGACTTTTTATTCTGAAGGTTGATCAGCAGATTTTCTACCCGCCATGAACCTTTCCGGCTCTGCTCTTAGGCCTTCCAGTTGTTCAAAAACGGAAGTTGGGCGTTTCGAACACTCTGAAAGGCTAGAGAGCGGTTCCGCTCATTTTGCTCACTCGAACCTTTTTTGACTAAAGAAATTTATTTTTACCAAAATCCTCCCCGAATCAGATTGTATTACAAGACCTGTTACTGAAGGAAATTACGGAGATTTCTGCAATACCATGAATCTTCTACAGAAATCTTACGAAATTTCCAAATCTATCCAATTTTTTTCGTTTTTTCTTTTTTCTGTAACTATTCTAATGGATTACTATTAAGAAAGATGTACGCTGACGGAAAACCGAAAAATCGCCCGGAAATTCTCTCCAACCAATCACAGAACGAGGCTCCGCCCCTTCGACTCGACGCCGCTACATGATCGATTTTCGGCTTGAAAAAAGGTTTTTCAAGATTGGGAAAGGGGTTTCGAAGGATTTTAGTGAGTTCATGAAAATTAGCACAAAAAAGACTTATTCAATGTGCCATTTTCAAGGAAAATCATCTCAGTTGTTTGTGAGAAACTTGAAAAAATATTTTTGTGTCTCTTTTCTATTAAAACTTTATTTATGACTCTGAATAGTTTTCAAAAAAAAAAACGGAAACCTTAGGAATCGTAATAAGTCGTCAGAAAAAGTCGCGAAAAGTCTGCAAAACGTAGGAAATGTCAACGGAATCCCATAAAACGGCGCGTTTTTCGCTGATTCATCCGGCTCGTCTGCCATTTTCTTCGTTTTTTTTTTTTGCTGATCACGAGAGATGAATAATCGTATCAGATCTTACTGGAAACATTACATCAGATTTCATCATGTTTCCTCGATCCGAAATGATTTATCACTTGCTAAAAATAGAATAATTTTATTTTGTTCAAAACAAGCTGATTCATAGAAAATATCCGTCAAAATAACACGGTATCTCGCAAATTTTTGGCTGATCAAAGTTCGTTGGGCTTCTAAAAACTCCCAGAATAATACAGATGTCCCATTAAGTTTCATAATAAATTGCTAGGAACTCCAGAGTGGCCCCTATAGGGGGAGATAAAGTGATTCCTAGATGGGAACTTTGAAGGGCACCTAGTGCCCTTATAGGGATCACTCTGGAGCTTCTAGATATTTATTATGAAATTCTACAAAATATCTGTTATTCTAGGGATTTTTTTAGAAGCACACCGAACTTTGATCAGCCGGAAATTGGCGAAATACCGCGTTAATTCGACGGATCGTTTCTATGAATCAGCTTGTTTTGAACAAAATAACAATATTCTATTTTCCTCAAGGGATGAATCATATGGATCACGAAAATGTGATGAGATGTGATACAAATTTTCCAGAAAAAAAAATTTAAGTGTAAAAGAAGAAAATTAAGAGAAAGCAGCTTGTAATACAATTACAAAACAAGGAAAAAAGTTTCTTCTTAAAGGAACCCATACGTTTCACAAGCTAGACTTATTATTTTAAGATAATGAACCTTTAATGTTAATATCATGCTCTAGAAGGTTCAGTAATATTTTTCGTGAAATTCAAAAAATTTTTTTCAGAACTTTTTTTAAACCAGGCGATCCAAGAGTTCTTCTAGAAGTTTTTTTGATTTTCAGGAATCTTTTTTTATTTTTTTAATTGTTAATCTTAAAGAATCGAGAACAGGTTCCTATAAGCAAAAAAAAATTTTTTTCTGGAAGGTTTTAAAATCTTTTCTTTATTATGTTCCATCAACAAAAACCCTGAATTTCGAGGATTTTCGAGGATTTTCGAATTTTATTTGTCATTTAACCATTACTTCCAAAGTTGGAAGTGCGGAAAATGGGTGAAAAAAAGGAGTGACTGCAAAATGGCCGCTAAAAGGGTTCCATTTTGCGGCCTTTATTGAGCCTTTCTTTCCTGGTGGGCCAAAAAACTTCAAAAAGAGGTGAAAAAGGAAGCGGCTGCAAAACGGCCGCTAAAAGGGTTCCGTTTTGCGGCCTTTATTGAGCCTTACTTTCCTGGTGGGCTTCAAAAAAAGGGCGAAAAAAGGTTGAGTGATGGTGCAAGTGATGGTGCAAAAAGGGCTCTGAAAGTCTCGGCCATTGATGATTTCCGATTTCTTTACTGTAGCTCATTTTGGTTCATACACAGTCACATTCAAAGATTATTCGCAATTAAAAAATTTCATATTTTTAAAAAGGGTCCAAAAAGGGAGTTTCGATCAAAAAAAAATTCCCATCGCTCGGAAACGTTCAGGATTTTATCGCACTTCCTCTCATCTATGTAAAAAGATTTATAAACCTTTATTAAGACTAGAGTATCCAAAAAAAGGTTCGCAAAAGTCTGCAAAAAGTCTGCAAAACGTAGGAAATGTCAACGGTATCCCATAAAACAGCGCGTTTTTCGCTGATTCATCCGGCTCGTCTGCCATTTTCTTCCCTTTTCCGATCATTTTCGGGATCTAATGCGATTATTCATCAGAACTATTTTCGTCTTTTCTTTTTTTTTGTGCAAGAGGCGGGCCGATGCGTGCTGGGCGGTGCTGTCCGGAGACGGTATAAAAGAGCGCCTCGAGCCGGATTTTTCAGTCTTCTTTCCTTTCTCACTTCTTATCGTCTTCGAGGGTTCTTCCGAGCAGCGTGGACTACTGGAGCAGCGACGCCTTGGAGATGACTTCTGGAGCAGCGACGACTTCTTGAGCAGGGACAACGACTTGAAGATGACTTCTGGAGCGGCGATGACTTGGAGATGACTTCTGGAGCGGCGACGACTTCTTGAGCAGCGAAAACGAGTTGGCGATGACGTTTGTAGCATCGACGACTTGGAGATGACTTCTGGAGCAGCGACGACTTCTGGAGCAGCGGCAACTTGACCACGACTTCTGGAGCAGCGAACGATTTGGCGATGGCTTCTTGAGCAGCAGCGACGACTTGGCGACGACTTATGGAGCATCGACAACGGCTTGGCGATGACTTCTGGAGCAGCGAGTTCGACGAGCTGTTTTATTAAAGCACCGACAGTATCATCTACGACGTCCACGGCAGAAATTTGAAGTGAGTCTCAACAGGAAAAAAAAACTTGAGATGCTTCCTTGGTTATTTTCAGTGTACACGTCAACAAGGCATCTGGAGCGCTGATGATGACGTCACCTGATCTTCTGGAGCAGCGACGAATTGGAGACGACTTCTGGAACAGCGACGATCTTCAAAAGCAGCGACGAATTGGCGAAGACTTCTGGAGCACAGCTTTACGATGACTTCTGCTTGTGATTCTGACTTCACGTTTCGGAATTGCTTTCAACCAGAAACTGTGTTTCCAGAGCTGAAGATGCTTCTGAGGCACTGTTTCCGGTTGAAAAGCGGCTCCGCTGCTTTTTTCTCACATTTCTGACCATTCAGCTCATGTACGCTTTGGAAGCGTTCCCCCCGCCCCCCTCGCCCCGCCATTTTTACTACTCAAAACCTGCTGCCTGGTTTTAAACGACTTTGGTTAGCTTGTGTCATTGCTACTAAGATCGTTTCAAACTGGACGGCGGCTTTTTTGCTTTTACAGATTTGACAAGGTTTTTGTCACAAGGTGAATTGTGGTCATACACCTTTCTGGCTTGTATGACACTAGAGCACCTCGTGACAAATACCTTCTCCCCCGTCTACCTCAAGGATGCTCCGCTATCATTAAGTATTCAACCAAGGTGTTCTGTCACAAGGTGCCCAATAGTATTACACCGTCTGGCTTGTAATGTTTTGGTTCATCTTGTGACAGATTCTGGATTTTTTTTTTCTGAGCTATATTCAAACAAATCTTGTCACAATCACGTGGTACTGTGAAATCATCTAATGGTTTAAATGATTTCTCCTTACTGCGTGATGGTTCCAGGACCTTTTTCTTCGTTATCACTGCTGAATATTCCTGCTCTTTGATATTCATCCTGTACAATGCTGCTGAACATTACCGGATCCTAACCTTCTTCTGCGCCACTACTACTGGATATTCCTGGATCCTGACCTCACTCCTGGATACTACTGCTGATTATTCCCGATATTATTTATTCCAATAGGGTCTTTTGTCACGAGGCTCTCATTGATCTTACACCTTCCGGCTTGTAGGTCAACGACAACCTTGTGACAAAGGCTTTGACTTTTTCCTGCTCAAAAATGCGAAAAGTTAAGGTAATTGATAGAGAATTGAGTGAGTCCTTCTGATGATTCATTTAAAGGTATTAAAAGGTCTTGGCGACGTTGGCGATGATGGTGTAGAGATCCAGAAGAGCTGCTACGGCAACGACGCCTTCCACCTCATCAAAGGGCCAATTTTTTGATTGTAAGTATGGCAAAATGAAGAGACCCCCATTTTCTGTCATTTTCAGTAGCTTCGGGAACGACAACGACGTCTTCTGAAATCGTTAGCCTCTGCAAAAAAAAAATCACAGGCCCAATTCGCCAAGTTAAGTAGCAGAAGATTACTCGAAACGATCTTCTTAATGATTTCAGAAGCCTTCTGGAGCTAAAACTTCAAAAAAGTTCTGATGAGAATGTCAGCTTTAGAGCTCCTTCTGAACTCAGGATCCCAGCTTCATTTTACCAGGTCAAGTCACAAAAATGGTTTTAGTTTCATTTGGATATTTCAGTTGTCACAGTACTTCCGAGCGCTCTCAATTTCTGAATTAAGGGAAGAATTTTGCTGTCGATCGTCTTCCTGTGCAGTCCTTCAGTCTGTTTCTCCTGCAATCACGTGGTTCTGACGTCATAAACCCTGAAATAGGCTGTTTATCATGTCTCAATCATGTGATGGCAGCAGAAAACCTTTTTTCATCTGTTTCAACTGTCTAAAAATGAGGGGCCAAAAGAGCTTGAGTTGAGTGAAAATTTAAACGAAATTTCTCGTATCTCGATATTTTCAGGACTTCCAACGGCATAAAGCAACTTCACGTCTGCTTTCCTTCAGTGAATGTTTCTCTTTCCGGGATGTTATGCTAGAAGACGTCAGGAATCTCAAGCTCTGAAAAAAAAAATCAACAGTAAGAATCCAGGATCGATTCTGATGCTGTCGGGGCTTTTTTCTTGGATGTCCTTGGAAAATCAACATCTTCTGATACCTCGAATCCGTGTCTACCGTCACAAGGATCCTCGCGTCAATACGAATTTTCGGTTTTGAGGATAACTCCCAGACCATCATTCTCAGAAGAAAAGCCACGAAAACTGTCACGAGGAGCTGCTCAGAGAACATTATGTTCAGAATTGTTCTCGAGGTCCTCTTCGTGACGGTTTAAGGTGGAGATTTACTTGATCCTGATAAAATCACGTGCTACTGTTGATCATGTACCCAACCCTAGAGTTAGGATGCTTCAGTAGTACGTGATGGTGTCAGGACACCTTTTCATTCAATTATGATGAAAGCTGTATTTGAATCGAACTTAGTTTATTATTGTACCAGCTCCCGACTCTCTCTTCGTGACGATTTATTCCGCCCAACTTCGATCCTGATAAAATCACGTGCTACTGTTGATCATATACCCAGGACTTGAGGTATCATGGTTACAGTAGTACGTGATGGTGTCAGGACACCTTTTTATCGATTTCGATGAAACTGTTCTCGAATGGAACTCAATTTATTGCTGCCTCAGCTCCCGAGCTCCTCCTCGTGACGATTTATTCCTCCCACCCAACTTCGATCCTGATAAAATCACGTGCTACTGTTGATCATATACCCAGGACTTGACGTATCATGGTTACAGTAGTACGTGATGGTGTCAGGACACCTTTCTATTCCCCTGTAATCGAAGTTTTTTGTCACAGGAATGGTCCCAGATATACAGCGCTGGCGTGTATACTGGTTCTATTTTTGTGACAAATTCTTTGAATTTTCTTATTCCTGGTACTTCTGACATACTGGAGCTGTTCGTATTACTGCAACTAAAGATCTATTCTCTACCCCGAGTCCCAAGATAAGAAGTTTTTTTGTCACAGGAATTATCTTGGGTATACAGCGCTGGCATGTGTCGCAAGCCAATTTCTGTGACAAATCCTTCGAATTTCCTATTCTTCCTCTTTAAAACTGGAACTATTCCCCTTATTCTGGATTCTGACGTCTTCTGAAATCCCTGCTGCAGTATACTCCGAACTCTGCTACGCTCACATGATACCGTCCCGGAAAACTCCAAAGAATGAGTCTTCCGGCTCGATATCGTGTGAGTGTGCCAGATGACAATTTTATTCACGGCACTTCTGAAGTATTCTGAAAGCTGTTTATATTACTGTATCTGATCTACCTATTAAGTTATATTACTGTATCTGGCCTACCTATTCAGTTATATTACTGTATCTGATTTACTTATTCAGTTATATTACTGTATCTGATCTACCTATTCACTACCCTGAATCCCAGCATAAGAAGTTTTTTGTCACAGGAATGATCTTGGGTATACAGCGCTGGCTTGTATCCCAAGCCCATTACTGTGACAAACCCTTCGATTTCCTTCTGTGCAACGACAACACGAGCAATTATTAGTTCCAGGTATGGTGTGAGAAAAAACGACGTCTTCTTATCATTTTCAGGGGAGCCAAGTCTCAAGAAGCAGTGTAAAGCTGAAACCACTCGTTACATACCCGGGGACGATGGTCAAATCCGAAGGTGACTTAAAAAAAATTATTAAAAGACTTGTGACCATTTTTTCAGGGAAATCGGGTCCCCCATTCTGGCTGAATCTCATCAGGATCCTTCTCCATTGATAGGTGAGATGTGAAGAAAAAAACAATAATACTTGGTTTATCATTTTCAGTGCAACGAGAGGTCATCAGAAGATCCAAAGACAAGAAAAAAATCAAATTCTGAAGCTTGTCATTTCTGAGACGATCATCAACCCCCATTAAAAGGAAGAACCGAAGGTTCCCTCTCTTATTTTTGCCACCCCCCTCTCCGTTTTCACCACACAAAACAAGGTTTTTTGATCCAAAATGCATTCTGTTCTTACACCTTTCTGGCCTGTGGAGCAGCGTGCATTTTGAGACAAATCCCTTGATTTTTCCTCGTCTTTTCAGATATTGAATATCAAGCGGCAAACCCCGCCCCTACAACGCTCTCTGTTTGGTTTGATCAACGCATAAGGGGCGGAGTTAGATCACTGACTTGGCATTCAGAATCTGAACAGACTATACCTGTGTCAGGATGAAGACTACGGTAATTAAAAGTGATCTACGAATTTTCGTGGAGCAAGACTATACGATGCTTGCAATCCGGAATATCAACATTCTTGAACAGTCCCTTTTTCTCGAGTTATTCATTCAAATTCCTGCCACAGCCACATGATTTGGTGAGCTTCACTTCTCGAAAGCTTAGTTAAGCTCACCTAATTATGTGATAGTGTCAGGATAAATTTTTATTCAAGCTGCTGATCTGGTTTATTCTCTACTGCTATTCTGTGAGACCCATCCGCAGTATTCCCCGAACCTCACTACCATTTGTTCCGTCCGCTGAAGCACCATTTGGCCGGAACGAAAAACCTCAAATCCGACGTCGCGGACTTCTTCAAGTCGCAGCCCCCGGAGTTCTGGGCAAAGGACGTCGGCGACCTGCCCAACCGATGGGCCACTGTCGTGGATCACTGTGGTGATTATATTGTTGATTAGACTTGTTTTTCAACAAAGTTGAAAAAAATTAAAAATGGTGAAATTTTAGGACAACCTGGTACTACGTCGTATTCAAAGTCTGACCAAAGTTCTGTATTTGCAGTGCGCCGTAGCGTAACTGGTTGGGTTCTTGTCTATGGTCTACAGGGTCACAAGTTCGATCCCCGGCGTGATCAAACTGTTGTTAGTGGGACATGATGAGGGATAGGTCAGTAGGCACAGACCACTGATTATCACTGTTATCAGGACTAGACCTGGTCTGAAAGACTCAAGTTCTGTATTTCGCACTGCTGATACTTCTCATCCTCGGTTTTGGAACGGTTTTCATCATGATTTGAATCGGTTTTCTTCTTCCTACGCCTTTATTATCGCTCAGCGGCGTCGGCGCCCCAAGTCGATTAGCCGAGGTCCTTTCCTGATAATCAGTGGACTGGCTCCAGTGACATGTCCGTCCTTGTGTGTGACGGCTGGGGATTAGGAAGTCGTGGTTTCCCTACTACCAACATTTCTTAAACCCCTTGGTTGAGTCGAGGCGGGGGGTCGAACTTCTGACACTGTGAACCGTTGACAGGCCCACAAGCTGTTGCGCTACGGCGCGAGCCATGATTTGGATCTGTTTTAATCATGAAATTTTGATCAGAATCGGTCAAAAAAAAAATGGCAAAAAAGATAGCGGCAAAAGGATTCGAACCCTCATCATTAGTATCGCAGGCTACCTCGCTAGCCACTGCACTACGCTCTTTGCAGCCATCCAATAGCTGCTGGCGCGCTCAGATTCCTTCCAAACGGTGTCACGTGTTTAAGGATAACAACTTTGAAAAATCATATTTCCAACACTAGAAGTTTGCGCAGTTAGTGACTATGTGGGATCGATACCATCATTTTTCAAATTTATCTTTATTTTGACAAAAATCCAACCTATACAACATGAATCAAGCGCAATACAATCTTCGAAACGAAGATTATTTCAGTGAGCTAACGAAAAGGAACACGGAAAAATGAGCCCCGTAGGTGGAAAAAAAGATTAATCTCAATATGAAAGAATTTCCAAAGAGATGATTATGCACAATTATTTTCCAAACAAGAAAAAATGAGGCACAAAAATGACCCGCGAATGGTTAGAAAATCAATTTGGCTTACATTTTATCGATTGGTACCGTAGGTGTATACTGTAACTGGCTATAGGATATCTAGCGATACAACGGATGTGATTAGATTTAAAACTGATAAATTTACCGGAAGCTGGAAAATTATTAAGAAATCACATATGGAACTCTAATATCACAGAAAAAAAAAACGAGAAAAATTATTCGCCACAATTTGAGAGGTTCTGACCTGTCTGGGCTCTCTTTTCTCTCACCAGGTTAGAGAAACGTGGAAAAAGCATGTAAACACGAGAGAGTCTTGAGGGTTGAAAAGAGCGTTCAAAATTTCTGAAGGACGACGTAATCTAGCTTCTCCGCGCTCTCTTCATTCTTCTCGCTCTTTCATGAGCACCAGGGTGAGAGATAAGAGAGCGCAGACATGTCAGACTTTTCCAAATTCCGAGAAATATTGTATGCTCTAGCAAAATAACGCTGTTTGCATGAATGATTACTAAAATGTCTCTATGAGTGAGAGATAAGAGAGCACAGACAGGTCAGAAAACTTTTAGTCGTTATGATAAATTTCAGACGAACACTTTGTATCACAAAATCCGACAAAGATCACAGAAAACTTTCTAAAGACTTTCGCGCCTAACCAGAAGATAACAAATCAAGGCTCGAGAGTGTAGGAAGGGGTCGGGGAGAGTTCCCTGGGGGTCATGGGCCGACTGAGCATCGCCGGCGGCGACGGCGAGATGGTCAGCGAGTTCCTTTCGGACAAAAGTCGGTACAAGGCGTGGAGGGTTCGCGCGCTGGCGTCGACCTTCTTGTCCAGCGAGGACATCTGCAGACTTTTATTTCAGATTCCAGTTTCCGATTGAAAAAAAATTCATCGTTCATAATATTTTCATGATTCTCCAGTCCCGAAAAATCGCTAAAATGAGCAATATGAAGATATGATCAGTTATATCCGAGGTTATACATCAAAAATATCTTCACCACTACTTGACACTTTCCATTTGTCTGCGTCTCTCTGTTCCCTCACCGGCGAGGTCAGAGAAACTTGAAAACAGCACGCCAATATGAGAGGGTGCAGAGAAGAGTCGAGAAAAATGGATACGCCTATAGGGGCCACTAAAGCTTGAAAAAGTGATCCCTATAGGGTTTCAGTTAGTAGCCCCTATAGGGATCATGCTAGTCTATAATTTTTGTGAACCATAAAAAAGCGTTTTTTGAATGAAATTGAAGATCACTATAGGGTCCACTTGAGCTTCAGGGCCTAAGACCATAAACCCATATAGGAGCCACCTTAATTTTTTCTCTATAGGGACCACTTTTTCGACCCCTAATGGGATGTTTTTCTCCTTTAACCCCTATAGTTACCATTCTGATATTCCTGAGGTTTTCTACCCGTTTTCCCACTCAAAAAGGCGCCGAGAACGTTTTTTTTGTTTCAAAACTCTTTATAACCTTTTTTTTCGCTCTGAACTCTGCAAAAATAAAAGTTTCACCTGAAGTTCGAGCCTAGAAAGCCTGGAACCAATCGTCACCGAGTAGCCTTTTCTCGATTGCTTCCCATCGTACTGACCCGGTTTGCCAAGAGTCTGGTCTAACCTGAAAAATGAATATATTCTTCAAGTGGTCACTTAAATTTTAGAGCCCTAAAGGGACCACTCAAGAAAACCAAAGTACCTCCTCTGGAGCTCCTTGATCCGGACCATCATATTCAGATGACCCTGTGAATATTGCTCGATGACGTCACGGACATCGTAAGGCTTCCGGGCTTGCTGGAAATTATCCCTTTATCAATTTTATCACTAGAAATGATCAAAAAACCTGAAATTTCCGTCGGGCGACGAAATATTTGACCTTCCTGATGGCTTTTATAGCATTCCGGTGGGCTTCGGTCAGCTCGCAGACGCTGAATTTTTCATTTTTTCAATATTTGAGTGGTCACTTGAGTACTGTGAAGGAAATCTTTTATTTTTCTCAATTTAGAATTTTTTTTTTTTGAATTTCTTGGAACTTCGAGAAGACCTTTTATATTTTGAAAAACCCCTGAAACACAAAAGTCATGTTCAGAACTAACTGAGAAATGTGCGACGGGGTCGCCGTCTCCTCCGTTTCGAACTCGATTTCGTTGTCGGAACGGAAAGCCGACGTCTTCCGGGATACTGTAACTTTCGTTTCACTGTGTTTTGTTTAGCCTATGAAATGATCCTTAGATATATTTGAAAAAATTCCAATTCCTTCAGAATATCCTGAAAAATGCATCACAAAAATGTTATATTTTTTTTTCAAGTTCATTGCTTTAAAAAATTTTTTTTTTGATCAGATTTGAGTTCAATTATAAGCTAGGGCCTTGTTGAGCCTCAGGAAAAAAAAATCTAGCTAACCTTTGAAACTAAAAAAGTGCGGAAAAAACCTTGAAAACAGAGATTTTTCGATCTAAAAAAACGCAAGTTGAGCTATATACTTTTTTTATATTTATTTATATATATATTTTTGCTGTTTTTTTCCCCCTAACCCCTACAGGGCCCACTTGATCTTTAGGGTCCATTTGAATTTTACCCCTAAATTTTACCACTCAACTGACGTCATAGGTTTGATAGAGGAACGTAGATAAAATTTTAGCAACTATGACGTCATGAAAAAAATGATCGAAATTTAGCTTGAGTAATTAATTAATTTTCTTGTAACCTCATCTACCTTCTGATGACAAAAAAAATCTGATGACGTCATAATGGAATAAAATAGTTACTGTAACCTCCAGATGACGTCACGGGATCATTCCACAATGATTCATATTCGTGTGAGTAATAGCAGTGTTTCCCGACTTGAAAAGCGAAGGAGGCGGGTCAAGGGGCGGGACGCGTAGCGTGTGCGTACGCGGTTCTTGGCACGAGTCCAATTCAATTGCCGCCAACTATTTAAAAAGCTCGGCTCTTTTTCAATGTTTTTCTACTATTTTTTTGATTCACACATGAATGTAATCAATAATTAATTGAAAAAGAAATGAAAAAAAGCGAAAAAAAGGGCTTTTCAAAGAGTCGATAGCGGTTGAGTTGAACACGGGCCAAGAACCGCGTACGCACACGCTACGCGTCCCGCCCCCTGCCCCGCCTCCTTCGCCGTTCGAGTCGGGAAACACTGACTATAGAAACTCCTGCTATTACTCATACGAATATGAAGCATTGTGGAATGATCCCGTGACGTCATCTGGAGGTCGGGAAACATTGAATATAGAATGAAATAAAGCCCCCCTTCAAGTTTTGGACTTTTCCGACGTCACTTCATTCCAGATTTACCGGGTTTCCTGTCCTCGTCGGTGTCGCTGCCCCTCTCCTGCCTCTGAAGCCGTTCCCGGTGAATTTCCCCGAGTTCGACGTCGGTACTCGCCGAGCTCCGATGTCTCTTGAAGGTGTTGGCGAAGCTCGACCTAAATTTAATTTTTTTTTTTTTTTGGAGAATGAAGCTCATCAGGTTTTCAGTCTTTTACCAAATTTTATCGGCTTGAAACGGCCGTGGCAACTGTGCAATGCGTTCACGTTTAGCGTCAATTTGAAAAATTTAATTACAGCAAAAGATATTTTTTTCAAAAATTCCTGTAAATTTGATGACAGGTTATTCAGATTTTGAATTAAAAGAACGATGACGTCATTCAGAAAGGCTCTGTGGGTGGCTCTGATTGGTTTCTGGCCGCATTGAGGGCGGAGCTTGAGCAAAGACTTGACATTTGAAATCTGAATGTTATGAAACGAACTGTTTTCTGAACAGATTCCTCTTCCGATTGATACATTCGGTCCCGGTGGGAGTTTGAGCCTTGCCTTTGTGAGTTTCGCTCGTTTCATGGGCCAGTGGATCGATATGAACGTTCCTGAATTATTTTATTGATTTTTTTGAAATCAAATAGTAACATTAAAAGACATGTAAAACAAGAGAATCGATCTGATTTTTGTCAAAAAAAGGAGAAATTTTTTTCTTTCTTTTTTGGAATAAATTTCATTAAAAAAAAAAAAAAAATCCAAAAAAATTGATTTTGGCTACCCTGCTAGCGAAAAAAAAAACGGATATTTTTGAAGTTCAAACGTCTCAAAACAATTTTTTTTGACTGTTGGGAGAATTCTAAAAGACGTGAAAAGGCATATGAAACATGTAAAGCCAGGTTATTTCGAAAAAAGCAAACTTCCAAAAAAACTAAATTTTTTCATACAAACCATGTTCCCGTAAAGTTGACAGCCCTGTTGGGAAGAAAAACCCGAAAATTTAAAAAAATCAAGTCTAGAAATTCAAGGATCCTCTTTGTCATTAGGAGAAATCTGTTTATGATCATTTTTTTCACTATTATTTCCGAGGATTTCTTCAGAATTTTTTTAAATATTATAAATTTAGAAAAATTAGTTTATTCAATATAACCCAGAATAGATTTAAAAAAAACGTTCAAAGAGAAATTTTTGAAACTGTAACTCAGCCCATGAGTAATTAATTCTAAGATATTTACATTAACTTGCCTTTTTCTCATAAAATATTAATACCAAAAAGAATAATAAACCAGAATCGTTCAAGTAAATATAAGGCTTGATTTCAAAACATGATTTTTGTTAAAAGAGAATTAAAACCGCTAAAAATGTTTTTTTAAATAGGAATGATTTTCAAAAAATGTGATAAAATATTCTGAAATTGCATCTTATTCGAAAAAAAGCCAACCAAGTCGCTGAAATTCGTTTTTCAGCCGCATGACATCGCCAAAGACACTGGATAAGTGTCGCCGCAGCCGGAATTTGTCGATTGAAATGCTTTTGGCGCTGTTTTTGCTGTACTTTCAGGGCGAAACCGGACCCGAGGATACCCTGAAGTGATTTACGACGTAAAAAAATTTCCAGCATGATTTTATGAAAAAAATAAATCTGAAAAAAACCAATATGATATGATTTATTTTTCACTTGACTCTTCAAAAAAAGAATTTTTTTGAACCAAAATTCAAAGCTTCCAAAACTTAATCATTCAAATTATAACTTTAGAAAAATTTAGAAGAAGGAAAAACTGGAATAACTAACTTTCAAATCATTTTTTTACTCGCCTCGTATGATTTGTTAATAAAAAAACAATTTCCTAATAAAAAAATTATGCCAAAAAAATTGAAATTTCATCTTCAGGAGTCCATAATATTGAATCTAATTTTTTTGTGATGAGAAAAAGGTAAAAAGTTATAAAACGATAAAAAAATAAGATTTCTCCAAACTTTGAAAAATTTTTCATTTTCGCGGTGATTCTCCGTGGAAGCCATTACAATTTAAAAACACCAAAATTTCTTAATGCAATTAGAAAAGATAAAACAATTCGGAAAAGGCCAAAAGAACGTGAAAAATTTTAAAAATGAGCCAAAATTTGAAAAATTTCATTTTCGCGGTGATCCTCCGTGGAGCGCATTTACCGCCTCAACAGATTTTTTTCATTTTTTCGGAGTTAAAATTTTTTTGCTTCAAACCAACCGCTGGAAGAGCGAAAAAGCTGATGGCGAAAATCGAGAAACAAGAAGCTACGATTCGGCCAATCCACGTTTGAGGCACCACGTCCCCGTACCCGATTGTGGTCATTGTTATCTGGAAAATCGATTCGAAAACTTTGAATTTGAGAATAATTATTGAACTTTTCAACTGTATAAACATTCGAACAAACAAGAGCAAAGCGTAAAAATTATTTTTGAAACGGTAAAATGGTTCAAAAATTAAGGATTTTTGGTCCAGGGAAAATGAGACTTCGAATGTTTTTAAAAAGAGCGTTTTGAGCTTTTTTCTGGAATATTTGAAGCAAAAAACTATTTCTTAATCATTTTTTTGAAAATAACAGAATAGAAAACCGACCACGCCCCACCACAAGGCGTCCGCATAACTCGTGAAAGCCTGACGGCCGTCCGGCGAAACATGATCTTTCTCGGCCAAATATACAAAATAGGAAGAGAAAATCAGGCCCAAGAAGCCAATGTAAAGCGTCGTAATGAGTTCTTGACGGTGGATGAACACGACGGAGCCGAGAAGTCGCCTTAAAAAAGGTAAATTTCGAAAAATCCAACAGAAAAAATGACTGGAAAGCTGAAAAACTGAAGAAATACTTGCATTTTTCGAATTTTTTCTCTGTCTACTCATGAATTCATCCGAAGCTTTGAGCTCAAACTCCGAAAAATTCAAAGGAAAATACTAAAATCCATTAAAAAATTCATGTTGATTTGTTTAAAGGCTTAGAAGTCTCGCAAAATTCGAAGGAATGCTAAAAAAAGCCTTGCGACCTTTATGAACCTTTCATCTGCGCCTTTAAAAACCTCAGAATGTATTTTTTAAACAGAAAAAAGTTTACAAGTAATTATATGTTTGAAACGCGCAAGTACATAAAAAGCCTGCCCCGGAAACGGTGCACCGATTGCATAAACCTGGTTTGAGTGGTCACTAGAGGGATCTGAAGAGCATCAAAATTCTTTTTGCCAAAAATGGAATTTTGAATGATTTTTGCCTATTTTTTTTTACCCTGGAATTTTCTCAAATTCATTAAATATAATAAACTTAACAAAAAAAAATTTTTTTCTGAGAATAAAAAAATGAAATGATTCGAAGTCGAAAAAAATCCGTAGATCAAATGTGTCTCGAGAATTTTTATTCAAAAATTTTTTTGAAACAGAAATTTGATATAAAGCTGGAATTGTTGAACTTTATTTAAATTACAGAAAAAAAAATTTTTTTAATTTAAATTTTAGCCTTTTTTTCCGCCGGAAAAATTCATAAATAATCAAAATGTAAGCTATGATTCTAAATTTGAAAAAAACTCACCAAGTTCCGCCTTGCCGATCAACATGGAGCATGCGGAGAATTTGCAAAAAAATCTCACTCCTCTGAAAATTTTTTTTAATCTTCAAGTAAAAATTTTTCTTTTTTTGATAACCAGATATAAAAAGTTTGAAAGAACAGTAATTGTGAAAAAAACGAAAAATTTTTCAAGAAAAAAACAAATTTTTTTCGGGAAAAAAATAGATTTTTTTATCCGTAGAGCGACTTTTCCGCGAAAAAAAGGTAAACTCTATTTTTTTAAGTTATATACTGTGCAGAACCCTTCTTAAAAAGCTTACAATGACCACGAAAACCGAAAAAAATGGCTCTTCGCGGCGAGACCCTTATTAAACTATTTCATGCTCCTTTAAACTGGTCAGTCAGAGTTTTTAAAAAAATAAGAATTTAACTAAGATATTGAAAAATTTTTAAAAAAATCAAAAAAAATATATAATGATTTATTAGAAGGATAAAATTTTTTTGCTGTCATTAAAAAGCCCAGTAAGGATTGATCGTTACAATTTTCGTATATTTCATGAAACCTTATAGAAACAGTAAACTCATCAAACCTGATGGCACTCGTCGCGAAAACTTGGCCCTCACTTCCGACCAAAATCACCGTTATACTGGCGACCACAACGCATAGATCTAAAAATCAATTTTTAAAATACACAAACAACAAATAGAATGTCATAGGTTAGCGGTTAGAGGTATCGATTCTTGTTAAAAAGGTCACAGGTTCGGATCCTGTCGAGGGAGAAAGTTTTTTTGCCATTTTTTGGAGGACTTCTTATTAAGCTCCTTAATTATGACTGCATTATTGGACAACTAGCAGACAAGAAAAATTCAAAAAAAGATATAGTATAATGGTTAGAGAGTCTGGCTGAAGTTAAAAGGTCACAGGTTCGGATCCTCTCGAGGGAGAAAGTTTTTTTTGCCATTTTTTGGAGGACTTCTTATTAAGCTCCTTAATTATGACTGCATTATTGGACAACTAGCAGACAAGAAAAATTCAAAAAAAAGATATAGTATAATGGTTAGAGAGTCTGGCTGAAGTTAAAAGGTCACAGGTTCGGATCCTCTCGAGGGAGAAACTTTTTTTGCCATTTTTTAGAGGACTTCTTATCAAGCTTCTTGATTATGACTGCATTATTGGATAACTAGAAAACGAGAAAATGAAAAAAAAAGCTATAGCATAATGGTTAAAGAGTCGATATGAAGTTAAAAGGCTTCCAGGTTCAATTCCTCCCCGGGGTGAAGTTTTTTTTGCCATTTTTTTACCCTTATCACTTTTTCGGGCTTTGAAAGTAATCTCCGATTCCGATTTGCTATCCAATCAAAAAACATTGCCACATTATTTGAAATATCTGAAACATCAAAATGAGCTAACCGATAAAAGAAATAGGCTTCCGGGCGAATTTCACTCTTCCCCAAAAGCCGATATATTTCGACCGGCAGCCGGCTGACCACAATCGGACAACGTATTCGATTGAGAAGAAAAATACAAGGAAGATTTCCTGAAAAAAATAAGTTTTAGAATCAAAAAAATACGCCGATCCATTCCAAGTGCGACAAAATTTCGCAAACTCTTGAAAAAAAATTTAACTCACATTTCAGTTTCAAGGGGAATATCAGTGGACCAAAAAAAAACTCATAATAATTCGCAATCGGGAGAAAAAGCTTGAAAACAGGGCGGCACTTGGAATGGTTCAAAGCGACGCGGTCGCGTTGCGTCTTAGACCAGAAAATTGGTAATTAATTTAAAGGGTTTTTTTTTTGGAAGCCAGCCTTTCCATACCAAAAAAGAACAAGGGAATGAAAAAATCGCAAAATTACAATTTTATTCAGAAAATAACAGTAGAATCTTTGAAAAATATATGAAAAGAATATTTTTTTAAGCAGTTTCTGACACTTGTAAGACTCAAAATCCTTTTTAAGATCTTCAAATTTTCAAATTACTGTTTTAAATCGAAATTCAAGCAATTCAGTCTTTTTTTCGGGAATTCATTTTAACTGACATTTCTGTTTCAAGGGAAACATAATATGATTCAATTCATGAAAAAATAATAACTTCCGTGTGTGTTTTCCAATCGAAAAATGAATCAGCTAAAACCAATGGGTAGAATCTTCAAAAGAGCGTCCCGACTTGAAACGGCTTGCGCCCAAATGCATCGGAAACCATTTCAACACATTAAGCCATTCCAAATGCGACCAAAAACTCAAAAAAAGAAACAAACCAAGAAATACAAAAGCTCGGCCGCGAAATGACTGTGTTCCTCCACGGTCGACAGCACACTGAGGATAAGGCAAACGAGAACGATCACAAAAACACTGAAATCTTTAAAATCACCCTCTGGCCAAATGGCTAGAGGCTTCCCCTATCACTCTAAAGGTCGAGGGTTCGACTCCTCTCCCCTTTTTTGCAAAAATACTCACCTGAAATGATACAGGAAGCATTTCCAACCCGTCGGGCGCTCCAAACAGTTATAAACCTGAAAATTTCAAGATAGCTCAGCCGGTTAGCAAATAGGCGACGGAAAATGACTCTCGGGTTCGGATCCGCTCCGCGTTTTTGCCGACTTACCATGGCTCGGAACGTCGTTTTCGCCGCTTTTTTCTCCTTGATGTTCCGGTAGCGGGCATTGAACATCTGGAAATTATTATTTAGGGGTTTTTTGGACTGTAGAAAAGTTATACTTATGTATTTTTTTCCTTGAACCTTTTGGAAAGCGCTTTGGAGCCTTGGCTCTTTTATTTTCCGTTCAAAATGGTTATTTTTTTAAAATTTTTCATCAATATCAGTTCATTTTAATCATCTTGAGACCATCTGAAGAATTTTTTTAATAACTGGAAAAAAACTCAAAATATTGAAAATACCGAAGGAAATTTTTAACTTTGAATTTTTTTACAAGCTGTAGATGTAATTCCAGAACTAAAAGAAATATATAAATCATAAAAAGTTCATATGAAAAAAAGCTGTTCTAAAAATGACCATTTTTCAAGTCAAAAAAATAAAAAAAATTTTTTTAATCATCCATTATTTGAGCACTTTTTTTACGGTTCACAATATTTCGCACAAAAATTTCAAAATCCCAGAAAAAAAATATAACTTATTCCTGAGGAGAGAGTGACAAGAAAATAAAAGACGAAATTCGAAATTTTTCCCAAAATTCCAGAAAGATACTACAAATCCACGAGAAAGAGCTCTACGAAACGACTTTTTCCTCTTAAAACCATTATTTTATTTCTATTGTTCGGAAAATGAAGGTTGAACACGCAAAAGCTACAAATTGAATTTTGGAAAAAGTCCTAAAAAATCAAAAAAAAAACTACTGAGGTAAAAGCTCAACGAAACAACTAAAATTCTTCTCATTTGGTTTTTCTCAAATGAAAAGAAGGTTAAGAATATCAATTCATTAAAAGGATTATCTTTAAAACTTGAATAATAAATGAAATAAAGGAAAAATAAAATAAATCCTGTGTTCAAAGTTCTAAAAATAAACTGGCTTTTTTTCAAAAAGACGAAGAAATTCGATCGAAAAAATGAAAATCACTTTTTTTTTCTGAAAAATTTTAAAGTTCGGCTTATTTTTTTAATGAAAAAAAGGGATCAAAACCCGCTATAGATCCATTCCGGAAACCAATAAAAATCGAGTTTTTTTCATTATATTTTTCAAAAAAAGGAATGAAACTCTATCACAAAGTCCGAAAAAAAGCATATTTTTCTACATAAAAAAAATCGTTTTTTTCCATTCATTTTTTTATGAAAAAAAGTTGGAATACGCAAAATTCAGAACTATCAGCTCAAAAATCCTTTAAAAAGTAAGGAAAAAAATCTTTTTTTCGCTCAAAAAGCCGTATCTTTGTCCTTTTTTTAATAGAAAAAAAGAATTAAAAAAATCGTTATCGATACATTAAAAAAATTATAAAAAAATCAAGTTTTTTTCATTTTACTTTCAAAATAAGCAACAAAATCCATTAGAAAGTCCAAAAAAAGCTTGTTTTTTTGCTTTTTTAAAAGTCAAAATTCACTAATTTTTTTAATGAAAACCAGCTGAAATACGCAAAATTCAGAACTATCAGCTCAAAATCCATTAAAAAAAATAAGGATAAAATCTCAAAAAGCCGTAATTTTTGCTCATTTTTTTAATAGAAAAAAAGGAATTAAAAACTCGTTATCGATCCATTAAAAAAATTATAAAAAAATCAAGTTTTTTTCATTTTACTTTCAAAATAAGCAACAAAATCCATCAGAAAAATGAGAAAATTCGCCTTCTTTCGCTCAAAAAGCCATGATTCCGCTCATTTTAATAGAAAAAGGAAGTAATCGATCCATTCCAAGAACTATAATATCAACTAATAAAAAAAGAATGGAAAAAAAGGGACAAAACAAGACAGAAAAGAAGGATCTCTCCGGGGGCAAATCCGGCCGGAAAAAGGCTTTCCAAAAACCTCGAGATTAATTCTCATTTTTTTCTCAGTTCTTTTTTTCTCTTTTTCCTACGTCTTTTGAGGGAAAGAGGAAGCAGGTGAAGTGAATTTTGAAATCGGAAAAAAAACAAAAAATTTAGTCTGGAAAAGAAAAGTTTGAAGAAACATTTCAACTGATTTTCAAAAAATGACCGACTTTTTTGCACTTTTTAAGTACTTTCGAACCTTGTAAAATCAAAAAATCGGTTTCTTGCAGTGAAAATCAACGAAAATGTGGCTGGAAATTGGAAAAGAGCTTTATTTTCACTGAAAAAAGCTGAAAATTCGATATTCTGGAGTCAAAACCTTGAGAAAAAAAAGACTGTAGGAAAAGAGGAGAGGGACAGAGAAAATTACTCTCCCTACGTGTCTGGGAACCTCTCAAAATCAACACTATCTCGTCACATAGACTTTTTGAAGACTTTGAGATGTCTTTCCTACAGAAAACTATGAAAATGTTAAATTTTTCTAAAAAAAAATTTTCGGTCGAGTAAAAGTCAACCCTTCAAGAGCTTTTTTCTCGATTTTAGAACCCTTAAGGGGCCCCTACATCCTCAAAAAGTTCGGACAAAATGAAAAATTTCAATTCTCTACTACCTAAATAAATTCAAATTCGAAAAATTTTAAATTATTCTGAAACAGTAACCTCATTTTTCCGAAAATACCATGACAGTCATAGAAAAAATGCACATTTTTGCCAAAAAATGAGATATAAATTGCTAAAAAAACTGCTCAAAATGAATAGAAAATGGGGAATCGTGGGAGTTTTCGATATGAAAAAGGAATGAAGGAAGAAAACAACGACAAAATAAAAAAAAACGGAGGGAACCCATAGAATTTGGTCTTTCCAAGAAGCTCCAAAATCTCAATTTATGTCACCGGAAATGTTAGTCACAAATTGATCGAACCTACGTCAATTTCCCGTTTCAAAATGTTCATTTTGGCGTCACGGTTTTTTTTTTTTCAAAGCCTCGCCCTTCTGAAATATCAGCAAAGACGTGAAAAGGAGACATTTTTGGAATTTCGAAATTATTTTCGCTTTTAAAAGTCTGATTTCTCGACTTGGAGGTGTCCAAAAAGTCTCCATAATAAGAAATTTAGACTAAAATAAGATTTTTTTGACTTATTTCTAAAAATTATGGAGCTTTTTTTGAAATTTCGTCATTTTTTTCGACAAAATTCAACATTTTCCTTAAGTTTTAGGGTCAAAAGGACTTCAAAAATTGCAGAAAGCTATTTTCGTTTTCCAGGATTTTTCGAGGGTCGGCCCGTGGAGTCCAAAAACGGGCGGTCTGACCCGAAATTTCAAGCCAAATATCAGACTTTTTCCGACAAAAACCCCGATTTTTGTTCTTTTTCGCTGAAAATTCAACAGAAGCTATGACTTGGAAAAATTTTCGATGGGAAGTTTTAAGTTGGGAATAAGCCTCGCCTAGCGCCCGGTCATGTTTTTCCACACTCAACTCGAAGAATTTCAACAGAATGGGCTTTTTTCGAACCCTAACTTTTGGTCCAAGAACGCCCAAAAAAATTGAGCCTGAAGCCCGGGCGTGCGCGCCTTACGCCCAAGTTTGTATTTCCCCCACCTAAACTGGGCAAATTTCAGAAAATTTGACCTTTTTCGAGTCCTAATTTTTGGCCCAAGCCGCACGAAAAATTGGGCTTAAAGCCCGAGCCCGCATTTTTCTCACTCAAACTCGACAGAATTCAACAGAATGGACCTTTTTCTATTCCTACTTTTTCGGTCCAAGCCCACGCGAAATTTTGAGTTTAGAGCCCGGGCAAGCCCGCCTAACGCCCGAGCCTGCTTTTTTCTCACTCAAACTCGACGAACTTCAACATAATGAGCTTTTTTTGAATCCTAATTTTTTGGCCCAAGCCCAACGCCCGGGCAGGCCCGCCTAACGCCCAAGCCTGGTTTTTTTTTCACTCAAACTCCAAAAGTATCAGCAAATTTGACCTTTTTCGAACCCTCATTTCATTGCAAATCCAAAAAAAGGACACTATTTTCTGAACCTTGGCCACACCATCCACGGCTTCTCCATGTTTCGAAGCGGAACTCCGTTTCGTATGAATCAATTCTCGGACATTCCAGGTGCCGATCGTCAAACTGCCCCGTTGTTCCAAGGCTTGGTACATTTCTTACCAGAAAACGAAAGATTATTTTCATATTTTCACGATTTTTGAATGGAATTGAAAATTCATGGGAGCAAGAAGTGGAGAAAAGGCTTTCAAAAGAAAAAAAAGGAAAACGAAAAATTATATATAAATGGACAGATTCTTCTCAAAACTCCTGGGTCTCACTTGGAATGGCTCATTTTTTGCGTTTTTAAGCCATTCCAAGTGCGACCTCGAAATTTTTGTTAGTTGAACTGAAAAAATCAAAAATTTCACTCTGCAAAAATGCTTTCTAGTTCAAAAATTCAATAAAAATCCGAGTTTTCTCAATTTTTAGAAAAAAAAAACAACGAGAGTCATCGAAAATCAACGCAGAACGAGAAAAATCGAAACTTAGCACATTTTCCTGTTTCTGAACGATTTATTGACGGAAGTTCTTAAATTCGATCTCAATAATCCCTCAAAAAGAGAGAAAACATGAAAAAAGGGCTAGTGTGCTCCCCTAAAGGGGCCACTAACTGAAACCCCTAGAATGGCCATTTTTTCATAGTTATTTTTGGATTTTTGTTCTGATTTGAATGCTTAAAGATCATTTAGGGAATGCTAGATTGCTCCCCCTATAGGGACCCCTGATTAAATAAACCCTCTAGGGTGCACTTGCAGGGGTTTTCGGCCCCTACAGAGTGCGGTCAAGAAAAACCTTCGAAGGAACCTTATCAAAAAACCTTCTTTTTTCAATTTTAATAATTTTTACATACTAGAACTTCTAATAAAAAATAATCAAAATAATCAAAAATGGGGGAAAAATAAGAAATTAATAAGAGAAAAATGGGGGAAGAATGGTCGGGCAAAACAATTGATAACCAAAATGATTATTATTGTGATAATGCGATTGAAGATTAGTGGCTAGTGATTCGTTTGTTTGGCTTATTTTTGACCTTTGGAATGATTTTTTTTTCACTAAAATGATATGCTGGGGAAATTTTTAGTGGCTGGCCAAGGACTACTTGGGGAGGACACTAAAGTGGCCACTGATTTCCGTTTTAGTGGCCACTTCAGTAG